AATCAAGATCTCCAAAGGTCCTTCTACAGCGGTATGTTTCTGTTTGTTTTTAAAATAATGCAGCGCTATCAAGTTAACTCACCGACAACAACTAATGTGTCGTCAGGCAAACACAAATTTCATGGCATCAAGTTTGAAGTAGGAATCCGACTGGATGGCTACATCGTTTGGGTTGGCCCTCCTCAACCAGGAAGCAAGCATGATTTAACCATCTTTGACGATGGAGAGTTGGCCAATGAGTTACTGCCTGGTGAGAAGATTTTGGCCGACTCAGCCTACGTCTCAAAGAACCACCCATTCGTTACACCAATTAAGAAACAGAGGAATACCAGAACAGTCACCAAGTTCCTCACAGTTGAACAACGCATCTATAATTTCCAGATCTCAAGATTGCGTATCAAGATTGAACACTGCTTTCCAAAGGTCAAGGCTCTCACGATGTTTGGCTCCACCCTATGGATCACAGCGCCACCACCTCGATCTATACTTCCGCGCAGCATGTGCCCTCATTAACTTTCAAAGCTTTGGAGTATGTTGAGCGATTGGTATGTTACCAAAATGAATGTAAATAAATGTTTGTTCTAGTCTTCAAGTCAAGTACCAGTGATGAATGTTTGAATGTTTGATCAACAGAGGAATACGTGTATTCCCAAAAATCTAATATTAATTTATGGAGCTGGCAGTTATTAAATAATAATAATAATGGACAAATACACCCATTTTATTCGTCTGAATGTTGACTGCTCAACTGTAGTGAATGTTGCCATATGGAATATCTTTGATTGGCAACCTTTGACAACATTGTTCGCAGGGTATTGAGTTGACTTGTAAAAGAGATCATTTTGTTCAAAGTCTTCTTCTTGTTGCCACTATATATGTCTGTTTTAAATGTTAGGACCATCCATCCACTCGTCCACTCGCAGTCAATCATCACACTTACTTCGCTTATGAGACTGGCAAAATGCTTCACACTTCTGTACAATTATCGATTTACACTTGGATCTTAGTTCCAACCATCCAATCACAAGTTTGCAATTGAGTATCTAGATTGGTTGATGGTTGGTTAGTTTGTTGGTTTGGAAGTTGATTCTTGAGAATATACATACATCTTGGTCCGTCATGCAACACTTGAAACAAATCCAGTAGGCATAGTTGGCTTTGTTGATGGGGTCGGTGAGGCAGGTAGAATGGTAAAATGATCCACAAGAGTCGCAGTCGATCATTGGTGATGTGCTCTCTTTGCATATCGTACAGGAGTGTGATGGTGTTGTGGCGATCGGTTGATTGGTTGTGGTCGTCGTCGTAGTCGTAGACACTATCGTTGTGGAGGGCTGGAGTGGTTTGGACTTCTTGCCAAACGATGGTATAAGTGGTAGTGGGGCTGTTGGAGGTTGTGAAGAGGTCGTTGATGTAGTCATAGCAGTGTCACATGGAGAGATCAATGAAGAGGAGGTGCATGCGGAGTTGATTGGTCCAGACGGAAGATCTGCTGGTGTGGTGTTGGGGGTGGATGGTGATAATAGCGACGAGGTCGCAGAGTGATAAAGTGAGGTCATGCTGGAAATGGGTGTGCTGGGCATTAGTCCAAGGGGGTCACTGCTGTGCGCAGAGAGTGGGGACTGGCAGGCACTCAATGGCGACCTGTTCTTCTTGGGCACGGGGGTCGTTGGTGTCTCGGGTGGGATGACAAGTGTGCCATCGTTGACGCTTCTGACAATGGAGGCCAGTGCGTCTGCCTCCTCATCGGTGACCCAGAAATTGGTTGCCAGAGGTGCGCGAATGATGGTCATCTTGCTCAGCAGGTCGTGGTCGTGTATCAAGCGCTTGGGTAGCAGCTCACGCAGCATTGAGGTGATCTGCACCTTGATGGTGTGGTGCTGGTTGGGCTTGGTCGTGTGCGAGTAGGACAGAGATTCGGTGTCCATTCGTATGGGGTCGCACATCGTGATGCCAGTGGCTGCAATGCCTGCATACTTGCCACACACCCAGATGTAAACAAAGTCACTCTTACGGATGTTGTCTGCGTGCTGACGCACGACCCACTCCATCTGATCGCCAACCTTCATGTCATTGAGCTCAGGTTTGTTCTTGGGGTTGCCGCTAAAGATCCACCAACGCGCCACGTTTGACGAGCCATCAGCCAGACGACTCCTTCTACCTCGAGCAATGCCTATTGTCTCATTGATTGTCGATCTACGCTTCTTGCTGTTGCTGTTGCTGTTGTTATTGTTGTTGTTGAGGTTGGGGCTGGGAGGTGTCTCGATCTTGGCCTTTTTCTTTGTCCTTGTCTCACGAGGTGATATCGGCTCCTCGACATTGATTGTGAAGTTACTGACATAGTTAGAGTAGCCAGGTCCACTTTGTTGTGTTGTCGTTGTCGTTGTGGTGGTCGTTGTTGGTGGGCATTGCCAGATCGACCCCGCCAAGTGGGAGATTGAGTKGGCGCAACACCGAGTGAATTGGCCATGCTGAGCAGTATCTGTGATCCTTCCAATGTGCCAGAGGTTGTGAGTGATGGTAGTGGTGGTGGTTGCGTAGTTGTCTGGGGTATCGCCGCAGACAATGCATTGTCCGTCATGAGGTTGGTGAACAGCTCAACGGCAGAGTGCGTCAGGGTTATGCTCTGGTTCGACTCGGTCAGCGCGTCGCCGCCGCTCGTACGAGGCAGGGTGTTGGTGTTGGTGTTGGTATTGCTGTGACTGGCTTCGTCGGACAGGAAGTCCTCCAGAGCGGCTCGATTTGAGGATGTCACGGCGCTGTCCTCATGTCCATTGAGTGATGCGTTGTTGTTGTTGAAATGAAGATGGGTCGAGGACGAGTCGGGTGATGTGGTCGCAACGCCAATCGATTGGAAACTCTCCGCCATGGGGATGGGCGACGCCACATCAGAGTTGGAGCCCGTGGAGGATTCCTTCTGCTGCTTGCGCGTCCTCTTCTTGGACGACCCAGTCGTGTAGGGCGTCGACGAGACGGTGGCGTCAAATGCTGAGGTGGTGGCTTGGGATGGCGGTGGTGTGGTGAGTAGTGAGCTGATCAATGTTGTCCTTCGTCGTGGAGTGACAACGGTGTTTGGCTGCTGTTGTTGCTGCTGCTGGGGCGTCGACAGGACGGGCTGTGCAATCAATCCCGTTACGGCAATGGGGATGGCCGACAGCATGCCATCGAACTGACGCGATGCATAGCCCTCGGACTCGATCTCCTCCTCGTTGAGCAGCTTGCCTCGTAGCAGCTCCTCGTACATGTATATCTCGGGCAGGTCGGTGAGGTGGGGCGACTCCTCTAGCAGGCCAACCTGGGTCAGGCACCCCAGACATATCTGACTCAGCTTCTTCAGTGTGTAGAATGGCTTGGGCTGTGCCATGGCGGCGATCTTGTGGCCCTCCTTTGACAAGATCCTTGCGTATGCGCTTGTGTACTGCTCCTGCAGCGAGGAGTCTGGTGTGGTGGTGCTAGTGAGGTTGGGGCTGGTCATCGACGCACCGAGGTCGTGATGCTGGTTGGGACAAGAGTCCGAGTGTGGCAATGACAGTGGTGGATGTGGGTGGCTGCCTGTGTGAGTACCCGATGAGGACAACAAGTATGGAGACTGTGGCACGGATCTCTTGAGCACCGATGGTGATGGCGACATCGACTGAACGAGTGGCGATCGAGGAGGAGGTGTCATCAACGCCGACATCTTTGGGAACATTGGTGATGCTGTATGGTCCTTTGTTGGTGTGTTGATGACATTGTTGTTGTTGCTGCTGTCATTGTTGTTGTTGTTGTTTGAGTCGACACGTTCCAACTTGGACACATCGTCCAGAAGCATATGATCGAGCTTCTCCTTCTTGATGTTGGCTAGTCCTGTACATCGCTGGCACTCCCACTTCTCATCTGGCACCTCCGTGAGTGGTGGGGAGACACAATATATGTGATAGCCATTGTTACAGGTATCGCACAAGACAAATGAGTCCTCCTTGTCGTCTTTGTTACATGCCTCGCACTTCTACATTTGTGGGTGAGTGGATGAGTGAGCGAGTGCGTCATCAAACCAATCGTTGACTGTCAACTTACGATCTGTGACACTTGGGAACAATCAGATGAGCAGAACCAGTCACCTTTGGGCACTTCGGGGAGGGGCGGGTCGAGGCAGCCAATGTGGAACACGCGGTCGCAGCTGAGACAGGACACCAATGACTTGGACTTGTTCATCTTGAACTTGCCGCGACTCTTGAGACTGTTGGAGATGAAGCAGATGAAGCATATATTGCGCCAGTCCTCGACAAACTCTTCGTCGAGATGGTCCACTTGTTGATGCTTGCTGAAATGACGATAGATCTGCAGAGGTGCCTTGGAGCCGCACATCAGACGGCTGATCTCGGGCCAGTCGTTGCCATAGATGTAGAGCAGCTCCTCAAAAAGCGCCGTCTCCTCGGGTGACCAGTTGAGATTGTGGAACATCTCCGATACCTTGCGCCAGATGTACGCGGGCATGTGAACCGCCGAAAGGTTGACGCCGTTGACCGTGGTGGTGGGGCCCACGGGCGTCAGTGGTGGCGATGAGATGAGGTCGCGCTGCTGATGTTGTTGATGATCGTGTTGTTGATGCTGCCTGCTCCTGCGTGTCAGGGCGTGATGCGATGGGTTGCTTACTTGGTTGTAGACTATGTAGCCCTGCTTGAAGTCTTGAAGGAATCGCCTGCTGATGTTGATGTTGTAGGGCACGTATGGCGTGACCTTGATGCACTTGGGCGTTACGACACCCTCCTTGATCACATCCTCAGCCGTGCGCTTCTTGCCTGCCGCCACCTCCTCTGCCGCCGCTGTCTCGCTCGATGAAGACTTGAGATGGCTTGACTCGCCCAATCGCAGTGGATGGATTGTGTAAACAATGTGTCATAAGGTCCCTCCTCGCACTCTGTCACATTGAAGGCTCTTGGCACCAACGGTGGATTATATATATCTTGCTCCAGGAAGTCCTGATGCAGTTGCTGCTCCTTTGTCAACACCTTCTTCCTGTTTGGTTCGAAAAACATTCTATTTACATTCGCCTGTTGTGATTGTATCGCGTTAGTATTCGTAGTCGTCAATCAATCACAATCACAATCATACATACCTGTTCGATCTTTTCTCGAAGTACTCTGTTGTATCCTTTCTCTGCGTCCTCGAGCGCCTTCCTCTCCTTTAGACTCTTGACGTAGGACTTCTCCTCGTCGGACGACGACTCTTCCTCTTCTTGTATGATCGATTCGATTGACATGCCCGAGCTGCTCTTGAGCAACACTAGCTGTTGTTGCTGCTGGTATGTCAGCGTGCTGAGTTGATCGTCGGCCATGTCGTCCAGCGATTCGTCATTGCCGTGGGCCGATAGCTGATCGAGCGGTAGGAGGTCAGAGTCCTGGGTCGCGCCCAGTTGCTGCTGGTCAAGTGAAAGTGATGATGAGACTCTGTAGCAATCCTTCAGAATCTTTGAACATGATGTCTTGCCGCTGAACAGACTGCTAAAGAGCTCACTGCCACCAATGTCGCCACCGTTGAACAGGGGTCTGTGCTCGGCGCGTCGCGACGAGAGCGACACTGTCTTGGGCGTGTGCGTCGGCTTGGTATGTGAGCTCTTTGTGCCATTGGCCTTTGATTTCTTGATGTTGGCGCCGCTGCCGCTGATGCTGCCCGGGCCGCCACTGACCATTGACGTGGGGAAAGAGAGCGCGGCCGATGGTCCACGGCCATGGTATTCTCGCAATGACTGGTCCTTCTTCTTCTTCTCGGCCTTGATCTTGGGTCCAACATGAAATGAAAAGCTGAACTCTGTTTCATTCTGCAAAGTGCCTAATGCCAAAGACGACGATGAGCTGAGCAGTTGGGGCGTGTTCACTGTGCCAGTCGGTTCCTTCTCGTCATCCGCGGCGGCAACATCGTTGTCCTCAATGTCGTTTGTGGCAGCACCAACATCATCCTTTTCCAATTGCTGCTCGGTCATCACAGTGTCCGTCGTCGACTCTTGTTGTTGTTGTTGTTGCTGCTGCTGTTGTATCTGTTGTTTTTCCTTGCATTCCATGAAGTTCATGTGATCTACATCGTCTACCTTGTGCACGATGTCGCTCGTATGGCCATTGCCGTTGCCGTAGCCATTGCCATTGCCGTTGCCATTGCCGTTGATATGATGGACACCACCATTGAGCTGCTCTGTTGTTGTCTTCTCCATCACAGGCTTCTCATGTTGCTGAACTGATGATGGTGGTGATGGTGGCACATCTACAACCTCCTCTGTCGCCGCTGTCGCCGTTGCAACCTCCTCTACTAGTGAGGGCACCGGTGTATCCTTTCGCATCGTGGGAGTGACCTCTGGAGGCGGAGGAGGAGACTTCCTGTCCACAAGGTGAAGCCCAGCAGCAGGGCTATCAGTGGTCATTGCTATAGTATCCATCATCATTATGATGTGCTGCTGCTCCTGATATTGATTAGCTGTCACTGTGTTTCACTTTGAATGATTACTTCAATCAATGTTGATTCAAGTGATTCAGCTCAACCTTTGCTTATGTGAGCAAGATAGTTAACTTAACTTTGTTGATTGATTGATTGAGTATTTGTTATGTTGTTGTTGTTATAGAGTGTGTGTGATGTGATGTATATATATCTCTATCTCCTTCTCTGTCTCTGTAACTGCTGCAATGTGTGTGTGAGTATGAATGAATGAGTCCAAGTATGTGTGTTTATGTGTTGTCACACATTTATTTAAACACATGTGTGTTCCCATTACAAAAAACAATGATAAAGTTCAAAAACAACTTCCTTATTTATAAAATTCATTTTCATTGTTTCCACGTCACATCACACACATACACACAAACAAAGCAATGACCTGGTGATGATGATGTTCGTCTATCTATCTATTAATAGTTAGTTAATTATTACATTTATTACAAGCAAACGGTAGTAGGGGAAGGAAAGAATGAATACTCTCATTGATTGAGACATTGGATATGTTCGAATGAAAGTATCGGCGGTGGTTGGATCAAAAAACTGCACATACAATGTGTAGTTTGTTGACCAAGTCAAGTACATGGGTAGTAGGGGAGGGAAGGGGAAGCTGATGGAGTTGTGGAATTGATCGATTTGATTGATTTGAGTTGCATAATGGTTATGACTCCAATAGTGATGCCTTGTTCATCAATGGTTGTCCAACTGTTGACTCTTTCGATAGTGATGGCTGTGACATTGCCGCCAGAACAGAGCAACTTGTGACAACACCTGCTGATGGTGATGTTGGAAGCATTGCTCGGTTTGGATTGGACCTTGGAGGATGAGTGTTTGTCGGTGTCCAGGTAATTGTTGGAGTTGGCTTTGTTGGGGAGGTTGTCTTCTGAGTCTGTTCCTGTTCCTTCTTGGTGGAGTCCTGTGATTGTTGATGTTGTCTCGGTTGTGGAGATGATCCATCTGGTAGAGGTGGATCTGACAGCTTCCTTATAACGTTCCAATGGTCTTGAACGAGCATCTCATTTGTATCGATCATTATCTTTCTGTTATCTATATCCTCCCAACGGCATTGCTTAGTGTGTTCATTCATTACAAAATACTTGTATTGGACAGACACATCCATAGAGAAACCAATCTTGACATCCCAGACATTGCCTATTCATTCAAATTGAATGTTTGTATGATTGATGTGAGTGAGACACTCTGTGTCGTCTCAACTTGACTCGACTGGATCACCTACCTGTGTTCCAAGTCATTCGTTTGGCTCGGGAAACATCCCATTCTCCGAGGTATGATTGGGAGCCAACGATGTACAAGTTCTCGCCAGGCTGAGTATTATAATCTATGAAGAATGTGACATTGTGTCCGACCAGCAATGATGAAGAAGAGCATCGAAACATGTTTTCTTTCTATCTTTCTTGGTATCCTTTTTGGAATCTTTAGAACGACCGCCGAGAGTTTAATGATTTCCGGAACCGGGGACTGGAATGTTTTGGTATAAATATAAAGAAAAAACTTGTTATAACAATGTAAATGTAATAAATTTATATGTATATGTTGTTGAAGGTTTGGATTAAGAAGTAAATGGCGGAGATGGAACGAGTGCAAGTATGTAAGTAAGTGTATGTTGGTGTGTGAGTGTATGTATATTCCTAAGTATGTGTAATAGAACGATTGAAATTTCCACCCTATTTGTTGTTGTGTTGTTTGTTGTTGTTGGTGTTTGGTCGATCCTTTCGTTCTGGAAAGGGGTATGTGTATGAATGGGAGTATATGAGATGGGTGAAGTTCTCTTTATGGTAGTGTGTGCGTGTGTGTGTATATGTTGGTAAAGGGTAATGGATGGGGGAATGGATGGTCGGTGAGCAAAGTGTATTTTAAGTTATGTCTCTCTGTGTCTTGGTTAATTGTGATTGGATGGATGAATGAATGAGTGAATGAGTGAGTGAACAAGACATGAGGAGTAGGAGGAAGTAACACTGTGGATAGCGGAGTGGAATGGAGTGAAAGTGAGAAGTGATTGGGTATGAGTGGGCAGGTCGTAGTGAGGTAAGGTGAAGTGAAGGTGAACTCATATCATTCATACTTGGTTAGACACGATTTAACACACACACAAACAAACAAACAATCATCATCCTCCCCATAATCATGATTGTTGTTGTATTAGTGTTGTTGATGTTCGTATGTATGTTTGATGTGTTGTGTAAACAATGGTCAGCCAATCACTTTGGAATTTAACTTGTCCCAACAAGAATGTTAGCGTATGGTAAGCTCTCTAGGAGAGAGAGTTTAAAGTGTTCAACACTTCCCAATAGTTGCCCATCATTAGTGACCTGGCACCAATCTTTATCTACCGCCATGAAACGTCAATCTAGATGAGTGATGATCACCTCTGGTGATGGGTACTTTATGGTAACGTTTGTAAAATGATATGGATAAAAGTTATTTGATTTAATTTTATCCTGATTTTGTGACTTGGGCAGAAAACGAGATGGACGAAGGAAGGTATGAGGTGAAGTCGTCTTGAAATGAAATCATCATTGTACTCGTTGGCTTCAAAGTCGGATGATTAGTATGGATTTATTCATACAATGTGCCATCTGACGCAGTCCAATGAAAACAACAGAGTGAATCATGATGGTGCACATTTAATTAGCAACCGATAGTTGTACTCTGCGTGGGTCTTCTGTTCATTGTATAACAATTAGTCGTTTGTCAGTAGTTGTTCCAACATCTCCCCTCCAAACTTCAAAACATAAAGATAAACTTAACTAATCATAGGTAGTCATGCGACATGTTCCTTATTCTCTTGTTTCAGTACTTGTTGTCAAGCTATCTTGTTGCCATTACTTGCATGACAACACTGCAACAAAAGCAAAGGAACGTGCCAAGTGTCGACAATCGCAAGACCAATGTCTGACCTCTCTACCCACAAGCCCTTTCTTTTTTGGGACCACTTGATCACGAAAAACTGGTGGATTGGCTTTTGGTGTGAATGTGGATTGACAACTGATCGATGGGAGAGTTCCCAGTCCATAACATATTCATTCATTAATATTGATGAACAATTACAACTACTAGTACTTATAATTGTCAAGAAAGTGAGGAAATAGAGTCATCAGGAATAGGGCAGCGAGTGTAGCGCCGCAAACAAATATCACTACATACCAATATATAAGATTTATTTATTAAAAGATTAAAGGATTAGGACAGTCAATCAATGTCTTCGAATAGGTTTGAGATCATTGGTTTGGTCTACTTTGGTCAGGGAAGTGGACTGCCGCACCAGATACAACTTGATCTCGAGATCACCTTGTTGGCATGGCACTTTACACTTTTGGTTAGCAGTGCCTTCCTACTCTGGTGGTCCAATCGATATCGACCCAATCGATTAACCAGACTTGTATATACTATAATATTAATACATTGTATAGGTAGGTATAGTATATGACATGCGGTGATTCATAAATTGACGAGTGAAGGTGCTAACCCAACATCAACCACGACCCACAACATCCGCGATATCAACAACATCAACAACATACAGCAAAGACAATATCAGACTCATTGTTTGTATTATTGCTTACAGTTGATATGAATGCATTGGGCGCATCGATAGCGTTTGAAGCATTCGAGATTATGGCCATCGTGACTTATTACTGCATGTTTGGCATTGTACTGTTCAGTTGGATAGAGGTGGTGTTCCGCGTCGAGCACTTGGGCCACGGCGAGGACAAGGTCAGAATGCTACGCAATGTCTTTTGTGTGTTCACATCGATGTGGATCTCGGCGGTGTTCATCATCAGCGAGACCTATCTAAACATCGACCAGGAGGTGGCCATCATGGTGTTTGGCGTCGGCATGCTCATCATCTCTGGCTTCTCATTCGCACTGTCGATCGCCTTCATTGTCTACTGGGTAAAACTGCATCGCATGGTCACTGCGCTGCAGATCCACCAGACGACGCAACGCAAGGTGTTCCTGGTCAAAGTGGCCGTCGTCACCATCATCTTCATCCTGTGTCTGGACGCCAAGATTGCGCATTACTTTATCAACGTGCGTCGTCCATTTGTCGCCAGCATCTGGGATCTGTACGCGCTGAACTACTTCCCCGAGGCGTTGGCTGTCACTGTGGCTCTGGCCTTCTTTGGCTCCAACATGAAGTCGGTGGACTACTCCGAGGACTTTGGCGCCAAGAACAACTACACGGCACGCACCGATACAGATCACCACTTGAACAAAGATGAGCAACGACGAGGATTAATTCAGGACGACGAGTCCACCACCACCAGTTACGGATCATACGACAGCTACTACACCGTCCAATAAGGACATGTTTGTTGTTATTGTGCCAGTCCAAAGGTTCCACATATCGTCATGACCTTTTATATGGGATGGCACATGTCTGTCTATCTATCCTCTCTCTTTCATTACCTCTTTCCATCATAGCTATTAAAAACAACCTCCCATCTCATCAAGTGTGTGTTCTTGTATCGTTTCGCCGTGTATCCTTCTCGTCAACTCCCACGGCAACACGCGTCTTGAGTGACTTCTGAATTTTAGTCAAACGACTTGCAAGTTCACTTTTAATGAATCTTTTAATGCATTCACAAGTGATAGAGATAGAGATATAAATAGAGATATATAGAGATGTCAAAGAGGGAACTTGAACAAGATGATGGTCAAGCTGAGACCAGCACGACCAACAGCGGCAACGACAACGATACAGAGGCATCAAAGAAGAAGCATAGGAGTATGAAATGAAAGAATGAATGAATGAGTGATGATACTGACATCATCGTTACAATAGGAGAACTACCATTTGAACATATATACTTGGATAACTTACCAAAGACAGAGATGTATGAGCGTAGCTTTATGCATAAGGACGCATGTTCATCAGTATACGTGACAAAGACAGAGTTTATAATCACTGGTGATATACTAGGTTATATCAAGTTCTGGAAGAAACAGCCAGTTGGTATAGAGTTTGTCAAGACATTCAAAGCGCACAATGGACTGTTCTCAATGAGTGTCAGCTACGACGGACTGTGGCTGTGCTCCGTTGGCATTGACAAGAATGTCCGTATATTCGACATCAACAACTTTGGTATGTTCGTTCGTTGGACTCATGAGTTGGGGACACGCCACAGACTGACAGATTGACTGACCGACACTTGGACACGTGTACCTTTGATCACACAGACATTGTAAACTCATTCAAGTTGGACTATTTACCATTGACATGCCAGTGGATATATGGAAAGGAGTCTGGCAAACAACTGGTGGCAATGTATGTGTCAAAGCCTCGCGATGATCAGGCCAAGGAAGACCTGGCACTCACATACTCAATCAATCACAATCAATCAATCACAATCAATCAATTGTAGATCAAGCCGCGAATCACCAAACATATATATATACGATGCCAAGTCTGATCTGTCATCAGTTGCACTACATACATTGTCAATCCATCGAAAGCCCGTACATCTGATCAAGTACAACAATGCACATCGATCAGTTATCTCTATAGACTTGGCTGGTTCAATCGAGTATTGGTCACCGGATGAGGACTACAAGGAGCCCAGCGCATCACTGGACTTCTCGCTAAAGATGGACACCGATCTCTATTGTTTGCTCAAGGAGAAGACCGTGGCCATGTCACTCGAGGTCAGCGGCAAGGGCAAATACTTTGCTGTGATGTCACGTGATCGCAAGGTGCGCGTGTTCACCTTTTCGACAGGCAAGCTTCACAGGGTCTACGACGAGTCGTACGCCGTGCTCAGTCAGCTTCAGAAGGAGGAGGACACTGTATATCACATCGATCCCAATGACTTTGGCCGACGAATGGCCGTTGAGCGTGAAATTGAGGCTGTGTTTGATGCGGCCGTTCAGCCGGACAGCCTTCTCAAGAGTGCGCCACCACCTCCATCCAACATCCTCTTTGACGAGACTGAGAACTTTGTAATCTATCCAACGTTGGTTGGAATCAAGAGTATGTATTGGTTTGGTGGCATGGCATAGCAAGCGCGGACATTCATACTTACCATCACTACATTATAGTCGTCAACATCGTCACAAACAAAGTAGCAAGGGTACTTGGAAAGATTGAGAACACGACTAGATTCCTTGGATTGGCGTTGTATCAAGGAAAGAATGAGGGCGATGTATTCATGGGCACAAAGAAGAGAGATGTTGACCCTGACCCAACACTATTCTGTTTGGCGCACAAGAAACAGAGATTCTACATGTTCACAAGGAGAGAGCCAGAGGACTCGTATGTATCCGACATCATTGAAAGACTTGAACAACATACTCACTCAATCATTCAATCAATTAGTGGAAGTGCCGAGATGGGAAGAGATGTATTTAATGAGAAGACGACAAAGGATGAACATTTGATGCTGCAGAATGCCGCAAGACAATTGCCAAAGAATGCGATTATACATACGACTGCTGGAGACATTAGCATCATGTTGTTCCCAGACGAGTGTCCAAAGACAGTGGAGAACTTCACTACACATGCCAAGAATGGCTACTACGACGGCATCATATTCCATCGTGTGATCAAGGGCTTCATGATACAGACGGGCGATCCACAGGGCGACGGCACAGGTGGCACCAGCATCTGGGGCAAGGACTTTGAGGATGAGTTCAGTCGCAGTCTCAAGCACGACAGGCCGTTCACCGTGTCGATGGCCAACGCAGGCCCGGGCACCAATGGCAGTCAGTTCTTCATCACCACCGTACCAGTTTCGCGACTCGACAACAAGCACACAGTATTTGGACGTGTCTACAAAGGACAGGATGTCGTGCTTCAGATTGAGGGTGCCAGGACTGATCGCGAGGATAGACCAATGGAGGACATCTCAATGGTCAGCATTAAGATCACCAACGATGTTCCAGACGAGTATAAACAGAAGAAGTGAGTGAGTTAGTGAGGGTTGGTAGATCAACTTACCCCTCGAGGCTCACGATCATTCATGTGAACAGGTCTACCCAATGCCATGGTGTTCCATGCATGTGTTGAATAGTTTGCAGGTTGTTGGACGATGATGAAGATGATAATAATGATGATGATGATAATGTTGTAGTTGGCGATCTGTTTATGTGGCCAATGCGGAAGAGGAGACACGAGGAGATCGATGGTGCCATTCGATTACATTGGTCAGTATTCAAACACACACAAACACCGAGACTTTAGACCAACCATCAACCAAAGTTCATCAGACAAAACCGACACAACACCTCGAGACTGGACTTCCCAATTCCACACAACCCCCCAAACGATCCATTGGGGCTGGGGCCAAAGCCCCGTTTTTTTTTGTACACTAAGTGGCAAAAAGTCCGCCCGTTTTGCATCCCGATCTTAGATGCCAACGCGTGTTTGGTCGAAGGACCTCTATGTCTCTCACAATTGTCGGTTACTTTAGATTAAATAATATTAAATGGTCCACCGTCTCGGTGTACACACACACAGACGTCGAATCAGTATCCATGCGTGTAATGTGAAGGATCAGAGTCAGGACTGGCACAGACCCCAGGTCATCATCGTCAGGTCATTCCCATCACAGCAATGGTGCACTCTTGAGTCTCGACAAGTCTCAACCCACACACCCCTATCACCAATCCATTCCATTCCAATCCAATCACTCGTCATCATTCATTCATTCATTCATTATCACACCTCACACATACATATACCTAGCATCCATCCATCTATCTATACATCTATCCATCTATCCATCTCAATTGTAACAATACACCCTGGTCCATCCCAGCCAGCTACCTACCATCATTACACTACTACTACTACTACTACAACTATACTTTCATTCAATCTCCATAATAAGTGATAAGAAGATAGACACAACACACAGGTTGACATTGACTTTGACTCCATTGACCAAGAGAGTAGATACAGACAGATTTCATGTAAGTTGACATTAATGATGTAAATGATGTGTGAATAATATATAAGTTATACCTGGAATATGTTATGTTATGTGTAAGAAGAAGTAGTTGGGACCGACATGACAAGACATGCATCACGTGATGAGTGCTTTTTGGAAGGTGGCCGTTGTAAATGGGAGTTGGTAGACATTGTGGTACAATGATCATTATCTATTGCAAACCAATCAATCAATGACAACTCCATCCATCCATTTCATTCATCCACTCAATCATCATCATCATGATTGAATGATATATCTTTGTGTTGTTGTTGTTGTTGCAACTACTCCACACCCACCACCAACCCACCCCTCGATAACACCTGATATAACGCTTGAAGTGAATGATAAGATAGAGATATTATGTGTAGTGATAGAGATAGAGACTGTGTTTTTGTGTTGTGGTCAACTTTAGTCGACTGATGTGTGTTGTATGTGTCGTTTGTCGGCAAGTCAGTACATCATACCACACTCACCACACACTCAATCAAACATATACGATGGACACATTCATCAAACAAACAACAACAACACTGGAAGTTAAGACGGCCAACCAGACCTTATCACCTGCCTTATGTCATATATATATATAACGGCTGGCACCTACCATCCATCCAATCCATCCAACAATCCTTAATCAATGTTGTATTTGAAGACGATGGCGATGACCACAACGACAACGATATAACCATGATAACATCTTCTTCTTTATACTTCCATTCAATTCAACACACAATCCTTCAATACCCAATCCCTCATTCCATCCCTCTTTCCTCCTCCTCCAATCAATCGAGTCCCAAACTTGTTAATTGTCACAATCTATCACAATCAATCAATCCAAATCAATCAATCACTCAATCAAACATCCATATCCAAACTCATCAATGTACATTAATATTGTTTAGAACTAATTAGTTAGTTAGTTATGTTGAATATGATGTCCCAATTACATGTCCAGTCAACTCCATCTACACCACGTACATGGCGTCATCCTACAAGTTCGACAACAAACCTAACCTTAAACACCTATATACTCAATAATCAAACTCAAACTCAAACTCAAACTCAACAACAGTGTAACACTATAATCAATTTCCAGTCAATATATTTTGTACACTTCCAATATCGTTGTACATTCTCATCGAACGCGAATAATAACCAAGTCAACGACGACGACGAAGTAGACAGCCACAGATACAGCCACAGTCACAACAACCACACCCACACACTCCAACATCACTACCAATTCATTATATATTCACCTCTGTATAACTGCATCACCGTCATCAACTTAAAAGTGGCGTCATTCTTTAATAAGCTACACTCGACGTTCTCGTCCGAGTCCAGGTCGGCCACCTCACCAAAGAAGTCGCCAAGGACCCAGGCCTCACGTCCAGCCGTCCTCTCACCACGTTCATCCCCAGTGCTCCAACACGCGCGAGTCCAGCAAAATGACGAGCAGCCAACCTCACCTTATCAACTGCGCAACAGCGGTGAGGCGCGCGAGGCTGGCAGCAGCACCAGCAGTGGACATGGACATGGACGCGGATTCCTGACCTCAAGTCTCAAGAGCATCAAAAGAAGATTCAGCATCACGATCACTTCATCTTCGGACGAGGAGAGCACTTACTCTTCATGCAGCTCGTCTACAGCGTCACAGACTGATTCACAGAGCAACTGTTCCAGCCTCAAGAGCAGCTCAAGTTCGATCGACTTTGAGACCGACCCAGGTTACAACGACCCATCGTCCATCAATGAGGAGAGCGAGGTTGTCATTGAAGACTACTTCACTACGTATTCGCCCACCGAGACATACGGCCTGAGGAACAGCAAGTTGAAGCGTTGTCCAACCACCTTGACCAGATTCTATTTGTTGGAACGCTTCCCCGAGGAGGTCGAGCTGTCCATCGTCTCCCACCTCACCGCACAAGACCTCATCTCACTGTCAATGGTTAACAAGCACTTCAACCGTCTATCCAATGACCGCACCCTTTGGAAGAAGGTGTGCAAGCGTAACGAATGGCGCTCGGCCATGAAGTATGATCCATCCTTTGAATACAAGGAATACTACTTTGAGAAGAGAGCCATAACTGCACAGAGTAAGTAATCAACGATGATAAATGAGTGTGAGTTGTGTGAGGCCCAACTTACTAACCTTTCCTTGGTACATAGACTGCTTCAGATGGATAACACCAAAGTTTGCAGGACAGATGCCGACAAAGAGGTTCAAGCATACTTCAACCTTTGTCAATGGCAAGATCATATTTATAGGAGGACAGGAGACAGATACAAAGAGATTCAATGATATTATATACTATGACACCGCAAACAATACGTTCTCGCGACCAATGATCAAGGGCGACCGTGTGCCCAACTTCTCCCGCCACACCTCAACGCTGGTCGGCAACAGCATCTATATATTCGGTGGCTACGATGGCCATGGCACAAACTTTGACTTGGCCGTCTTCAACACAGCCAATCGCACATGGACTAATGTGCCCAAGGAGTTTGTCCTTGGCGCTGCGCCCGTGTCTCGTACCAACCACGCATCGGCAGCAGTAGGCTCAACTGTGTATATATTTGGCGGCAACAACAACGATCAGTTTGGTCGCTACCAGGTGCTGGACGACCTGCACGCACTCAACACCGAGACAATGACATGGGAGCAACCCGAGGTCACTGGCGAGCGACCATGCGCCCGCAGCGGTCATTGCATGACAGCAATTGGCAAGAAGTTATATGTCTTTGGCGGTGGCATCTGGAACGAGACCAATGGATGGACTGACAAGTTCAATGACGTTCATGTGTTTGACACGACCACGCGCCATTGGACCAAGGCCATGACCAAGGGCGAGGTGCAGACCAGCACTTTCGCCATCTCCTTCGCCGTTGGCCGCTATATGTTCATCTTTGGCGGTGGCAGCAAGCCACGCCACTTTGTCACCAACGATATTTACATACTGGACACCGAGATGATGGAGTGGACCACGCCATTCATCGCGGAGCCTCGTCCACCCGCACGCGACATGGGCACTGCCTGTGTGGCGGGCGGCGATGTATACTTCATGGGTGGATACGCAGGCGGCGCCATTGAATACTTTAACAAACTGCACTTTAGTCATAAGATCCTAACAAACATTGCCATCCAGCAGTCGTCACTCTGTGGCAGTGGTGTAGGCAACACCAATAGCCTGTTATTACAAGGTAACAGTGTGATGTAATAAACTAAGTAACATATATTATTATTACCTTTTAAGGAAAGATTCAGATCATTCACTCATCAGGATATTTGTTCCTTTTTTGGCCAACAGATCCTTTCCACGAATCACAACATTGTTTATCCTTTTGAAATGAAAATAATAGCTCTGCAACACATTCATTATTCAATATTACTTCAAACAAATAATCAAAGAGATAATAACTATTCGAATATGATGGACGAAGAGTTAAACATAAAGTTGTTTAATACTTTGGTATATTTGTTAGAGAGATGCGCTAGCCTTGATAAGCAGTTACCTTCACAATCATTCTTTGATGATGTTGTTAAGACAGTTGAGGAAGCACGCAGATCAAACTTTAAGGCAACCAATATTGCCTTTGACTTGTTACCTCAGGTACTCAATGTAAGTACATTACATGATCATTTCAATCAATCAATCAATCACAATACATAGTACTCATATACACAAACTCGAACAACGATATAGATTGCCAACCTATTTAAATATGGATGGGCTATAGATATTTGGTCCTTGTTGCCAGTGGCCATCTCAGAACTTGGTATGGGAGTGATCACTGTCAAGTCATTCATTAGTCATCTTTTACAACGCCAGCAACGAGGCGATGTCAACATCAATTTGTTTGACTTCACCCAGGTCTGTCTTCGCATGCCCCTCGTCTTCCCAAACTTGGGGCTCACTTTTCTGTTTCACCGAGACTTCCTCAATGCACTCGTCGATACTCTCGACGTTGACCAGATGGACGCCCTTTTGCCACACTACATTTCACTGCTCATCAAACGTCTTGATGATGGAACTGAGTTCTACTCCAACTTAGTTGGGATATATGGCACAGAACTCTTGGAGGAACCGCTGGACAAATGGTTCTTGGAATTACCTCCCGATGAATGTACTCCTGGAAGATTATTCTATCTCGTATATATGAGCAACAAATCATCATCAAAATTACTCAGCAAGAACAAACAAGAGGTATTCGAGTAGGTATCATCAAACATGTTACAAACGTCAGTCCATCATCAATCTCACCATCTAATCACTTGTCAACTATCCTTTCAGATTTATAATATCTGCAGCAACCAAACGGCTCTGCGCAACGCCTTCAATCCAATCTGGAATCACTGATGTGGTACGAATCATTATGGACGAGAAGTTGCTCCAAAATGAGGATAATCAATCAAGGCTCATGATCATTGTCACCGATATACCTCACCGTGATGCCATGTTCTCCATCTTCCACCAATACATCCCAACTCAGTCCTTAATGAACTCCTTTATATACCTCAGCCCGTTCAATAGGAGCATTCTAATGACAAGGATGGGGAGGTCATTCCAAGAGGTAAGTTATATTAATAATCACATCAAAATCAGACAATGTCAACTAACATCATGTTTGATTGTCAGGTCTACCAAACCTACGAACATATATTTTTAATGGATATTAGATTGGATGGAAGTAATTACAATTCGCTCATTCAGCTTGAGGGATTATCAAAGTGCTTCAACTCTTCAGACGACAAGTCACTATCTCTTCTCGATCCACTCATTCAACATATCTCTTCACTTGACACTAATAGAATATACCACAACTCTCCACCTTGCGACAATGATATAAATGAAAGGATCATTGATGCTCTGTATGATTTTGCCGATATGATCAGTGGACGGCCATCCGGCAAACCTGCCTCAGACAAGCTCACACATATGGCTGTCGCTATGCTCCAAAGGTGCTTCCTAGCCTATCCCTTTGTCCAGTCAATTGTGGGCAGACATACTAATTTCAAACAATCAATGTTGGACAATTTGGAGACTCTCACCACCCGAAGATTTGGCAACCTCCAAATATTTATTTTAGGATCTCAACTTTCATGGTTTGACAAACATCAAAGATCAATGATACTTCGCAATCTGGTGTCATTCAATATGCTTTACCAGGCAACGCCATTCATCAACTCATCCCCCACTCCAGATGAAGAATGGATATCATTCATTGACATGATTATGGAACCCAGCAGAGAACTTCAGCTAGAATGGTTAAGAGTCTCTGGACTCGACCTCAATCTTCTGAAGCCCATTTATCACAGGCTCAAGTATGCCTACTGCCTACAATTGGTCACCAATTATGGTAACCCATATATCGAAACCAAGAACAAACTTCCTTACCAAGTCGACAAGGAGCAACACGCCCTCTTCAAGCAATTCAAACAACAATCATTCACATGGTCGTACGTTGCAAAGAAGAAGCCCATACCTTGTTGGGAGCCAGTTTGGTCTGGGGTTGAGTTGCCCAAGCTCATACTACAACACATAATTGAACTATTGTTGTTTGACAACAACACCAACTCCAAGTGGAAGGTTGCACTATCAACAGTGTCCACTCAGTTCCATGGCATCTGCACATCATTATTGTCACACATTCCCATCCCACAAATGGAAATCCTCTCCAAGATCCGAAACATTGGCTCGCCATTCTGCCTGTTCAAACATCCACCACTCCACATCTCCACTGATAAAATACGCTTCATCCCCAAGAAGGACATGGCGCAGTGTCTTGATCGCCTGGAATCCTTGAATGTGGTTTTATGGTCATATTTACTTCCATTATCTATTCTATTACCTATAGTCCACGCTAAACATCTCAAGCACATCAGCTTTATGGACGAGACCGTTCAAGGTGGCCCCCCTCTCTCAGGGTTCAGACTCCAAGAACAATTCACCTCATCAATCAAACAAATACCACCCGTTAGTTTGTCCAACCAAGAATACATCAAGTTGTTGTACGAGAACTACATTTCACCAAATGCAGCGACTCTTCAATCTGTATCAATCAAATGCCAGTTTCCATTCAATCTTTTGGAAACACTAAATTCAAACAACCTCCAACATGTTGACTATTCCTTCTTGGCCATTCTAGCTAGAGGAAGAGAGCTCCTATATGAAGAGTTGGCTTTGACACCTCAACAGTCCTTTGATCACATTACATCCATCGATATATCCAAGTGTAGATACTGGGATCAATTGGACAAGATCAACAAGGTGTTCAGGATGAAGATGTATCATTCAAGCGATAATGATGATCATATTCATGGAGAGCCAACTAGTACGCTCGAACAACTTCAGAGTTTCTACAACAAGTCACAACGACTATCTCATTTGGAGATTGATGTTGATGACCTGAGCAACATAACTCAACTACTTCCCTCTGATGGGAACCACAATCATTTATCAATCAGAACGATCACTATTTGTATTCAATGTATTTCATCAGTGATCAGTGCTCAAGTGAATGGATCACTTCAAACTCAACTGGAATCACTCTCTACCCTTCTCCACAAACCAATCTATCAAAACATGGAGAGACTAACAATATTAATCAAAGACAGCGATATTATTCCTCATCAATCGATCAATCTCCTAAGTCCAAATATGGCATCACCAACATTTTCATGGCCATGTCCAATCTCATATGAACAGCCTCCAATTAAATATTAATTTATTATTAATATTATTAGTATTATTTACATTGATTGATTTTTCAATGACTTGAAAAAGGACCAGATGTTCAAAAAACACATCATTCGCGAAAAGAATCAAAGATGTCAACACAACAGATAATGAATAACTCAAGGACAACAGTATTACACTTGTATAGACAGTTGATATACTATTCAAAGCTACTGCCCAACATAAATGATCAAAAGACAAAGATAAATGAGATACAAACAAAGTTCAGACAAAACAAGAATCTAACAAACATCACAGAGATAACCGATTGTTGTAAAGGTATTGATTGATCGAATGATTGAATGATTGAATGATTGATTACATTGCAATGTATTGTCTAACAACAAACAACTTGATATGATATGATAGATGCTGAAAAGAAGTTAAAGTTCTTAAAGGTGATTGCTCCTAGGGCACCAGGACAACAACAGGGCATTGCAGGAAAGTATACGATGGAAGATGGCAAGCTGGTAGATAGTCAACAGAAGGAAAAGGAGAAGAGAATGTATAAAGATCAAGGAATTGATATCATGGATTATAGAAGACACTTGCATCTTTTAAACAGACAGCACTTTGGTGGAAGATCTTAAGACGACACATGCATGGTCATCATCACATATACACGTTCGAACTCATTGCAATGCACCTTTAGCAAGCCACTCCAAGCCAAGCCATTCCATGAATCGATCCCATTCAAACCGAACAATGCATCATTGAGTCGGTTGATTGGTTGGTACGAATGGACCTCAATCATACGTTGCACTTAATGCGATATACGAATATAAACATTGGCAACAACGAACACTACACCTCCATTTATAATCAATCAACTTTGTTCTTATAAAGGACTATTGTTGGTATTTCTGGCTAATCACAACTGACTACCTATGCGACACTGACTGACTTCACTTAACTGCATTGTACACTCTATCCCCATTCCTACTTTTTAAGAGATGGATTAATGGAGAGATGGATGGACTAATGTAGTTGTTGGCATCAATCACAAGTATGCTCAATGATTCATTCATTCATTCATCCACTGCACAGATGACTATCACATGATGATAATGGTAGTGGGGTTGTTACCAACCTGTCACCTATCACTCTCAATCTGAATCCACAGTTGATTGCAGTCAGGTGGCCACCAGACATATATACAATGCATTTTAAGATCTCAACAACCCCTACCCTTTATGATCTTGAACTGAACTGGCCATTCCATTTGGATATTCATACTCTCTGATTATGTGTATGATACTTAATGTCTGTTTGATTGAACCGACAATGTTTCCTAATTGGTACATCAACTTTGGAAATGAACCAATCAATCAACTTGGATTGTTTGTTTGTGTTTGTGAACACCGCCTGGTACAAACACATTTATGGAGTTGAGTTGAGACTGGAAGACAGGCTGGCTGGATAACAATGTGATCACACCTGACTGATTGGATGGACGTCCGTCGATACATATTCATATATACGTATGAGTGAACAACAACAATAACCCCGAACCACACCACTCTCAACACTCATCGTTAAGGCAATCACATGATTAGTGTGTGTGGTGTGAGTGTGATTGATCATGTTGTCTGGAATCAACCATCTTCAAGGGGGATCAATATGGCCTGTGACGTCTTCATTAGAACCATGTGACATATCTAAGTGCATCACCATCCATCCACTCACCCTCCCTCCTTTCCCTTTCTTCACCCACAGATGCTGCAGCATTGTATTCGAGTACTGTCTTTGATGTTGCTGCTACTGTCTCTGTCTCTATCACCTGACAAGTGAGTCAAGTCAGAGTAGGAAGACAGTGACAATCAGACTGTATATGTATATGTATGTACCTGACATATGACCGTTTTAATAATACAAACTCTATTTATGTACACTCACTCACACCTTCCTTTTCTTCTGGAAATCCAAGTATGACCACCTGATTGCCACCTGTCCTTCCCTTTCTTCTTTGATGATGGTGATGGTAAAGGTGATGGTGATTGGTGTTGATTGGTGTTCAACACTGTTTCCTTATAACACCCTCAATCAATCAATCACTTACACCACTCACTTACACGTTAACTCTCTCTCAAGTACAGTCGCTGGGACATCCAAGTATGCCTGGATTTGATATTGGGAGTGATTACTATTTAAGCATCAAATTTGGATCACTTCTAATCAACAATATCAACAATCATCAATAACAACTGTTTGATAAACAATATACACTTATTACAACTATAATATCGACACCAGTGTTACCGCCGATCAATCAAATATTTAGTTCCACCTACAATCCAGAAATCCTTAATCAATCAATAATATTTATTTAACTTTATAACTTTAACCTTATAATTCCAATCAATAATATACATTAACAATGTTGTTCAAGAACCTTTCTAAAATGTCCATGTCTGGATCATCTTCATCAATATCAATCCAGAATTCCCAAGTTGGAAGCAGCAGTAGTCAAAGCACTTACCAATCATCAAATACCACAGCCGGTGGTATCTGGTACCAACCAAAGACCTTTGCCGTCGGCCCAAGATACTTCGAGCCATAAGAGTCCAAATAATCAATTATTACCTTACTTCCTCGTGTCGACACGTTCAATCTTAATATTAATTTATGTACATACAAAACAAACCAATACCAATTGCAATCATCCTAGACAAGGAAATAAATGTTCGAGTATCTATTATTATTCTTTAATTATTACCTAAATGTACATTAATTTGAATTGGTCTTTATTACAATTTAGTCCTAAGTCATGTTACTAAAGTTATAACCACTAATCAATCAATCATTGTAACCTTGATATATGATTAATCATAGGGAGTCTATACCCTTGCAGACCACTTCAACTTTCAGTCAATCAATCACATGTAATATTGGACAATCTACCAATCCAACACAACACTCTCATTCATCATCACTAATCATCATTTACCACAAGTTTCCAGGACAACTGGAAATTGGTTGATACACCACACACGACACATCCATCAATCATTCACTCATTCACATTCTACATTGTTAATAACATACAACCACACCGATATAATGATGAGGGGGAGAGTAAGTAAGTAGAACTAATAATAACTAGTTGTTGTAATACTGGAAACTTCCTTGTATTCGCTTGTCTAAAGCGCGCTCAATAGATGGTGACCATTCTGACTCCACCAAAGTCACCGATGCTGTGTGGAAGATGATCCTTGGGACATGCGATGAACATGAAGTTCTTGGGCACCTTGAGCAACAGTGAGATTTTCTCAATGACCGATGGGTTGAAGTCGGCTTTGACCGTGATCAAGTCGATCCTGATCTTGGGATAGATCTTGTCCATGATGGTGACATGCTCGGTCATGTTCTCGGTGGCCACATCGCCTGTGTAGCAGTGAATGATACGCACCCAATTGGTCTGTTCGTTCTCTCTGATGTAGAGAATGGCCTTGTTCAGATAGGCCAGGTCATCCTTGGAGGCAAAGAAGACTATGGGCTGCGAGTTGATCGTGTTGATGGTCAGACTGAGGCTGGCGGTGATGCGAGCCCGCAGCTTGGGGAATGGTGAAAACAGCATCTGGGTGAAGTACATCAGCACCTTGAGTAGCTTGGCGCGGATGAACATGATGAGGATGACGGACGCCATCACCAGGAAGTAGACGGCAAAGTATGCCACGCTAGATGGATCGCCAATGATGTTGGCAACGAGTGCAGCCAGCACAAACATGATGGCCAGGGTCACGCCCCACCACGGCGAAATGATATCACGTTTCAGACTGGATCGCTTGTACTTGAGCAACATGTTGCCCAGACCAAAGAGCGACATGACACCAAGGAAGGCTATGGTGTAGACGCCTGTGAGTACGCGAGTGTCAAAGTCCGCCAGGACAAAGAGTGATGTGCACACTACAAAGAATGTGAGGATGATGAAGTGATTGGTCTTGCGGCACGAGTTCTCTTGCAGCAGGAACTGGGGCAGGCAGCGATCGAGCGCCATACGTCTGATAAGTCCAATGACGCCCACGTAACTGGTGATGACCGAGCCCGAGAGCACGGCCACGGCGTCGATGCCTACCCACAGGCGGAACCACTGTCCAAAGATCTTCTCGGCCAAGTTGGCCAGCACTCCTCCGGTGGGGTCGCTGACAATGAAACAGGTGTGCATGAAGCACAGGTTGAGGAAGCCAATCAATGGGTTGAAGAATGTAACGATGGCCCACATGTTGCGCAGAGTCTTGGGGAACACGCCTGGCTCCTGTTGCTCGATAAAGTTGGACGACGTCTCGAATCCTGTCACTCCAAGCATGGCGGCGCCAAAGCCAAAGTAGATGTTGTAGGCAAAGTTGTGGCCTAGGTACTTTTCCTGCGACACCTGGCAGCCCTCAAACGATGTGGGCGTGTTCTGTGTGTTCCAGTTGCTCGACAGCACTGACCAGTCGTGGCGGTAGAAGAACATGAAGAAACCGCCAAACACGAGCATCAGCAGTGTCACCATGTGGAAGATGAAGATGATGGCGGCCACCACGGCCGACTCGCCAATACCCACCAGGTTGAGACAGGCAAACAATGCCAACAGCACGATGGTCGAGTAGTGGTCCGAGACCGAGGGCACGAGGCCGTTGAAGTAGTCCATGGCACTGTAGGCCGAAACCACAGCTGTGGCAATGTATGAGATCATGGTGAGTGCTGCTGCCAGTGATGCCAGCTGCTTGGTCGTCGTGTTTAGCAACACGTTGTAGGCGCCACCGTTCAATGGCAGTGCACTGCCCACCTCGCCATAAACCTTCCTAAACAGATACAATACAATGCATACCATCATCAATGAGAATGGTGCATATATGCCAGCGAACTGCGTGCAGCTTGCTGATGTGTAAAAGATGCTAGATGTGATCTACATGTTTGATTGATTGATTGAGTGAGTGAGTAAACGAGTGATGAGTGTGTGGTATGGTTCCAAGATGGTGTTTGAATGAATGATGGTGATAAGTGAATGAGATGGTTCCAGGCTGGTGTTGGAGTGATTGATTGATCGTTTGATCGATTAATTGAATGAATGGTCGTAGAGGGTAAGGCCGAGGGTCGAGGGTTGAGGGTATGTGATGAGGTCGCCGTCTTGGGTTCGTGAGTCTAGGTTGTTGGGGTTATATTTACATCGTTTCCACAGATGGCTGTGGCAAGTAGTTGACCAATTTTATGCTCGCCATGCGTCGAAATCTTCTTTAGCTGAGATGGAGGTACTTCACTGAGGTCATAGTTCATGCTTGTCGAGCCCCTTCCGCTCTCCTCATCCTTTGGCATCGACATATTCTGTTGTGACATTGCCGGTTCTGATACCGGTGATATTTCATCTTGACTACCCATATTGAATGCTATTGTTCATTTCATTTCAATGATTGATCGATCGTCAGCCAAGGACTTGTGTTTGCAGTGAAGGGATCCAAAGTCACATACCATCGTTGACATTCAATGTGGAATGTGTTCCATGACCTGGATATAGGAAACTATATATCTTCTGACGACTACTGTAATCGTCAAGTAAAGGTGATTGTTCATCACTTGGTGACTTTCCCATATTTATCTAATATATAAATGATAATAAGTTAAAGAGAGAGATACGTATGAATGGATCTGGATAATTCAATGCGAAGAAAGTTACTTGTAACTAGATGATGGATGGTAAGGGCGCCTCTCTCTTTCTCCCACTCACTCATTCAATCATAAACACACACATACATCACAATGACCCACTCACATTCTCTAATTCAAACAAACATACACAATCAATCAGATTCTTTCAAGCCCGAACCCCAAAAAAGTGGACTTTGAAGTTTGATTCAAAAAATTGACGCCCAGGTCCTCTTAACACCTAGTTGATCAACTTTTCAAACTCTTGAATGTCAATGTTCGCTTGCCCAGTCAAAAATCAGCAAATAGATGGGTTTTGGATGCCACCTGGCCCCGGTACATCGTTGTTATTGTACAAGGGTTCTTGCCGAAGACGAAGAACCTCACTCTCACTCTCTCACTATCACACAGTTAAAGAATGTTTAATGACATTAGCAAGCTACTCTCGCCACTACTCGAGTCGGTAGTGACTGGCAAGTAAGCCTTCATAAAGGTGTGGTCCATCACTAGGATGAACACACTGGCCAATGTAATTCCAAGTGTAACCAATAGTGCTGCGTAGTTAATACAGACCTCGCGGTCCTCATTCGGTATCCTCTTGTCGTGCAGGATCAGGTAGAATACATTGACATATGATGCACCTCCAAGCAGGCCACAATAGAACATCAGGACAAACAGTACCCAAATTGAACTGATCATCTTATACTGTTGGATTGATGGATGGATGGATGGTAAGAGATATGTCACGTGATCAGATAGGTATGTCACGTGATCGGATTTGTATGTGATCACGTGACCGGTTTCCATAGAAACTTACCCTTCCTTGGAGTAACCAGAGAGCCATGTTGATGCCTTGGAGTACAGTGATGACTCCAATGCGCTTGATCTTGACTAGTTGTAGTGAGGAACGGGAGAGTAGTACACCAAATTGATAACAGAAGCTGAGGATGGGGTAGGCATTCTCGTTGAACCAATCGCCTTTGAGTGATCGCACGGCCAAGTCGGCGCCACCAACCGAGGCCACATACTCAAAGAAGTAGACCAACATTAGGTTGATAGCATTCCACCATACTAGACGTGCACAACGGATGTATCTTTGTTTCTTTGTTTCGCCTGGTGGTCCGACTTCTGGTCGGATCATGCTGTCCATGTCGTCCTGTGTTGGAATCTGGCCTTGGTCGTCATTTGCTGTGTTGACCAATTCCTCATTGAGTTCCTCATAATGCAGAGGTGTGTCCTCCGAGAGCAATGCATCAGTCTTGGTGCGTGGTATCTTGATTCCCAAGAAGAAGAGCAATCCATATATAGCAATTGTTGGGAGAATGATCAAGAATATTGTCCTGTGATTAGATTGATTGATTGATTGGTGGGGTGGGGATGGAGAGGTGTCAGTCCAGGATCACGTGATCAGTTATGTGATCAGTCAGGTGATCAGTCACATGATCGGGAGACATACTGATTTTCCAGATGTGCCAGACCGCTGAGTGCAATGTAAAAGAGTGATCCACTGACACCAGCCACTCCAGTGCCAGACGACCATCCATTGACCATCTCTGATGGGAATTGTTTCAGATAGACAAGAAGTACACTCTCGCCAAATGATGAACCTATACCAATCAATGATATACATGCCAGACAGAACCAAAAGTTGACATAAACAGACATGGCCACACCAACCAATCCAGTTGCCATTATCACCACATTGAAAGTAATCTTTGCTCTTGTGCTAATCTTCTCCAATACGAATGTGTTGAGCACTAAAGTCATCATTGATGGATGTGTGAGGCAAAGGTGAGCGTTAGGGTTAGGGGAAGGGCGAGTTAGGTCAAGACTTTGATGAATAATACTTCTGGCGACGAATCCAAATGCTATATTGGCCCTGTTTGACATGTGAGTTGACATGTGTTAGGCAAGTGATGGCCTCATTATATTCATTCCGTTCATTCATAATCATACCATAGGATGAGACCGATGTTCTTTGAGTTGTGGAAGAACTCAGCCAGACTTTGACCAGCAGCATTAACAACACAATATGAGAAGTTGTTTATGTTTCCCATAAAGTGAAAGGATGCCCAGTTACGAGCGTAGTACCTTTCCTTTGCCATCACTCAATCAAAGTATCTGTATGTGTGATAGGTGTGTATGTATATGTACAGTGTAATAGTAGTAGTAGTAGTATTAGTTGGAGTTGTAGTAAGATAAGAATGAATGAGTGTTGTTTAGACCATTTGCTTCCCTTGATCTGAAGATGGGCACCTTCTTTTTCAGAGTCCTCCGTTGATTTTTGCATAAACTTTTCGTTTTGGTGGTCATCAGCTTTGTCTCTGAACAGAGAACCGAGTCTTCCTTGTTGTGGGGGGTTGAGTGGAAGGGTTCCATCATCGTATGATGGGTGTGTATTCATTTATTGACAAGTAGTGAATGCATGGTTGATGGCGCCAAGCTAAGTAGTCCCAGAGTGTTTGTGTCTGGCTCGCATTGTTGGATAGTGGACTCTTTGAAGTGCAGTTGAATGCGCTCGAAGTCCAAATGATTGATTGATTGATTGGTGGATTGATTGGTGGATTGATATGGATTGAGTTGATCAACATAAACACAGACACTAAGTGAGGAAGATTAAGACTTTGGACATCATCATCATCATACTATCTTATTCAAAACTTGATGGCCTTTGGTGTCTCCCAGGTAAAGTCTGGATCGTTACGACCAAAGTGACCGCCAGAGGCAGTCTTGTTGTAGATTGGCCTCAGAAGGTGGAGATCGCGCGACAGGACACCAGGACGCAGGTCAAAGTTGTTGTTGACAATCTGCAGGATCTCAGAGTCTGAACGCTTGCCAGTGCCGTATGTGTCGACGTAGACAGAGAGTGGAGTGGCGACACCGATGGCGTAGGACACCTGCACCAACACACGGTCAGCAAGACCGGCGGCGACCAAGGACTTGGCGATCCAGCGAGCGGCGTAAGCACCTGAACGGTCAACCTTGGATGGGTCCTTGCCAGAGAAGGCACCACCTCCGTGGGCACCCCAGCCACCGTATGAGTCGATGATGATCTTACGACCGGTCAGACCGGCGTCTCCCTGTGGACCTCCAATGACGAAACGTCCGGATGGGTTGAGATGGTAGATGGTGCGGTCGTCCAAGTACTTGGCGGGGATGACGGCCTTGATCACCTTCTCCTTGAGGTCAGAGCGGATCTGCTCGTTGGTGACTTGCTCGTCGTGCTGGGTCGAGATGACGATGGTGTGCACACGTAGTGGAACCATGCGACCGTCCTCGTTGGAGTACTCGACGGTGACCTGGGTCTTGGCGTCTGGGCGGGCCCATGGAAGGGTGCCGTCCTTTCTTAGCTCAGTCAGCTTGGTGACCAGCTCGCTGGCAAGGGCATGGGTCAGTGGCATGAAGGTTGGGGTCTCGTTGGTGGCATAGCCAAACATGTGTCCCTGGTCACCGGCACCAATATCCTCTGGGTTCTTGTTGATGTGCACACCCTGAGCAATGTCTGGTGACTGCTGCTCGATGGCCACCAACACGTTGCAGGTCTTGTAGTCGAATCCCTTGGAGGAGTCATCGAAACCGATCTTCTTGATGGTGTCACGGACGACCTTTTGGTAATCAATCACAGCCTTTGTTGTGATCTCACCAAAGACCATAATCAAACCAGTCTTGGCGCATGTCTCTGAGTTGATTTGAATTGATGGCAACATGTAAGTTGAAGTGTACTATTATAGTTGGCTGAGCTGACTATCTACATACCACAAGCAACCTTGGAGTATGGGTCTTGGGCCAAACAGGCATCGAGAACGGCGTCTGACACTTGGTCACAAATCTTGTCTGGATGTCCCTCCGAGACAGACTCTGAGGTGAACAATATGGATGAAGGGGTTGGCATCATTGGGTATTGGCTAATAGGCTGGTATATGTATATGTTGGTTGACTTGGACCTGGAGGGTGGGGGTACTGGCTGACTGGCTGTGGCTGACTGCTAAGCTGCTGCTGCTACAACTACTACTACTCTTTATTAGAGATATGAAGAGAGAGATAAGAAAGGATGTAAGAGATAATTAAGGTGAATTGTAATTAACTTTCAACATCTTAGTTGACCTCTATTTATAAGGGTCGGGTAGGGCAGTGTAGAGCAAGGTACTTGACTTGGGAGCATGTCAGTTACCAAGGCATTGGCTAAGTTACGCCCTACCTCGCTCACTCACTCACTGACTAGCTTGCTTGGGCTGGGATCTCTGTATCTGCAGGAGGCCAGGCAAGGCAGCATCCATGTTGCCACTGACTGACCGACTCACCAATGCATGTCGAGTGAAGTGGTGAATGATGAATGATGGAGAAGACAAGTGTGTGGTGGGGTCATGGTGTTCGATTGGTTCCAGTTTTGGGGAAGATGGTTGCTCCCGCCCGTCAATGGTGATGGGCTTCGTCCTTAATGAGCACGTGTTATTGATTGCTTCCATTCATCAATTGAATAGATTGATTGCAAAGATACAAAGCACAAAGTCAACATTGATGAACATTTATAGATGGACGGTTCTTCTGAAGATATTATTTGATTAAAAATTTTATAATACCGGTAGCGAATGAATCCCACCTTTCTTTAGTGTTGGGAACTCTGTCTCCTTCTTTCGTTTTATCTCATGCATGACTCATTCATTACTGTTTGTTGTTGTTGTTGCATTGGATGGATGGTAGCAGTATTGATGTTTGAGTATTGTGATCATTTGAAGTTTGCCAATTATCTACATGTAATAGTAGAGATAAATAATAATAATATAATAAATAACAAACATTCATTCATACATAAAGTCATAGTCTTATTAGTTAGTTATTTAGTTTGAAACAGGTACCTTTGATACTATGATTGATGTCTCTCAACAATAACAACTGAGTGGTGTTCTATCTCAAAGTCTTGAGTTCCTGTGATTCACCACGCACACACCACGATGTTGTTGTTCAACATGTTGTCGGGGGATAGTCAAGTCACTTCTCTCCACTCCAACACACACACAGACAGACAGACAATCAATCACACACAAATAATCAAACAATAGAGATAAATAGAGATAGATAGAATATTAGAAGGTGGTGTGTGTACGTAAAGTGAAAGTTAGACGAGTTGACATCATCCTTTGTCCTCCTAACATTAGAAGTTGCACCTTAATATACATTCATTCATTCTTTCGACAGTCGTCATCATCATAGTGCTATACGACATTATCGATAGCAACATCATAATCACTTCGTCAACTTGATGATAATATTATTTGTTGACTATCTCTCTAATCAAATCAAACTTATTAATCAACATAACAAACTTAGTTAGTTAGTTGGGAGATAGAGGTTGGTCATGGGTGCACAGCAATCAATATTCTATTCAAGTGCTGGTGCTGGAAACAACAACAACAACAGTAACAATAACAATGGTAACAACAGCAGTGATAACACAATTTCTGGAGAAAACAACAACAATAACAACAATAATAGCTATGAAAGAATTGTTCATAATCAAACAAGATTACCAGATCATTTGCTTAGGGAGATACTGGCATGTCTTTGTTTGGCTACAACTAGTAAGCATCAGATTGCCAATCAACTCGAAATGTCACTGGTTTGCACTTATTGGATGCTACACATCGTTCCTAGAGCCACTAAACATGTTACAGTTGGCTCGAATCAAACTGCCTTCTTACGTCGATTCCCTATACTACTCAAACAACTATCAAACAACATCTCTGCCACTGCCTGTCCCGAACAACAACAATACACTCAACACTACAACGTCAACGATGAGCTACAGCTGACAAAGTTGACTATTATCTTCTCTGGTGACGATAATGATACTGCTAGCAACGCCAAAGAGGACCCTAAGGGTGTCCAGTTGCTGAAACGAATGTTCATGTCACAGGCAGACAAGGTCTCGCTGTCAGACTCCAAGTTGCCGTGGTTACAAGCCTACAGTCCACTGCTAGCGAAGCACTGGGGCCATTGCCACTCACTCTCACTGTTCAACCTGCCGCCTTGGGAGAACCTTTCACATCTCATATCATGCCAGACCAATGTTCGAACATTGCGCGTTGTTGCCATGCACAACATAATGCCACAGTTTGTCAATGTGTTGTACAAGGCCAAGTCGATAGTCAACGTCTCATTCAGCTCGTACCACGTAGACCTGTCACACAACTCTGAGTACAGTAACTGCAGTGTCCCTCATCACGTCCAGCATCTCAAGCTACAACCATTCCATCGATTCTCTGGTAATGCAGCCCTGCCCAATCTTGTCAAGTTGCAGCTGACCGTGTCGCGAGACCATGAGTCCCACGGCCTCAAACCCGATTTCTTTAGACTGATGCCCAACATCACCGACCTCACACTGATCGATGCAAACTTTATCAATCCAATTGCGTCAGATGGAACAAGCCAAGCATGTATACTCGCTGGCCTACCCAATCTCAAGCGACTATCACTCTCTGCAATATACAAGTCAACACAAGCCAGTGACAGGACACAGGAAGCATTGATGATCGATAACGTTAGAGCAGTATCAAAGCATTTGGAGATATTGAAGTTGAAGCAATACATTGTCGACGACCTCTCACAGTGGACGCTGTTACTGGACCAAATACCACGACTTAGACAACTGACTTACACAAGCTCAGTGGACGCCGCCAATCTATCACTGCTGGCATACATGGAGAGTAGTAACTGCGGTGCGCCACTGATCAAACTGAAGCTACAGACACCGAGCCACAATACCAATCTCTGTCGATTCATCGAGGCCAATCAAACGATCAAACATCTCACACTCACAATGTTCCAACAGCGAGATATAAAGAATGTACTGGAGAGTGTCAAGAAGAACCAGACCCTACACACCGTTCAAGTGGACTACATGGACATCCGTCTGTTGGAGAGTGATGGCAGGATAATTTCCAAACGAACTGTATATAACAAGGTCACCAATCAATCAGTGCTCAAGCTTAAGTACCTCGAGCAATTGCTTTGCCAACATACAGCTCAATTAGTGGATGTACACTGATCAGTTGATCGGTCACTCAATCAGAGTTGTTGTGCTGGGGAAAATAAAGAACTTCCCATTCATCAAAAAGACAGGGCATGTCCCAGATCGGAGATCTGCATGTATCCTCATCTTGATCGGTGTTCAGTGCGCTGTCCATTTTGATCAACAAAAGTGGGGGTATTAGTGTGGGTCCAAAGTGTGGTGTGTTGACGAATGTGATCACACACTATTATTGAGCTACACCTTCAACAAGTCAATCATTCATTCATTCTCTAATCATTTATATGTGTATATTGTATATATTATAATCAATTATTTAATCAACATTTTAGCGAACGACGCCACAATCAATACATCAATCACTTCAATCAGATCAGATCATACTAGAATAATAATACATCAAAGATAGAAAAGGAAAGAATGACTGAACCATCGATGGACATTATAAACACATACTCCAACACAACGATACCAGGCTCGTTGGCAGAGTTGATGGACAATCATGGAAAACTACAACAGATCTCTGCTTATTGTAAATCAGCATATGGCGGCGCAGAGGCCGCTCAAATATACGATCAGACACAGAACTATGCAAAGAATGCACTGCTCAATGTAGCCTATCACATCCAGACCATTGGCTCCCATCTCACCACCCTTCTCCAACTGCAAGCCAACGAGGTCGACAAGCTAGAGATACAAATCAAGCATCTCAATCAGGTATGAATGATTGATTGAATGATCGAATGATCGAATGATCGAATGATTGATTGACTGACCATAACTGCATCAATAGAGAGTTGATATGATTTACGAGACAACAGGTGTCGATGTGTTCAAGAATGAGTCAGCGACAAAGGCGTATAAGAGCACGACAAAGCAGAGATTGATCGAGAGTGAGGATATTAGGGCGCCACCAAAGTTTGTGAGGAAGCAGGTGTCATACTCAATTGGCACTGATTCGCCAGTGATGAACGCCTCGCACAACACACCATCACCAGCGCAGCAGACACCACTGAGCTCCAACCCATCAACACCAAACCAGACGTCAACACCCTACCAATCACCAGGCTACCATACGCCACCTTCAATCCCAACGAGCAAACGCCCAACTATGATGGCGCCGGGCCCTGCCCCAGCGCTCTCTGTGCCATCCATCCCCTCGCGTCCACCCATGATGAATGGCCGCTCGCCATCAGTGACCACCCCGCCACTCCACTCGTCCATAACTTCCAGCCAAGACCTTCCACCTCCACCATCAGCTTCGTTCGATCTTCCACCTCCTCCACCTGCCATGTACGACCTTCCACCACCTCCTCCCGCCATGTACGACCTCCCACCACCTCCACCTCAGTAGACGTGTATCTGGCCAGGCCAGGTAACGCGGCGTAACCATGTCCAATGATCATTAAACACTCATTCAATCATTCTCATTCAATCATTCTCATTCGATCAATCAGTCTATTTAATCAATCGATAGATGTTCCTCTTGAATCCAGCGAACCTTACACCATCGGGAGTCTGTAGTTCTTCGCAAGATTTGAATCCAACTACATTGGTAAGGTGCTCAATGAACTGTTCAGGCTTGAACTGAATGGCCGAGTAGTTCTGTTTGATGGCCTGATTGATTGAATGGTTGAGAGTTAGTGATTGATCATGATAGTTGAACGAACAAACAAACAAAGGAATAAACATACAGGTGATAGTTTTTGTCTTCTCTTGTATCCTTGGAACTCTTGTGGCTCCATGATGAAGGAGCCTCCAGGCTTGAGCATTCTGTAGACCTTGTTGAAGAATGATTTGATGCCATTGTCACCCCAATTCAGATGTAGCCACTTGGTGACACTGAGCGCCAGGATGACATCTAGTGAGTTGTCGCGATCGAATGAAGAGTCTGCCATGATGTTGTGATGAATGAATGATATGTTATGAGGGAATTGTCTTGGCAGCTTTTGTGTCGGTGCAGTCGCGGTCGCTGTCGTAGTCGTCGTTGGTTTGATGTATTTGAATGATATTGGGACAAAGTCTGTGTCACTTGTGTTGATGACATTACTGTTGCCATTGCCGTTGCCATTGTCATTGCCATTGGTGTGTCCATTCGTGGATGTAGTAGTGGATGTTGTCTCCGATGTTGTCGACGTCGATGTCGAAGATGTGTCTGAGGTCTCCTGAGTTATCGCCTGTGACTTGGTGCCATGATGTGAGGAGGATGGCTTGGTGCCCAGTGCCGTCTGCATTGTCTTTAGATTCCTAACGGCATCCTTGATGAGCTGATGATCAATGTCAATACCCTTGATATGATCACATTGATAGTCTCTGGCAATCTTTAGTGTGACCAGACCACTGTTGCAGCCAACGTCCAAACACATCTTATTATAGAACAACTCCTTTGGCAACACTGACATTCTTGGGTCCTCCTTATCCTTCTCAATTCTATAATCATAGTATCTCCTATAGTTTCCATAAATGAAATCTCCTTTATACTTGTTATTCTTCTTCTTCTTTTGTTGCTGATCCTGTTGTTTCTCCTCTGTTGTGTTGTTCGTCGATGATGTCGATGATATTGATGTTGTTGTAGATGTCGTCTTATTCTTCTTATTTGTGTTTGTGTTATTCTTTGATTGAGTGATATCACCTTTATCATTCTCCTCAGTTGTCTTTCTCTTCAAAGTAGTTGATGTAGTTGTTGAGGTTGTTGAAGTTGTTGAAGTGTCATCAACATCATTCATTGTACAATCTTTTGTTGTTGATGTATCATTGTTATTCATTATATATTGTATCTCTATCTCTATCTCTATCTTTATCTCTACAACGAGTAATCCAGGAAATGAAATTAAAGTTGGAAACGACCGAAAGTTGTGAACTTTGACAATGGTTGTGTGCGACTCACGACACTTCTTCAAACAAATAAACTCAAAGCCAAAGAGATACACAAAGAGATATACATGTATGAATGAATGTAGTATGTACATGGGTATTATTATAAATGAATGAATGAATGATATGGATGATAGATGATGAATTAGGATACGATATCTAAAGAGTCATAGGTGTACTGCTTGACAGACTGTGCAAAGTCAACAGCAGCACTGGTACTCGTGAAGATATGTTCCTTACTAATTCGTTTGGTGAAGCCAGAACGTTGCATAACTCGGTGGATGGCCGGACGTAGATCGGACCACAGGACGAGTATGCCATTCGATTCAAAGTGATCGAGCATGTCACTCAACACATCGAGTGCAGTCGAGTCCATCGAACTGACGTTGACCGCGTCGATCACAATGGTGTGGACCGGGCCGCGTCCATTGATGGGCGCCGCGTCGTCCGTGCTGCTCATAATGGCGACCACCTTGGTGCGGAAGTGATTGATCGTGTAGTAGGTCATGCGCGAGTCGAATCGAATGATCATGATGCCAGGGTAGACGAGCGCGTTGGGATAGTGCTTGATGCTGCGGAACACCAGAGTGCCGGGGATGCGGCCCAGTATGACGAGGTTGGGTCGCGACGAGAAGAAGATGATCTGGAGAATTGAGATGACGAATGCGATGATGATGCCCGTCTCGGAGCCCAGCAGCAGTGTCAGGACAAACACGATCAGCAGTTGGAAGAAGCCAATGTACTCTCCCTTGCGATATAGTTCGATCGTCTCGTGCACTTCGATCAATGTTATGGCCGCGCCAATGACGATTGCCGACAGGATGCAGAGTGGCGTGTAGCGGAAGACCTGTGTGAGCAGCAGCAGCACAACCATGACGATCAGGCCGCTGAGGATTGAGGTGAGTGGCGACTTGGACTGTGTTTGGAAGGCGACGGCCGAGCGCGAGAATGAGCCAGTCGTGTTGAAACCTGTAAACACTGATCCCATGATATTACACATGCCCAGTGCCACTAGTTCTTGACTACTGTTGATCTGATACTTGCGGTAGGCGCAGAACTTCTTGCCCACCGACACTGTCTCTACAAAGCCCAATATAGCAATGATCGATGCTCCAACTATCATGCTGGATATCCTCTCCAAAGTCAAAGGCACAAGTCTAGGCCTTGGCAAGCCCGACGGTATAGCATTGACAACCTTGATTCCAAGTCTCTGAATTGATTGGCAAGTGGCCAAGTATTGTGTGAGGGCGAGGGTTAGGTCAAGGTCAATGCTATTCCTGGAGGAGGGACATGGGATACTTACACCTTCGACATTGGCGAGATATGATATTAGAGTGCCAAGGATAAGGATGATGATTGGAGTCGGGATCTTGTATCTTAGACGCTTGTTGACGTATTTGGAACCGATGAGGATGGCCAGACTGACACTGCCCATCAACACCGTCCATCCATTGATGGTATGAGCATAATGTACAATACCCTCACCATACTCTATGATATTGGCGGCATTTGCTGGTATTGTGATGGCAGTGAAGTTCTTGATCTGGCTCAACATGATGAGCACGGATCCAGCCTGTACGAATCCAAGTAGAATAGGATTGCTCAACAATGTCTCAATCAAGAATCCAACTCTAAACAATCCCATTACCAACATGATCAGACCTGTCATCAGTGCCAGGCATGATGCCTCCACTATATATTCATCGCTTCCTCTCGCATGATGGACGATCCTTTGAGTTTGATTGATTGATTGATTGGAATGATTCCAGGCCATGATTGAAAAAGTGAGTGATTGGAATTATTGGAGTGATTCCAGATCATCATGATTGATTGATTGATTGAGTGAATTAGTGTTTGGATCATTGATTGGAATGGTTCCAGGTCATGATTGAATGATCGAACTTACGTTGGAATTAGAAGGGACACCATGGCTACAGGCCCTACTTGGATCTCGTTCGATGTTCCAAAGATTCCATAGACGATGGGTGAGACGAATGCAGAGTAGAGTCCATAGATTGGTGGAAGGCCAGCAAGGATGGCATAGGCCATAGCCTGTGGAATGAGCATGAATCCAATGGTTAAAGCAGCAATCACATCATCTTTGAGATAGTGTAGTTTGTACTTTCTGACCCAAACCATCACTGGTATGAGTGAGAGTACAATCTCTGTGAGTGTATGACTGTTCTTGGCATTGATCGCTTGTTGTTTGATTATAGAGAATAGGTCCATCGGGGACTCCTTGGCCTGTTTGAACACAGGTCTATATCTCTCATTTGGTTTGCTGTCCATCGGTTGTTCAGGTGACTTGCGCATCAACTTTAACAATCCAATATGTTGATGATATTGATTATCGAATCGATCGAATAGTTCTATGTTTGATCAAACATGTGAGTGAGTGTGAGCGCGTGGATGGGGGTGGAATGATTCCAGCCTCGACCAATCAATCAATCAATCATACCTTGGAAACAATTATCTACAAAGGAGTTGAAACTTGTGGCGATGAGTTGGTCGACTAGGGATGAGTCGTGCACTGATGAGAGGCTGAAGTAGAGTTGTTCGCGATATCGATAGTTCATCTTCCACAGCTTCTTGACGTATGATTGAAGTAGTTCTTGGTTCTCAGGCTTGGACAGTACCGCTACACGCAGATTCTCATCCTCACTTGACTTGTTGGCAATGTTTGAAGTGGTGGCACCCAGTAAGAATGGATTTGTATCAGAGTCTGTGTCCAAGTCCTCATCACTATCTTCTTCAGTTCCACTATTGTTGTTATTGTTGTCCTTGCCACTGTTACTGTTATCCTTGTTATAGTTGTGATTGATCTTGTTTTTTGGCAAGAACTGACGCTGAGAGTTGTCCGTGCCACTGTTCTCACTCCTGTCTGGTCCAAACATCGCACCTTGTCCTTCAATGTTTGTTGACGCATTGATGTCGGCAACACCATTATTGTTGTCATTTGTATAGAAGTACTTCTGAATGCTATCATCACGGTCTGATGTGGCACCGGACAACATCAAGGACTCGACTACTTCGGTGAAGTAATGAACGGCCTCTTCAAATCTTCGTTTGATCCTTGTGTTTAACTCTGGTTCTATATGTTCTGTGTTTGATCCGAAGCCTCCTGGACCACCCTTTTGAGGCTGGCCCTTTCCATCATCTGACGATTCTGCCAATGATGTCATCATGACCTCCTCCTCTTCGTTCAAACCTTTATACATTGTTAATGGTTGTTGTAGTTGTACATGTATATGAGTTAGTTAGTTATATGATTGAATGGTTGAATGGTTGATCGAATGATTGAATGATGAATCTGAAAGTGTAAAGTAAAGGAAGACAAGTGTTTTGGGGATAGGCATGAGTCGTTTGTCGTGTGAGTGTGGTGTGTGTTGTGGGGTGTCGGGTGTCGGGTGATCATCCAATCAATAATCAACAACCCACACTCGACTTGGTTCCCTTTGCCATTAAAATAAAATAAAAAAAAGGTTATATTGATCATGATACATTACTTATATTACAACAATCTAAATATTATCTGTATATCTATGATTATTCAATCAATCAAACAATCAATCTAATACGACCTCTAGCTCCATCACCATCACTTGGAGCTCAATGTTCTCAAGATCCCTTCTTCCATCACGATGGACCAACTTTAAATTTTATTGGGTCGTTGGACCAACACCATCAACAATTGGTCGATGGGCATGTGTGATCAGATTGGTCCTACGTCCACAAAACTTTTCAAACGAACGTTCCTAATTGGTCCATCATTGTAAAGATCTAAACACTTTAATAAAACGAACAACTCCATTCGAACCTTCCATCGCACATTTAACCAATTGCGACTTGCAGGCAGCCCTGTGCAAATCAATTGGCAGTTGGTCAACACAGGTACAACGGTGCAAGGATAGAATGATTGAACTTGCCCTATCAATGGCATCCCTTATCATATTATAATAACACTCATTCAATCATTCATTCAATCATTCAATCAATCGATCAATCAATCAAACTTGCTGAATGTATTTTGGACGACTCAGCGCTGGCTGTTGTCGACTTGTAAGACGCACACACTCACATTTCTGCAGGCTTGGCAATGTGGCTCATCGCCTAATCTTTAGTAGAATGGCAGTGAGCAGGATCACTATGATGGCCGAGGTTACTAACACGGACATTTGACTGAGTTCTTTGACTTCCTTCTCGAGATCGCTGTGGATGAACTGGTTGATCACTTTGTCTCTAAGCTTCTTGGACTCGATCTTGTTGATGATCCTCTTCTCGGCCTCCTCTCTAGCCTCATTGATAAACCTATGCTGGAACCAGAATGCGCCCAGTCTCGACTTCATCAACGTTTTCACAGCGTTCAAACTCTCCATCACAATCAACTTCATCTGTTCCACATTCTCATTATGCTTCATCTCTACCTGTTTGGAAAGGAACATCTATGGTGTGGTGCGCGAATGGTCGTATCAGTATTGATTGATTGATGGAGTGAGTGGACGGACATGACACTTACAATCAAGGATGAGTACTCCTCTTTGTAGGCATTGGACTGGCTGAAGTTGGCGAGCTCTGATTGGTAGGCATTGCGGGCTTGGTTGTTGAGACGCTCGAGGTTGTTATCGAGGATCTCATCTTCCATTGGTAGGATGAGCTCACCGGAACCTTTCTTGAAGTTATAGATGATTCTGTTCGATTCCTCCTTGCAACGATCTGTTATCTTGTCCTCATTGTACTTGATGTATGATTCATATAACTCCTTCAATGTCTTTTCCAAGTTGGCCATAAATGCAGGATAATACATCTCATTCTCGGCCACCTCGACCAATGACACATAATATTCTCTACATTGCTCTCTGCACCTTGAGTTGAATGTATCCAACTCTGATGGTGATGCTGGATACACGAACCTTTGATTGAATGATTGAGTGAGTGAGTTAGTAGGTATGTGATCGAGAGAATGATTGAATGAGGGAGCAATACCCTTTCATCTGTTCTTTGTACCTCTCTGAGGTGAGGTGCGTTGACTTGGCTAGCAGACTCTCCATCTGCTCCTTGTTGGTGAGCAGTTTTTGGGACTCCATCAGGCTCATGTCATTCTGTAGTGACTGGAGTCGTTTGGTATATGGCGAGGCGCTGACGAACTTCTTGAGGAGTGACTCATAGTCTTCACTGATTATCTCATTGATGTTATGTATCGCTTGCTTCAACTTGATGGTTGGTAATGGAGTGTCTATCAATGCCAACTTATCCTTGAATGACTTTGTACATTGTATCGCTACATCATCACAATGATCTCTAATCCTATATTGATTCTCTTTCTGGAAATGATCCTGTAGCTCCTTGAGTGATTGCTTTTGTTTCATTGGATGATTAATGAATGACCAAGACATCATCCCCAGAAGATGGGCTTACTTACCTTGAGTTGGACAAGGCCTGGAGTGTAGGCTTCTTCAAGTCCAAAAAGGAGTTGCTTGTATAGTTGGTTGACGAATGATAGGGAGGAGGATTCAAGCTCAGAGTATTGCTTGTCATTGAGTGGAGGCACTTCTTGGAGCACTGGCGCCATCTTCTCTTTGAAAAGGACAAGACTATCTGACAGCGCCAATGATTGTTGTTGCTTGATGAAGCCAACCCATACAGATGGCACTGTTGGGAATGTGTTGCCGTTGGCCACCTCGACCAATAGTTTGATCAATGATCCAATGGCCGGTCCTTGCATCTTTGGCTTGATCGAATGGAATATTGACTTCTTCAAAGTGTTTAGCTCGTCCAGGTAGATTGGACTGAGGTCACCAATCTTGGCCTGATCCAGATGTCGCAGTGTGTTCCTATCGCTTGATGGAATGAATAGAGTGTGGCATTGGATGTCTGGGAAGATCTTGGCAATGGATAGATTTGCATCTGGTTGGTCTCTTGAGTGAGCCTTGAGCAAGTTGTGTAGCCATTGAGTGGCGGTAATCTCGCCAATGTCTTGGAAGAAGTCTTGTACGACCCAAGTCAACGATGGGAACTTGAGTATATCATTCAGAGGAGAATCTGTCTTCAGTTGGGACTTTAACGCAAACAATTGAGTGCGTCTTGCCAGTAGTCTTTTGGCGGGCATGCCTGGTCAGTGATCCTGTGTCGTACTACACTCGCGGCACATTCAATCAATTAATATAACTTACTCCAAGTACTCTAAGGCAGATTGATCAATTATCTTGACAGAGTTGTAAATAAGATGTGATGAGAGTAGGGTTGTGATGGCGAATATCTTGGCTGGATAGTGATGTTAGAATCATTCATTCATTCGGGACTGCAACATTCTCAATATAATGGCAAGGGTACTTACCATCATAGGCTTCGGAAACATTGCTCGAGTAGAATCCTTCAGTATCTATCAGGAGTATGGGATGTCTTTTGCCCTCATATGTGACAACTGTAGGCCATACCCATATACCAAGTGTCTGTGGATGTATGGTTGGACCAACAGTGAATCGATCGGTGGTGTCCATCAACTGGTTGAGCAAGAATGACTTGCCACTGTGGAACGTTCCTACAACGCCCAATATTGAGTAGTTGTCCATCAATTCATTCAATGAGGACAATGCATTCTGATTGATTTGTAATGTTTGGTGTTGCTCATCTGGATATATTAATTGGATTGGTTGTGATACTACCTCTAGAGTAGGTTTCAATCTATCTTGATTGATAGATTGTGAGAGCGGAGAGATAACAAGTAAAAGGAATATCAGAAACAGAGTGTTCTTCATTCTTTGTTCAGGTTTGTTGTTTTGTTTGTATAAATAATAATGTATATATATAATCTCTATTATCTGTATTGTAAGAGTGAATGAATTAAAGAATGAATGATGGAGAGAGATAGAGGGAAGAATAAAGTTGTGCGAGAAGTGTGAAGATCATTGGTTCCGCGAACAAGTTGACGAATGACATCAAAAGACAAGAAAGGAAATGGGGTACCCTGCACTTCACTTGTTTATCACACAGTAACACAAAGAGATACAAAGAGATACAAAGAGATACATAGAGTTGCATAGAGATAGATTATTGCACCAGCATACTTTATTCATTGACTGTGGCCATCACATCATCAGCCTCGGCTCCATCTTGGATTCCAAATCCAGATGGTAGTGTGAGGAGAGACGAACCAGACTCTAGCTTCTTATATTATACTACACTACATTGAAATGTCCATTGATTGATCGCTCATATCTACTATACTATTATCATTCTCTTGTTGTTGATGATGATGATGATGATGTTGATGAAGATAATGATTATCTATCAATGTTGATTGATCATTCTCATTCTCATACTCATTATCATCATTGTCATTGTCTTGGTCGTCGTTGTCATCGTCGTCTCGAGTGATAACAGGTATGTTGGCACTTAGAACTGATTGATTCATGCTGATACATGACATGTCCATTGAGCCATTGTTGGCTCCACTCATCTTGCTTGCTTCCATATCATATATGTCATCATCTTGTGCCAGTGATGAGTTGTTTATCGATGACAATGACTCTGTCGTACCAGAATAGGGCTCAATGTCTGAGATACTGTTCTGTCCAGATGATGATACAGCTGTTGTATCCAATGTACCAATACCAAACAATGATAACACTCGACGCTGTTGTAGCTGCATCTGTATCTGCTGTTGTTGTTGGAGTTGTTGATTGAACTGGAAGTTTGAGGAGGATATACTACTATTCGATTCGATTGAAAGGTCCATTCCATAGTCGCTCGTACTGATGTCTACATCTTGTTGATGATCGAATGATTCTTGATCCTCAACATCTTCGTCATCTTCATCGTCATCCTCATGATGTGCCTCGTCACTGCCCTCTTCGACTTCGTTGTCCTGTCTCGCAAAGAGACCGCCACTCTTGCCTGATGGGTCATCTTTCTTGGTCGTGCCATGTGCACTTGTAGTGACTCCAATGATATGAGTGCCTCGTGATGGATCACCAATATGAGAGAAGGCTGTCATCTTTGCTCTGATATCTGATACACGTCGTTGTTCCTCTCTTTCTATCCAATCCTCCTCTGATATATGATTGTCTACAATAGACTTTGAGTTTGTTGTTGCTAGGGAATGTTCGCGAGATCCAGTACCAACGCCTCTGACCTGTATACCAGAGAGTGAGAATGATCCCAAGCCAATAGATGGATATAGAGTGATGTTCATTCTTCTCTTCCCTTCCTTGCTTTGGTAAGTAGTAATATATCTTTAATTGAAGATAAGCGCGGGGCAATCAGAATGATATCAAATATCTGAAAACTAAGATATAAATGGTCATTTCAATCACTCGTCAAACCACATATCAGATCATACACACAAGAGATGTGTAAGTATGTTTAATGATTGGTTGATTGATCATTACACTGGTACACGGGCACGAGATGGAATGAATAAATTGCGCCTAACAAGATGATACAGAGTCAGGATTGTTACCAAGGCGAACAATGCATTCGAGATGGACACGATGGCAATACTGAATATCTTGCAGGATAGGTAGGGTGTGTATCGGTAGTAGGTCAACGCGGCAGAGCCAAACGATATGGATGGGAAGCAGAATGCCCACCAGCCAAGATGGAACTTCTTCCGGATCTTGCGAGTGCGTCTATACATGATGGTCATCACGGTGACTGCCAGCAACACATTGGCAAAGATCAGACCGTAGATCAGTCGCGTGGCAATTGTCAGATGTCCGAGGATGTTGGAGACGCCAACAAAGCAGACCGATGGGAATGCGACCAGTACCATCTGTGTCGGGATATGATCGCCCGGCAACAGGCCAAATATTTTGTAGTTGATCAACAACATGATCTCGGCCAGCGACACGTATATCGTGCCAAACGCCCAGATCACCCAGGCAAAGGTCGTGTGGCCGAGCTTGGTCGCGACCATCGACCCAATGATGAAGCCCGAACCATTGTAGAAGAAGCAGGGGGCAAGCCGCAGAGGCAGCTTGGCGCGCACCTTAGCCACCAGCTGCACGTAGAGCATCACCATTGAGGCGCACTGGATTGAGAAGGCGATCCAGAACAGCACCTGGGTCATGTGTTTAGCGAACTCATAGTTGACGTCGCTGATCTGGAACAGCGACATGGCCACGATGCACCACAGCGTGACCTGGATCTCATCGTGAATGTCCTTCTTCCACTTGTCGCGATGCAGTACCACTGACGCTGCCTGTAGTGCAACGGCCAGCACCCATAACAATGCGGCAAAGCAGATGATGATCTTGTATATGAGCGCGGGCGTGTAGTATAGCTGGGACATGTTTCGCCACTGCATGCTCAGTGCCGACGTCGACAAGACGATTGAGAATGTGAGTAAAGGTATGTTCCTGGTCCATTTGAGCACGCGGAAGTCGAGTGGCATGTCGCTATAATGTGATATGACCATCGCAGTGTAGTCCATGGGCACTGCGGCCAGGTCCTCGGGTATGGCTTGCGCGATTGTTTCGTCAGCCGTCTCAATGTGGAAGGTACCAGTGCGTGTGCGTACCTTGAGGATGTCGGGCGAGTCTATGTCGGCGGCCTCGTTGAGCATCTTGTGCTGGCGGTACTCTGAGTAATGGAACACGCGGTCCACGATGCCCTTGGGCTTGCTCGACATTGGTATCTTGTACGAGAGGTCAAAGACGTCCTTGTAGAACAGGTTGTCGATCAGTCGACTGACTCGCGGGACGTAGCGGTACTGCGTGTACTTGGTCATGAGGTGGTAGTTGTAGCTGGTGGGGTCCTGCAGCACCGCGTTCTCAATGAAGTAGTAGCGCGTCTTGTCATCGTTGTAGACGAGCTCGTGGTGCTTGGGGCCGTGCAGCGTGAACATTGTATGCTTTATCTTGCACGGTCGCATGATGACTAGCTGCAGCATCAACATTGACTCGGCAATATCGCACGCCTCCATGCGATTGGTCGATATTATCCTGCTGTTCATGATCGTTTCGACCAGCTCGTAGCCAAAGAAATATCGTTGATCACTCTCGCTGTATGGGTGCGAGCGACTGTTCCTCACCTTTGGCCTGTGGGTCTCGGGCAACAACATCCTAAAGTGTTTGAGCAGTTCCAACAGCAGCAGTTGTTGTTCTTGTGACACGTATACACTTGTAATCCTACGTGTTGAAGCTGATGATGAGCATGATCCAAGTTCAATCTCGGTACCATCATTATCTCGCGATGAGGTTGGTGATGTCTTGCCCTTGATTTTGTCCTTTACTTTTCCAATCAATGATTTCTCTCCATTACGTTGTTGGGCTGTTGTCGAGGCTGCTGATTCAGTTGATGTGGCTGATGTTGCTGATGTGGCGACAGCAGCTGCAGTTGCTGAGGCAGATTCAGGAATTTCCAATGCCAATTGAGATGGAGCTGGATTATCATCATTTTCCTTATCCTGGATATGCATTTATAATTTGTCAATCCACTTGATTGATCAATCAAACATATCACCCAGAGATGGATGGATAGGATTTGAATAAGGATGGATTGTTGGAGAGATTGTATTCCAATTACAATGAATAATACTTCTAAGTTAACTACGATGAATTATAATAATAAGTATCTTCATGTATCTCGTCACAACAACAACACTTCCACTCCATCCATCCATCTATCCAGCCATCCATCCACTTCATCCATTGGATTCGTCTTGTAATTTGAACAACACCAACCCATCATTGTCAATGAATTTATGTGGTGTGTGGGAGTCAGACGGTCAAAGGGAAACGACTACCCACGCTCATGATGAGCACACTTGTCACATGACTTGTCTAACACATACACACACATAGATACAAGACTTATTATTATTACACAATTCCAAGAGTATTCAATAATGATGATCCACCAACAATTATCATGTTGTTGTTCATTCGCACTAATGAGTGAATGGATGAGTACTTACCAGGATTGAATCACTATCGTCTGGTAAATCAAGACTAAGACTTAGATATCGCCCATACTCTTGGTCATTGATCGGGCATGGGATTCGAGCTTGACTTCCCAATCTAACCATCCACAATCCAGAGGAAGAGAGACAGGGTGACTGCCAAGTCAGATCCAAAGCATATCCAAAATGGTGATTCATCAATCAATGTTTGATTGGCATCACATATTAAGATAATCTATTGCTGTCCATCTTCTGTGTGATTGATTGATTGAATGTGTCTGTGTGTGTGATTGTGTATTGATGTAATGTTAACCATCATAACGTCAATGATCATTATGTTGTTGTTGTGCTTAAGCAATTTGAACCATGGGGTATTTGAATGGGTAGTGATCACAGTCGACTCAATCTCCCAGGTGTGTGTGATCAGGGAACTGGCTATCCTAAAATGGATTTCTCTGTCGTTTTGCCCAAGGGTATGTCTGCCCAGTACTCGCCCAATCAAAACATTAATATTCGGACTGTTTGTTTGAATGTAGATGTATGTGTATGTGTAGTCTGAAAGGTTCTAGTCATTCGACTTGCATCACCTGCCCCCTGTACCCGTCGCTCCATCATCACCAATTTTGACTTATTTGCCCTTGGTCTTTCATCCATTTAACCCGATGAGTGGACATCAGCTGACCATCATTTATCCGTCAAACTCATCACACAAACAAACAAATAATAACAATGTTCTTATTCATTATAACATTGATAGTTATTGCTATTTTGTATTCATTCGTAAGTTTAATGAATAATACCCTCAACCCTTACCCTCGCCCTAACCCTAACCCTTACCCTCGCCCTCAACCCTCGCCCTCGCCCCCACACAATCACTTCAACTTATTACCTAAATAGGTAAGTAAGAACTTTATAAAGTTCTCTAAGAATGATCCAAAGACATCGGGATATAACTGGCCTTTTGTAGGCACAATGTTGAAGTTGGGCAAATCACCTCATCGTGCAATCAAGAGGATGCAAGAGGATGCTGGCGGTGGAATGTTGGCCGCATGGTTCGGCGACTACTATACCATCTTTGTCAGTGATCCTCTGCTGGCCAAGGAGATGTGGGGCAAGCAGTTCATGAACTTTAGCGATCGCAAGCACAAGCCAATTGGCCGTGTACTGTCTGGTGGCTACAAGAACCTGATCAGTGCCGACTATGAGAAGTGGAAGCCACTTCGTGCCATGGTCTCCAACACCTTCACCAAGACCAAGCTAAAGGCACTCATCTCCATCATCGAAGAACAAGTCTCCTTGCTCACCAAGAAGATGGATGATTGCATGGCCACTGGACAACCCGTAAGTCCCTCACTCAATCCACTGGAACTATTCCAATCACTCACTCGATCACTCACTAACTCACTAACTCACTCGATCATTCTCTGAAACTGCTCCAATCAATCAAACGTGTGTCCAATCACACATGATCACTCTCACTCGTTCACTGGAACTATTCCAATCCATCATTCAATCAATTATAGTTCTACCCAGCCAAGTATTGCAAGAAGTTCTCGATGAATATTACATTGATGATCTGTTTCTCGAAGCAGATACCTTATGAGGAGTCTGTTGAGGGTGGAGTGTTGGATCACTTGATTCATCCAATTGAGACAATTTTTGAGGCAAGTGCACAGGGCAAGCTACTCCACGCATTCAAATGGGCTGCACCATTAGTTGTCCATGTCCTCTCAAAGAAGATTGCCAACGCACATGCCACCATCCACAAGTACATCCGTACAATCTACGATGAGAAGTTGACCACAATGGATCCAACCAAGTATGTGTTCACTCGATCAATCATTCATAGGTACTATCCCACTCACTCACTCATTCACTCAATCACATAATTAGCCCAAGAGACTTGTTTGAGGAGATTGTCAACAGTGATGGCAAGGCTGAGGACTTGGACACTGTCATCGGTGTGGCCATTGATCTCTTGTTGGCTGGAGTATGTATTCAAACTTGTTTGATTGATTGATCATGTCCACTCACTCACTGACTCAATCAATCAAACAACTTTAGACTGACACATCAGAGTCCACGATCGAATGGGCAATGCTGTACATGTGTAACTTCCCAGATATTCAGGAGAAGTTACATGCAGAGTTGGCAAGTGTGATTGGTGTTGGAAACAAGGTGGAACTATCCCATCGTGCTCAGACACCATACACAGTAGCATTCATCAAGGAAGTCCTTCGTATTAGACCCATCGCTCCATTCGGTCTCAACAGAACCAATCAACAAGAGGCCACCATTGGTGGTTATTTCATTCCACAAGGTGTAAGTATCCCGTCCTGTCCTGTCCTGTCTTGGGTCTGTCCCATCACTCACTCATTCACATCAATCAATCAATCGACTTAGACCCAACTTTTGATCAACATTTATGGTATTCATCACAATCCAAAGTACTGGCCCAACCCTGAGCAATTGATTCCCGAGAGATTCCTCAATCAGGAGAACGTTACCAATGACAACTGGATCCCATTCGGAATTGGACAAAGGAACTGTGTTGGTCTAAAGTATGTACTTCACTCACCCATTCAATCAATCAATCTATCACTTACATCTTGATCAATATAACTAAATATAGCCTGGCAATGGACGAGATATATATGGCCGTTGCCAACATCTCACTCAAGTATAAGTTGAAGTCTGCCACAGGTGAGACTATTAGTGATGCAGAGACCTACAGATTGACACTACATCCAGTTGCCTATGGTATGACACTTGAGTCTAGAGGTGGTGTTTCCAGCACTCCAGTTGCCAACCAGCGCGCTTAAGTCTTGGGTGTTGTATTTGAGTTTGAACCAGGCTCTGGTTCTTGTAAAGTAATTACTAGTAATAAAGATTTAATTACCCAAATGTCTTCATTTCCAACCATCCCATAAATTATGTTTCTAATCGATCATTGGGGTCATCACCGTGACCCGATTGTCTTGATTTCGGTGATCTTCATTCGCCACCAATCAGATACAAACATACATATATACAAACATGGGAGTAATAACAATATTATCAATCAATGCATTGTTTCAGCTGGCTGGATATACATGGTCTTGGCAACATCAATCAGAGAGATACTTTGATGTAGTCGCTTCATTAACTTATGTAGTATGTTCATTGATATCATTGTACACAGGTACTAATGTATCAGTTCGTGCAATACTCGCTACGATCATGTTGATAGTATGGTGCATAAGGTTTGGATGGTTCCTTGGCACACGTATACATATGAACAATGGACGTGATAAACGATTCGATGGTGTACGTGATCAACCTAAAACACTACTCGTCTATTGGACACTACAAGGACTATGGATAACCTTCATCATCACGCCCGTCATGCTTCTCAACTTCAATCCATCACTGTCTACAGACACCTCGCTCACAATGTAAGTACACTCACTTGATCAATCACTCAATCACTCACTGATCTCTCTCAATCATGATCACTGGAACTATCCCAATCACTCGATCACTCATTCAATCAATCAAAAGGAGTGACTATGTTATCTTGTTGGCTTGGTTCGGTGGTCTTGCACTTGAGACCTCAGCGGATATGGAGAAGAGAGCATTCAATGGAGATAAGAGGAACAAGGGAAAGTGGATAACGACTGGCTTGTGGAGTTGGTCAAGACATCCAAATTATATCGGCGAGATAATCATTCAATGGACGTTATATACCTTTGTGGTGCGTGGATTGCCAACATGGACCCTATGCATCATCGCACTCATCTCTCCACTCTTCACCTCAGTCTACTTGTACAAGATCGCAGCACCCATGCTCGAAGCAATCGCGCACAAACAATGGGGCAAAGACGCCAACTACCAAGCATACCTCAAGTCAACGCCAATCTTACTATGACCATTCAATCAATCAATCAATTTAATCGAATATACCACTAAGGAATGGTTTGTCCGTCCTCTGGCACAGGTCCGACCTGATGCCCATGTACCTTAGGTGATCGCCAATGTTGTATAAGAGGGCTGGCAAGTTGTTTGAACAATGGCTGTCCTCAGCCTTCAAACAGATGTCGTAGCTCTCATCGTCATCCGGGTGGTACCAGACCTCGTGTGGCAGCTGCTGATATGGGTCACTGCCGAACCTGCCTGGGAAGTGAGGGATGACGTCACGACCCTCGCACAAACGCCAGATATTGTCCAGGCCGACCTTAGAGACGAACGAGTTGACAAATGCCTCATTTCCAATTCTTGGTGGTCCGAACAAGTATGTCGACACATGCAAACCAGCCGTCAAATCTTGTCCGGCTACATCAAAAAGGTAAAGTACAGAGAGTGCTGCGCCAAGAGAATGTCCAGTGACCCATAGATTCTTGCAATCTGGACATGCGGCCCTCGCTGACTTTAGACCAAACCTTGCCTGTGTCTGTAGGTCTATGTTATTGATTGATCGATCCATTGTGTTAGTGTTTGTGATTGTGTGAGTGGATGATTGATAATTGGGTACATACTCAAATATGCCAAATAGAATCCTTGATGTACCTTGACATTTGGTTCGGTTTCATTCCATAGTGCATAAGGAATCCTAGCATCAGTGAATAAGTTATTAACATTCGTGGATTGAGTACCTCTGAATGCAACAATAACTATTTGATTGAATGAATTTTTAGTTAGTTAATGACCTATGTATCCATCAATGATTCCATTTACAACATACTTGTATCTCCTCGGATACCAATGAATCCAAATGAGTTTGATGTTTCTTTTCCAAAGAAGTTCTTGATTACCAATGGTCCCTCATTGATTGGTGATCGACAGAACTCACAAGACCAACTTGTCAACACTTCAGAGTCACAATAAACTGCATAGGCATACTATTATCCATTGTTAGGAAGATCCTATTAGTTAGTTATTTTGATATATTATTGATCAATCTATTTGGTAATACTTACCATTAACATTTGTTCAGATAATGTTACATTGTAGTTGTTGGGTGGAATTGCTCTTTCTACACTTGGTACATTTTTAGATAGTACAAGTGTTGATTGATTAGTAGTTATTAATAATATTATTATTAAAGGATATATAATATTACAAGTTATAAACTTCATCTAGTTTACAAACTTTCCAGGATGGAATTAAATAATAATATAATTAAAATAAAGATGGATTKGAAATTAAATCGAAGATTCAATACGATTGTTGATTATATATCTGTGGGATGGTCAATGACATCATTCATTAATTATCGTGACCAATTGTCGCCTTTTATCATATGATCACTCCCATTACGCTCAAACCAACGTGCAATTATCTTAAACGATGTCGAACGACCATGGGATTGGTAAAGTTCTTTTAACATTCAATTTACATATAGGTATACTCTCTATGTTGAATGAGGTACCGGAGTATTGATAGGTCCCGCTATTGAATTGGATAGTACTGCCCATCAATGATTGTCGAACATCAAGTTAATCATATCCACATTCACACTCACACACATAACACGTGATGTGATCAAACGAATGGTTGGTGAAGTAGAACCACATAGCGAACTGGAGTTCGTTTTGATGATGTTCGCTCAATTACTCGTTATATTGCCAATCACATAATCAATCAATCAATCAATCAAATACATAATTATGTCTTTGCAAAAGGAGGACGATGGTGACAACAACTGGGGAATGCATTACTTGGTCTGCGTAGACGAGTCGAGCTTCTCACTCAATGCCTTTCACTTTGTAGTGAAACAGTTGTCAAAGGTCAATGACAGTATTACTGTGCTACATGTTTGTCATCACATCGATACGCCAATCATCGATCCACTGGGCGACACACTCGACAAGGTAGCCAACATCGAGGAGAAGGAGTTGGCTCAAAAGCTCAAGAACACCTATGAGACTGAGTTTAGACTCATCAAGACCAAGGTACTACATTGTAAATACATAACAGCCATTGGAAAGGACACCACTGGTACCATAATGTCATCCATCGATCAGATCAAACCAGATATAGTGGCAGTAGGCTCACGAGGAGTCAGTGGTCTACAACGACTAATGCTAGGTAGCACGAGTCAATACCTTGTTGATCACCTCACTATCCCAGTGATCATCGTACCACCTTCAACAAACAAATAAAGGTAAGCTTGAATGAATGATGGTCGATTGTATGATTGATTGAAATTGATTGTGTCATTTATTGGACGAACAAGCCCGAGTCTTTAGCTCAGACCGATGACACGTCCTGTGTTCACATCAATGTCGATCTCGTAGAAACATGGACGGGTTGGGAGACCTGGGATGGTGGCCATCGTGCCGACCAGGGGATAGATGAAGCCGGCGCCAATGCTGGCTCTGACGTCTCTGATTGGCAGTACGAATCCCTTGGGCACTCCCTTGCGCTCAGGATCGTGGCTGAGCGACAGATGTGTCTTGGCCATGCAAATTGGCAGCTTGTCAAAGCCCAGACGTGTGTAGAGCTCGATCTTCTTCTCGGCCTCGGGCAGGTACTCGACGCCATCGGCACCGTAGATCTCGCGAGCAATCGTCTCGATCTTTGCCTTAATCGACTGCTCCAGCTCGTAAAGGTATTTGAATTGTGGTTGCACCTTCTCGCAGGCATCGATGACGGCGTTACCAAGCTCGACGGCTCCGCTGCCTCCCTTGGCCCAGTGGTCGCACATTACTGCGTCCTGTGCGCCGGCGGCCTTGGAGCGCTCGACCACCATCTTGATCTCATTGTCTGAGTCGGTGGTGAAACGGTTGACGGCCACGACGACGGGCACGCCAAACTTCTTGAGATTGACAATGTGATGCTCCAAGTTGGCCATGCCCTTGCTCAGAAGGTCCAGGTTCTCATCAGTGTAGGCGCGGTCCAATGGAGTACCGGCCGTCACCTTGGGGCCACCTCCGTGCATCTTGAGTGCACGGATTGTTGCAACAATAACAGCGCAGTCTGGGCGCAATCCACTCGCTCTACACTTGATGTCAAAGAACTTCTCTGCGCCAATGTCGGCACCAAAGCCGGCCTCAGTAACTACGAAGCCGTTGGCTCCAGCCAACTTGAGGGCGATCCGGTCGGCGATGATCGATGAGTTACCATGAGCAATGTTGGCAAAGGGTCCAGCGTGCACCAGCACGGGTGTCCCCTCAAGTGTCTGCATCAACGTTGGCATGATGGCGTCCTTCATGAGAACGGTGAGCGCTCCACCCACTCCCAGGTCGTCTGCTGTGATGGGTTCGCCGGCCTTGCTTGCGGCGACGACCATGCGGCCGAGTCTCTCACGCATATCGCCCAAGTCAGTGGCAAGTGCCAGCACGGCCATGATCTCTGAAGCGACACTGATGTCAAAGTTGGTCTTTCTGGTGAACTTCTCCTCCTCCTTGCCTTGGCCCACGGTGATGCCACGCAGGAAACGGTCGTTAGTGTCGAGGACACGGTTCCAAGTGATGGTGCTCACGTCAAAGTCGAGACGAGCGAAGCGTGACACTTGCTCTGGTGTGAGCTTGGCTGGGTCGGTCTCTGTGATGCCAAGCTTGGCCAGACGACGAAGCATGACTGGTGCGAATGAGCGTGAGCCGTCCTTGGCAGGTGGACACAATCTGCGGAAGAGTGCGTCGTCCGACTGAGTTCCTTCGTGCAGGATTCTCGCGTCGATGGCAGCCGCGAGTAGGTTGTTGGCGGCAGTGATGGCGTGGATGTCGCCTGTGAGATGCAGGTTGAACTCCTCCATGGGGATAACCTGACTGTAGCCACCACCGGCAGCGCCTCCCTTGATACCAAATGTGGGGCCCTGCGATGGTTGACGCACACACGAGAACACTGGGCGATTGAGATGTGCGCCCAATGCCTGGCAGAGACCGATGGTGGTCGTTGACTTGCCCTCGCCGAGTGGCGTTGGGTTGATACCGGTTACCACGACGTACTTTCCGTTGGGGTGGTCCTTCATGCGTTGCAACAGGCTCAAGTGCACCTTTGCCTTGTACTTTCCGTAAAAGTCTATCTCATCCTCGTTGATTCCACAATGCTGAGCGATCACTGACACTGGCATTGGTATGGCTTCAGTGGCGATATCAATATCCGATGGTACTGGTACCTTTAGATCTAGTATTGGATGTTTGAATGTTGTTGTTGAAGACATATCTAGTTATTGTTGTTATTGTTGTATGTATGTAAGTATATATATTGTATATATGTATGAATGAGATGAATGAATAGGATGAATGAATGAGTAGGAGTAGAGTTGAAGTCGAGTCGACAGGTGAAGTGAGTGTTTTTGCAAAGATCTGGTTCAAGTCGAAAAAGGCAACACTTTATGAATGTGGCGTTCCGAAATTTCCCATTTATAAACACAAATAAATAAATATCTGTTCCGAAATGTGATGAAGTTGAACAAACAATAGCAATTCCTATTTATATCCAACAAATATTATTATTATTATTAGTATTATTGATTCATATGATGTTTTATGTGTATGTTTGGACGAGTTGGAGAGGGCATGGTGGACAACATCGTCGGTATGATTTGAAGATGAATGGTGTTGGTGGATCTAGGATTGAACAGTTGGAGTGGAGGACGATTGATACTTTGTTGAGTTTGCAGAATTTTGGTTGATTGAGATATTCCAATAATGTTGCCAGAAGGTCGTGATCAATACTGGACGTGGCAATATCTTTGATCACCATTGATTCCAAATCATAGATTATCAACTCGATTGTTTGAATATTATTGGATACCGATGGCATCCATTGTATGGGATACCTTAGTGTTGGCAATGACAATGTGAGTGAGGTCAAGTGTTGTTGGGTGGCACTTTGTTCATAGTACTTGTGCATATAATAGAGTGCATGTTGATCTTCTATTTTGCCATATGAAGTTGGGCGTTCAAGTGTCAGCTCTCGCACTCGGTTAGCCCTTGATAAATATTCAATTGATTGATTCTCTTGACATATAATTGATGTGAGATGTTGGAATTCTCTTGATGCCAAGTTTGATAGAGTTTGGTGTCTGTATCCTAAACTACTGGTCCAGTCAGTAAACTCCGAATCTCGCTCAGGGTCCCATTTGAATTGGATACTAGCTGAAGGATGATCTTTTACAATGTCGTCGTGTAGTGATGGCCAAGCATATGGGGCTGTGGACAAAATGTCAATCGATTGGATTGATGATGTAGTTGTTGGCGGATGATTGATGCCCGTTCGTATGATATTATAATGTTTGAGTATATAATGGATTGAAAATCGATAATAGTTAATATATACTATCTCTACCTCTTCACCTTCATCATCAAAATTAAATATCGTTTCGACAATGCTTAAATGTTGTTCCAGTCCGTCTGGCACTCTAGACATGTGGCATTCAACCTCTCTGAACTGAAAGTGTTGGACATTTGGTGCACCATTGATCTTGTCGAAACTCACCGATTCATTTCCAACATAAAAGTCAACTTGTAAAGATTCCAATCGATTGAGGCAGACCTGAATATGCTCTGAAGGGATGTGAGCTAGGTCACCGGCATTGAGATGGAGAGGTGGCGTGCGGAACAGACAGTACTTGGAGCCCAAATGATCAATATTGGATCTGATCGATAATGTTGGATTGATTGTGTTGCACAATGCATTTGATACTGCTCGATGGAATTGATTGGACACTGTAGACAACTCGACCAACCATTTGGAATCCAATGGTTGGATCTCCACCAGATATCCAACTATTTGATTGATCAATAGTGTTGGCATGTTGATCATTGATGTGCCTCCATCTCCATCTCCATGTCCATGTCCATGCCCATGCCCATGCCCATCATCCACGCGAGACATCTTAATGTTTTGATATGTCGTTGCCAATGAGTTGATCTTGAATTGTTTGTAAAGTTGATGATGATGATCAAAGTCTTGATTGTGTCGAATACCATCAAGTAAAATGCTCTTGGACATTTCCTTGCCGCATCCAAGTGTAGGTGTGAACCGTTTGCTGAAATGTCGATACTTTAGAAAGTGGAAGCGAGCTGCAACATGTGGACAATCCTTGATGATCTCATTGTATAGAGTCTTCGGTATTTGATAGATTCTATTGACACTCCCATCCCTGCCTTCGATCTTAAGAATATTGTCAATGTACTCCATCCATAATGTTACAGGGTTTGGACTCGAGTTGATGAAGTTGCCACAGTCATACAGGTGACACTGAATGATATCTTTGATCAAAGGCTCACTCAACATTGAATGACGTAGCAAGGCTATGTGGAAAGCTCGAGGAATACAATGTACAATTCTTTTGTGATTATTGTTGATGTACTCTTTGATGGATGATCGATGTTGTTCTATGAGCTGGTCCATTTGGTCGTGAGTCCCAAAGCTCTTGGCCGTCCGGAATAGAACTGGTATGGCTTCACTTGTGTATTTATCGATGGGATGGCCATTGACATTCATTTTGTAATTGTTGTTGAGTATATCAACCAAGTTGAGTAGTCCCAATGCCAGGTCAACATCATCATTTAAATGATGATATATTTCGATCATTTTGAACATACTTGGATGGATACGCTCCAAGATTGGTTGGTAAATGTCCTTATGTTCATCGTAGTTTGTTCCAAAACACTTGATGATACCATTAAGTAGCACAACGCACTCCAACCTTTGTATTTGTTTGAATATGAGTGATTCATATCTCATGTAATGCTAACGAGTTTGATGATTTCACGCGTGAGTTATTGAGTGATTGAGTTATTGAGTGATTGAGTGATTGAGTGAGTGTATGTGTTGTCACTTACTTGCTGGAATGATGCTCCATAGTGAGTGATGACGATGTTTATGCTGAGATCATCCATCAGGTCAAAGAATTGGAGGAGGATATCGGTATCCATCATTGGTTTGATGATGAATGATCGTACCTCTCTGAACAGGATATTGAATATATCACTTTGTCCTCTATCATATATCGCTCTCAACAAGTCAATCAATGCTTCATTATATTGACTATCATCATCATCATCATCATCCTTCTTCAACAAGATTGTAAGGACATTCTGAAGGTTACCAAATATCTCCATTTGAGACAAGTCGCTCTCTTTCAATAATGTATTACATATGAATCTAATAATGTTGATTGAGGGATTGATTGAATGAGTGATCTAGTGATCTAGTGATTGAACGATCGAGAATGATTGATTGATACTTACTTGAATACTTCTTGTTGTGATTGATCAATAGAGTTGAGGTTGTCTTGTTGGGCAATGTGAGAAGGTTGTTGAGCTTTTGATTACGCTCTCTTTGAGCCTGCTGTGGATCCAGACTATATGGTCCAAAGAACCATTGTTCTTGAGACTGCTTGTCAACCAATGGGACGTGTAGCTCATCGAACCATTCTTCATCTAGTTCCTCAATATCTCTCTTCTCTGTTCATGTTCGAGTGAAAGAATAAATGTATGTTAGGGTGAATGAAATTAATTTAATTTCGGTTAATGAATGAATGATAGTAAGTGATATGAAGTTAACTTTGAGGAAGATGATGTGTTGGTAATCCCAAACTTGTAATTCCAAGTATTTATTCATTGGTCATGATGTACAAATTGGAGTGCACATTGCGGACAACATCGAAGGAATAATCGCAAGAGGAATGATTCTCGAACAACATTGTCTCTTTTAAAACTGATCACTATTGATACTTTGTTGAGTTTGCTGAATATTGGTTGATTGAATTGATCCAACAATGGTGCAAGATGGTCGCGATCTATATTGTACAAGCCTCCAGATGCTCCAATATCCTTGACAATCATAGATTGTATGTCAATGATTCTCAACTCTATTGTATGAATGTTGTTTGAGACTCCTGGTATCAGCATGGTGGCATCCTTGATGTCATCGAGTATCAAGGTGAGTGAGGTTAGGTGATGTACTGCACTGTCATAGTATGTGTGCAAGTCGTAGATATGACTCGGACATAACCATCTATCAATTAGCTTGAGTGTCAACTCTCTAACTTGATTGGCTTTTGATAAATTCTTGAGTGATTGATATGCTGGAAATGTGATCGATGTGAGATGTTGTAGTTTGTTTGGCTTGATAAACATTAATAGATCATAGTCAACTTCAACATCCTCATCATCGTCGTCTTTGTCGTAATGTCTATCACCATCATTATATGTCAAACCATGGACATAGTCTGTTCGTGCAATATGTACATCCCATTTGAAGTTGATGTTGATCCAGTGTGCTTCTGATGCAGATGCTGGAGCTGGTTGTGGGCCATATTGACAGGTGGTCACAATGTCAACTGATTGGACTGATGATGGTGATGAAGGTTGATTGATATTTTAATGTTGGAATAGAATATTGAATGATTGATCATACTTTTGATCATATTGTAGATTAGGTGAATTATCTTGAATGATGGATAAATATTTGTCAACAATGATCATATGTTGCGATCCTACATTGACGGCCGCATCATTGATTCTCTGGAAGAGAGTGTAATTTCTGTAAGACTTTGCCTCTTGGAACTTGATGCGTCGGAGATTGGGTGCATTGACCTTGGCAAACTTGATTGTGACGTCTTGGTCGACTGTAAACTCAATGTATAATGATACCAAGCGATCGAGACAAGTCTGGGTGTGTTCAGATGGGATGTGAGCAAGGTCAATGACATTGAGATCTAGAGGTGGTGTCCGGAACAGACAGTACTTTGAACCCAAATAATCAATCTCGGATTTGATCGTTAATGTTGGATTGATTGTGTTACATAGTGCACTGGATACTCCTCGATGAAACTGCTTAGACACTGTTGACAACTCAATCAACCATTTGGAATCCCATGGTTGGATCTCCAAGAGATATCCAAATATTTGATTGATCAATAGTGATGGCATGTTGATAATTGATGTACCTCCATGTCCAAGTCCAAGTGCTGGATCGACTCGAGACTTCTTTAAATATCGATATGTCGTTGCCAATGAGTTGGTCTTGAATTGTTTGTAAAGTTGTTGATGATGATCAAAGTCTTGATTTTGTCGAATGTCGTCATCAAGTATATTGCTCTTGGACATATGTTCGTCTTTCCAATAGGGCTCAAACAGTTTGTAGCAGTGTCGATACTTGAGCAAGTGAAAGCGTGCTGCCACATGTAGACAATACTCGTCAATCTCATCATAGAGTTCATCTGGTATATGAAAGAGATTCAAAGTATTACTACCAGTGATTGGGATATAGAGGTAGCGGTCAATGTAGGAGATCCATGCTTGGGCAGGGTCTGGACATGAGTTGAGGAAGTCACCAAGAGGTTCAGAATACTCATCCTTCCTCAGCGCATATGAATTAAGCATGTTGATGATCAACTGTCCGTCCAACATTGAGTGACTTGCCAGTGCCATGATGAATCGATTGGGTGTAAAGTTATCGATTACTCGTCTATTATGTACTCTGATGTACCTCTCCACTGATGGTAGATGTCGTGCAATGATCTCATTCACAACATTATCACTCTCCGCGATCTTTGGTATATATGATTCGCTCAATATTGTGAAGGCTGTGTCCATGTATTTATCGACTGAATGGCCTTCCAAGAGTTGTCTAACGCCATCATTATCGTTGTCATTAATGTTGTTGAGTAGATCAACGAGTATGATCAATCCCGATATAACCTCGGGCCTTGTGAAGTCATAAAAGTTGTCCATATTGATATCCATCATCTTTATGCGGTCCAAGATTGGTTTGAATATGTCTACATTGTGCTCGTCCACTCTTGTTCCAAAGCATTTGGTAATGCCTCATAGTATTACAAGGCTGGTAACATCATCCAACTTACTAAGTATGTATGATTCATATATCTTGTAATGCTAACTACGAACGAATCATTGAGTTAGCGACTGATATAGAATGATTGAATGAATGACATACTTGTTGGAATGATGTTCCAAAGATAGTGATAACGATGTTTATGTTGTTGGGATTGAGTTGATTGAAAAAGGGAAGTAATGACTCGATTGGTTTGATGAATGAATGTATCACTCGGAACAATGCATTGAACTCTCTTCCTTTTCTTACATCTTGTCTACACAACAACAAATCGATCAGAGCTTGTTTGTTTGCTTCATCATCCAACACGACAGCAAGCAACTTGTTCAATGTGTCATATTTACTAACATTCTTATACCAATCACATTCTTTAAATAATGTACATATTGATCTGATTTGATTGATGTGAGTGATGCGATTAATGATGATCATCATAACTCATAACATACTTGAATACTTCTTGTTTGTGATTGATCAATAGTGTTGAGGTTGGATTGTTAGGCAATGTGAGAAGGTTGTTGAGCTTTTGATCACGCTCTCTTTGAGCCTGCTGTGGATCCAGACTATATGGTCCAAAGAACCATTGTTCTTTTTGATCCATTATTACTAATATGTGTATATATCTCAGTCACTCGCTCACTGTGTGGAAGTTCACGGTGCATCTTGAATCAAGCATATGATCATGTCTCAGTAAAAACGAACGTTTGAATTCTCGCAAGTCAGAGTTGGCATCGAAGGAATGAGACACTTCGTACAACGCCCATCCTCATCATATCCAACACCAACAAGTTGACGGACTGATCCCCGACTCACTCACCATCACCTCTGACTATAATTTTGCAAATAAATGTCCTGTGTTGTTGTTGTTGTTGTTTGTTGCTGCTGTCACCATCCTCTGCTTCTGCCCAAATGTGTGCACGACACGCGACACATTCTTCGTTGTTACTACCTTTAATTCAATCAACAACATCGATGTAATGTCTGTTATTTGTTTGAATGTGTAGCACTCACTGTAACTAACTGACTGACTTTGAATATCCTTGTACATTACTACACTTACACTATCATGTGTGTGACTGACAAATTAATTAATAATAATTAATAATAATAATAAATATCTTTGTGCAATGAGATGTTGGAGATGGTGATCTCACCAAACCGTGGAACCAGTACGACCCTAAACTATGTTCCAGTGTAAAGATCAGATTCAAAGTTGGATCGTTGGTGCAATAATCTGCAGATGAAACATTCTGATTGTCTTCTATTTGTTTCGATGTCCACAGACAACAACACTTGTTGATGGGTCTACACCAAACGATATTGTCATACTCAGATGACTGGCACAATCCCCTGTGGCCCATTATCATTGCATCATCAAAACCATGAAGATAAAACAGAGGACTCGACTTGTGAGCCCAATCAGGGCACAGAGCCACCGAATTAATGAAAAAAACGATACATTTCTGATTGTTTTTTTAGGTAACCGTGTTGTTGGACCCTTACATCTGTTAAATTTGGAAACGACGAGGCCTTTGTAGAATGGACACAAGATATATTATTCCACCACTTCACCTTGTTGTATGATTGACCCCTCACTTAACATTGATCATGGGTCAAAAGAGTGTATAAATGCGCACTTAGTGATAGTGTCCAGTCCAGTCCATCACTGTTCCAGTCCAGTCGAGTCCATCCGTCATCCTTATAAGAGTTGTCCGGACATCATCCAACATCATCATTCTACTCTCTCCTCTACAAATACAAATACATATACAAATACATAAATTATGGATACCACCCAGTTGGTTAAGATTCTCACTTCCAGCAATGCTGCTGAGAGGTTCACAGCCACCCAGAAGTTGGTCGCCTTGCTGAACACGGACGACGGTTCCGCTTCACTCGTTACCATGCTTAAGGGCCAGATATCAGCTGGAAACTTGAACTCTGGCTGGGCAATCGCCAACTCGGTCGCCACCATCAGTTCAACGCTTATGCAGTTCGTTCCAGAGATCGGTCCCATCGCCGGGCGTGCAATGGTCTCCATGTGGCAGGTAGTGATGTCGGTCAAGAACGGAACGGACATCACCAAGAACGTCGACAAGACTTCCCAGGTCATCACCGCCTACAAGACCCTGATCAAGGCCTCCATCGACACGGCCATTGAGACCTACGACAGTGAGGCACTCCACACTGCCTACGAGGGAGCCTCAACCTATCTCACAGCCTACACCGCCGCCCTCTCTGTTGTAAGTCCCACTCCTCCTGCTCCTCCACACTCGCTCGCGTATGATACTAACTTCTAACCTCGCATGCACGCACATCCAGTTCCTCGCCAACCCCACCGTGGCATCAAACCAGGACACTCTGAAGGACAGCTTGAGCAATGTCGAGAAGCAGTACGCCACCATTATCGCAGCGTGCAACAAGGAAACCCACGCCGTCGCTGAGCTGTACATGTATGCTATGTGTGCCAGCATTCGTCTGTCGCTGCTGCGTGACGCATGCCTCCATGGAGTGGAATGGGGCTACACCGCCGAGTACATCACCACCTACTTCCTGCCCCAGTTCACCACTTGCCTCAAGGAATACACCAACCATTGCATCGACACCTACAAGACTGCCGTCACCAACTTGAAGACCGCCGCCGCCGCCAGCGACGTGAACCTCTTCAACACCATCAACACCCTGCGCAATGGCATGATCACCTACGTCTTTGACCTGGTCGCAGTCTGGCCCCTGCTGAACCCCACCAAGTTCCCCGATGGAGTCAATATTCCCCAGAGGACTCGTCTGCTGATGTCCGACGTGGTAGGCCTCCCCGTCAACCCCGACAAGCTAGGTACCAAGGATTACTACACCGCCACCTTTGACCAGATCCACAATATAATGATCTCGCAGAACTACTACTTGTATCGTGGAGAGCATGACAAGTTTGCCTCGCAGGCCGATGAGACTGGCAACCGTCTCCTCTGGATTCAGAACTCCTTCAAGACTGGCTACACTAACGAGGGTCTCCCATCCTGGGCGTCTACCAACACCCAGGTTGGTCCACCAGGTGGCGTCGATCCCATCGACACCACTAAATATCCTATTAAGTCCATTGGCTTCAGCGACATTGCCGAGGAGACCATCAAGATATACGCCGATATCATCCCTCGCAGCTTCGAGTGCTCAATTGGAGGCGACATCACCGGAGGCCCCTTCGATAACCATCAAGCCGTGCTGGATGGAAACAAGGACATCATTTTGGGCACAGAGAACAGCTGGCACTGTGCCGTCGATCAGTACAACTTCCCCAACATGAAAACACCGTTCAGCTACCAGACTGTCGCCGTCGAAAACACTTACATCAATATCCCCTACAAGATCCCCTGGAACCAATGCCTCATCACCTCATACCAATTCCCCGGCCACCACCTCTACCATCCATTCGGTCTCGGCGTCAACAAGGACCCAATGGTCAGGCCAGGCGGCACCATGGACTCTGCTTGCATCGCCTTTGCCCCACTCGGTCTCAACAACTCCAACTATGTCTACAATGGCATGGGCGCCACTCTCCTCGACCCAATCAAGAAGGACTCAATGTCGGGAGTAACTTTCATTGAAGACTCTTTCATGCCAGGATTGCCAGAGGTCGTCATCGCTCCAGGTGGCTCGATTGTCTACAAGTTAGATCCAATCTGGTTGGGTATGAAGATGTTCTACCTCCGGTTCATCGTGAAGGCAACCACTGCCACCAAACTCCATATCGACTGGAACGACACCTCCTACGACATCGACGTGCCAGTGTCAGATGTCTTTGACGTGCTTGATGCTGGAACTGTGCCCGCAATCATCTTGGCCCCTCTGAATCCTCCTCAGAACAAGTTCACACTCAGTGTTCCAGCCGGCAGTGCTGCATTATCGATCAGATCTATCATTCTGTTGTCCACCGCCAAGGATGCCATCCCATGCAGCATCCTTTAAGTCAGAGGTAGGCTTAGTCAACCGGGGAAAAATACAAGGCTCATTCATTGTTAACAACATTTATACATTAAACTATTACTCGGTGATTTAATAAATCAATCAATCACACTATCTGAATCAATAATGTCTTAATACCAGTCTAGACTGGTGTTCTTATCGCAATTTTCTTGATGATCTCTATGAGTTGGGGCACATGGGTGCGACTGATCGTGTGGCTGATCATTGGACTGGCCATCTACGTCTTTTATGGACAGAAGCGAAGTATTGTTGGCAAGGAGGTGGTGGACAAGGAGCTCAATGACATTGGCAGTGACAAGCAAGTCCTGGACGATGAATCAATCAATCTGTAGACAAGAAGTTTGATCAAGTGTGATACAACACTAGTCCGGTCGCAATATCATGCCAGTCTTGTATCGATTCCAATTGGGTGTGGACACCATTGACATATACACGTGAGATGTGAGGCCCTTGGATGCAGCGTATCACCTCTTTGGCAGAAGCAAGTTTGTCACCCCACATTGATCCATAGAGGTCCAATGATGAGATCATGATTGGAAGTGAGAGAATCTGGCGCAGTTCCTTCGTGACACCAGAGCCCAAATGGACCACAAGGTCAATTGTCTCGACTCGCTAGAGTGTCGTCACATGAGTGGAGTAGATGGTGTGATCGAGATTATAGCCGTGCAGTGGTGCACTGGGGATGCGAGCATGGAGGACAAGTCGCTCAAGCGGCCGTGTGATTGGGAACCACAGCGGGAAGGCTGCGAGCACACCAAGCTTGGTAACTGGGCATGCGTGGTCCTGCAGGATGAATTGTAGCAATTGTTTGCTCTCCTCGCTGACGGTGCTGTAGTATGGTTCGCCAATGTCAGTATTGTTGAACTCGATGTTGAGCGAGGTGAGTCTTGTCGATGGCTGCCGCAAGTACACCAACAACATGGAGAAGAAGTTGCCATGTCCCCTGATGGTCAGCGATCGAAGATGAACAAGCGCTTAGAGTTGTTGCAGCGCTGACGCGCAGGTGTCCTTCAAACTGATATAGAGTGATTCCAGTGCCGAGAACTGGGATGAGATGATCTGTTGATACATCGGAATGAGGTCAAGCTCGTCATAATGATCGCGCGTGTTCTGCCCCCACAGCCTGAGTTTGCGGAGGCGAGGGAAGTGTTCCACTCCAATGGGCGATAGGTCCACCAAATCATCGTCCCTCTCGCTCTCAGTGTACATGTCGGAGAGCGTGACCTCAAGCATCGTTTGACCAACGGCAAACTTAGAATGAAGATCGCAGAGCTCGATGAACGTGCCCTTGTAGCACTGCACTCTGGACAACACCTCTTTGAGCATCTGGAAGAATGATGGCTGCTTCAGGAGCTTTTTGGTGCGATGGCGTTGCGTCCAACTGTATTGTCTACTCAGCGTAAGGCATTCGATGGAGCTGGGAATGATTGTGTATAGTTGTTGTTGTTGATGCTGATTCGTTCGCACGAGGGACCGGATAAGTAGTTCGAGATCAATGCATGTGTTGAGCTTCTTGATGGACGAGTGAAAGCCCCAGCACACGAGACTGAGCTATTTGGCCACATTCCACTTACCATTCCGACCACAGTCGCGTCCATTGTCATAGAGTGATGCAGCAGTGTGCCATAGATATTGAATCACCTCTCGATAGAATAACAATGGGAGTTGTGTATCAGATTTCTGTGTGTTGATGTTCATTGTTGATGATTAACAAATGTCACGGCTCAACTTCAAGTCTGTAGGTGAGTGATGAGGTAGCTTGCCAAATGGATGTTGACTGAATGGTGATAAGATCCACTAACCTTATCAAAGTCCAGCGTTGTATAAATATATTATGTATATGTGTACTTGTATAAGTATGAATGTTTGAATGTTATGATCACTCACTTCCATGAAGGAGATATCAATTTGAGGCTCAATGCCTCCCTCACTCACTTGAGCCTTTCATTTGAATTTATGGGTTTATTGTTGATGATGGACTAGTTGGAGAGGACATCGTGGACAACATCGATGGAATGATCGGAAGACGAATGTTCCATTGCATACCTGGTAATCACAATTGATACTTTGTTGAGTTTGCTAAATATTGGTTAATTGAAGTGTTCCAATAATGATGCCAGATGTTCATGATCAACATTTGACAAACCACCAGATCTGGTACCTGCAATATCTCTCTTTATCATCGATTCTATATCATTGATAATCAACTAGATTGTTTCAATTTTGTTGGATACTGATGGCATCAATTGGATGGCATTCTTGAATTCTGGAAGTATCCAGGTGAGTGATGTCAGGTGTTGGATGGCATGATCGTAGTATGTGTGGACATCGCCAAGATCATCTTCATAATAATCCGGCCCAAGACTACAATGATTGAGTGTCAACTCTAGCACTTGATTGGCCTTGTACAATTGTTTGATTGATTTGTTGGAAATACAATCGAAGTGATATGTTGTAGATTGTTAGGCGCCATATGCAACAAGAGATCTAAGTTGTAAATGCCAATAAAGTAATCATCATCTTCTTCGGATGTTGGCAACCTCTCGCAAAAGTATGTCCGTGCATTTTAATCCTAATTAAAGAAGGTCATTTGTAATTCTACTATTATTCTACTTTCGGTACCTGTTAGCGCTGTAACAGTTTGCACGCCCAAGAGAGTTACCAGGAGAGTACTCAGCACGATAGGCAGCACGTACTTCCGATTGTTCCCACACTGTCCACCTTTTGTTCACCAAGTTCACCGTTGGGGTTTATTATAATCGGAGAATCAACCATTAGCGATTATTGGGTGATCGACCAACATCATCATGTCATCACACATATATCTTGTTGCTGTTTTGACTTGTTCTAGATAAATACGGGGCGATGGCTCTCAATAGTCTGTGTATCCCTGTCTTCTGCAGGGAATTGAGGTCATCCTTGTCCAATAAGTAATCGACATCTTGTAAATTGGCAACATCACAGATTGGTGCAGCGGCTGTGATTCCATGTGACATTGGCTTCTTTGCTGCTGGCTTCTTTGCTGCTGGCTTCTTTGCTGCTGGCTTCTTTGCTGCCTGTCTCCTGGGTTGTTTCGGTTGGCTCTTGTTAGATGTAGTTGGACCCTTCCTCTTGCCTGATTTTGGTGTCTCGTCCTCGTCGTCATCATCGTCATCATCGTCATCATCGTCATCATCGTCATCATCGTCATCATCATCGTCATCATCATCGTCATCATCAGAGTCGTCAGCGTCCTCGTTAACTTCAGTTGTGATGATGTTGCTACCAATTAGAAGTTCGGTCATGTTCCACCTTTCTGGGTTGATTAAATCGAGGCTATTGTTTTTCTGAACAACGAGCTCGATTGAATTGATGGCATGATTCCATGGCAGATAGCAAGTTGCTATCTTCGATTGGCCATCAAGAGTGATTGTCCAAGCGATGAGCCACACGGAGTCCATATCTGTGAGCAATGAAAGAATAGGAAATTGCGAATGAAGCTGAATGATGAGATGCTGTGTGAAGAATTGCCGGAGAGACTCTGTTTTCTTGATGGTTCTTGGCTTCTTCAGTTCAATGTGGACCTGGGTTTCAGACATCAGAGTCAATTCAATGTCTTGGATATGAATCTGTTGTCTGCAAACAAGTATGTCTGTTCCTCCAGTAATCTCGAGAGAGAGCTCATCCAAATTCTGGGTGAAGAGTGTCTTCGATACAACAGAAAGAAAGTGAGCTCTATGAAGAGTGGTCAGTTCTTTGAGCCTGGCAAGGACTTTGCTCATGTTTGTTGGAGAATCCTCATTCCCCTTCGACCATATGAATGCTGTGTACGGTGGTACTTGGTCTTGATGGTGAGGAAGAAAACGCACCTCCTCGGGTCGAAGAAGGTCGAAGTCGCTCTTAGAAATTCTTGAAACTGATACCTTCTTCTTCTGATTGATCATCTTCTTCATCTCCTCAATGCCATCCTTCAAGATCTGCTCCACTGTAGGAGGAAGGAGCAATAGGTTAGTACTGACTGAACACATCACTCGCTCTCATTTGTACTTACGCGCTTGGCCACCACCTCCTCCTGCAGCACCGGCTTGAGTGTGTATGTTAGTATTGAATGAAGACATTGCCAAGATGTTGTTTGTACTTACGAGCTATATATGGATGTGTGGGAGAACAAAGAGTCAACTCTGCACCATCCTGAATGCCAAGCGACTCCAACGTATCAGTGCCAAAGAGCTCTCCCTTGAAATAGAGAGTGTACTCGTTGGCATCTAACTTGCAACGCTTGATGATCTCAGCAATCAATTGATTGACTGGTGCGTTTGGATGGAGAGGTACTAATATCTTCTTTCCTTCAATTGGAAGGACATTGATTGAGAGAGGCATAATGTGAATCGTGGATAGAGATAGGGATATATTTGTAGTTGTTGTAGTTGTTGTTGTTGTGAATGAATGTACATAAAAGTTGAGCCACCACTCAGAGTGAGGGTGAAATGAACTGTTTGTCCCTTTTTGCAAACTCATAAATATTTTAAATTAAATTAAACAATTTATCTCTAATAACAAAGAAAACTCGGAGTTCAGAGAGCGTCACAAAGCAACATCAAACAAAAGGTAAGATACGAATGCGGCTTCGAAGAGGGTCGCACCATTCATTCTCAATCGACACAAGCAAGGCTACCTCCACAAACAGTTGATGGCCAACAAATAGGTTCAAAGTGATATAAATTAACATCTCTGTGTTAATATATAGAATGAGTAGATCAACAAGAGACATTGGTGGCAGATTGAAGAAGACGGGCGTGACAGAGATCAAGATAACAGGCAACTACACCAGAGCAGACATCGAACGAATCGCACAACGAGACAGCAACACACTCCAACGCTACGGCGCCAACGCAAGGATAGAGGTCGTGCTCGACTACGGCAATCATCAATTTCGATCAGGTAAGTTCACCAAGGTAGGCGAGCCGATCATCATGTTTGATCCTCACGAATACGATGGCGCGCCAATCCCAGAGCCTGACACATTCAAATCGTTCTACATCTATGTTCACGAAGCATAGGGCAAAGCAGGCGGCTGCGATATAAAGGACGACCTTGCTACCATCAAACGTGTTCACACTGATGGATTCGTCTCGACCATACCATGGACTGTCAATACTGACAAGAAGTCATTGGACCCCAAGTTGGGTAAGGAGTGTTGCGACCTAAGGTAAGAAGGCTACTGCGCCAATTCCATTGTCAACAACATGCTCAAGCCAGTTGGAGAGTTTGAAATATAATCTCTACTTCCATAAATATGGACATACAGACTACGACAATCGACAGGAGTGGCAGCAACAACAACAACAAAAAGACATACATGTATGTCCTTGATGAGTGGCGCCATGAACCATTGATTAAGCTCACTCTCGACTCGTTCCGAACCAAATGCCTCATTGACAACATCGATCGTAGACAGTTGGCTGTTCAAAGTTGAGTTGCAGCAGTTTAAGATACTGCAGCAAGAGGTGGTGCTGATGATCAGGTCGATCAACCAGACTGGCGACCAGTGGCACCAGAAACGATTGCTCTAAACAGGAATCCAGAGTTATTCTTGTTGTCCAAAGTGAGATGCGCAAGTGCCACTTCGTAGTTGTCAACCTTGATATCATCTGGTTCTAAATAAAGCAAATGCATATGTGCCCTTTTTACCCAAGCATTATGAAGGTAGACCAATCTATACTTTTAAATTAATTATAATTAATAATATATAAAATAATATAATTATAATAATGATCATTTATTACATCCAACTCCTGATGGACACCTGGTCAACCTAGCCAGTCGACCAGCAAGTTAGGAAGATGCAGCAGAGGACGATGAAGTGTTAATGGCACGTGGCTCAACTTTGTGGCTGAGTACATGAAGCTCTTTGTCATCTAATAGATTAATGGAGAGAGTAGAGAGATGCTTCTTGAGTGGTGGTATCACTTGGAATATATGATTGGATGCCTGTTGACATTGTTGCAACTCCTTGATCACTCGGTATATCAGTCGGAACTTCTCCACGTTGATCAAACCCGTGGTAGTGAACGTGTCGTTGGCCTCCTCAATGGCGATCAGATCCTTGGTGACCAGCGCCAGATAGGGCACCACCTTCTCGTTGACCATGCGCAGTGCCTCGCGATAGTTCTTGTAGTTCATCGACATGTCGAACAGAACCTCCAACGCCCTGTAGTCTGCGTGTGTCTTGGCTGCCAGCTTGTCCCATGTGTGGCGCAGTCTTGTGACTGCACTGCAGTTCAGGCCGCCAATGATGGCCGCTGCCGCATTAAAGTTGCCCACCTCCACACAGCACTTGGCCAGCTCAATGAAGAATGTGAGCGCGATCACACGGTCCTGCAGCCGTTCCTTGGTCAGGATCTCGGTGGAGGTCCATCGTGCCCACTCATTGAACTTGTCGACCATGATGTGGAACTCGGGTGAGCGCTCTGGCTTGGTGTAGGCCTTGTGCAGGAACTGGRAACAAGGGGATCGCGGTGAACAGCTCGATGTCGATGAGCGTCATCTGCGATGCGACACCCATCGCACCAATCTGGTATACGTCGATGTTGTTCTCGTCCTTGATGCGCACGTTGGCCGCTGCCAGGGCCGAGGGTGGCTTCTTGACCGTGTCGTAGAAGCTGGTGCCGCGCTCGTACAGCGTCTTGATGGGCTCGGACATGTGGAAGAATGTGTTGAAGTATGTGAAGAAGTTGCCAGTGGTGGGCGACGCGGTCGGCCCGTAGACGTCGATGAACGCCTTGAGGCGAGCGAGGAAGACGCGGTCGGCGCCCAGTGCGGGCTGGTGCAGCTTCATCCAGAACATGGCCACCGAGAGTACGGCAATCGACAGCTCGGCCTGCCATGCGCGGGGCGGCGTGTCCAGGTCGGTGGAGATTGTCTTCTTGTAGTAGTACACGATGCGCTCCAGGAACTCGCTGGGCGCGCTAAAGTAGTAGTCGTACGTGTAGAACACCGTGTAGTTGTAGTCCTTGTCCATGTTGTTGAGGTCGATCAAACGCTCGAACAGCTTCTCATAGGACGCGTGCTTCACATACGAGATCTCCTTGATGATGAACTGGATGTCGACAAAGTTGTCAAACGACGCTTCGTAGTCGTCCACGAGTTGGCCCAGTGACTGCACGGCCAGGACGTCGTCCACCTGCTTGGCGCCCGAGTCGAGAGCGCGACGATAGAGCACGCGCGAGAAGACCACGCATAGATGATCGAGTGTCAGCTTGGACTTGTGACCAAAGCGATGATTGATCGTCTGTGCCATCGAGAGTGGGGAGGCGTCAGGCGAGGAGTTTGACGCGGACTTGGTCTCCCCGTTGCTCAACTCGATGTTGGAGCTGCTCAGGGTTGTCGCGCCCTCTGACGCCTCCTCGGCGATCGCCACAATGGGGAGTGGTGAGTCGGTGGCCTCCACCAGATGCACGGCGCTATTGCCGCTGCTGGTGGTGACGCTCTTGATGAACTGTGCCACAAGTTTGAGAATGGCACGATGAGATGGTGGCATTGAGAAGAGGATCGAGCGACACAGTGACTTCCTGAATATGTTGTCGTCGATAGTGACGATTGACAAGAGGTGGCTGACCGACTTGGACAGCAGGGGCTCAGGCAGCGAGTCAAAGAAGCTGAGCAGGGTGGCAGCCACGAGATAAGGGTCGCGCTTGGTGAACTTGCCAACAATACTCTGTTCGATTGACAACTTGAATGACTTGATATCATTGTCCTCCATCTTCCTCGTGAACAAGTCTGGCAGATGGCAACTGACCGTCAACACCTCGAAGCAATTGTCAATGAACTGTACCAATCGCTCCATCGAGTCTTCATTGAGGCTGGTCGAGAATATGGACTCTAAGATGTGTGTATGTTTGTTAACAAGATTGATCATTGGTCGATTGAGTGAGTGATTGGGCACTTACCAGCTTTGATGATCTTCTTGGATATCAGCTCATCCCTGGACGCGCGATGATTGAGTCGCTCGGAGAGTATGAGCGACACGCCACTCAATGGCTTGTCTCTCACTTTGCCAAACATTCTTCCAATTGTTGAATGCTTCTTCTTGTCTACAGTGATTGGTGCGAATAAGTTAGTATCAGTGATGTACCCTCGCGTCATCGTCACATAGTGGACAACAACATACCTCCATAGTACTGATCAAACTCGGATGATGGTGATGATGGGATACGATCGGACTTGGAGAGAGACTTGGCCTCTGCCTTGCTGCTGGTACTTCCTCCACTGCTACTGATGCTGTTGACACTGGACATGGTGTGTACCTGGCTTGAGGAAGCAGAGATTGGAATCTTGGGCTGGCCATTGCCACTACCCTCTAGTGCCGCTTCCTCCTCTTCCAGAGCGGACAATGATGATGGTCTGCCAGAGATAGTCTTGGATCGCATCCTTTTCAGCTTCTCGCGCTTCATGTCCTCGATGTCGCCAGACTCGTACAAAGTGGTGAAGTAACCTTTGGCTACCTGTGCTCGCTCCTTGGTCGCCTCGGCAACCTCCTCAGTCGCGGCCACTGGCACAGAGGTGGCCAGATCATACTCGGCACCCAGATTGGGTGAGGGTGGCTCGCCACTCGCGCTGTATGTCGATAGTCGCTTGCCGGCCCATCGCTTCAAAGAGTTGGTGTAGCTGCCCAGATACTTGCGGGGCGGGGCTGTCTCGTCCACCTCATTGAACACGACCGACTTCTTGGCGGGCGATGAGACCGAGCTTGATGAGTTGAGCGAGATGTTGCTGGCTGTGTCGCAGAATGAGTTGTCGGGCGAGCCAGATGTCTTCTTCTTGAGGCTTGACTTGAGTCCATTGTTGCCGCCGACCTCATGCTCGGGCGGCTCAGATGCCAGGTCCGACACGTTGTCCGAAGTGTTGCTGCCACCACTGTGCATCGACGAGGTGTCCACGGTATGTGCGCGGTCACGTGACACAAACATCTTGCGTATCTCGCGCTGACGCTCCTTGTCCTTCTTTAATGCTCTCTGGCGCTCCTTCTCACGCTCCTTCTCCTTCTCACGTTCCTTTTCCTTCTCGCGCTCCTTCTCTCGCTGCTCCTTCTCGCGCTGTTGTTCCAACTTCTTGATTGCCTTCTTGCGGCCTTCGCCACCATGTTCCGAGAGCATGGCCATTGTTTGAACGCTGTCGAGTACCTGGCCGTTGGTATCCTCTATACTTCGCAGACGCTGGTCGAACGTGTCGAAGCGAACATTGAGCGTCTTGAAGCGCTGGTCGTCGTGCAGGTTGGCAAACTCCTTGAGCAGGCGGTCCTCCTTCTCTTGCTTGGCCTGCTCCTCCTCCAGCGCAGAGCTGTGCACTCCGTCGCTACCATTGCTGCGCGCCAGCTGGCTAACCGACTCGGTGTAGCACTCAGACACGCGACGCCAGCGCATCTCGCCGATCTTTAGTCGTGCTTCCAGCTCCTTGCAGTGCATCTCGAGCTCGCGGCGACTCATCACCTCGTTGGTGAGCTTCATACTGAGATCCTCGACTAGTCTGTGCGTCTTTGAAAGCGCCAGCTCCATCTGTGCCATGCGCTGCTCCATGTCCGCCTCACGCTTCAGTCTGGCCATCATCAGCTGCTCCTCCATCTCGGCTGCGGAGGGTGTCGTCCGTGCTGAGGTCTCACTGGATCCAATCGATAATGGAGGTGGAGTAGGTAGCTTCTTGTTTGTTGTCGTCGATGTGGCTGTGTGTGGTGGTTTTGCCGAAGTTGTGGCAGTTGCCGGCGTTGTCGTGGGTGTTGCCGGGGTGGAGATCAACATTGGCGATACATAAGATGTCCTCTTGTTGTTAGATGATGGTTTGGAATCAACAACAACCTTTGATTCGGTTTGTGTTGTTGTTGTTGTCGTCGTCGTCAGACTCGGAGATTGAGTCGTCTTGGCAGCTCGCGGAGATCTCATGTCTGTGGACGTGGCCGTGTTTGTTGGGGAAGTCTCTCCCGATGATGAACTTGTCTGTTTCTTCTCCTCCTTCTCGTCCTGAGAGCCCTCGGATGCTGCCTCGGCTGCCTCATCCGGCTTATGCCAAACCAATGAGAATATACTCTTTATGCTCTTCCTGCTCTCATTCTTCATTCTCGATGGCAATGTCTGAACTGACGCTGCCTTATCCTTCTCCCTGTCTCCTCTGTCTTTATCCCTCTGACTTGATGACCCTACTCCATTGTTTGACTTTGACGAAGGTGACAAGGGTGGAGGTGATGTTGTTGTTGATGTCGATGTAGATGTTGGCGGGAGGGGTGGTTGTGGCTTAATCTTGCTCTGTGCCTGTGTCTGTTGTGTCTGCTGTGTCTGTTGTCCTGGTACTGAAGGCAGTGGCTTCATATCGTACATTTGATTGATTGAATTCTGCTGATTGTGTAACTGTTGGAGATACTGTTGCTGTAGCTGAGGTGTTAGTGTCGCCGCTGTAGTCGTTGTTTGTGACTGAATGTCCAACTGTTTCCAATAGTGGAATGAGTCTTGTTTGTTTAGATTCTTTGTCGATTGTCTTTGAGCGTCATCAATTGACGACGCGATGTTGTTGTTGGACATTGTGTCTATGTGTGTCGCTGTAGCTGTGGCTGTTGCCGTTTTTCCGTGGCTGTTGCCGTGTTTCCGCGGGGGGTGTTTCCGTGTTTCCGCGACTGGCTGTGTGGTGTTGAAGTGAAGGACTCGCGTTAACTTACTCCTTTTTAGAATATTACACCTTATGTATCACGCAATAGACAAGACAAGTTACGGATAAAATACAATTAATAATATTATAGTCTATAATTAAATGAATGAATGAATGGATGGATAGATTTGATTGATTGATTGATTGACTGATGGACAGATTATAGATGGTAAGCGGGTGGCTGGATGATGATTGGAAGTGGATCAACTATAACACCTGACCTACGCTTCTCTCTCTTCTCAACTTTAATCTTTCCAAACACAGTCCCTTTAGCGCTCACAGCTGATGTGAGTCTGGATGAATGGATGGATTGATGGAATGGCTGGAAGGTAGGATGTGAGAGGGTCGTCGGGTACCGTGGATGCCGATTGATGATGATGTTGTTGTTGTTGTTATTGAGTGTGAGTGAGTGTGTGTGAGTGTGTGTATGAGAGCGAATGATTGATTGTGTGTGTGATCCCTTAAATATACATCTAAGTTAAGTGTGGACGTGGACGGTCTAGTGAGAGGGGTGTGTTCCAAGTGGTGCTGCTACTACTACCACTACTATATAGGCTATGGTGATGGTTGTTGGATACAGGATAATTATTTGAAATATGGATTGATTGATTGATTGATTGACTGAGGGTGATGGATGGATTGATCAAGTGATTGATCCAGACACGCTAAGAATATGAATGTGTTGTTTGTGTGTGTGTGTGTGTGTGAGTAAAGTGATTGTCTTTGCGGATACAATGGTAGGGTATATATTCTTTAAAGGTGTTTAACGCGAGTTACAATCAATCAAGCTACTTGTTGTTGTTGCCTCTGTTACTGTGCTGTTGCTAATGTTGACTAACTGGTTGACTGGCTGATTGGCTTGATTGAAAGGATTGATGCCCTGCTCTTATGATTGATTGATTGATTGAATGAATGAAAGTTGATGTTGTTGGCCACCAAAGTCCAACAAACAACCAACAAATATAGTATGAGGTATGGTAGATGTTCAAAGTTTGTATCTTTATAAGAAGGAAATAATGTTACTTGTAACAACAACAACAACCAACAACAACACGAGGAAGGCACTAGAGGAGGAGGAGGTGGAGGAAGCGCACATTGGTGCAGCGAGTCAGGGAGCGGGAGTCGCATGAGCGAGGGGATGGGGATGGACAGAACAGACCCCTACGAAGGAGGTAACCTTTTCAAAACCATCAAATATCTGATTTTTCAAATAAAATGCGGCTCCAACTTGTTGTTTGTCCTTTGGATGGACCCGAAACATTAATATTATTGTTGTGTTTGATTGATTGATTGATTTGATGGGTAGATAGATAGTATACAAGGAATATATAATTTATGGTATAACTGTTGTTGGATTCATGTCATGTCATGACATGAGTGAGTGAGTGGACTGATGGAGGATGGTGACGGACTTAGGCATGGACGTAGAACTTGACGATGAATGAGTCAGTGCCATCGTTGAACTCGATGGTGCTGTTTGAGACTAGACCCAATGGATACATCTTTTTGAAGTTGTCGAGTGTGAGCACTTTGGTCCAGTTGACTGCCTTTAGAATCTTTGATTGATCGTTCTTATCCGATGACAATGAGATCGTGTAGTTTGGACCTGCGTATGATCTACCAATAATAGTTTTCAGTTGTTGGAATGTCAACTGATCAGAGATATCCAATCTAAGTCTGTTACCATTTGGCAACACCAACTATTTATATTTGATTGATTGATTGATTGAGTGAGTGAGTACTTGTGACCTCTGTTGATTGATTGAATGATTGATCACTTACAATAAGGTTATAGTCAGCAGAGTCCATTGGAAAATGAGTGTTTAGTATATGTATATTATAATTACAACAAGATAGATAAATAAATAATTTAATGAATGATTGAATAAATGAATGACACCCTTGTCCTTCCTCGTCATGTCCAACACACTTCACTCACACACCCACACACACTCTCCATCAACTTTGTTTCAAACAAAATCCAATCGATCGGTTGCAAAGTGGGTTTGATTGCCCTGTTGGTCCATCCACCATCAATATCATTCAAATTCAAATAAGTGATCAAGATAAGGTCTGTTCAATCAATCATTCAATCAATCACTCATTCGTTCTTACAATCATCATCAAGTAATATTTATATTATATTATATAATAGGTTATTATCTCCTTTAACAGATACTATTTGATTGCTGTGATATAAATAAACAATATCAGAGTTGATACAACCACACAGACATGAAGTAAAGGTTGATCAACAAGTCAACCTTTTTTTTTAATTTTGTTTGGAATCAAACATCACAAGAATGCGGGGTCAGGGAGTAGCAACTTGAGGGTTTGGTTTGAATTGCGAATCAAGTAGTAGTATGTGTGTGAATGAATGAATGATTGAGGTTTGTGTGTATGAATGTAATAGTTAAGAGATAATAATAAGAGTAACACATATAGATAACATATATATATATAAAATAATGACAGATATTGTCAATAGTAGTGATGGCACTACAACAACAGTTAACAATAATAATAATGGCGAAGTGATTGATGATGCAGCAAGCGATACATTGATTATATCACCACCATCGACTATTGATGAGACTACACTGGCTGGTATAGATCATCCAGTGTTGGTGAAGAAGTACGCACACGAGGACTCGTCCACACCAAATTGGTTCCTGCACAAGAAGCATTTCTTTATCTTCTCGGCATCGGGCAAGCCAATCTACTCACGCTACGGAGATGAGGTCCAGCTCAACACATTCATGGCGACACTCAGTGCAATGACATCGTTCGTCGAGGCACAGAACGACGATCTGCGCTTCATCACCGCTGGCGACTTTAGCTTTGTCTTCCTCAATCGATACCCTCTGGTACTGGTCAGCATCTATCAGACGAGCGAGCCACCCAAGATCATCCAAGGTCAACTAGACTACATCCATGCACTCATCGTCTCACTCCTAACTCAATCAAATATCAAAGCTGTATTCGATGCCAAGTATGACTTGCGTGATCTTCTAGGAGGTATGTTGATGATCAATCATTCAATCAATCCGAGAGATCACTTACACTGCACTGCACTACTTAGGTACCGACAAGTTCTTGGACAATCTGATCAAGATGATCGACAACGATACAGCAACGCTGCTCAACTCTGTAAATTGCCTTCGACTCAACTGTAACACCAGAAACGAAATCACTACCATCATCCAAAGTAACAAGCATGAGAATGTATTGTAATGTATCATTCCTTCTCCGTCTTGGAACCATTCCATTCCACGCCAAGTGCTAACCCGATATACTTACTACAACAGGTTCGCATTACTTGTATCAGGTAACAAACTGATCAGTATAGTTAAACAGAAGAAGTATTCATTGAAGCCACAGGATATACATATATTGATGAACTTTGTATCATCGACATCGTCATTCAGAGAGTCAGAGTCATGGATACCTATCTGTCTGCCCAACTTCAATGACTCTGGATTCCTCCATCTTTACATTTGCTATATTACACCAGACGTTTGTCTACTTCTCTTCTCTGCCCAAGCAGAGGCCTTTTACAATCTCAGCTCATCAAAGAATGCAATAGTCAAGGTATGTCGGTTGCCTATCGTCTTGCTGGCGATTGATTGATCACACTCACTGACCCAATCAATCAATCAATCACAAACATAGGAACTTGAATCAAGAAACTTGGTCGAGGAAATAAGCAAGGCAGTATTGAGCCATCATTATACGGTGCAGCAGACAGAGGTGCCGCACTTGTTGCACTTTATGTATAAATCACGATCGACTCAGTTCACAACGTCACCAATGTTGACGGCGCCCTACATCCAGAAGCAGGAAAAGAAACGACTGTTCCGCTTATACCAGCACATCACCAACCGAGTCAACAACAGCAGCACCAAGCCGCACAAGTACTTCTATCACACCAGCCAGCACGAGACCGTCATCGTCGCCGTGGCCAGCTCGCACGAGCTCTACGCAACATTCAGTCCGCTGGAGACCAAGCAGAACGTCTTTGAATCCTTCTCTGCACTACTGCAATGGATCAAGGACAACGAATCCACACTCTTCATCCAGATGTAATCATCATCGCGACGCGACTCCCTATTGGTGTGGCGTGGCGTGGCCTGGTGTGGCCATCCGCCTCCACCTCGCCTCTGCCCCAGCCCTCTCCTCTCCCTCAAACAACTTCAATCATTAAATCCCTCAATCAGGTAGCTCAGGCTCACAGGATAGCAACAGAATGAACAGATAGACAGACAGAGACGATTGAATGAAATGAATGGGATGGAATGCGCATCTAATACTACTACTACTTGTATTAGTAAGTAGTATTAGGAGCTATTTACAAAGAATGTCGGATTGAAGAGCGCGATGGGCACATAGAACTCCTCTTTGAGGCTCTGGATCGATGAGATCAGGAATTGGTAGCGCTCCTTACGTGTGACCACTGTGTTGTTCTTGATGTGTTGCTTCGAGTACACGTCGTAGATCTTGGACAGCTTGCTCATGATCTCCTTCTGCTTGGAGCACGGGATGAACAGTACGTTGCACATTGGCTTGGTTCGCAGCATGTACAGTGTGTAGTGCGTGAGGTCGGCCAGGTCGTTGTAGGTGAAGACGAGCACGGGGAAGTGGATGCCCTCGTCAAAGTGTTCCAGGTACGAGACGACGTCCGATGTCTTGGTCGTGGACAGGTCGACAAAGTCGTAGTACTTGTTCTTCTTCTTGGCCACGCTGGGCTTCACGCCTAGCTTGATCAGTGGCGAGAGGAATGGCATGTTCTCGTTGGACAGTGAGCGACTGGATGGCACAGACAGTGTCGTGTATATGTTGTGTAGGACTGTCTTGACCAAGTGATCCTTCTTGAGTGCGTCAGTGTAGTGCGCCTTATCGATGGCGGTGTTACAACAACTGACAAACATTGGTATCGTGCCAATATCATTCTTCTCTGCCTCATTCGTATCAATGTAGTTGGTCTTCAACAAGTCGAACAGCGTCAAGTACCTGACCATAAAGTCGGGGATGATCAGTTCCCAAGGGAATACCTGTAAGCTCTTTGAGCAGATGAATATCTACAAATGTGGCGGAGTGAGGGTTAGGATATGGATGCGCTGATTGAATGGCTAGGAGACACATACCAATGGAGTCGTGGATATGTTTGTCGCGGGTAGACTTGACACCATGTCGGTTTTGGAACCAAAGAATACGAATGATTTGCTTGCCTTCTTGAGGGCAGCGGCACTGGCTGATGGCTTGGACTGTGCGTCATGCTTGTCGGATGACGATGGCAGGATCTCAAACAGCGAGGCAAAGGTTGTGTGCTTGAGGTCGGTGATGATCTTCTTGCGATCCATCTCCTCCTGTGCCACATCCTTGAGGGGCGTCAGACTGAGCAGTGGCAGGAACGTCGAGAGGATCTCAGGCGTGAATGTGATGGCCTGGTCGTGGGTCTTGTCCATGGCGGCATCGAGGGAAGTCGCACTCTTCTTCTCATCGCTACTGTTGACAAACAGCGACAGCTGCAGCGGGTTCTGCTCAGAGCATTCACGCATCTCGCGATGCGAGAACACCTTGCAGATCTGGTAGGACAGTTGGTCGAATGAGACGTAGGCCTTGGAGTAGGCAGGGTCGTCGCTCTTGATCATGCGCTTGACCAGGGAGATGAGTGACAGCTGCTGGTTGGTGTATATCTTACGCGGTCCTGAGCCCACGCTCATTGAACGACCGTGCACGTCGTTGGGGTTGTTGGCCTGTGTGACGCTGATTGTCGGGAGGTTGGGATGCGTGCTAATGTGCTGGTGGTGGACAGCGCTGTTGGGTGGCGACGTGGAGTGCAGCACCGGCGTCAGCGGGTGGTGCAAGTGGTGGTGCTCTGCCGAGCGGTCGATTGCGCGCTCCATGGGCGGCGAGTCCGAGCCGTGGATCTCCTCGGTGCCTGGAGGCCCGATCGTCGAGTTGAGGAAGGCAACGAGCTCGCTGTGGAAGTTGGCCGTCTTCTCAATGAACTTGGGCACAGACTTCATTGAGTTGTTGGTCGTGCGGCTGAATGATCCAAAGAATCCCTTCTTCTTGGTATCGTTGCTGTCGACGGCCCAGTATGGCTTGTTGCACAGGAACATCAGGATCTTCTCGAGTGTGATCAACGGGCTGACCACGAATGATACCTTCTCATTGGCGTTGGACAGCAGGTAGATCTCCAGGTACAGCATGTGAGTGGGTGGTGGCATGGGAGTGAGCTCGTCGACACCTCCAATACGGTTGAAGCGCTTGCGACCCGAGCTGGGCACATAATGGATAAAGTAGTTGTCGACTTGTAGCGAGTAGACCAGCTTCTGGAGAGTTGCATTGATCTTTGCCTGCGTGGCATTGAATGACAGCTCCTCGTACTTGGTGGACATGTTGCGTACGCTGCCAGCGGGCGTGCTGCCTACGCCAGCGTTGGATGGAGTTCGCGTGCGGCCACTGCTACTTGGCGAGTCCGACAGCAGGTTGGTCTTGGTCTGGCTGCGGAACAGTGACGCCATGCTGTTGGAGCTGGTGAGCGGGCTGTGCATGACGGGACCCGACGCCGACAACTGTTGCTGCTGCTGGTTGGCCAAGTGATTCTTGTACGAGTTCTGGATCTTTAGAATCTGCTTGATGGTAACCTTGGCGCGCGTTGACAGCTCTTCCTGCGTCAGCTTGCCAATCGAGTACTTCCTGATCTCATTCTTTATCGCGTGCAGTGAGCCCCATATCTTCTCGCCCACTTCATCGCCTGTGTTGACGACCTTCTCCTCGTCGCGTGTCTTCTCTGTGAACGTGAGTGATGATACATTGGTTGCGCTTGCCCCAGATGTTGCGGCGACGGCTGCTGCTGCTGCTGGAGTGTTGCGCACTGGTGATTGAGTGAATGATGCCTGCAGCTTCTTTGAGTTCTTGCCCATCGTCAATGACTTGCCGAGGTAGGGCAAGTAGATCTTGCCAATCATGGGGTTGGCATCATATGACATGGGCTTGTTGAAGTCGATCTGGCGCTTCTTGGCCTGGGCAATGTCCAACTCGAGCGTCAGGTAGCTGTCAATCAGGATCAAGTTCTTGTTGATAAAGTCGTGGTCAAAGGCAAAGAGGAAGCGTATCATTCGCTTGCATGTCGTGTACACTTTCTTGAGGAACTGCAGTGGCGCGTTCTTGCCAATCAAATGTGGGCCATCGCAGAAGAGCGTGAAGTAGAGATTCTTGGCCTCGGTCCAGTATGAGATGGCGAGATCGCGGTCGCCTTGAAGGAATCGCAACTCGGCCATGTTCATGTAGTTGCGTAACAGCTGCAGGATGTTGAATGTGTCCACGTTGATGTCCATCGCTAGTTTGGCAGGGTTCTCAATCAACTCGAAAGAGATGTAGAACTCGGCGACTGGCGCGGGCGTCACGCTGGGCGGACGCATCGTCTCGTTATCCTTGCGTTGCTTGCGCTGTTTGCTCTTGTCGTCTTGTTGACTCAGGTCAATGTCGCGCTGTAAGAATCGGCTGGGCTGGAAGCTGGGCAGACGTGCCACATCGTCAAAGGGGTAGTGAAGGAGTGCGACTGGGCCAAACACACGATCCAGGTAGATCTCTGCGATGCGACTCACTGTCTTTTGGATCTTGACGTCGTTGCCAATAGACTTGAAGTAGCTGTAGGCGCGCTTGAAGCTTGCCACGCCCTCTTGGATCAGATCACCCGTGCACGTGAATGTGGTGGGTGGCGACAGGTCGACAAAGTCGCGCCAGTCCTCGCCCGTTGGCTTCAGGGTCGTGGGGAAGACGATCAATGTGGCGTTGGAGAATGACACGAGCTTCTGGAAGATCTTGCCACGCACGTAGAAGTACTGGCCGCGAGCGTTGAGTGAACTGACCGGACAGGTCTCTAGCGCGCACTCAATGCAGATGAGGGCCTCCTGGAACTTGTTGCTGTGCAGGTAGTTCAGGCAGTTCAGCTCCCAGTACTTGAGGTTGCGCTCGTTCTTGCTGCCGCTGCCGCCCGAGCCACGGATGGCTGGCGGAACGGACACCTTGAGTACGTTCTTGACCTGCGCGTGACTGACATACAGGTCTTCGTTCTCGAGCTGGCTGAGCGTGGAGGTGCACTCGTCGAACCACTCCATCTTGGTGAAGGCTTTGGCCAGCAGCAGCAGCACCGAGTTGAGCTTGCCATGCGGCAGCTGGTGCTTGCGCATCGTGATTAGCAGCTCCAGGCCCTTCTCAAAGTGGTAGCTTTCCAGGTAGAGGTTGGCCAGCTTCATCTGCAGCTGGAAGAATATGGGGTTGTCGAACTTGGGCGAGTCAAAGTGCGTGTGCGTGCCGGCCTTGCCTCCGCCAGCGCCGGTGGCGGGTGGCGCGTCAGGCAGGGCCTTGCTGGACTTTTGCAGGATGAAGAACACCACCTTGAGGTACTCCTCCGAGGGCTTGTACGAGCCCTTCTCCCAGTACAGCGTGCTGATGACGTCGCAAATGTAGATGATCTCGTTGGTCTTGGACTGCGGGTCGTCCTCCAGGTAGTTGTTCAATATCTGTTTGTAATAATAGATGGCCGAGTTGATGTCGTCGTTCTCACGCGCCAGTGCGGCCACGCGACGCAGTAGTGCATTGTACTCGCGGTACTTCTTGCGGATGTTGTAGTTGAGCAGTGCGTTGTCAAAGCTGACGATGGCGTACTGGTACTTGAAGTTGTCGAGCAGCACGCCCGCGTACCCGATCGAGGCGTTGGCCGCCAGCTCCGAGAGCACGAGCGGSMRGGCCACGACGGGCTGGCGGCACTTGTCGATAATGTACAGGCACTCAAAGAACAGCTTCTCAGCGAGCACCAGGTCGCCAACGTCCACGGCATTCAGGCCGAGCGCGTACGCCGCCTTGGCCTTGAGGAAGGTGGCGGGCATGTCTGCGTAGAGGTCGCTCAGCAGCTTGGTGCGCAGGTTCGCGTCCAGCAGCTCTGTCATCTGCGCGTTCACATTGACATCTGTGTATGGGTCGCCTAAACGTCGCGTCGTCAGCGGCGAGATACCATTGAGGTGGAAGTGAATGTCGATCAATGCGCGCACCATCGCGTTCTTGATGCCAATCTCGAGGTAGTCCTTGGGCGATGGTTTGTTGTTGTTGCTGTTGCTGTTGACATTGAGTTGTGCGTTGTCCTGCTGTTGTCTGAGTCGACATTGTTGGTAGACGCGCAGGAATATGTTTAGGGGGTTGATCTTCTCCTCCTCGTTGCCGAGGAACTCGTCGGGACGCGTCCTCAGCTCGGGCTCCTCGTCCGAATCGTTGCTATTGTCATTGGTGTCGTTGTCGCTGTTGCTCTCATTGTCGCTGTCATTGTCGCGAGACTTGTGATGCAGGTGGTGAGAGTACGTCTCGGCCACGAGCAGGTCGACCAGCAGTGAGTTGGTGACCGAGATGTTCTTGAGGCCCTGGAACATGTGCTTGAACGACGAGTCCTCCTCGGGCTTCCACATCTTGGCGGCCAGATAGAGCATCTGGAGCGCGTAGTGATAGGTCGTGTCCTTCTCGTCCATCTCCATTGACAGTCTGTTCTTGTTGTTGATCGGGGCCTGAGGTGTTGCGTTGCTGGACCATCGTCCGCGCGAGGAAGACAGTGGCGACGCGGTGCCGCTGTCCCTCAGGTCGAGGAAGAAGGCGTGGATCGTGTCCCAGCACTGCTCGTCGTAGCCAAAGATGTGCAGCGTGTAGCAGAACTCCAGATTCATCTGTGCCCACTTCTTTGTGTTCTTCTTGTACTTGGACGACTCGAGAATGAAGTCGTTGCGCAGCTCCTCGATGATGGACTTTTGTGGGATGACTCGCAGTGCACGGTCCTCGCCCGTGAGATGCTTGACCATCAGGCTCGCCAGCCACTTGGATAGGGCCTCCTCGTGCATGAATGGATGGCCCTCTGGTGTCGTCATCGTGTAGAGATACGAAGGCTTTGGATACTTGACAATCTCAAAGTTCTGATTGTTGATTGTGTCGATGAGCTTGTAGTGCGCAGGCATCCTGTCCTTGGTGGCAACCGACGGGGCCTGGCCCGTCAGCTGGAGCACTGGACGACTGTCCTCCTCGGACTCGAGGCCCAGCTCGGCGTCCCAATCCTCAGCATCCGACTCGTGATCCTTAGCTGTCGCATTATCCTCTGTTGTCGTGCTGTTATTGTTGTTGCTCGAAGGGGACAGCAGGACGGACGCGCGCATGCCCGTCAGTACGCGATTCAATTCGCCGTACAACAGTATGCACTCATTCTCGAGAGCGCGATCCAAAGTGTTGGTCTTCTTGAGTGCTGCGTATGCTCGCTTGAGGAACTGGATCGACAGGTCAAACTCATTCAGTATCTTGAGTGTCTTGGACATCTGTAGACAGCCGTTGGCCAGCAGGGCATAGTCCTTGATCGCGGCAATGTCGAGGTTGGGGCAGTCCTTGTTGTGAATGTGCTGCTGCGAGCAGTTGCGCACGACCGACCGAATGACGCTCTCAAAGTAGCGCGTGGCGTACAGCGGGGTCTCGGTGGTCATGTAGCAGAGGCCCAGCTCCATGCTGATCTTCTGGTGCATCGCGGCGAATCGCTTGAGGTCCGTGGCGCTAGTGTCCAGCGCCTTCTTGAGGTACTCGGTCGTGTTGAAGATGTTTGCCATGGCCTTGGACGTGATGCCCAGGTGGAAGTAGAGGTTGACCTCGTAGTCGCTGTTGTCCTGGTCGATCGGCGTGTCAAAGTCGTCCCTGTACTCTTGATAGATCTTGTTGGCCATGCTCAGCTGATTGGATGCCAGTATCGTCTGTTGATTGGACGAATACAACACGCCCAACTCATAATAAAGCTTTGACAATTCCAACTTTGACTTGCTCTCATTCAATGATGCCTTCTCAATCTGTTGACTCTGATTCTCTATCTTCCTCTTCATGTCTGTCTCTGTTGTTGTTGTAGTGATGTGATGGGGAGAGGGGGTGGAGAGAGGGTCAGTGAGTGAGGCCAGGGTCCAAAGGGCCTTGAGGCCTTCGAGCCAATGCATACCTGGCACAAGCTTTAGTCCATTTAGAGGTGGTGTCTTTGACTCGGTAATACGTTTATCGCTTAAATCTACATCAATTCCGACTATATATGTGATTGATCGATCGATCGATGATTGCGTGCGTGGTCAGTGGACTGGTCGCGCATGATCAGGTGGGATGATTCCAAACATACAATTCAATATTGACAATAACTCTGACACTGTACTTGGCAGCTTGTTGTCTGTTGTGATGGCGGAGGGTGGCATTGATCGTACACGTGAGAGGAGGTTGCTAGCTGGTGTGAGTATGGACTTGCTGTTGGACTCGGATTCAGAGCTGTCGTTAAAGACAAAGTCGTCGTCCCAGTCGGCCTTGGCCGAGGGGTCGGCACGGATACCCAGAATCTTCATCTGGGGCTGCTGGAGCAGCGACGAGGACGACGTCGACGTGGTGCCGCTGGCCAGCTGCGCAGCCAGGCTCACTGGCGACGACGAGCCGCCAAAGTCCGCGTCCCAATCCTCTTCGTCCGAGTCCTCCTTCCTATTCTCCAATATTGACTTTGATGGCGATGGTGATTTGGCCCAATCGTCATCATCATCGTCGTCATCGCCAAATGGGTCATCCTCATCCTGTTGCTGTTTCTTCTGTTGTTGTTGTTGTTGTTGCTGTTGCTGTTGTTGTGTCATTGTAGTCTTGCCATTTGGTGTTGCAATCTTACTTGATGCACTACTCAATGCTGGTGTACTACTCGTGCTGCTACTTCTACTGTTGTTATTGTTGTTGTTATTGTTGTTGATATTACTTGTTGTTGTTGTTGTGCTGCTACTGCTGTTAATACTACCAATTGATTGTTGCTGTTGTTGTTGCTGTTGTTGCTGTTGTTGCTGTTGACCTTTGGTCGAGGGGGATGTTGGAGGAGACAATTGATTGGAGGACTTCTTCTTTGATAGTACACCTGTTGTCAGCTTCCTCTGTAATGACAAGTTAATGTTTGGTTCAACTCCAAACTCTGCATCCCAATCCTCATCATCGTCAACATGTGCCATTATAGCATTGACTTATAAATATATATGATTGAATGAATGAATGAAATGATTGATTGATTGATATGTTTGATTACTTCGTTCGCTAAACTAACTGTATGTTGTTTGATATATGTTATATATATATGTGATTGTGTAGTAGTAGTAGTAGTAACAGTAGTCGTAAGAAGTAATAGTAATTGATATTATTGGGGTAGAGAGAATGGATGCATTTGTTTGTTTGCAAATGGACTGTTGTTGCTGTTTGAATCAAAAATTTAAAAAATAGATGGATGTTGGTTGTTGGGTGAGAATGAATGTGAATGATTGCATGAAAGGGTGGTGAGTGTGATCGGGAATCAATCAATCACACATAAATAGGTTAGGAGGGAACAAACAAAGGTTATGTGACTGAGAGTGATGGAGAGTGTGTGTGGTTATGGTGGGGGAATGCATGTCCATGATCATTGGGGGGTATGGGACAAGGTTGGCGGATTGGTGAGAGACAGAATCATCATTTGAAGGGACCAATCATTGATTGATTGAAGTTGGATTGAGTGTCCAATTCACTTAATGATAATCAAATATATATTGTTATTTAGATGGATGAGTGAGGCTTAAGAGTCCACACAATTGACTTTTGTTGATTGATTGATTGAAGTTTGAACATACCATTAGCATTGTTGGTTGTCTATGTTGATAAAGTAATAGTTGTGTGTAGTAGTAGGATGAAGTTGAGAGGGTAAATGTGAACATGTGGATATTGATGAACTTACACAAAGAATCATCTTTCTTCTTTGTTAAAGTCAGACTTAATAATAATTAGAAATAATGATAATGATGATATTTGATTGGACAGACTACCACGACATAAATGTTACACCGATGGTATTTATTCGTTGGATATTTCATTCATCACTCCCCATTATCCTCTTCCTAAAGTACTACACGAGAGACCATTGTTGTTTGAATGATCCATCACCAATCAAATCCAAGAGAGTGTGAGCTGGTTGGTGGTCTATCCACATTATCGCGAAAAGTCCAACTTTATCTGAACATCACACACTCCACTTCTCTTCTTTCAAATTCAAAGTCGAACACATTCATTCATTCTCTCATTCATTCAATCAACCATTCAATCAAACAATACAATATGACTGAAGTACTAGACAACAACAATAATACAATGTCTGTCGAATCAACACAGACACAGACACAGACATCTACAACAACTATAACATGTATAAAAGAAATGACAGATATCGGCGCAGTACTCTTATCACAAGGTGCAGAGGCTGTAAGTAAACACGCAACTCGACAATGACGACTGAATGACTGACACGATGAATGAATGTAGAAAACATATAGATATATACTAAATGGAATGGAATGTATTGTCAAAGAGAGATTCGTAAAGAAGTATAGACATCAGTTATTGGACGCAAAGATACAGGCAAAGAGATTGTTGATGGAGGTGCGCAACATTAATAAGTGTCGTCGTCATCAGATACCAGTGCCAACACTATACTTTATTGATACTGTTAGCAATCGTATATATATGGAGTATGTCGATGGTCAGACCGTCAAGCAATACCTTTGGGATAACAAGCCAACTTCAGCTCTGACATCATCATCAACTTCTACCATCATCACATCGATATGTCGTGACATTGGTAGATTGGTTGCAAAGATGCATGATAATAATGTGATACATGGTGACTTGACAACATCAAATATATTACTACGCAATGGTAGTGGAGAGGATAGCAATCTGGTATTCATAGACTTTGGATTGAGCTATGTGTCAACGATGCAGGAGGACAAGGCTGTGGACTTGTTTGTGTTGGAGCGTGCGTTCATAAGTACTCATCCAGACTCTGAATCATTGTTCTCCAGTGTGCTCGAAGGCTATGCAAGCTATTCAAACAAGACCAAACAGATACTTGACAAACTGGACCAAGGTGAGCATCGTCCAGGTCCTCTCCAGGTCACGTCCAAACATCGACTAACCATCCCTCCTCACTACTTTTAGTTCGTCTGAGAGGCAGGAAGAAGCTTGCCTTTGGTTAATGGTTAACCATTAATGTCGCGAGGACACACCATCTCTCAACCAATCAATCATGGCATGGGTCCCAATCTCACATCAATCCAATGAACTACACTCTGTAGCCCACCACAGAAAAGGGACCACACAACCAAGCCCCACACATCCAATCGATCACGCGAACGATCACCTGATCAAAAAAGGAGTGGTGCCACAAAAACGAAGTCGTTTTTTCATTGATCACAAGGGTTGTTGTGTTCCCTTTGCAAACCATCCAATGCACATACACGAACCGGCACCCATATAAATTGATCATGCATCGTTCAATCATTCACTCATTCAATCATTGATCACTCAATCATCTTGGTATTATTATTATTTATATCTTCATATAACAACATATATATAATATAGTAAAACAATGAAAAGGTCATTGTTATCAGATGATCAGTTACAGGAACGATCAGGGGACGATGGGACTTCATCATCTGGATTATATAGTGATGGGGACATGTTGGACTCATCAACAACTTATGCATTCACACAAGGTTTAGACAATGCTGTATGTGTCTGTTCATTCAATCATTGGTATTAGCAACAATCCATCAATCCATCCATCCATCCACAATCAATCAATCAATCATACCTTGACATGATTGGAAGGTTATTAGGTGTGTGATCAGTGTGTGTGTGGCGAGTGTGAGTGGTCGATCAATCATTTATCGAATATCGCTCATCAGACTACATTCCACATCCACCACACCACACCACTTACCAATGCTTACCCTTACATGTTCACAAGGTCCATTAACTTTATCATATCTATTTGATGGATGAATGTTAACATTTGAATGTCCTCTATGTAATACAATGCACCCCTCACTCCTCAATTCAATGCACCACAATCTCCAACCTACAACAAAGAGTGCTAAACCAGTCAAGAGTTGACTAGCATGGTCTGGCTAATGCTCAATCCATCCTCCATTCACTCATCCACATTCATCATCAATCACATATTTGTTAGAACATAATATTGAGATCACTTGGATCAACTCCATTATTATTCAATCATTATCCAAACTCCACACTTCCATTATCCATTATCCAACTTCCAACTTCCAACTACCACACACATATATTGACCAAGTTTACTAAAACCTTGGAAACATTAATTCAAACAGATGACAGCTGGTACCAATGTCAAAGAGGGCATTATGACCTTTGGCCAATTGGCCACAAGAAAGAAATCAATGGAGTCATTGAAACGCGAGATGGACGAGACTACAGACGCAAATGGCGAACCCAAACTGAAAAAGTGTCTGACAGTGTTTGATCTGTTGGCATTTGGCGTTGGATCAATCATTGGTTCGGGTATATTCGTGTTGACAGGTGTCGCCGCCAAGGAGAAAGCTGGACCAGGCGTCGTCCTGTCCTACCTCATCTCAGGTTTTGCATGCGCGCTGTCTGGCCTGTCGTATGCAGAGTTTGCCACACGTGTCCCCAGCTCAGGTTCAACATACTCCTACTCCTATATCGTGGTTGGCGAGCTTGTCGCTTGGATCATTGGATGGGACCTCACACTCGAGTACATGATTGCCAGCGCGACTGTGGCGAGAGGATGGAGTGGGTACTTTGGATCAATCATTGACGCGGCCGGAGGCACACTGCCACACCCCTTCGCGCCATATGTCCTTGGCCATGGATTCTCATTCGACCTCATTGCCTGCCTTTCCATCATACTGCTGACGATCATAATTGCACTGGGCATGAAAGAGTCCGCCAGATTCAACAAGATATTCGTGGTGATCAAGGTGGCCATTGTGATCTTTGTCATCATCTGTGGATCATTCTACACCAACACGGACAACTGGGAACCATTCCTACCGTTTGGCACCAAAGGTGTAATGAGTGCTGCGGCCATAACATTCTTTGCCTATTTAGGCTTTGATGGAGTTTGTAATGTTGCCGAGGAGGTGAAGAACCCACAGCGCGACCTTCCCATTGGTATCCTTGGCTCCCTTGGTATCTCCACCGCACTCTACCTTGCAGTGAGCGTTGTGATCACACTCATGGTACCCTACAATCAGATGTAAGTGCACTATATCTCAATCATTCAATGAATCAATCACGCACTCACACGATCAATCAATCAATCATTCCACAGGGACATCAACGCGCCACTGTCAGTAGCGTTTGGAAACTTTGGATTGAAGTGGGCACAGATTATTGTTAGCATTGGAGCGTTTGCTGGATTGACCACGGCACAGCTGTCTGGTCTGATCAGTCAGCCAAGATTATATTACTCATTGAGCAGGGATGGATTGCTACCAAAATGGTTCTCAAACATACATCCTCGCTTCAAGACACCATTCAACTCTACAATATTCACTGGAGTGTGTGCTGCCGCTGTCGCAGCCTTTGTCGAAATCGACATCCTAGCAGACATGGTCTCAATTGGCACCCTGCTCTCCTTCTCTCTCGTTGCCACCTGTGTCCTAATCATGCGTTATCCAACAATCACTCACAAGAGTCAATCGAATGGTATGTCCGTCCATCACTCAATCAATCACAAACATGGAGCCAGATAACTGACATCCCTCCCAACTCTTAGCCAAATGGATTGTAAAGGACTTCCCTGTATGGATGCAACGTCCATTGTACTTGTGCATGGCTATTGCAATATGCTCAGCACTATGTGGCGCCAGCTATACTTATGGTATTCATTATGCGATGGTCATCGTCTTTGGAGTGCTCGCACTGATACCTAGTGTGATCATGTTCTTCTTGGTCCAGACCAATGTGCCATTGGGCTTCAAGTGTCCCCTGGTACCATTCCTACCCGTGCTCTCAATCTGGGTCAACATGTACCTGATGATCTCACTGAGTTGGGGCACATGGGTGCGACTGATCGTGTGGCTGATCATCGGACTGGCCATCTACGTCTTTTACGGACAGAAGCGAAGTATTGTTGGCAAGGAGGTGGTGGACAAGGAGCTCAATGACATTGGCAGTGACAAGCAAGTCCTGGACGATGAATCAAACAATGAGAAGATGGACCTGTCCCTTCCACTCAACACATCAAGCACAGCCCAGCCATTGCTTGGAGATGGCAACACCAACACAGACCTGCTGAATAGCACGAACTCCCTAGGCATCGATCCCTCGCCAACATCCAGTCCCTCAGTCGGCTCATCATTGGGCAGTGACCAAGAGTAGATTGATTGATTGAGTGATTGAATGAGTGAATGAATGAACGAACAATAAACTCGAGTGACCATCATGTCAGTCAGCGCGTGTTTTATCTAAGACAGTTGTCTCTTGAGCTCGAGAAGTGAGGCGATGGCTTGGCTGCATTCCTTGATCAATGAGCAGTCGTTCTTGGTGTCGTTGATGCTGGTGCTGTTGGCAAGTCTTGACTCTGCCTCTGACAGTTTGTGAAGCAATGTTTGAAGTGCCCTGTCCACTACATCGGGCATCTCGTTCAACTCTTGATGTGATGATGATGACGATGACGATGATGTATCCATACGTTTGACTACATTGTTGTTGTTGATGTTTGGTCTTGTCGATGCAGCAGGCGCCAATGGAGCAGTAGTGGCCTTATGAGGTGTAGTCGACAACGATGTTGATGTGGACAGAGGTGATGATGAAGATGCGCCAGCCAGTGTGTTGCAGCAGTTGTCTGGTACAACATGTTGTTGATGAGCTGGGAGTTGCATTGGTTCAGGATCAACAACCTTCTTTTGCCTCTTAAGTTTTGGTTCCTTTGTTGGAGTGACCTCTTGTATCTGTGATTGTGCCTGTGATTGTGCTTGGTCTTGTTGCTTCTTGATCTCCTTTGTTTGAACAGCCTTAAACATTTGCTCGACACTCATTGCAGATGCTTCACAAGATACACAGTGATACATCTTCTCTCTGTCTCTCATCAAAGGTGTGCCGGAGCATTCATTGTTGGGGCATTCATCTCCGAGACTATAAAAGTGAGTGTTTGAATGGTATGTTAGTCATCATCATTCACTCACTCGTTATTGTGAACGGATGTATACATACAGTGCCCAACCCATGAGCAACTTCTGACCCATAATAGCACTGACTTCATCAGACTTCTTCATCCTCTTCTCGAATGCAATACGTTCACTCTCTGTCCATGTTGCCTCTTTATCGTCGTCAAAGTAGTCATCCTCAATCTCATCATCATCCATATCCAAGTCATGCTGTTGCATTACACTTGAAGTCTGTTGAGTCGATGGTGTCGTCGTTGTAAATTGAGCTTGTGCTGGTGTTGCAGAGGGAGCAGGAGTACGTAACAAGCCAGGCATGAACTCGTTTTGTTGTTGTTGAGTAGATGATGTTGTTGTCGTTGTCTGTTGTTGTTGTTGTTGTTGCTGTTGTGTTGGACCTTGTGATACTACAACCAAGTCACCAGTTTCTTTATCTCTCTTTAGACTTCTGTTACAGTTGACACATTGAACTACATTATTCTTCTTATCCTCTACCAATGGCACAATCTGACACTTTGCACATACTACATCCAACAATGTCCAGCCTAACAGCATCTTCCTGCTTAGCAACATTGATACATCTTGTTGTCCATTCATTCTTTATCTTTATCTCTTTATCTTCAATTTGAAATCATATCCAAAATGAAGTCTTCACAATTCTCAAGTCTCTGTTTGAGGGCGAGGGTGAGGGTAAGGGCAAGGGTAGGGTATCATGAATTTATTCTCCTTCCGAGGATCAACGAATAATACAAGATTTATAGAGTCTGCGATCTATATGATGATCATCATCATTGATGAGTGTCCATGTGTTGTCTTGTGTTGAGTATCGATGGTTCTTTCCAGTGCCACAAATGAATATTATTGTTCCATTTGATTGATCATATTCAAATTGACAAGATTTGGTTAATACTGGACATAAGGCCAGGTTGGTTCTCTCTTTCTTTGATAGACTGATCCTGAGAAAGATGTCATCTCGGTGAAGGTAAAGGTAGTCAATGCCATCGAAACAATAAGGACTGCAGTCCCATGAGCCAAAGTAAATCCTATCGACAATGAGCTCGCTAACCAGTGTCACAATGTTGAAGGATATGATTCTTCGGCCATCAACAAGAGTGTAGAGGCAGCTCTTGTGGAATATGAGGAATGTGGATGACCTAACTGCGAGATCACCAACATGTTTAAATTGTTGTGTTTCAATGTCAAAGCAGTCAACACTGCTATGGGAGGCTCTCTTCCATCAACGAGGTAGATATTTTTGTCCCCATCATAGCATACATAGGTAAATTTACCTCCACTGACAACTCCATCCATGTCCCCAGTGTGCCTTTGTTTGTCCTTGAGTGAGTAGCGAATGTATTTGTTTGCCTCCATGCCACCAAACGCATAGATATTACCACGAGCATATACGATATTTGTATTATTTAGATCTTGTATGGGTAATAAGTGATCAACTGTTGTCCATGTAGATGTCTTTGGTGAGAAGAATGAAAGTTCATTCTCATCCATTGAAATGATTTGACCAACCAGCTCGGGTGGCGCCAAAGCACTGTCTTTGCAAAGAAATGGTGTAAACTCCACGAGTTGGAAACATGACTCTATCTGTCTCTTGATGTCATTGTACTGTGCAGCATCAAAGTTGATAAGATGTGCTTGTCTCCAAGTGGACTGATCGTCATATGGCATACGTTGCATATGTTCAATGTGGCCACTGATCATTGTCAACAGCTCATTATCACTGATACCCTGTTGTTGTTGTTGTTGTTGATCATTAGATGTAGATGTTATGAACTGTTCAAGTGATGTGCATGATGAGACTGATTCGATCACTTGAGTAAAGTCTTTTGATTGGTTGACCTGGTCGACGACGTCACTTGTTGGTTGTTGATTGTTCATTAGTTGAGTGAGATGATTGATCTCAATGAGTATGTTGTTGATGGTTGATTGAATGACTGACATCTGATCATTGATCGGTTTCTTCACATTGTGCTCTTGAGCGACAAGTAGTTTGATCAACTGTTCAAATCGATCTGTTATATCTGCATGTGTCTGTTGTAATGATTGATAGGTCTTTGTACATTGTTGAAGAGTACTCCATAGATGTGCAAGTCTTGGTGTACACCACAATGATTGATAATCTCTTTGTGCCATACTCTGTTTGATCCTTGCAACATGATCCAACTTATGACCTTGATGACTCTCTACCAAACATACAGGACATACTACCAAATTGCAATCCATACAAATAAACTCTGATGACATACTAGTATGTATAGAGCAACTTACTTTTGATGTCATTGTTCTTAATATTAATTATTATTATCTCTTGTGATTACAAGTTATGAGTAAGAATGACAAACTAAAGTTCAAAATTCAAATGAATGAGGGCAAGGGCAAGAAGAATCCTAAAATAATTTATTGATCTAATCAATCTATCAATCTATAATCATACATGAAATATAATCACTTCTATCATCTATATGATCATCATCATTGAACAGTGTCCAGGTGTCTTTGGAGATTGAATATTCATAGTTCTTTCCAGTGCCACAAAGGAAATAAAGATTTCCAGATAATGGATCATATACTAAAGAACCAAGGGAATAATCTAAAGGACTATTTGAAAGAACAATTTGTTGTTTGTTTGAAAGAGAATATGCTATTAAGGATTTTTGAATTAGATTATAAACCTTGTCTTCTCCATCATAGCATATATTCGAATGTCTAAATGAAAAGTCATGGATATATATCTCATTTTGTGTCCACTGGCTATTAATACGATATGTGTCTGGTTCAAGTCTACTTTTTGCCAATGAGATAAATATGTTTCTTGCCATCAAAACAACTATAGCTTACATTGATTCCATTGACTCCAATTATATCTGCTTTGTAACTTTGATTGTCACGAAATGAATAACTATAGTAATGTTGGGGATAGTCCCATCCACCAAACATATATATATGTCAACGGGCATATATATAATGTGACATTGTATAATATATGCACTGATTGCCCAACGACGACCATTTAGAATTTGCAGGAGAGAATAAGGATAGTTCCTGTCCAATCCTCAATGACATTACTTGCCCTTTGAACTTTGGTGGAACCAATGATGTATGGTCACTTCTAAGAATTGGAGCATATTCAATGAGTTTGAAACAAGACTCAATGTCTCTCTTGATCTGATTGAACTTTGATAAATCAAGATTGACCAAGCATGTATGTTTCCAAGTTGAAGAATCATCATATGGTGTCTTTCCAACTAGTTCTATATGATTATTAATCATAACCTTGAGCACATCTTCGCCAGCATCTTAACACTCCATTTGAGTTGTTTCCTTGATGAATTGTTCAATCGACTTGCTAGATGTGATTGTTTGGATGACAGATGTGAAGTCCTTCTCATCCCCAACAGGTACATCATCATCAACATTAATAGTTGGTTGTTTGTTATATTATTTATATCATTTATCTCTGAGATGATATCATTGATGATTGATTGAATGCAAAACATTTGATCTTTGATTGGTTTCTTTATTGTATGTTCTTGAGCAATCAACAACTTGATCAATTGTTCAAAATGATTAGTTGTATCTGAGAATGTAGTTTGTAATGATTGATATGATGATGCACATTGTTGAAGAGTAATCCAAAGATGAACTAATCTTGGTTTACATTTATTATCTCTATATTCCTTCAATATATAATTGTTATTATTATCATTATTATTATCATTATTATTGTTATTGTTATTGTTATTGTTATTGTTATTGTTATTATCTTCTTCTTCATTCAACTCAGGTCTCTTTATTGCTCTCCACTTCCTTTTTATTTGTTTATTCATTACCATTATTATATGTATGTATGATTATGTTGAGGTGTGAGACTTAGAATGAAGTAGATGATGCTAGCATCACTTTAGATGAGTGTCACTATGGATAATCAACTCTTTGATTAAAGTCTAAAAATAGCTTGTCGTCGAGGAGGATCGTGCCAAGTTGCCAATGGTCGACCAGATGTGACAAACAATCGAAAGAATCAACACAATTATCGAAGAGATTGCGCATATTACAACATTGATCAATACGAGCACGCAAGAAGAAGAGGGAGGAGGAGGAGTAGTGGTCAAGGCTTGTCGACGACAAGTCGATAAAGATGATGAAGAAGACGTTGTTGGTTTGATCAAATCGATACAATCATCACAATCACTGGAACACTTTATCACTCATCTCAGTCACGGAGGAATGGAACAACCATCACTGTTGATAGCTCAATCAATCTCTCTACTAGTCCATGTCTGATTATCCATTTCCCTGGATTGATTGATTGATTGGAACATGTAATACTAATATTACATCAATATTCACACAATCATCCAATCAAATATATTCCTTTATTTAATTAATCTATTATCAGACATGATGTGTAACTCTTACGACAGGTAATATGATCATCATCATTGATTAGGGTCCACTTGTTGTCCAGTATTGAATATTGATGGTTCTTGTCAGTGCCACAAATATATAATACTGTTCCAGATGACGGATCGTAGACCAATTTACCAAGTGAAGGATCTATTGGTATCTGGGATAGAATATTGTGTTGACCGTTGGATAGAGAATATCTAATGAATGTCTTTTCATAGAGAAAATAGAATTTGTCAAGGCCATCGAAACAAAACTGGTACTTCGAGACATAGGTGCCAATATTGATCAATCTCTGAGTGACTAATGTAGAGACATCAAACGAAATTAAACTTAACTGGTAGTCGATATTGGCATAATAATATATAGAACCATTGAAGAATATCACATTGGAATGCATGAGAATTCTTCTCTCCAGTTGTCCAACTTGTTTGAATTGCTGGGAGTTGATGTTAAAAGAATATATAAGATGATCTCTATTTCCAAAGTTTTCAATGGCAATAAGATAAATATGTTGGTTTCCATTATAACATGAATATATAGTTTGAAATCCATCCCCTCCAATAAACATATCGGCATTGTGAAATTGTTTATCACTAAGTGAGTAGCGAGTGTATCTGCCTGAATTAAATATTCCGCCAAAGAAATAGATATAGCCCTTGGCATAAACAGCCTGTGCACTTGTACCAAAATTTGATGACTTAGAATAATTCCCAATTGATGTCCATTTGGAAGTTGATGCTGAGAAGAATGAGCATTCATTGTGAGATATTGACAAGACCTGAACTTTGAACTCAGGTGGCGCTGACGCATTGTCCATCATATGATTATCAATGAGTTTGAAACATAATTCTATCTCTCTCTTGACTCCATTCAGCTTTGCCATGTTAAAGTTGATGGACCATGATGGCACAATGGATGTTCGGTCATTATAAGGTGCTCGAGTGATATGTTGACTATGATGGCTGATCATTGCCATCAACTCTTGATCGTTTACCTTCTTACTATCCAGGCCAATGGGCAAACACTGTTTGATGTATTGTTGAATTGATTGACATGAATTGATTGATTGTAGTGTATCATGGATGTCCTTGCTGTCTTCATCATCGTCATCCACAACAATAGGTTTTTTATGTTCTTCCATATGAGAGATGTCATTGATCTCGCTGATTATATCATTGATCATCGATTGAATATTCGACATCTGAGCACTGATTGGTTTCTTGGCTCTGTGTTCCTCAACCATTATAACTTTGATCAACTGTTCAAAACGAGATGTTATTTCTGAACAGGTGTTCTCCAAAGATTGATATAATGTTGAATATTGTTGAAGAGTACTCCAGAGATGATCCAATCTTGGTTTACACAAAGTCTCTTGATGCTCCTTCATTTTGGTCGCCACCATCTTATCCAACTTGTGACCATGATGGCCCTGAACCAAACAAACTGGACATATTGCAACTCTTTTGCAATTCAAACATATAAAGTTGGTTGGTAATCTATGTGCTGTACATCTAACTCTTGTTGTAGTAAGAGCTGGCATTATTTGTTTGTTTGTTATCTCTAATGTCGTTAATAAGTGAATAAAAAAAAATGAATGAGTAAGTCCTTTTTGAAAGCCCACCTGATTTGCAAACTGAGTTTGCAAAAAAAATTGAAGGCCTGTAGGGAATGGTGATCAAAAACTGGAGGAGTTATAATATGGGTACAGGATATGTTGGATTTATAGTTGTGTTGGTTTAGTTTGTGTCGCCAGGTTGGACCTGCCTGCCTGGCTGGGCTGGACTGGAAGTTTGATTGATTGATTGACTGTTCGATGTGATTGAATGATTGGTTGATGGTTGAGTGGCGCTCAACTTGCTCAGCAGAGTCCACAGCACTGTCTGTTGTGACGTGCATAGTTGTTGTGACTGATCAGGGGTACCTCGTCGTCGTTTCTGTTGCCATGGCCATCCAACTGACTCTGAAGGAATTTGTTGAGATCGCGCTCATTCTGCAGCTTGGAACTCAGCTCGTCGATTCTGGCCCTCAGTGACCTCGTGTTTGAGCTGTCCTCTTCCACCTCAAACACCTGCTTCTGTTGATGTTGCTGCTGTTGCTGCTCGTGCTGCATACTCTTGACTTGGTTCCTCATCTCGCCTAGTCTCGCCTCGTAGTCCTTCCTCTGCGTGTCAAAGGTTCCCTGGGCGCCGGCCAGCTGCGTCTTGAGTGTCTCGTTCTCGGCCTGGAGCGCGCCATGTGTGCTCTCTAGTTGCTGCAGACGAGCCTGCTGCTGTGTGTGAACGGCCAGCTGCTGGGCGTGTTGTTGGCGCAGCGTGTCCAGCTCCTGGGAATGCTGTTGGCGCATGGCTCCAAGCTGTGTCTCGAGCTCCTGTGCGCGCTGTCTGGTCTGGGTCAGCTCGCCATTGTCTTGGCTCTGTTGTTGTGTGAGTTGGGCCTGGGCTTGAACCTGGGCCAACTCCTGGGCATGCTTTTGGCGAAGTGTGTCGAGCTCGGTTTGATGTTGCTGCAGCTGGGTCTCCAACTGCTGCGCACGCTGCTGCGCCTGTGAAAGTTCGTTTTGCTGTTGCGCGCCGCTCTGTGTGCGCTGCTCAATGTCGTCCTTTTGTTGTTGTACAATGGTTTGGAGCTGGGCGATCGTCGATTGGCTGGACGACTCAACCTGTGCCTTCTCCTCCGCGCTCTGACTCTGCACCTGCTGGAGCTGCTCGGTCAACTGCTTCAAGCTCTGTTGGGCGGTCTCTGCATCGCGCTGCATTGTGTCGCGCAGTCCCTTGTTCTCCTCCTTTAGGCCGTTCAGCTCGTCGATCGATACCTCGGGCGTGGCAGCAGCGGCAGTGGCAGCGGCATCATTGGCCGCTGACAGCTTGGCGACGACCACAGCCATCTCAGCTTCGAGCGACTTGACCTTGGCTTGCATGGCGCTTAGCTCTTGGGCGCCCGCGTCGAGCTGGCCATTCAGCACCTCCTTCTCCTGCTTCAGCTTGTTGGCCTGGCGTTGGACCTCTGCGCGCTGCTCGCTCGACTGCTTGAGCTCCTGCTTGACCTGCTCGATCGCCTCCTCCAGCTGCTTGACCTGGCCGCCCAGCTTCTCATTCTGGGCCAGGGTCTTCCTGTTGCTGATCACGGTCTTTTTGAGCAACGCGTTGTCGTCGGACAGCTTCTCATGCGCCTCCTTCACCTGGCGCAACTGATCCTCGACCATCACAATCTTTGTGCCCAGATGCTGGTTCTCCTGTTTGAGCATCGCCTCCTTGCGACGCAGCTGGTCGACCATCGCCTGATCGACGGCAATGCTCTCCTCTGTGAACACCTCGGTCTCTTGCGGGATCATCGCCGAGCGCTTCTTGATCATCTGTGCGATGGACACTGGTGTGACCCAGCTTGAGGCGCGGCCACGCACCTTGATCGTGGAGGTGTCCTCGTTGGAAGTGTTGTTGGCCTGCTCTTCCGAGTCTTCGGCGTTGGTGGTTGCCGATGAGTCAGTGGTGGAGTCTCCAGTGTTGTCCGCGTTGGACTCTTGAGTGTTTGGCGCGGTGATATGTTGGATGGCGCTCATAAACTGATTGAAGTTGACTCCAGTGGCTGTCTGTGATGCGCCATCATCAGAGAACATGCCGACGATGTAATCAATGTCGTCTTGGTCGTCTCCCTCAATGCCACTCTTTGTCTTTATATCAATGAGCATCTCTCTCAGCTGTTCCATATTGACCACTCCATCATTATCTGTATCGAATGAATTGAATATACTTCTAATCATATGTTCATAGTCGTCTTGTGATTTGTTCAATGTATACTGCAGTGGGTGGTTGGGGGTAGTGTGTGGGTGTGGGGTGGGGATGGGGGTGGAATGATTCCAATCAGTCAGTCAACCAATCAATCAATCAGTGAACCAACGATCAAGGTATATAACATACACTTCCAGAAGACTTTAGAATCTCTTCAATCTTTTGCTCATCGATGGGTTCATCATCGACATCATCATGATTGTTACCACCCTCCAACTCTGAATGAATGACAGCATAACCCTTGACAAACTCCTCGAATGCCAACTTTCCATCTCCATCAGTATCCAATGACTTCATCAATGTATCAAGTTCCTCTTCCTTATCCTCCAAACTCTAAAATTGATTGATTCAATGATGTGTTAGATGATACTGGCCCGCCTCTAAGGTCCTACTCAACAATGTATATATTTACAGCATTTGTTATCTTTGCCACTAGACGACCAAGTTGATTCCTATCGATGAATCCACTGCCATTGGTATCGACCTCATTGAAGATGGTCTGAAGTTGATCAAACTGTTCTTGATTCATTGTATGTAAATGTAAAGAAGTAAGTAACTATGTTATGGATATAAATATATCTCGGATGAATGAATGAATGATTGGTTGATCAGTCAGTGTTCGTGTTGTTGTCAACATTGATCAGAAACAGTGTGTGAGTTGGAAACAAAAGGTGCAAAGCTTCTGTGTTTGGCAATCGAGGTAAAAAATATCAGGGCTCATTGTTCGTCAAACTTTTCCAACATTGATCGGAACTTCTATTTTTTATGTTTTACTCATTATTTTATAGAAGATAGATAGTCAATGATCATTGATTGATTGATTGGTTGATTAGTACCAAATATAAATAATGATTCGAATATATTCTTGGTTATATTTCAACCATTGTCCAATGAGGATTGGTTCTCCCTCACATGATGATCATCATGTGAGTCGGGTTTGGTTTCTCCCTCCTTTTTGAAAATTCAAATTCAAATAGTCCGTTGGAATTCAAGGATGGTAGAGTGTGTTTAACTGTCTGATGCGGGTATTATAATAACAATGCATGGATTGACTACTGTCCCAGTGCAAATCAATCTTGCAAGATACCAAGAGAGGGGGCTCCATCCATACTATCAAACAAACAAACAATTAATCAACCAAGCAACAACAACCAACCACATTATAATCATTCATTCATTCAGTGTGTTACTTACTTATTAACAAACAAACAAACAAACAACCATTAGGTGGTTAACAGCAACATCAACCATCGACCATCATCCAACATTAACCATCATCATCCAACTCATTACCAACTCATTGCTCAGTCAGACAGTCGAGGATACTCGTTCAAACACAAAGAGATAGATAGTAATACATAACATATTCAAAGTACAATCATAGACGATATACAATCAAACTTAAAGTAAGTATAATGTAATAATAACATACATATACTTAGTAGTTCAGGTCCAACATCAACAACACTCATTGTCACTTTTAAAAGTCAACGTATTCGTTGTCATCTTTTTAAAATTGAAAGCGCGCACTATTTTTAAAATGTTTCCTATTCCATCCAACCATCAATTATTGGATATCTGGACTGTACTAGTACTAGACAGGAACATCCAATTATAATTATAGGTTGTTTTAAGCTTGACAACATCCATTTATGTGTATTGTCATCATCACACACATATATAAACAACCACTAAACACACTCAAACACACACACCATCATTCGTCAACATCAATCAATCACAATCAACTCTTGTGTGTGAGAGTGTATTAGTGTGTGTCACATGCTTTAGCGAATTAGTGAGGTGATCCAAGACATAATCACGCATTGCGCAGGTTAAGTCATGTGACTCAGTTGTCGGTGGCAGTGGCAGTGGAGGTGGCAACAACGCAAACACAAACATGCATTTCCCAACTACTGGATGTAAATCCAGTGCACCCATTGTATAGACAGTCATTCAATCAAAGTTGTCTTGTTGTTGTGTCGTGTCGTCCAAAAGCAGGATGTTGTTGTTGTTGTTGTTGTTGTTGGTAGTGGATGTGATGTTATAGGACGAGATGGATGGATGGATTAATGATGGTGATATTATAATGATTGAACATCCATCCACATCAATCAATCTCAATCTCTCTTTCAATCTCTCACTCTCACTTTCTACTCTTTCTTTAATCTGTTACCATTGTAACTTTGACAAACAAGTTGTTTGAAAGAGTTATTGACAATCTTACACATTCCATCCACCCATCATAATCACCTTTTCTTACTTTCCTACACCAATCGTACAACACTTTGTCTCACGACACTTACCCATCACCATCATCTCCAAAGAATGATATCAATCCATGAGCTAACAAATAATAATAATAATAATAATTACTTAATAGGAATTAAGATGGAGACAGAGTTTCAACAACAACATCATCAGACACAACAACAGGAACAATTCCAGAGACAGCCTACATTCATCACCAATCATGATCCACGCGACAAGTTGAAAAAGAAGCGCAAGAATCTGGATGGCAAGGAGTCGGGCAGCAGCAGCCCACTCAACAAGTTGCGCGCCGCCACATTGACTCGCACAGCCACCTCCAAACTCCAGTTTGTCGTGGACCTCGGCTCGTCATTCTCCAAGTCCCCCAGCAAGTCCACGGCCAATGCACTGTCCCTACACTCGAGTGTACCACACCACAATGCTGCCAACACTGCGCCCGCCAGCCCACTCACATCGTCTACCAACAGCATCCAATTCTCCGTGCCCAACCAGCCCACCAAGAAGTCCAAGCTAGGACTGCCCACCACATTGCATCGCAAGAGTGTTCGTCTGTCCCAGCAGATCAAGCTGGACGAGGTGACCAAGCTATATGCCCCACTCTCAGGTCCCGAGTACCTGAGTGCCAAGGACTCTCCCCTCTCGCCAACACTCTTGCGACAACAACAAAAGTCCAAGTCATCGGCCACACAAACATCATCTTCAACATCAACCACAGCCACAGCCACCTCCGCGTCCATGTCGCCACCATCGACTCCACAGCGCGACAACAACAGTGGCAGCAACTCTACATCACTATCACCCGTGTTGTCATCGATGGGTATTTCATCGCCACGCTCATCAGTCAGCCTCAAGGTGGCAGTGGACAATGGAAACAACAAGGAGAACAACTCATCAGCCGTCAACAGTCCACCCACATCGCCCACAATGGCACCTGTGGAGAAGAGTGTTGCGGCGGTCAAGCAGTCGTCATCCTCATCCTCATTCCGATTGTTCAGCAGGAAGTCCACATCATCAAGCTCACACGAATCTGAGTTATCGGCAATCAAACGAGAGGTCAATGATAGCTGCGAGTTCATCCTCGCCAAGATGGGCGAATACCAACGAATCGTCCTCTCCCTGCCCGACCTCTTCATGCTCAGCAATGACATCCTCTCCACCGAGTATGAGTACCTAATCAAAGACACCAAGACCATATCCAAGGTATATTCCAATCATCATGGAACTATTCCAGTGACTTAATCACTCACACTAACTCAATCCATCAATCAATCAAACAGATACTGTCTCCACTGGACTCTGTTGCTGGATCCGACACCAACACAGAGGTGATATGCTCACCCAAGCCATCATCAAGGTACTCGACACCTCTCAATCAATCACAGGAGAACCAAAAGTTGAGCGAGATGGACATGATCGCCCAGTCAATCTCACAGATCGCCAAGAAGATCCTGGGCATTGAGATCGAGATGAAGAAGAGTAGCCTGACAGAGAAGAAGGCATGCACTCTGTCGTTGTTTGTCTCGGCAGTGCGTCATTATATCGAGACGGGAGAGGTACCCGAGATACCACGAGTGCCAACCGAGGTGCAACACACATTGATCCCGTCGGCATCCGAGACCACTACGCGCGAGTACAATCCCGATAGCGAAGCTGACTATGTCTACAAGACTGGCTATCTAGTCAAGAAGGGATCCAAGGGTCCATTGGTAGTTTGGAAAGACCAATGGTTCGTCTTGTCCGTCGAGAAGCTGTGTATTTATTCAAACGAAGATGTAAGTGTCCACTGCGACATTGATTGATCGCGCCAGGACTTGAACTAACTCAATCAATCAATCAAATCCAGAAGGTCAATGGCAAGCCAAAGAAGGAGATATTGCTCAGCAACATTGTATCAATAGGACCAATCAACAAGTATGAGTACAATCATTGCTTTGTGATCAAGTTGAAGAACACTGGCTCGAAGCTGGTGGTCCGCGCTGCCAATGATAAGGATGCAGCACTCTGGATGCTGGCCATCGACGGCTTGCCTCGCAGGAACTTTGACACCAACCAATCCTGCATCAACCTGTACATCAAGGAGACTCTGCTCGAGACAATCTGCTCCAGCCTGGTCAACTACCGCCGCTCAGTCGCCGGTGGCGTCGTGCGCTCCAGCCACGGCGAGGAGTGGACATACCGCGCCGACGGCACACTATACAACTCAGAGCCACTCGATGCCAACATCAAGGCCAAGGACGTGCGTTACGTCTGGAACGGACAACTACTGGTGCCGGCCAAGGACTGCGTCAAGAGTCTGGGCAGTGGCAAGTGGAATGGAGTGTGGTTGGCCTGGTACCACAACAACGCGCCCTTCCTCAAGTACATGTGGCAGCAAGAGTCCAACGAGTACCTCAATCAGAACTCCAACCTGTCGTACAAGTGGTCGCGTGGCCTCGTGTCCAAGATCGGTGTGGGTCAATGGGTGATCGAAGGACATGTCCCCGAGACCGTTGTCATGTTCCTCCAATGTCTACGTTACTGTCGACTTGGAAAGGACTTCTAAGTGCTGCCGCCAGTGAGTCTGGGGGCTCACTAGAGAGCAAGAGAGAGTGAGTCAGTGAGAGATGGCCCCAGCTCTGTGCTGGGACCATTGATTTTCAATAAACGTGTGGAACAAGTCATGTCCATTCAATTTAACTGGTTCAAAGTATATGTATATTCCAGGGAGTTCTGACGTTGATACACCATTTGAACCCTAGTGCTGCTTTTATCCTGTTTGGCGGTGCACTGCCAACCACCGGGAACTACTATTTCATTGTCACTGTTTTGGATACAGTATAGGGCTGAGTAGTATTTTGGTGTCAATGAGTTCGCGCAGTTGATTGACATCCACAGTAATAGTAATAATACGTATAGGGAATACATAATGACCCAGTTGCTAGTTGTTTGTGGTTTGCAGAGTGAGTGACAAGCGATGCCAGGCCTATTTGCTTTTTGTGATGTAATAAGCCACAGCCAAAATCAAATCAAAAATAACTACATTTAAAATTAATAGGCGCGTGACTCACTCCATTTGAACATGGCCTTGACTGACAATGAAAAAAAAAGGAAAAGAAAATTTTCTTTGTGTCGCCAACATCACCCAAACAGATACAAGTATAGATACTAGATACGAAAGATACATACCCTATCATGATGCTGACCCATGTACTAAAACAACACACTCTATCTCAACATATTTACAAGCTGCTTGATGAGGTAGACCACCTTTGTATTTCCCTTGTGTGCAAAGACATATATTTAGCTTTGCAATTAAACCTTATTAATTGCAAAGTTTCCGAGATATCCCCATTTACATTTAGGCATATCGCGAGTATATATCATTCATTTTCTTTTCTATATCACGCTACATTGGATTGATTGGACACTGACTCCTTCCTTACCTTATTCTATATCTCCTCACCTTCTCAAATTAAACAGAGAGCATTTTGACGAACCATCGTAGAAACAATAGTGACAAAGACGAACATTTATTGGGCTACACTTCAACCTTTTTGCGTTCGGATAATCACGAAGCATTTCTCGACAACGACATTGGACTCCCAAGTACAGCAACAGAGGTTGTTTTTGAAATTGAACATCATATCTCAAGAATCAAGGCGTCACTTCCTCCTCCCCAGTCCCACCATATCAAGGTCTTGCATTTTGAATTCGAGTTCAATCAAACAATCTGCAAAGGTCTTATACCCCCGACGGTCACTGCTCTACATTTCAACAACATTGTTGATCAATCAATTCACCCAGGCAGCATCCCATCTTCTGTTGAAATCCTTTTATTGGAGTACGGGAGTAGCTGTACCTTCTCACTTGGCTCCATCCCCCCCTCTGTCACACGGCTGGTGCTAGGTTGCGGGATTAGTGGAGAATTTTTGCCAGGAACAATTCCTGTATCGGTTAAAACACTCGAGATTGGAGAAAAATTCGACAAACCACTTCCAATTGGATGTATTCCACAATCTGTCACCAACTTAACACTTCGAAACGAACTAGATTTCACTCATGACAACATTTATATTCCCTCAAGCGTGCACACATTGCAAGCAACCGTGGCTGGTGAATGCCACCCTGGTATATTTCCGACTTCGATCAGCACAATGAAGCTCTTATGGGGGTCTCCAAACCCTATTCAACCTGGCTGCATACCTGTATCTGTAGTCAACTTCGAATTGGAAGCCCCTTTTTGCACCAACTCCTTTTATAATGGCAGATGGGGCAATCGTACCCCCCAAACAATCAGCAATATCTCTCTGTCAGTCGAGCATCTGAAATTCACTGGTGATTTCAGCACTGCATTCAAGAGTGGGTTCATTCCTCCATCCATCACAACATTGGTATTTGGTGATAAATTTTGCCAAACAATTTATCCTGGCTCAATACCATCTTCAGTTACCAGTTTGGTTTTTGGCAATTATTTCGACAAGCCTCTTGGCCAAGGTTGCATACCTCATTCTGTCACAAGTTTATCACTCGGATACAGATTCAGTCACACAATCAGCAGCGCAATACTCCCTCCTACATTGACCGATCTCACACTATTGGGTTCCCTCGGTCCCCTTCTACCTGAATCTATCTTCTCCGTCCGAACATTGTCACTTGGTAGGAGCTATAGAAATATTATAGATTTTATCGATCATTGCCCTAATCTCGATAGATTGGCTATGTACAGTCCCATACTTCTTCCCCTGAAGCCGTCACAAAGGAGGATCAAAGAGATAACTTTTCGCTCATTGGATACCCAACATTATCTTCACCCTTCTCACTTTATGCTTAACCCACCTATCAATATCATCCCAGCATTGCGGTCAGCCTCCACTCTCAAATTTACAATTGACAATTCACACCACCAAGATGGTACCCTCCAGATCATTCTTAGAATGATTGATCAACAAACTGCAATTTTGTTGTCTATTTTTCCATTCCATTTCGGATTTGTCGCGCTGGATAAAGTAAGAAGGCAAGAGCAATCGATTATTGTTCGAAGAAAGAGTAATAAATGAATTGTCTGTCACCCATCACCCAATGAAGACGTGTACCAATGTCAGTTGCTGCGTACTGACTCCTGTTTGATTTGACTGGCAGCTGTGGATGTTAAAGTTACGTTTAACTTTAACATCCATCTATCAATATTTGTATTGTCTGTCTATTAATTGAATATTCCAAGTATCTTGGCGAGTAGGGTCTTCTTCTTGGGCGGCCTCCTCTCTGCATCGACCACATAGATGGTCTTGTTGTTGAATCGGACGCGAATGTGGACATACTCAAACTTGAAGGTGGAGAGACGCTTGACACGCACTCTCACCATGCCCTTGCCATTCTCGCCAATGATCGCAAAGTTAATCTTGTAGTCCTTGGGATCGTCCATTCTCTTGCCCTTGTTCAAGGCGATCTCTTCGGCGCGATCACGATGGAATGTCATCGACTTGAAGTCATTTCCAAATGCAGCGACGATCATTGGATCAAGATGGAGCTCATCAATCGTCCTCGTGTACAATCTCTGTTCAAAGATCATGTCTCTGAATACATATAGCAGCATACCAATCAGGGTCTGTGAGCGAGCAAGAGTGAACGAGTGTCAGTGATCGATCGATTGTTTGATTGATTGAATGATGTTGATTGAGTGACGTACTGTAAGTGTGACAAAGAAGACGACGATGTGATGCGGTCCATATGAGGGCTGATCGTCGAATATTTGTCGCTCCTCTCTTCTCTGACTTCTCGTACTCTTGTGTGTTGCGTAGTGTCTGACCAAGGTCATATTGATGTTGTTGTTGTTATATACATTGTTGTTGTGAGGTGAAGATTGCAGCTGCTTCATCTTCATTGATATCAAAGATGATGAGTTGATGTTGTTGTTGTTGTTTATAAGGTATGTCGCGGTAGTAGTAGCTCGGGTGCTGTTTGAACAACGACTTATAATACTCATGCTCTCAACGATTGATGAGGACGATGGTATTATATAAGTGTACACCTGTGTTGTTGGTATTCTTCTTCCATTCCTCATTGTTGACATCATTGCAGCAGAACATGTTGTTGAGAATGGTGTAGTAGTACTAGTAGTATGACATGCTGCGGCTGATCTACCACAGCCGAACAACAACCTATGTGTGTTCATTATCTCTTTCTCTGTATCTGTATCTGTATCTGTCGTGGTGGGAGGGAGCACAAATGAATGATGTTCAGTAATTCTCGTGCTTTATTTTAAAGTGTCGGACGACCAAGTGGCAATCATGAACCATGTGATGGGTGTTGGATGGCAGCTGATCAGTCAGCTGTCTTGTGATGGGATTAGTCCATGGATTGGGTATGTTTATATCACTTCTTCTTCTTTGGAGTCGCCGATCTTTTCTTTGTTGATGAACTGGATGCTGCTACAATGAACGATCGAATGAATGAATGAGTGAGTGAGAACAGTAGGTCGAGCGAGTGATGGAGTGGGAAGAATGACACTTACTAAAGTATGTACTTATTGAGTTCGCTGATGAAGTGTCTGTGCCCTTTCTGGGCTTCTTTGGTTTGAATGTCGAGGTGGAGGATGTCGAAGATGTTTGGCTTGATGTTGATGCTGTGGATGTGACATTGCCAATCCTCACGTACTGATCTCTGGAGAATGTCTCGATGATCAATGTCTCACCAGTGATCAATAGTCCTCTGTACTTATTGCCTTCGTAGACTTTAAGTACTGTCTCTGTGTTGTCCTTGTCCTTGTTCTCTTCGTCAACATCAACTGCTCTAGTTGTTGTGTTTGTGTTGCCATCTTCATCAATGATATTGATCACTGATTGTCCATCCACGTCGATGCCATCATCCTTGGAATCCAGGTCAATGACCTCATCTGGCATCATTTTCTTGCTTGGTACCAATGGTTGATGTGTCCTCGAGTCACTACTCAGTCTCTTCTTCCCCTTCTTCTTCTTCGTGTCTTTCTTCTTGCCCTTGGTCTTCTTGTCCTTGCTCTTCTTGTCCTTGTTATTGGCGTTTGCATTGGCATTTGCTTTTGAAGTTGGTATATCCATGTCCATTCCAAGATCAAACTCTGATACATAGTCATTATCGTACAGTGGTGGCGGTACATCCCAAGGGATGTCCTCCTCATCATCTTGTGTTTGAGTAGTAGCAGTCGATGTAGTTGTCGCGGGCGTAGCAGTCGTGGTAGTAGTCTGGGCTTGAGGCGTATCCTTCTCCTTCTCCTTGTCCCTCTCCCCCTCCTCTTCAGTGTCATCATCGCCGACATCAACTACATCTTGGTCGTTGTCATTGTCACTGCCATTATCACTGCTGTCACTGTCACTATCATCACTACTGTCGCTGTCATCACTCTCATTGGTATAACTCTCGTACTTTGACAAGTCTATTGAATCATTGCCAACAATACGTTGAGTGTCTACATTGACATAGATCTTTCTCTTGTTTGATGATGATGATGCCGCTGTCGTAGCATATAATGTGTTGTCCACAAACCTTGTCACGACGGCATACTTTGGGAATGTCGGTGTGAACTTGAATGTATAACAGAATGTAGTCAAGAGGTACTTCTTTGGCTCCTGATGTATAGCAGGTGTGTACTGTCCATCATAATAAGCACCACCATCCTTAAAGTGTACCTTTAATATACCATGTATTGCCAATACCAAGTCCTAATGTTCATTGATTGATTGAGTGAGTATGAGCGAGCACGAGAGAGATAATGATGTGCACATACTTGGAACTCTGTCTCTTCGAACCTTGATGGATCATGTAGAATGAGTAGTAGGGGCACTACTAAGTTCCTTCCAACAGAGATGTGAAAGTGATTGCGTTCTTTGAATCGAGAGATGCGAGCACGACTACTACTACTATTTGTCGATGTAGTCGTTGTCGTCGTCGTCGTGGATGTCATTATGATCGATCATCTATTACATATATACATATATTTGAAGTGAAGTTGATGAAAGAATGAATGATTGAACCATGTGAAGTGTCACAAGCTGAAAACGATCAATAGTTCGTGAGTGATGGATTCTTGGAAGTCAGTGACCATTGATGAAGATGATGATTGATGATGTCCATGGCATGGTCCATGTACAATGGTGTTGGTAGTAAGTATTTGTACATTTATTATTATGTATAAATATGATGTTACTGTGATGACCTTGGTGCTTCCAAGTCACTTGGTCCAAATCCACCTGGCAACAGTTCATTTGTGCTGGTCTTATGTATAGTCTTCTGGTCTGGCTTGACACAATACACCTCAAAGTTACCAAACTAGGTTGAGTTCATATTGGATGGTTTGGTTAGTTAGTAAGTTGGATTGATCGATTGATGGATACTGGAAACATACCTCAATTCCAAACTGACGACATGCTCCACATGGTGTGATGAACCTGTCCTCGACATCACTTGATTGATTGGATTGATGAATGAATGGATGGATATGTTAGCGTCATGATCTTTGGACACAATTATGTGTGTGCGAGATGATATCTTAACATACGTTGTAACAACGATTGCTTTGTATTTGGTATGTCCTTCAGAGACAGCCTTGGTGTATGCAGTGCGCTCTGCACAGATGGTCAGTCCATAACTTCCATTCTCAACATTGCATCCAGAAAAGATTGTTCCATCCTCGCACAACAATGCTGCTCCTACTCTAAAGTGTGAATAAGGGCAATAAGCCTTTGACTTGGCATCGCTTGCCACCTTTATCATCTTGTTCAATTCTTCCTGTGATGCCATCCTTGTGTGTATATGTATAAATATTGTGTTGTAATTGATTGATGGCCAAGTACTCTGTTGTGATGCAATTGCAAAGGAACATGTTCCTTGCCTTTGTGGAACACCTTTAGATCACAAAATAAATCAAAATAAATCAAACAAAATTGTTTCCATCTTAGTGATCAATCTTGAGGACCACGCATTGACCAATAGTTGTACTTCAGCAAATGAATGATGTGTTGTTGTTCCAATCAGATCACTCTTGTTATGGATAATAGATATAATGTACATTAAATTAATTAATTGATGGTGTTCTCTTGTGATGAGAAGAGATCTTTGAACAGCTGAAGTACTCCATGTGGATTGGATGATAATATCTCAATCTTCTTCTCTGGTACCTCTCCATCTATTGGCACATAGACAATCTCCAGCTTATTGTCTGGTGTCACCGACACTGTCTTGGTATTCGATACAGGTATTTCATAAGCAATCTAAATATGATTGATTGATTGGATTGGATTGGATTGGGCAAGAGTGAGTGATCATGTGATTGATTGAATTGAGTGAATGGTGGACATCATCCAAACATACCTTGTTTGATAATGAATTGATTCTGATCACCTCCTTAACTTGGATGGTAATCAGTGCACAGTCCTTTCCAATCTAATTGATTGAATGATTGATTGAGTTAGTAATTGGAATGATTCCAATGATGATGATGATGATGATGGATACTTACAACTATTGGAATTACAATCTTTCCACCTTGATCTAATAATGTTACAATCATTCTCTTGCGTACCATCTTGATTTCTTTGATCCAACGGTCCATTTGGTCTTGTGTGTCAAGGTTGAAGAAGTACTCGAGGCCGCGAGAGTCGGCCAAACTGAAGCACCAATCAAGGCCGTCCAGTGTCTTTGATTTGATGATGCGACATGATGACACGAGCAGATTGATCGAGCCCAGTGGCTTCTGGGGCGGGTCCTCCTTGTAGTATATCAGCGAGGTGGGCGTCAGAGTACAGTAGCGCTTGTCCCACCACTTGTTCACCTTGGTCTTGCGCATCCATCCACCGAGGATCACCTGCTTGTCCGGGCTGTGGACGATTCGCGACGTTGCAATAGTCACCTGCAGCGAGGAATAGGTGCGCTCGACAGCGCTCGTGATGGCGTTGACCCACTTAATGCGGTCGTCCTGCGATTCGAACAGCAACACAAACTCGCGCTCATTGTTGATGAGAAGACTGATGCCCACCACGGTCTTGAGCTCTTCGGCAGTGCGCGACTCTGCGGCCGGCTGCTGGGGGTCCACGGGGGGCGTCATATCGATAGAGTCGCGAGCGCCGCCTCCGCCAAAGCAGTCCATGTGGCCGGCTGGCTCGCCCAGCACGATGACCTCACGGCCCCTGATCTGCGTCAGCATCTTGTCGCAAATCTCTGAGAGATGCGCCAGGTCGATTATGCCCTTGAGATGAGTGATCTTGTTGTTGTGCGGAGTCTGGGTGAAGTATCGCAGCTTGCTGCCCTGTAGCTGACACCAACGTCGCTTGGTGTTCCTGATGTGATGGCCCTTCTCGCCACGCTTCAGCAGCCAGCCCATCAACGGCTCGTCCTTGACCTTGTCGGCGAGATGTATTGCGTAGCTGATGGCGTAGGCCCAGTTCTCCAGATCCTTCAGCGTGTCGTCTGGCGCGCCCACAGGCACGGCACTGGTCAGTGTATACTCCACACCATTTGCCGTCACCAATGATATTGCATCAATATAACTCTGATCTCCATTTGCATTATTCACCATATTCTTCCAATTCCTCTGATTGGTCGGTGACATTCCAATTGACCAATGTTGATATATCGGTGTTATAATTCCACCATGCTTCAATCTACATCCTCTCAAATATATCTGTCCCTTCATACATGACATATCGTTTACATCTTTCTACATTATTGATTGATTGAGTTGGTCATTCATTCATTCATTCACTTGACTTCATTCAATCAGATGATGTATACATACAGGTTGTCTTTCAAAGTAACTTAAGAAGTCATTTTGTAATATGAACCAACGTAGTTTGAGACTACCGACTCGTTCTAATGATGGTAATGAAGATTGGTATCCAGATCCCGTACATGACTTGTCCAATGTAGTCAACTCCGACTCACTCATCTCTCTTGAGCCCCATTTCTTCAACCATCCACTTGTTATAATAAGGTCCATATCTAATTATATTATTTGTATATGTATATGAATAAGTATAATGCACACTTTGCAACAACAACTACAACAAGTGTTTGTTACAACAAGAGATGGTTTGCCTCTTTGCAAACAAACAGAGGGTGTTGTTGAAGCCAAATCGAATCTCCAAAGTGTTGTGGATGGCTTGGGAATGGAGGATCGCGAGATGAGTGTTATGGGATAGAGGTGGGTTGGGGTCAAGTGTGGGCATGATCGAAAAGCTCCCGATCGGAGTCCGTTGAGTCCTTCACAATTCACCCACCTTTATTCAAATCATCGAATTTCCAAATTAATTTGAATCAATCAATCAATCAGAGTTATACTTATACATACAAATAGAGAAGAAGAAGATGGATACACTATCGATGTTGTTGTTAAAGAAGATAGTGTTGTATCTTGATGGCTTTGTTGATAGGTTGATGATCACGTTGGTCTGTAAGAGGTTGTTTGATCAACGTGATAAGTATCTAAGTCTACTGGATTCAGATGGATGTTTGGGTTATGCCAATGTTAATCATGGATGTTATCTCAAATCATACTTTGATATCATCAACTATGAATGCGATATCAATCCTAGAGACTGGGATATCGATCTCTTTGACTACATCAGTCATAAACCCTTCGATATTGGTATATGTCCTCACAATTGATCACTCAATCACCCAATCAATCACTCAATCACTCACTCGGTCGGTCAATGGAACTATTCCAATCACTCACTCAATCAATCCTTCACTTGATCAATCAAACAGACACATTCAAACAAGACTTGAATAAGTCCAATTTGAGAGAGGTTAGGTTTGAGATGTTCAAAAGTAAGAAGATACATCCATTCAATCTGAGGAGTGGCGATTGGGACCGCATCAAACAAGTCTTGAATGAGTTGTTCTTGGAGAGATCAGTCGACTTGTTCTTGAGGCTAGACTGCCAACCGTTCCCAATGAAACATATCGACATGTTGACATCACTGCTCGTGACAGAGTGCATAAAGAACAATGATCTCATCAGCATGCTCCCAGATAGTTTAAAGACATTGGAGTTATCTTCAGAGTGTAAATGGAATAGACCCATTAAGATTGGATCCCTCCCGAGTCATTTGGAGACATTGGTGTTCAATCCTCACTTTGACCAAGTTATCCAAGTTGGGACCTTCCCTGCATCACTCACCTCGCTCACATTGGGACAATCATTCAATCAATCACTCAATGGTGTGTTGCCGACATCAATCACCTCGCTGGACATGAGCCGTATCGTGTCTGCATATGATTACTCGCTGAACAACCTACCTGCCAGCCTGACCACCATCCATCTTCCAATGTTCTATAACAATGATATCAATCATCCACCACTGGAGCGACTCTATGTCGACTACTTCGTCCCATCACTCAATCCAATGCCCGCACTCACTGAGCTCACAATTAGCTCCCTCGATCCTTCAATCAACTTTGCTCTCTTTCCACGACTGACTCGACTGGTGATTGTACGAGCCAACGATTCAATTTGCACATCTTTGCTGCCATGGTCCACTCTCAAGTCTGCCAGTCTTTGTTGTGTATTGGTCACATGGATCGATCGTCAGGTGATCATCAAAGACTTGATTCCAATGGGTGTGGAGTCGCTTAAGCTTGGCCGTTGCAACTTCATCGATGTCCCGCCAGGCAGCCTTCCATCATCGCTCACACACCTAACCTTGACTCGTGCCGACAACATCAAGCCAGGTGATATACCAGCATCGGTTACATCATTGGAACTATGGTCATTTTATCAGAGGTTGGACATTCTAATCACATGTCTGCCACCGTCAATTCGTGCACTGGGATTGTATGAATCGAGCATGATCACCAATGGCAATTTTAATCTTGCCAGTGAATTACTGGCAGTACCAACATTACCATCCTCATTGGTATCATTTACACTTGGAACATTTAGGCAAAAGGAACTTTATGGCGACATCAAATTCCTTCGTCTTGGCCACCAACTTTTCTTCCGATACTTCAATAACTTCAGTCACAAAAAGGTGATTATCGATGGATGTGGCTTCATGGACCTGTCATCACTTAATAAATTCTTCATTCCGTCTGTATGAATTATTCATTGATTCATCCACTATGTCTTGGACAATCAATCAATAGTTATCCAAAAATTACCAAATTAAGGTTCCAAGACATCAGGATTGAGTTGGTTGCTGCTAAGGTTCTGCAGGGGATAGTCAAGGTTACGCAGAGAATTCATTTTTCAGCGGTCTCAATCCTTGGGTTCGAGCTGGTTCGACCCTGGACAACCCTTGGAACAGCAAGGGGAACCCTTTCAAACCTTATCTGATGTTAATTAAATATTTATATTTTTATTGTTGTTGTTGTAGTTGTTGTTGTGGTTGTTGTTGTTGTTGTATGATAAATTAGACCTTAAAGAAATCGTCGTCTCGTCCAAAGGAGTGGAACATATTGGTCAAATATGCGATAATTGTCCAGAGTGCGTTGTGTCGTTGAATGTTGTCAGAAAGGTCGCCAAGTGATCTGATTGTGTCTGACAATATGTTCCATTTCTTCATCTCTCCAAAGACATTCTCAATGATGATCCTCACCTTCTTGATTCGATTGCTCTCATCTTTCTCTCTCAGGATACGCTCGGCATCGAATCCTTCTTTGGTGACCTTGGCTTCCAATGCCTTCAACTTCTTAGATACCTTGGTCGCCTCCTTTCCTTGACGCAGGCGATGCTCATCGAGCGTGCGTTTTCTGATCATCTTGTCTGTGTACTCCATATGATCGATCAATGAAGCCGACTTGATCTTGGGGGTGATGGTGTTGGTGTAGTACTTCTGACCTCCTTTGAATCCTTTGTCACCGAGAATGACAATATCTTCATCGAACAGAGCCTGTAGTCTAGGTGCAGCATCCTTGTAGAGCGAGACGTCAGGCTGGGCGCCTCCCTCTGTCTTACCTACATACACGATCTTGCCACGTATATCGCAAATGACCAACACTGCCAAAGAATACATTGATTTCTTGCCAGAATAAACAAGATCCTTGATCGTCTTGTGTGGCGGCACTTGAATCCTCTGCTCTGACCCGTCCACAATGAGATGAACATTGTGCTTAATACCATCTTTCCATATTTCTGCATGATTGTCTCGAAGCTCTCCATTGTGAACCACATCCTGGAAGTACCCATGGCAGTACGACTTCAATCTATCGAACACCTTGGTGAATGAGTACCTGAGCTGAGCGATTGTCAATTGATATAGGAACACACGCTCCATCATGTACCAGGGAAGGTTGTGGCGGCACCTCATGAGGAAGACGAGCATGTCCTTGTGTTCAAAAGAGTGCTTCTCACAGAGCTGAGACACTTGACTATGGGAGAGCTTGAAGTAACTTGTGTACTCTTCATCTTGGTTGAACCATTGATCTGTAAGTGCAGAGTTGAGGGTATGGCATTTGTCAGTTAATGGACTTAGCTTGCTGGCAGCATATTTATTCTTCACCTTCTTCAAGGGTATTGTTCTTCCTCTTATTGTTCCTCCTTGTTGTTGTTGTTGTTGTTGTTGTTGTTGTTGGTGTTGGTGTTGCAGCTGCTTTCTTGGCCTTTGATTTAGACACTGGTTTGGTTATTGCTGGGCTTGGTGCTGCTGGGCTGGGTGCTGGGATGGGTGGTGATGTAGTTGTTGACATCGCATTATCGTCGATATCTATCGTTGCCCTGCTGGAGATACCGGTGTTCGCTTCGCACCATTGAGTCCATTTCTCTCGTTTGTTGGTTAGATACTCGACAAGGCAGTTCCATCGACAGAAGTATACAAAGACGCCAAACGTGCTGTCTGGATGGCAACACTTCAAGATGCGAGAACAACCCTTTGAACAGTTCTGGCAATGTTGGACAGAATCTCCAATGATAGGCTTCTCTGGATCGTGTTCTCCAATCGCAGGTACAGCAAGCTTCAAATAGGGCATTGACCTGGTATGGTTTGTAATATGTCCAACACTGCACATCATCATTTTTTGGTCGCCATAGTAGACAATGATCTTCTTCTCGATCTTGTTCTCTGGTGAATTGCAAGTCGCCTCTACTATAATCCGGTTGGGATTGGTTGGGTCTCGAACGTTGGAATGCAGGAAGCACTTGGTTTGTTTGCTAGTCTCTCCATCCATCAACTTCTTGGTATGTGTGATATTCATCAGCTCTCTATTGTTCTCTGCCGCACCTTGTTTGGTTGGCGTCTTCATTTGCTGAAGCGTGAGTGTTGATGACAACGATGTTGGTTGTGGCTGTTGTTGTTGTGGCTGTTGTTGTTGTGGCTGTGGTTGTTGTTGTTGTTGTTGCGATAATGACTTGATGATTCCCTCTAACTCCTCTATACGCAGCCTCAACGTGTGAGTCTCCTCCTGTGATTCTTTAGTCTGGAACATATCAATGATGATATTGTAACACAGTTTGGCGCACACGGGCAGGTGTTTGCCCAAGACCCAGATATCCAACTCAGTACCGCAGAAGAAGCATTTGACACCTGCTTGCTTAACTCTGGTGACTATTAACTGGGTTAGCTCCTCAGACATCAGATGTTGTATTATATATATGTATTAATTGGTCGCTATTACTATGTTGGAGGTTGCAAAGGGTCATCACGGGTCGGACCTTGGATTCCAAAACAAATATTTGAAGAATCCACCCACAACACCCGTTGAACCCTGCAGAACCCAAGCTAACCTTAGCAGCAATCAAGTTTTGCAAAAAGGACCTTCGAGGACCAGATATTCTTTGGAAAAGTAGGGGTAGGAGTACGACATGGACCATGGGACTTCATTTGAAAAAACATACATACAACATATATAGATATACAACAGATACAATAACATCAACTATGTTCAAACTATTGGTGTTGTTGATTGTGACCTTGATGACGATGGTCGAGGCACAGCAGGTGTCAAACGTCACATGCAATCAACCATCGACATCATTCTATGATATGTCATTCCCACTGCTTGACGAGAGTGCCAACATCAGCTTCACAGAGTATCAGAACAAAGTAGTCTTGATCTTCAACGTCGCTTCATTCGATGCCAACTCCAACGAGACCTACCTCAACAGCAACTTGCTCATGGAGAAGTTTGGTGCTGAGAGTATGCATGCCGACATCTTCGATCAATCATTCAATCAATGACTGACCATCATTCAATCAATCGACTCAACTTATAGACTTTGCCATCCTTGGATTCCCATGCGCTCAGTTCAACAATGAGGAGCCAGGTCACTCTGCAACTGAGATCATGAACTGTATCACATACGTACAGCCTGGCAATGGCTTCATGCCCAACTTCCAGTTGTTCCAAAGAGTATGGATACCCCCATCATCACTCATTCCTTCGCTCACTAACACCTCGATCAATCAATCAAACATTATTATAGTCAAATGTTAATGGACCAGTTTCAACGATCAATCCTATATTCGCATGGTTGAAGAGTGGATGTGGACCATCATCACCAACTCTGATCGCAACTGATTTGATCAGCTGGACACCAGTATTGTACAACGACATTGAGGGTAACTTTGCCAAGTTCCTGATATCCAAGTCTGGCAAGCTCGTCAGGAGATACTCCTCCACCACCATGGTCCAAGACATTGCCGGTGACATCTCCGACTTGTTGAACGAATAATGGGTCACATCACACCATCAATCACATTGGCGAGTCCAAAAGAAGTAAAGACGACTTGAGGACTATGTCTATTTCAATCTATATTACATAATATTACAGTTATTGTTGTTTTTGTTGCGCTTGTTCTTTGAATGATGTACTCTCTTGGGGCTGTTTGGACCTCGTAGCATGAGGATGGTCGACATGATACCTGTCTTGGGAACCTCTGATGATACTACTATCGTATGATCGTTGTCCAATGCTCTGAACTGGACCACCTTGTGCATGTTGTTTGGCTCCCACAGCACAACGATTCGATGGTTCTGGGCAACGTGTTGCACGATCCTATATGCCTGGATGGCATCTTTGTGCATGTCGGCAAAGTTGTGCGAGGAGATCATCAACTCAAACATCTTGATCGGTTCATTGATCCTTAGCTTCTGCGAAGAGTTGAAGATCGCATTGCAATTGGTGATGCACACTGTGTCCAGTGCCGGACACACTTCCCTCAGCGATTCAATGAGCTTAGGGTTATGAAGATCCTTGAACGATAGCTTGGTGATTGATGGCGGGAGCACTGCATTGTCTCCATCATGCTTGAACTCACCGCCAAGCTCCAGTGCGCAGAGGTTCATTGGCAGCACTCCAGCTGTCAACGGTTGATTGAAGCAATTGCCAAATGACAATTGAATGAGTGAGTCGGGAAGCATGCCTGGACTGATCACCTGATTGTAACGCCATCCAAAGTAAAGCGAAGTGAGCGAAGATGGCAGCGTGTTGATGTCCAGCACCTGATCATAGTAGAAGCCAAACTTGAGTGTTCGCAGGATCAGAGGGAGGGTCGCCGCATTGAGGGGTTGATTGAACATATCGCCAAAGGTCAGCGACACCAGGGTGTCGGGCAGGATACACTCAACAGGCATGGGATCGTTAAAGTACGTGCTCATCGTCAGCTTGGTGATCCTGGGCAGTCTGGTCTCTGAGTCCAACACATACTCAGTCACGCTCTCGGGAAGGGTGCCCGAAGATGATTGCTTGTTCATCTCGAATGAGATGAGTTTGATTGATGCGGGGAAGGTGTCGGGTGTTGTCGTCTGTTTGATTCTGTGCTTGATGTCTGAGTTGGCTTGTAATGCCAAGTCGTTGTGTCGCTCAGGTCCGCATCTATACACCAGGTACTGGAGCGAGGGCGGCAGACAGCCCGGCACGAACTCCATCGCATACGCCACGCCAAAGATCAGGTAGACGAGCGAATCGGGCAGCCATCCGGCCGCAATCGGTTGGTTGAAGCTATCACCAAAGGTCAGCGAGATGAGGGTACGGGGCAGCCTCCATGTTAGAGGGAGATTGTACGATTGGCCCAGTCTGAGCGTGGCGAGCTCATAGGGCATTGAACCGTCGGCAATATCCTTGTAGAACATTACTCCCAATGTCAAGCTGGTGAGTGTGGAGTTGACAGTGCCACATCTTAGCGGGGCGTATTCGTGTATATACTCCTTGTCTTTGCGATCGGTACATGCTGCCGCCCAATTGATCACTGGCATCGACTCGATTGTCGTCATAATATGTTTACATGTCAGAGCGTATGATACAACATCTATTTCATTATCAATGCCAATATGACCAACAATATACTTTATAACCAATGGTGGAAATGTATTCATATGACTTGAGTGAGTGTAGTGTGTATATGTATGTATATGTTTATATAAGTATCTAAGTAAGTAAATGAATGATAATGAATGTCAATCTATATTTGTAATTGGTCATTCATTAATGCACTCATTCAAGATTGATTAATTCATTGAATGTGAGTTTTGGAATGTTTGTGAAAGTTATATGTCACTTCACTTTCAAGGACGCTCGTGATTGTCTTGATCATTCATACATGCTAATTATAACTTGTAAATGTATGTATGTATGTCTACACCTTCACTGGCAACATTCGCCAGTGATACTCAATTTCACTCTATGTCACTCTAGCAATGTGGCCTGCTGCAGCGTCTGAGGACATAGCAACAAACACTGTTAGATGGAGACGTAGTTGTTTAGGGCGAGAGATGATGCTAGTTGAATGGGTTTATCAACATCAAATATGGTAGGTAAGTAGGTTGGTAGGTATTAAATGAAGGCCTTGAGGAATATCCTTAGGTGGGTGGTGCACGATACAATGCACGATGTAGCACAACAACCGACTCAGCCGGCTGATTCTATTCTAATCTACAACTTGGTTGTTGGTAAACAATAATAACCTTTCATCTTGCATCATTTGTCCCGACTTCTAGAGATGGCTGTGAGGCGTGTATACAAGATGAGTGAACGAATGAATGAGAGTCAGCCAGAGTGATGGCAACTCCAAATTGAATGAACACTTCGTTCGATAACGCCGAATAGAATCAAGTTGTTGTTAGGTTGTCAGGTTGTTAGTTGGAACACAAGCAGGCAGGCGAGATGATCCATTAATGGTGGCAACGTGTATAGTCTTGTGGTAGCCAACCCATTCGGATGACAACAAACATGTTCTTCTTTAGTAGTAAGCGCATATTAACTTGATAACACGAGAGATAGGTAGTGGATATTTTAAGAAAGTAGTGCAAACAATTGTAATAACATGCAAAGGAATGACCAACCGGAAGTGAATGAATGACTTTGTGCGCGAGCGAGAGGGATTGACTGGCCTAGGAGTGAGGCCCAGGACTAAACCCACAACTCGCATCGTGTGCCATTGATCCGTCCGGGTCATCAATGAATCTCTCTCTCTCTTTCTGTTGCAGTTTTTATTCTTCCGAGATCTTGACAGATATTATTTTTATGCTCGAGAACCATCATGGGGGTGTTTGATTGATGGATCAAACAACCACTCAATCATTGCATCCTGTGGTGATCACACAAGTAATCGGCAATTTGAGAGTTGGAGGGAGGGAGAAGGATCAGTTACCGAGATTGAACACAAATGAAAAATAATACTAATATTTAATAATTCCAGTTCATGATCATTTATACTTTAATCAACTAACTTTATTACAACAAATAATATAATATTCTACTTCTTGTATAATAATTAATATTCATAACATATAATTATAATACTAATATATATATATATATATAAAATGATCAAATATACACTATTAATATTAATATTGTCGGCCACCTGTTTGTTGGCTGATCAAAATTATACTACCTATTTGAGCCCTGGAATCACCTGGGGAGTCTGGGAGGGATGGGGAACCTCACTGGCTTGGATGGGTCAGGCATTTGGTTGGAGCACCAACATTGCCGACATTCTCTTCACCTTGGAGAATGAGATCCTATTCCAAGATATGTTCATTCCTGGTCTTGGCCTCAACATTGTCCGTTACAACGCCGGAGCCAGTTCCTGGGTCGCTGCCAATGGTGACTATATGAAAGCCTCGCCAAGAATCAAACGTTCTCGCCAAATGGATGCCTTCTGGACCAACTGGGACTCGTCCGATCCCGAGTCCGACAGCTGGGACTGGAGTGTCGATGCCAACCAGAGGAACATGATGTTGATGGGCCGCGACCGTGGTGTCAACCACTTTGAGCTGTTCTCGAACTCCCCCGTCTGGTGGATGTGCTACAACCACAACCCTTCTGGATCAGACTTTGGCTACTCCGACAACTTGCAGAAGTGGAACCTCCAGAACCACACCGTCTACCTGGCCAATATTGCCCAGCACTACCGTGATGTCTACGGCCTCAACTTCACCTCGGTCGATGCCTTCAACGAGCCCACCTCCAAGACTTGGTTCTTTGACGGTGCCCAGGAGGGTTGCCACTTTGACGTGAGCACCCAAGAGATTGTCATTGAGTACCTGTACGACGAGTTCCTCGCCCGTGGAATGGAGAATGTCGCCGTTGCCGCCTCAGACGAGAACAACTTCCAGAGCTGCTACGACACCTGGCGCGCATTCAGCAATGTCACCCAGGACTTTGTCGACAAGATCAACTGTCACGGCTACGAATATGGACATGGTCCACGTGCTGGCATCTACTACGAGGCCAACTCAACTGGCAAGGTGCTCTGGATGTCCGAGTATGGTGAGGGAGATGCCTCGGGCATGTCGATGGCCACCAACATGTTGCTTGACTTCACCGAGCTGCATCCAACCGCATGGGTCTACTGGCAGATTCTGGATATCCCAGGTTGGGGCATGATTGTCGCCGACGACAACACCAACACCACGTCCTACCCCGTCGCCACCAAGTACTTTGTGTTCTGTCAGTTCACCCGTCACATCCGTGAGGGCATGCTCATGATTGGCAGTGAGGACCCCAACACAATGGCTGCCTACGATCGCGTCAAGAAGGACTTGGTCATCATCACCGTCAACCATGGCACTGCTCAATGGATCTCGTACGACTTGTCCAACTTCCAGTATCCAGAGGGCCCAAAGATGGTGGACAGATGGGTCACCAACACTGAAAGCCAGGACAATCTTTACCAACACTATCGCGACACCACATTCGAGTACTCATACTTTGAGGCATTCTTTGAGACCAACACTATTCAGACCTTTGTTGTACACAATATTACCTTTTAATCAGCTTTCTAGATATATATGGTATCATAGATATAATAAACAAACGATATGAATGTCACCCAATAATTTGTTACAACAAATGAATGAAAGTATCTGGGAATCAATCAATCAACTTTATAAATTAAGTTTAAAATGTTCCAATAGTCTTAAAATGGTATAAAATCAATCATAATGACTACATCAACAATCATTTTAATAATATTTATACCATGATGTTTGATTGGTTCATTATTAATTTTATTTATCAAAGGATACAATTAATTAATAATTAATTAGTATTTTATTATTAAGTAAGTATTTTTTTTATTTATAATTAACTGTTAGTTTGATACTAATTAATTGATAATCAATAAATAATTATTTATTAAGTGGCTCAATTGGAATTACAAGATTTAATAAGGGCATGGTTATGTAATGCTCTTTATGAAGGACATACAGCTTCAACTAAAACTCCAGGTAATACATGTTTGGAAAGAATAAATAATTATTTGAATATAATTAGACAACAATGGCAAGATCAACAAAGATTAATAGAACTTGAGGAATTGAATAATTATGAAGTATTGATTGTACATCCTAATATGGATATGGCATCATTCCTCAATCAAGAGAGAAATACAGTGGAGATAGTATATAGAGGAAGTATTATAAAGAGTCTAAATATATCAACTGTACTTAAAGACCTATCAAACATTGGATATATTATGGCCAATAATCATGGAGACAATATTGAGAGATTGAACCCTGCATTTCAATTCTTTCGAACAGTCAGGGACATGGCACCAGCCAACTCAATAATCACAGCATGTGGATTCTCAGCTGGAGGAAGTGTGGCTGAGCGTGTGGCAATACAAATGGGATGCTTCGCAGTATTGTTCAATCCTGGAGGTGATATCAATTTTTACAATGGTAGAGAAAGATTATTAACAATCAAAGCATATCTAATTGATAATGATTTGATTTGTAAATATCGTGATAATCATGCTGTGGTCATTAGACATCCTAAGACTGATGGTGTACCACCACATAAATTGATCAACTTTCTAAATGCCACACTGATCCAGCCTCCGCCAGACCAACCATTCATCACTAATATCACCATTCAATCAAACATCAATAATTCCAATCCAATTATGATAATGATTACATTAAATGTAGTTGCAACATATTCTCAAGGTGAAGTAGTCCATCAAGTTGTTAATCTTGGAACTGTATCAGATCATAGTGTACAAGCATTCAAGACTGCACTAGACACCCTTGGTCCAATGACTTTAAACAACTTACTAGGTACAGGTTCCAACAACAAGTCAACATTAGAGATTGGAAAACGAGTGTCTTTGGAGGCAGCTCAATCATTCATCATAAGTTATATCACTGAGAAGATGGGAGAGTTGTTTGGAATCAACGTTGAGAACAATATTCAATTAATATCACGTGTTGTTCAGACCGTGATCAAGGTCTGTTTCAAATTGTTCATGGGTGGAGATGCTTCAAAAGTATTTAAGGACCAAGTTATCACTCATGTATTATCACTTACACCAATAGTCCACTCACCTTCACATCAGATATGAAGAGAGAGTTTAATGGACAATATGAGAATGGTGTGATCTCAAGAAATCAGTTGGACATGGGACTGGGATTTGGTACCTGGATTGGAGTCCACACTGAACATATTCAATCTGATTTTGTAAGGAATGGAGAGGAGTATCATCGTGATCAAACTGGTGTTGGCATCCATGCATCATTGTTTGGAGTGTTTGATGTATCACTTGGATTGGTATYATCAGGTTGTGAGATTGGGAAACCAAATGTCATCCAGGATGGCACATCAACAATTATCATGAATCACTCACATACTTACAAGCTTCAATTATGTATTAGATTTAGTATGAGTGATCGATCAAAGGAGTTCCGACTATCTCCAGCATGGTCAACAAAGTCCAAACTTGGAGGGATCATTGATACACATTCTGGAACTGATCCCTATGATGATTATGGACCAAATATTATTCGTTCTGTCAAGGTAGGAAAAAGTGGAGAAGTAGTGATTAAGAACAAACAAGTAAATGTGGAGATTACGAAGTCAAAGAATGAAGTGGAAGTGGAAAAGGCAAAGAATATGGGTTTGAGACAGACGACAAGATATGAGGAGAAAAAGGAAGTAATAGTGATGACAACCAAAAATAATCCACATGGATCATATCAAAGTGGGAATATCCAGATCAGTAGTGCCACAACATTAGTCAGTGAGATAAAGGAGACTGGTCTATTCGCAGTTAAAGATAAAAATATTATGATCACATCAACAATGGACAATGGCAAGTTGGAACAAACTCTGAAGGTGAAGGATCAGTTGAGTGCTGGGGCATCAAGTTCAATCAACAGTGCAGTCTCTCAGTTGGTAGCAATGTGTATCAAATACCAACAAGACGGGATACCACCCTCAATGAATGATTTCCTGAAATGTGCAATTGAGATAGCTAAACAATTCATAATAAGCAACACAGTGGTTCTGGCTCAAATCAAAAGGTCTTTTGGAAAGCAAGGACTAATAGGATCTTGCTTTGTATTAATATGTAATGGAATCAAGATGGTCTTTGATGAGAAGAATGATCCAGAAGAATTGGATAGGCAGAATGTAAAGGAATTATTAATTCTACTTGGACAAGTTGGTGTTGCCTCTCGAAAAGTGGCCCCTTACATCGGATCATTGATCTCACCTTTAAATTCATTGATTTCTAACATTGGAGATATCCAATCATATAAGAAAACAATTGGACAAGCCATCAATGATATGTGTTTGGATTGGACCACAAGTGGAGTTGGACTAGCACTTGGCAATCTTACATTTGCAGGCTTGTCACTGTGTGGACTTTCCTTTTTACCATCTATGATTGGAGCTGCTACTGTTGGAACTCTTTCAGTATGGGCATCAGGAAAGTTATATAATAGTTTTGCCAATTGGAGAATGAGAAGATCAATGTCCAATAGATTGGATCAACTCAATAAGAAGTATGGATTATCAAGATTGAATGGTGAAGATACAATCAAAAAGATATACAAAAGACAATGTTTGATCAATCATTCGGATAAAGGTGGCAGTGATGAACAGTTCATTAATATGCAAAGTGAGTTCACAGAGATATACCAAATACGTATATCATTAGGAATATTCCATGAGAAGGATGATAAAAAACAACAATCATGGATGGAGTACATCACCAAGATGGTCAACTTTAGGAACCTGTTCTCTGAGCCAGAGTATAGAGGGGAAGTCCCCAAACAATATATTGAATTCATCTCAAACCAGTAAATTTTAATAATATTATTTTTATCTTAATCTATCAACATACATAGAGATGATTATTAATACTGAACATTTTCAGGGTGAATATATATTTATAACTATAAATTTACCTGGACTTTTCAAATGATCGTGGAGTACCCAACACCAATGATGATGTGGGCCAAAGAACCTTCTTTGCTTCTTTCGTGGATAGAGGAGTGGTGATTGAAATTGAAATATCTGTGTTCTTTGGGTGCTTTTCACAGCTTTTCAAGCTTCTTTGTGTGGGTGGTCGACCATTCAAACTGTTGACTTTGTTCAAAGTCCGACAGACTCATTTTATTAATAACTTTATTCATTCTACAAACATTCACACATACATACAGATATACAGATTAGTTGTTATAACAGCATAAAAGATATGTTCAATCAAAGAGCATTCTTTGCGCTGACAACAGCTTTGGTGTGGTTGTCTGTGGCGCATACGTCGGCACAGATGACCAATGTCTCTTGTACAACACCATCAAAGTCATTCTACGATCTCTCCTACACGTTGCTCAACGGCACTCACGTCAACTTTGACCAGTTCAGAGGCAAGGTTGTCCTGCTGCTCAACACCGCTTCATTCTGAGGAATGACAAACGAATCTTACACAAACTGTAATCAGCTTGTTGATAAGTTCGGAACTGAAGGTATGTTATGTCGGTCAGAGTGAAGTTTGTTTGATCGATGACAACGAAGTTAACTAACAATCAATCAAACAATCATTCAAACAGAGTTTGCCATTCTTGGCTTCCCTTGCGCACAGTTCATCAACCAGGAGCCTGGTAGCAATGAGGAGGAGATCCTCCACTGCTTGAAGTACGTCCGTCCTGGAAACAACTTTGAGCCAAACTTCATGTTGTTCGAGAAGGTATGTTATATGAATGATACAGCTCACTCAATCAATCACTCACTCATTCACTTGGCATTCAATCAATATAGTCCGATGTTAATGGACCAACGACCAACTCTGTGTTCACGTGGTTGAAGAGTGGCTGTGGCCCTTCATCACCAACACTCATCCCTTCCGCTTATATCAGCTGGACACCAGTTATGTACAACGACATTGAGTGGAACTTTGCCAAGTTCCTCGTGTCCAAGACTGGTGAGCTCGTCCGAAGGTACTCACCCGAGACCTTCCCCCAGTTCCTATCGGGAGACATTGCCGAGCTGATCAGTCAATAGTCATTGACTACTACTACTGATCACCTATCGATACTGATTGGATACAACCAACCTCTGGAACAACTGGACCACCGGACATTGGCGAGTCTGTAATGATGTGGTATCCCCAAAATTACTCTGTTAATCAGGATACCATTGAAAGATGTCTTGCTCCCAATGTAACTCGTGTGGCACCAGGCCGAGGTAGTTGCCAACTCCATCATGGATCGACCGGCGCCCATTCCATCCATCCATTCAACTCCATCAATAATTCCATAAATTAAAATCAATGGATTTCCATCACCACTTTTCCTTGAACAATTTGATTGATTGATTGTGTGATCCGAGCGTGTGATCAGATGTTCATCAATCTGACACATATACGACAACATGGACCAATTATCATTTATAATAATAAGGAGAATAGTATCACAACTATGGATTCATGGACATGGATGCAGTACAATCAATGTTCAAATATATTTAATTAATTAAATAATACAACAGATTGAGGTTGATCCTTTGTTTCGCTCTCCATAATAGAATATGTAGATTGATGATGTGTGCAAGTGTCTGGAATCTCTGATGATACAGCAATAGCATAGTCCCTATCTAGACGCCTGACATGGACCATCCTCTGATGATTGTGTGAGTCAGTGACCACCATTATTCGAAAGCTCTGTGACCAGATCAATTCTTTAACATAACTCTTGCCAGCACGAATGGCAACACTGTCCATGCCCTCCCAATCATTGAACGCAGAGATAGTTGTTTGAACCTCTGTGATAGGTTTATCAACATGCCATCCTAACGCCTTCGTCTCATAGATGTTATTGCCATTCAAGATGCCAACCGTTTCCAAGTTTGGACACGCAGAGATCATCGATTGGACAACTAATGGCTTGATATTGAAATTCTTGATTGACAAATGTGTGATTGAGGGTGGTATTAAATCAATTGATCCAGGCTGTCTCCAACGTTTACTCAGCTCCAATGTACGAAGTGACGACGGCAATGACCCAACTGCAAGATCCTTGTTGTATTCATCGCCGAATGAGAGCAATGTAAGAGTGTCGGGCAGTGTTCCTGGTTGTATAGGACGAAGGTAGTACTTTCCAAGGTAGAGTGCCGTGATACTTGTTGGCAAGCCGATCGATTCCAATGGACGATTAAACAATTGGCCCAATGTGAGGGACGACACTGTGCCAGGGAGCAAGGTGGTGATTGACAGATCCTCATTAATGTGAACATGCATGGTCGTTTGAGTTAGGCAAGGGAGTTTGGTCCGAGGGTCGATCACAAACGTTGACTTTGTCTCCATTGTGCTGGGCCACGGTATCTTCTTCTGGAAACTGATCTGTTTGAGTGATGGCGGGAAGATAGATTCGTCGAATGGTTGTTTGATACGATGGGTTATGTCAGCAGTTGGAAAGATGGAGCCTTGTTTATCAAAGATTTGATGTCCATAGATGAGGAAAAGCAGTGTCGAGGGCAGACAGCCAGGAGCAAACCCCTGAACAAAGTGTCGACCCATTGTCAACGAGGTGAGTGAGTGGGGTAGCCAACCAACTGGTATTTCCTTGTTGAAGTCATCCCCAAACGCCAGTGTTAAGATTCGCTCTGGTGCTCTCCAATTGGTAAGAGGTTGATTATATCTTGGACCAAACCTGAGTATGATCAGACCCTGGGGAAGCGCACCATCTTCAATCAAACAGTTGAAATTGAGTGGCATTGTAAGAGATGTTAATGAAGGTGGGATAGTTCCTTTGTTGATTGGTGTCGTTGGTCCTCCTCCATCCTCGATCATTGGCATTATCATAGTAATGGGTACATGTTTGGGACGAGACTTTGAGTGATGGGTATTCCAGTCAATGCATCCTGATCCACCCATACATTGTATTGATGATCTAACATGTTTGCATATGAGTGATGCAGTGGCAATGTCTATCCTATCATTGATAAATCCAACAATGTACTTTATAATTATAGTTGGAAGAGTATCCATTGTGTAGTGAAGTCATAGTAGTGATTGATCAAGGGGTTGTTTTGTGTGATTGATTTGATTGACTGGTGTATCTGTGTGGGGTGTTGATCAAATGAATGATAAAAGAAGGCGGAAACGACAAAAAGAAGCTTGGCGAGACCTTCTCTACTTTGCAAATATCTAAATAAGAATATGGATGAGGTAAATTCAATATAATGTGATTGATGGTAGATAACTATTCAATCAATCAAAGTACTAGATTATAAATAGATATATAATGTCATTGATCACTAGTTTAGTGATTGTCGTGGCATTGTTGATGTCAATGACATCGGCCCAGTCCAATGTCACATGCGATCAACCATCGTCTTCATTCTACAGTCTAAGTGGAACATTGATCAATGGTACCAAGTTCGACTTTAATCAACTCCAGAACAAAGTGGTACTCATTGTCAACACTGCATCTTTCGATGATATGACCAATGACACCTACATCAACCTCAACTTGTTGATGGACAAGTTCGGTCCACAAGGTATGTCTGACCTGTCTTGTCCATCTTCTCATCGGAGCACTCTCTAACCTCCCTTACCCTACCCTCGAACATAGAGTTTGCCATTCTTGGCTTCACAAGTGCTCAGTTCAACAATGAAGAACCAGGTCACAACAACCAACAGGTGCTCATGTGCTTGAAGCATGTATGTCCAGGTCGCGGCTATGAGCCAAACTTCCAGTTGTTTGAGAAGGTATGTTATGTCATTTTTATCATGATCACGTGATAACCTCTGGTCACATGACCAGTGATCACGTGACAACGTGCTGATCATATGACATCCGCTAACGCCTGTTACTCCGTATCAAAGACTGATGTTAATGGACCATCAACTAGCCCAGTGTTTGCTTGGTTGAAGAGTGGATGTGGACCATCATCACCAACACTTATGGCTACTGATTTGATCAGCTGGACACCAGTATTGTACAACGACATTGAGGGTAACTTTGCCAAGTTCCTGATATCCAAGACTGGCACACTCTTTGCCAGATTCTCGATTGACACCCTTGCCCAGGACTTGTCTGGCGTCATTTCCAGTCTTCTGAGCCAATAATGATCATGTCATGAATAAACATGGATGTGACACAAAGACAAACAGACACATTTTATTGCGGTTGTTGTTGGGACGACGACGATGGGGCAAATGATGTGCTGGGATTACTCTTGGTAACATGATGTTGGAGCTGGATGGGTGACAGAGAACGAGGCGTGGATGCCTCGCTCGAGTCTCTCAGCTGGTCCGACACAAAGCCTATTGGGTTGTTCCAACTGATCTCCTTGAGCTTGGCGACAATGTTTGTGAATGCAGGGCGCTCATCAGGTTCAGTGGCCCAGCATTGCACGAGAAGTGCAGCAAACTCGCGGTCCACCGTTTCGGGAATGGGCGGACGAAGGCCTGCATAAGCCACCTGCGCTGAAGCCTGGGATCCGTCAAGATCGGCAAATGGTATCTCGCTAGTCAGAAGCTCCCAAACCACCAGTGAGAAACAAAATACGTCCAGCTTCTCAGAGTAGTGGCCGAGGTTCTTTGTGATCTCGGGCGGACGCCAACGAGGATTGCAGATGCCTCCGTTTGTCATGGCCATCGATCCATCCGTTGGCTTCTCGCGTGACAGTCCAAAGTCTGATATCTTGAGGTTGCCATACTCGTCAAGCAGGATGTTCTGTGAGGTAAGGTCGCGGTGCACAATGTTGAGCGAGTGCAGATACATGAGACCAAGAGCGACGTCCATGGCCATCTTGAGCACCAGCGGGAATGTGTACTTTGTCTTGGGCTGAGTGTTGGGATTGTGAAGCACACTGTACAGGCTGCCACCGCTCATGTACTCTGTGATGATGCAGGCCGGTTTATAGCATGCGCCAACAAACATTACGATGTTCTGGTGATTGGCGCCCTTCTTGAGGTTCTCGACCTCGCGCAAGAAGCGCTCCTTGAACTGCTCCTCGTCGCCAATCATCTTTAGCTTCTTTATCGCCACGTGGATGCCGTTCCACCATCCTTCCCAGACCTCACTGAACGCTCCCTCACCAACCTTTTGTACAAACTGTATATCGTTGATCTCAATGATGTCCGTCTTATCCTTTAACATCTCCTTGAGCTCGTTATATCTATTCCTCTTGATCTTTTCATTTTCCAATGCCCTCTGAATATCGTTTATCTAAATTGATTGATTGAATGAGTGAGTGATCAAATGATATCGCATGCGCCAGGACACTACTTACACAATCCCTGCTGTTTGGCGAGAGATAGAGTGAGTCGGAGATGGACCTTCCGCGAGGACGTTGATAGTGTGGACGCGTGCCTGAGGAGTTGAACGATGCAGTGGATACGCTGGACTTCTCTTTCACACTCTCTTGATCTCCTTGCATGAAAGTAATGTCCTTGTTGTTGTTGTTGTTATTGTACTGTGATATGCTATCGTTACTACTGTTACTGGCATCAGTCTGCTGCTGGGCACTCTGTGTCACAGGCTGCTTGCTGTTGCCGCTGCTGCCCGACTGCCTCAGTCGCTGGAATCCACTACTTGTGCTGCTGTTGTCCGAGAGGATTGAGTTCAAGTCGCTGTTGGTGATGTTGATGGTGAATGAGTCCTTTGTGTCGTATGAGAGGTCTTTGCCGCCAACCATGCTCTTTGGCGTGCACGATGGCGTCGACGAAAGGAACGTGCTGAGCAGTGACTTGTTGAAAAAGTCTGCCGTGCTGCCAATGGAAGAGTGCAGCATGGATGGAAGCGGATTGACTGGAGGCGACTGGCAATTGTGCAGTCGGTTGGTCGTTGGTGTGATGATCGATGGCGAGGATATCGACAGTTGTAGACCAGTGTTGGTGGCTGTGGTACTTGTACTGCTGCCAACAATGCCATTGGGATGATTCATTGCCATTCCATTCCAGCCTGCCAATGTGTTGCCAGTGCCAGTGCCAGTACGGAAGTGATACAGTGGTGATTCGCGAGGCGTGCCGTCGTTGGCCTCTATCTGTTGGTTCATTAGTTGGTTGTTGATCTGGAATTGCTGGAACACACGGGCCACCTCCTCGGCAGAGTCGCAGCGCGCCGAGGTCGTGTCGCCGGCTGCTGCGGCGGGTGTCGGCGTGGGCGTTGGCGTTGGTGTCGTTGAATTTACAGTGCTCAGGCGGCTGCTGCTGATGCTGCCCGGCGTGCACGTTGTCGTGCCGCTTGTGTTTAGATATATTTGATCGATCGTGGTAAACCCGCTACTACTTGGCGGTCTCGAGAGTACATGTTGACTGCACATCTCACACAATGTAATCTGTGTTCCACTGCTCGTCAAGGTTATATTATTGTTGATAATGTTGATGGATTGGTCGAGAACAATGTTGTTTGTTGTTGTTGTTGTTGTTGTACTGTTGTTGTTGTTGTTGTTGTTGTTGTTACTTAGTTCTACACTGTTGATATTTACACGTTGTTGTTGGACATTGTTGTGATTGTTGTTGTTGTTGCTGTTGTCGACCACAATAGGTAACAACTTGTTTGATTGTAGTGATGGAGTTAAACAATCATTTGGAGAGTTCACTTTGCTTGTTGATGTGCTATTCTCAACACTGTGCTGTATTGATTGTGTTCCACTACTACTGTTACTACTACTACCTGTGCTACTACTGTGGTTATTGTTGTTGTTGTTGTTGTTGCTGTCATCATGATTCGAATGATTGTTTGCGGGCGAGGATGACGACTTTGAATGTAATGATTGGTCCATTGACGAATGCCTCTTGCTTCTCTTGCTCTTATTCTTGCTTTTCAAAGAGAATGCACCGCCCAACTGTTTACAATGTTCGGATCTACTTCCTTGTCGTCTATGTCCAGATGATGATGACATGGATGTTGAGTTTGTCAAGCCAGTTGATGACAATAGACTATTTGGTGAACCAACAATATATGGGTTTGGCGTAGTTGTACCATTGGACAGAGGTGAGCCAATATTTAAGTCGTCGCCTCCTGATGACGCTACCAATTCACAAAGAGCAATACCAGATGAATTGTTGCTTGAGTAGGAATTTGACAATGATCCATTATAATTCGGACTGGACACTATAGCTGGACTATTTAGATCATCACTATCTGGTCGACTTGATGAAGATCCCATCTTTGTCTTTTTCAAACTCTAACTCTTCTTCTTCTTCTTCTTCTTGTTTGTTAAATGAATCTCTACTAACTGCACATATGTATGTATTATTTCAAATGTATGTATATGTATATATAATTATGTATATGTATATGTAGATAATATATATTGTATATATGTATATGTTGTGATTAAGATGATGCTTCTCGAACTTTGCAGGATTCCCAAATGAATGCAAGTTCTGCTGTGGTTGTTGTTGTTTGTTGTTGACACGCACACACTTGTTGATGTTGTTGGATTGTTTGTTGGGCAACAAAACTTAATTAATTAATTTATGAAAAAAAGATCTAATTGGAATTACCTTTTATGATCATCATCACACATAGAACCTTTCTATCTCTATCTATCTATCTATCTCTTTTAGTAATTAGATGTCTTTGTCGATGTATACATTGATGGATTGTTGTGATAAAGTGAGTGAATGAGTGAGTGAGTGTTCCCATCCATCCCATCCTCTCTCATTCTATCTCTCCCTCCCTCCTCTCTCTCTTCACTTCCTCATCCACACACTTCTCTCTCTCTCTTGCTAAATGGGGGCTCACACACTTACATCAATCAAGCACTGCTATCACCACAAACACACACACTTCTCCAATCAATCACTTCTGTTGGAAGTATGTGTGTGTGAGTGTTCGACTGACTGACTGATTGAGAAATAACAGTGTGTGTATGATTGATTGGATGTCATTCACAAACTCTCAATCCATCAAGTACATTGAGTGGCGAATGATCTATCTCTATCCACATTTTGATTGATTGATTGATTGTCAGTTGTATCTGCGACACCATTGTTATGATAATAACTTGTTGGTTGAACTACATGTATTCCAACAACAACTGAAGAGTGGAGCAGTAGAAGTAGTGGAAGTAGTTGAAGTAGTAGTAGTAGTAGTAGTTGTTGCAGTAATAGAGAGAGAGAGATAGATATCATTACAATTACAAATGAGGGTTAGGATTTATTACACCAACCAACATTTCGGGTTGGTTGGACCTGGCTATATCAATCAATCAATCAATCAATTGATCACTCACTATAGCTCACCCCCTCTTGACGGCGGGCTTGAATGGCGTAGCCTGCTGCTGTGAGGCTATGTTGGGATGGTAGTCTGCCAACGGTGTAGGTGGGCTGGAAGTGCTCGGACTGCTTTTTGTGTTGCTGTTGGGTGTGGAAAGGAAGTTGTTGAGTGTGTTCTGGACGGGCGAGCCCTTGAAGTTGTCGGGGAAGTAGACGTCGTCCCATCCCTCATCGCTGTCGTCGCCAAATGGATTGTCTGACAGCTGCTGTGGCTTCTTGAGTATGAGTGGTGCACTGGTGTTGGGCACAGCCAACTCGTCGCTATAGTCCTCGATCGTTTGTTTGTTGACTGGGGATGTCTTTCGGTTGGTGATGTCGTTTGGTCGCTTGGTGGCCAGGTCTGCGGGGATGTGGACATCGGGCCACTCCTCCTCGACAATGTCATGGCCAAATGATATTGGTGTGTTGCGTTTGGACGATGCTGACGACATGTCGTCAAACTGATCAAAGTTGTCGGCGTGCATGCGTTGCTTGAGCGCCAGAGGGCCCTTGATCTCGACGTCGTCAAAGTATTCCTCGACCTGGTTGGGCGTGGTGCTGTTGCTCGAGCTGATTGGTGTGCTGCTGTTGCTGATCGATAGGGGCGGGATGTTGTTTAGTGTGCCGCCGCGCTTCAGACTGCCGCCCTTGTCGTTAAAGTTGCTCAGTGTCTTGGAGATTGATCCGCCCAGGATGGTCTTCAAGCCGGTGGATTTCTTGATGGCTGACTTGTTGCTGTTGCTAATGATGCTGTTGGTGCTTGTATTGTTGTTGTTGTTGTTGCTGCTGCTGTTCGTTCCGAAGCCACTCCAATCGAGGTCGTCGTCGGATAAGTCCTCTTTCTCTCTATACTTGTCTAATTTGCTTGGATCTAGTGTTCCATAGTCTGTCCATTCCTCTGAGCCTTGCTTTTGTCCCGGAGTGGTTGCTGCTGGTGTGTTCAATATCATGTTGTTGACGCTGTTGCTCCTTGGCGTCTGGTTGCGACTGCCACCCGAGGTGGTGACGACATCGTCGTCAGATGTGAATCCCATCTCCTTGTCCCATGTCGATGCCAGGTCATCTTCCTGATCATTGGCGTCCTGGTGCAGGTTCAGCTTGAGCTTGAGTGCGGGCTTGTCGGAGAAGTCCACGTCGTCCCAGTCGTTGGTCTCGTCGACGACCTTCTTCTTGTTCTTTAGTAGCATGGGCAGGACGTTGATCGAGTCCATCAGACCGCCGTTGGCTGGTCCTGTCGATCCGCCATCCTTCAGCGCCTGCTGCTGGTGATATAGCTTTGTAGTGTTCTTTATCAGCTTGGCGATGGACATCTGTCTAATCGATCGCAGGAACTCTCTGTCCTCAAGGTCCCTCTCCTCAGTGAACCATCCGCTTAAGCTCTCATGTTGTCTCTCGCTCTCCTTCAAAGTGTCCAATAATGTCTTTGTCATATTGAACTCGCCCTCCTCTGTGAATGCTGTGTATAGTTACATGTAAAGAATTAGTCAAAGAGAATTCCAACGTTAACGAATGTATTGGACTAACATACTGTTATCATTGTTCTGATCATCCATTGTTTCAAACACATCAAGGTCATCTTCATTACCGCGCCACTTCATTGAGACTGGATCGAGGACCATTCCATTTTGAACTTTGGTATCAAACATAGAGTTAAGTGGTGTGATCAAGCCTGGCTTTCTAAACTTTGATAGGTCTGCTTCGTTGCCCTTCCACTCCTTCTGTCTTGGATCCCATTTCATGTTGCCAACGACTCGCTCCTCATTCCTGCCCATGTTTGTGATGAGTGCCGGTGCGCCTCCTCTTGGGAAGTTGACCAGATCCGAGTCGTTTCCTTTCCACAGTCTTGCCACTGGATCAAACTCCATATCTCCCACAACTATTCTATTCTTCTTCTTATTCAATGGTTTGATAAGTGTTGGTCCTCGCCTCTTTTCAAACTATATATACGTCATTCAGTCAGTTAGTATGGTTCAATGATGCCGCATCCTCATTCATATCATATCATACCTTTCTCTTTGCTTTGTTGATTGCCTTCTCATAGGGTACATCTTGGTGATCTGTTACATAGAACTTCTCGAGCATCGCCAACTCATCCTTTATCATCTGCTCCATCTCCATGATGAAGGCGCTTGCCTTCTTCATTGTATCGGTGGGCATATCATCGTCGAATGCCGCAGATGATCCATGATTCCCAAACGATTGATTCATAATGTTGAGTACCTCTCTCTATCACTATCTATATCTCTCCTCCTCAATAGATCGATACAGGATTATGTATATATTGTATATTTGTTTGTTTGCTATAATATTATTATATATCTCCAATAATTATTTGTTAAGTTATCTGTATCGTTCTTAAGTGAAGTGTCTATCTGTATCTTTATCGATGCTGCCTTTGTTGTTAGTTATTACTACTACTACTACTACTTGTTGTTGTATGTGTTTCTATTAATATATCACAGCGTGTGTCGATTGATGTGAGATGTGATTGATTTGATTGATGTGCTGTCAACTTGTTTGAGTGAATATAGTGTGAATGGTTATTTATCTCTTTGTTTGTTGTGTATGTATATGTATGTTGTGTGTGAATGTATGAATGAAAGTAATGAATGATGCATTTGCTAACAAACACACACAAACTCTGTCATCCAAAAAAAAACAAAAAAGGACAGACAAGAGATGTGTGTGCTGTGTGTGTTGGTTGAAAGAATGAATGATCGATCATACCCATGGGTGATCTGGCTTCATATTGGCGCGCGCCAAGAAGTATGACAATACTATTGTTTGTGTATCATATCATATATATATATATATTATATTTGTTTAGAATGAAAAGACAGAAGACTCTTCGTAGTTCATCTGTGAAAGGTGTGCCTTCATAACTTTGATCATGACTGGTGGTCCACACAACAGAATCTTGGTGTCGGCTCCAGCTGGAGCAGGCAGACGCTCCCTAATCATATCTTGAGTGATGAATCCAGATCCTTGAGTCCATCCCTTTGATGGCTATATATATATATGGTGGAACGCGAAAGGAAGTTAGAATGATTGATTGATTGAATGAATGGGACTTCCCAACTTACATTATTCAACACATGGTAGATCTTGAGTTGGTCTGGATGAGCTGTAGCCAACTCATTCAATTCGCGACCGAGGAGGATGTCTTCTTCGGTGATGTTTCCAAAGATGAGACTGATCTGAGTGGTGTCCTCGGGGTTGCGAAGGATGGCCTTGATCACTTGGTACATTGGTGTGATTCCAGTGCCACCAGCGAGCATTCCAATGCTCTTGAACATGTTGGGGAAGTAGTTGAACATGCCCTTGGGTCCACGAACGTCGATCATATCGCCAATGAACATCTTGTCAATGTGTCCAGAGAGGACGCCCTTCTCGTAGACCTTGATCAACAGGTCAAAGTGGCCCAGGTCCTCGTCCGAGGAGATTGGTGTGTATGGACGGAAGGCTTCCTTGCCATTGACCACTGCGCGCACCGAGATATGCTGTCCCGTTGGCAAACCCAGACGATCAGTTGGGTTTGGTAGTCCAAACCTAAAGATACGTGTATTATGATTGACAATGAACTTCTCCTTCAATGGGAATTTCCTGAATTCCTTTGAGTCCAGTGCAACTATTAGTTGGTTAATGATGTGCGTATGAATGAGTGAAGGTTCGACGATGAGCAAGTTAGTGTCAAGTCAACTCTCGTTCACTCAATGATTCGTTTCATTCATTCAAACCTTTTGGAGTATCATCGTCTTTCTCATCACCGCTTGATGGTTGGGATGGTGAGCTCTGTCTCTCTGCCCAGAACTTCAAGCCTATAATGGCAGCAACGACAGCAACTATCAGACCAAACTTCGCCTCAGTGTGAGATGCAAAGTAATCGTTCAACATTGTATTATCTGTATATATCTATTTATCTATATATATAATCTATGTATCTATGTATCTATGTATTATATAATCGTATCTTTGTTGTTGAATGAAATAAATGAATACCAACAATGACAAAGTTGTTACTGTTGTTTGGATTCGAAGTCTTGAGCTGGTGGTCTTGGGGGTGGGCCTTTGAATCAAAATGATGTGTCCTCATGGACCCACCATTCGTCTTCATTTGGAATCCCATCTTAAGTCTATGTATTGATGAGTCGTCACGCATTTTACTTCTCTATTGTTGAGTTTATGAATACACATATTGACACGACTGATCTCAGAAGGTTGAATCATTCAACTCTGATTATTTAATAGACTTGTAATTTGTGAGGTGTCTAGAGAGGGGGTTAGGCCTGGGACTTGGGACATCCCGTCAAAAGCTGTCATCGGGCTTCGTTTTGACGCATTGTTTAATTCATTGTTGTTAACAATTAACGTCTTGTTGTATTCAAGATATATATATATATATTATATGTATATACACAATGTCAAGTACAAACAATAACAAATATATTGTACTATCAGAGGATGTTGAGGTGGACCGCCATACTCAATCACAATCACCCTCACTCAACTCGTCATCTCCAGCTCAATCTCAATATCCACCATCAATACCAACATCAACATCAACTACAACTACATCTACTACCACAGCTACAACATCAGTAACACCAGAGGATGGAGGCGATATTAACAATAACAATAACATCAATAGCAGTTCAATGTTGATGAGATTTGAGAGCAACAGTAGACAATCAAAGGACCTCTATTATGTTCCACCTTCTAAATTGACACAGTCTCAAGCTATACGTTCCAGTAATCCACTGCGGCAGAGTAGTGCTCGGAGTGGTGGTGGCGGGAACTCTGGAACGATCACTCCGCCACTCAGCCCCGCACTAAAGTCATCGCAACAACCATTCACACCTTCATTCCTTGGGACCACTATGGCCACAGACAGGCTGACACCTCTCACCCCACCGCCACTGCCACCACTTCCAAGTGCCAGTTACGCTGCAATACTCGATGTAAACGACCAATCATCATCACCAAACACACCCCTCGACATCAGTATCACAGAGCACCGATCAATGCCAACGCCAAACCCGGCGGAAGAAGTGCACTTTGATCATTATCCACAGCCACTATTCTCTGCCACTTCACCAAATGACGATGATGACCATGTATTCCTGAACACAGTGCGACAGATCAGACAGTTCAAGTTTGGAAAGAAACAGAAGAAGCACTTCTTACACTTTATGGCCGGTATGTTACCGGTCGCCACTTGGCTGCCCAAGTACAGCTGGCGCGAGGACATCAAGGGCGACTTGATCGCCGGTATAACCGTGGGAGTAATGCTCATCCCACAAGGCATGGCCTACGCCCTTGTGGCCGACCTCCCAATGGTCTACGGCCTGTACTCTTCAATAATGCCCATCATTGCCTACTGCATGTTTGGATCGTCGCGGCATTTGTCCATGGGTCCATTCGCCATCATCTCATTGTTGTCACTGGAGACTGTTAACCGCGAGATTGGAGACTTTGGCTCAAACATGGAACTACGCATCAGTCTGTCGATCCTGCTCTCATTCATGTGCGGGGCGTATCAGATCCTTTTCGGTCTGTTGCGCTTTGGATTCGTGTCCAACTTCCTGAGCGACCCGGTCAAGACGGGCTTCATCAGTGGGTGCGCTCTAATCATTGGCAGCAGTCAACTCAAACATGTGTTTGGGTTCAAAGTCGAATCAACCAACTTCCTCCCGCTCCTGATCGTGCGATATCTCGCCAAAATCAAAGACACTAATTGGTGGGCGGTACTTATCGCGGTCACAGGCTACCTCTTCCTTCTGGGCATCAAGAAAGTGAATCAGCGATACAAGCTTAAAGTGCCCGGCCCGCTACTTGTTGTCGTAGTGTTGACCTTCATATCATGGATTGCGGATCTGAACAAGCGTGCGCACATCGACATTGTTGGACCCATCCCTTCGACATTCCCCGTGCCCACCTTCCCAACAGTGCCTCACCAGGATGGCTATGACAATAACTGGCTGAGCGTAGTGATCAGGATGACGCCTGGCGCACTCGTGCTCGTGTTGGTAGGCTTCATCACAACTGTGTCGGTGGGCTCATCATTCGCCGAGAAGTACAACTACGAGATTCAGCCCAATCAGGAGCTGCTGGCACTGGGCATGGCCGACTTTGTCGGATCATTCTTCCAGTCGTTCCCGATCGGCGCCAGTCTGTCCCGCACAGCAGTCAACTCACAAAGTGGCGCCAAGTCTCAGCTATCATCATTCATCTCATCAATCTTGGTGTTGTGCTCACTATTCTTCCTGACGCCAATCGTTCGTTTCTTGCCAAAGTGCATCCTGGCCAGTATTGTGATCGTTGCCATTGTAGACTTGGTCGAGTTCAAGATCGCCCATCAATCTTTGGAAAGTGCATCGCAAGGACCTATTACTATACATCATTGCGTTTGGATCAACTATATTCCTTGGCATCCTTCAAGGTGTACTCATTGGAATCATTTGCTCACTATTACTGGTCATCTACCGAAGTGCCTATCCACCCTTTGCCGAGCTTGGTCGTGTGCCAGGCACCGAGCTCTACAAGAACATCAAGCGAGTGCCAGAGACCGAGACATTCAAGGTAAGTACAACCGAGTCATTCACCATTCATCGACCCTAACACTCAATGTAACGTAATGTAGGGCATCAAGGTTGTGAGGATTGATGGATCAATATACTTTGCCAACACTCAGTACATCAAGAAGAAGCTGAGGCGATTCGAACCGACAAAGAAGAACATCGATATCAACCTCTCCGACACAAGTGAGCTCGAAGAGGACACGGACATCACCAGAGTGGACATTGATGGACATCCAACAAAGGGCGCCATTATTGTCGACTGCAGCAGCATGAATGACGTCGATTCGTCCGGCCTCAAGATGCTGAAGGATCTCGTTACAGAGTTCCGCGGCCGCCAGATCGTCATCTACTTTGCCTCGATCAAGGGCAATGTGCGTGATCGTCTGCGGAAGGGTGGTGTCGTCCAGACATACGGCGCCGACCACTTCTTCTGGACGGTCAACGATGCAGTCGAGCACCATCTCCATCTCCTCAGACAAGCTCGCAGGAACTATTTCAAGACCTCGTTAACAGTCGTTGTTGACAAGGGTCCTCGTGAACTCCACAATGACAATGACGACGATGTCATCGAGGTCGAGATGACCAGACTATGCGATAGCAGTGACAACAATGTGGCACCAAGGAATGATTGATTTATCGATTGATCGATCGAATGATTGATTGAATTTAATAATATAGCTTGATCAGCTCGTCTGACACTGCAGAAGGTGTCAACACGCCCAACTCTGTGAATAGTAGTGTGATGTATGATGGAGGAGTGTAGTCCAGTGATGGAGAGTCGATCTAAATGATGATGATGGAGGGATGGGTTGGTTAGTCGTGGCACCGACCGAGTTATGTGGAGAGTCGACTTACAGTCAAGCGCTCTGGATGTTCGCACTTGGAGCATTGCTGGCATAGGTTGAAGGTAGTGTCGTCGTTGTCCTTCTTGAGGATAACAATGTCGGACTGATCGAGTGGATAGGATCTGGTGAACTTGAAGCTCTCGGCAGCAACGTAGAATGGCTTCTTGAAGGCCTTGGCCACGATACTTATCTGATAGGTGCCAATCTTATTGACGATGCCACCATTCTCAACGATAGCCTCTGCTCCACACAACACATAGTCCACCTTATCGATGATCCTTGCTGCACCACCATCCATAATCAATGTCACTGGTATCTTGGCGTCCTGTAACTTTGATGCCAGCTTGTATCTATATTCATGTGGAAGCGAGTCAGACTCATGTGTGATTGATCAATCAATCCAATCGCGATCAATGATTGAATGGTAACATACCCAGAGGAGTCTGGTCTTGACTCAGTAACGATGACCGAGAATCTCTTGCCTTGTTGTGATGCGCTGAGGAGGACAGACAGGACGACTCGCGAGAATCCATGAACAAGAATAGTGACGCCGTCTCTAATGAACTTGTTTGAAAGTTGTGATATCTTACTCCTGCTCATCAATGACTTGTTTGACAGTTGTTCACCTCTCTCTATAAGAGTAACCTTGCATTGTTCAAAGTTCTATTGATTGATCGTTGATAGAGTGTCAGTGATCAGTGATCAGTGATCATTGTAATCATAAGACATACGGGGAAGTCGAGTGATGTCCTTGTAACGAATCTAATGAATAGTTCACAGACTGATGATAGTGATATTGATGTATTGAACTCGCATTGCTTGAGATGTACAGTGGCATTGGCCAACTCCTTCTGCAGACCCATAATAGTTGCAGCCTGACTCCTTCTAATCACCTCTGTCAACACCTTGATTGCTGCGATTGCTATTGCTGTATCCTGTTCCTGCTTGACAAACTGTTCAAACAGTTTAACGACTATACATATACAGATATCACATGTATTAGTACTCTCTATCATTCAATCATTCATTCGATCAATCGATCAATCATTCAATCAATCGCATCGATCACTTTACCCCAAGCTAGTTCAGGTACAAGTTCTAATGATGCACTATTGTTCATTGTATCTGTATTGTATTGGTATATATATATAAGTGTATATTAATCAAGATAATGTTAACATTGATCTTATGAATGTGTCGCTCGGCCTCATGTCAACTTCATCTTTCCCATCCTTTTCCTACCCTCGCCCTCACCCACATTCCCTCGCACATTTACCCTCTCGCATTTGCCCTCATTCAGATACATAATGATAATTATTATTAACTATTTATTATTACTAATAAAGAATGAATAAGTTGTTGATTGATTAGATTGGGAATGGTTGTGGATACCCTTCGTCTGGTCGTGAGTCTGGACGTTCTCTTCGTACTGGACGAGGGAATGGTGATGGCTTGGGGTCTCGAGGTGGTTGCGGTGCTTGTGGATTCAAATCCTTTGGTTCAATTGGTTTAGGATCTGTATGAGGTAGCTTTGGTAAGGGGAATGGTAACTTTAATCTATTTACATATGATGTTGCAGGTGTAACTGAACACCTTATTCCATCACTAAACCTAATTGGGTTTAATAAATTTCTGCTCTTTATACCAAGGATCTTTATAATCATCTCTAATTAATAATTGATTGATTATATGATTGAATGATGAAAAGATTGAAAGAATGATTGGATAATTGATTGATTGTTATCTCTGACTATCTTTACATTTATAATTGGAAGACATATTAGATTATGTTGTTAATTGAATCCTCTCATTGTAAACATACAAGTATACTTCACTTTGGATAGAGTCTTCAAGGCACCATACTCTCCTTCAAACTTTAGTTGACAAATTGGGAAATGTACCTTAAAATGGAAGTGTGGGTAAGTTTAAATTCAAATTTGTCACTTTTGACAGTTTAACGGTTTTTGGAGCCAATCAAGAGAACTACTTTCAATCAATCAATCAATCAGTCATTGATTTCTATTCATAGTATCACTATCACTATCACACATCAATGTCCAATCAACAACAGCAACCATATTGTGCAAACCCTCATATAGTCAATCATTTGAATCAACATGTCAATGCACTTAGGGCAAGAGGCGAGACAAAGACCATTGCAACATATCGCAAGGCTATAACATCGATCACTTCATACCCACTGCCTATATTCAACGCAAAGGAGTGTGACATACTGTCTGGTGTCGGTCCCTCCATATCAAGAAAGATTGATGAGTTGCTGAAACGTACTACACATCCACATTTTCCTCAAGGGCCAAACACACCCTTGCGTAACATACTCTACAGATGTGCTCCGCCCAACAGCAACAATAACAACGATGTTGGTGGCACAGCTGGACACAACAAATCAAAGACAAAGTCAAAGTCAAAGTCAAAGAAGACAGACAATATAGATGAGGACGAGGCCAAGACCAAAGGCAAGGGAAAGACCAAGAGCAATGGCAAGGGCAAGAGCAAGGGCGAGGCAAAGGACGCTGGATACCCAATGGATGAGGACMAAGGAGAACATGAATCCCAACATAATGGTGACACCGATCAAACATCCAAAGACAATCAATCACAAGTCATCATCAACACCTACACCAACAACAACAACAACATCATTATCATTCAATCATTCATTCAGTTGGGATACAATGATGTCAATGACGCCAGGCGGTAAGTCATTCGAATACAGCGCCAATGACAATGACGGAGACAATGCCAATGGCAACGACGGCGGCAACAATGAAGCCGCCGAGACACTGGAGTTCTCATTCGACTTTCAAACTCCATCAAAGACACTACCACAACAACAACAACAATATAATACAAGTTCGTCAGTGGACTCAATCGACTTGACAATGACGCCGATGAAGACGCCACAGCGACCAATACAGACCACACGATCAGCATCCAGGAGTCACTCCAAGTCCACGTGCACATACTTGCTCCAACGATTGACACCATCTTATCCACATGTTCCCAGGTCGCCACTGCCTCACATGTCACCATTCAGGAATGGATCTCCAATGGGTGGATTCGGATCCCCCTATAATGATGGTGGAACGCTGCATTGGTCACCATCACCCTATCACCGACGATCATCACCATCACCATCGCCTTTCAAACATCATCATATTTCACCAGCTCGGATGACGAGTCCGCCACCTCCATCAACTCACACGCCATCATATCTTCGAGATTGGGAGCCAAGCCAATCACCATTCAAGCCCATCGTACCAGTATCCAAGTCAATATTGTCACCCAAGAGGAAGCAGATTGATACCAGTATTGCCATCAACGAGAGTAGTGCACGGGTCAAGAGGAAGAGGATTGACTTCTCACGAGATGCCCCCGCACCAGCCACAGCCCCAGCTCCAAACCCGACCCTAACCGCCACATTACCAACAACAACATCACAGCCCAAGGTCAACAACAAGCCCATTCCAAAGATGAAGGATGTCATATGTGTTGTGGACAATCGCGAGGTCAAGTCAGTATCTGAGCGCGACTATATTGGAAAGAGATTGTGCGAGTTGGGAGTGAGCGCATCGACCAGGAAGCTGGAGCTTGGAGACTTTGCATGGGTGGCCGTGGACTACGCGGGCAACGAGTACATGCTGGACTTTATCATCGAGAGGAAGCGCGTAGATGACCTCAGCAGCTCGATAATGGACGGTCGATATAAGGAGCAGAAGTTCCGTCTTGCCAAGTGTGGCTGTGGCAACAAGTACTACCTGGTCGAGGGCGATGTCAAATCGCTGTCATCCAGCAACGTGCGCAATGGCAAGAGCTGGGGCACAGTCAACTACGGCCTGCCCGCGGATACCCTCTCCGCAGCCATGGTATCAACACATGTCAACGACAACATCATTGTCATTGAGACCAAGGACATGGAGTCCAGTATCACATTCATTCAGCGCATGTCTGGATTCATTCGCGACAAGGTTATGTCTGGCAACAGCATCAGCAACAACACAAACAATATTGTGGCGAGGATGATGTACTTCCCGCCAAAGACGACCAATGACTCAAGTGCCTCACAGCATTGCGACTTGGACACATTCAACAAGCTCAATCAGAAGACCAAGGACATTGGCTTGGGTGAGTTGTTTGCCATCCAGATCATGCAGATTGGTGGATGCACGGCGGATAGGGCGGCGGCCATTGTTGCCTTGTATCCAACGCCCCTCGCCTTGATCCTTGCCTACGCCAAGCTGAAGGACCAACAGGCAAAGAAGACCATGCTCAGCAATATTCGATTTGGAAAGCAGAACAAAAAGATTGGCAATGCTATTAGCGAGTTGATATGCTCAGTCTATTGTGATACAGTTTATAAATCGTCGTCATCGGCACCAGAGGAGGAGGAGGATGAGGAGTAGTCGAGGAGACTACATCCATCCACTCACTCACTCATTCATTCATTCGCTCACCAGCTCGCTCAACAACAAGAGTAGTATTCATTCTTCCACAACCTGTATAACCATGTTTGAGTGCGTCGCTTCTTGTCGTCCTTGTATCGTTGGATGTCTGCAGGGCTGGGCAGGGTCCAGTAAGGGGAGCCCTTGTTCTCAGTCCAAAAGGAGGCAATGTTCTTGGTGACACCCTTGCTGAATGGGTAGGGCATGCCCTTGCATCGCTTGAGATATGTGATCCTGTCGTACTTTTGAGCCTCCCATGATGTCTGATTGGTAACAATGAGATAGATGTGATAGCAAAGCAATCCAAATGGCATGAATGAACTTGCGAATGTCAACACAGTCGGTAGCCACATGGCAATGTTAGCTTTGACCCAATCCATTGGTGATTCTGCACTATGTATTCCACTCAATGTCTGATTGATTGGTGATAATGGGTCAGTCTGGCATGCTTGTCAACAATAATTGGCAATGATGGACGTACAATTTGGAAACCAAGTGCAAGCAATAGTGTCTGTACGAGAAGGAAGAGGCAGAAGGCTTTGTGATTGTGAAGGCCAACACATTGGCCAATGAAGAAGCAATGATGATCATACTTCAATATACATGCATTGCAACGCTTGCAATGCTTTGATCTTATGATCTATGTATGGTTGGTCGACGTTAGTATGTTGATATGACCTTGACCAAGTCGAAGAAGAAGGTAGCTTACGACATTATGTTGACATATATTACAAAATGGTTGTTCCTCCTCTTCGTCCTTGCTCTGATCTTTGGACCCTGATTGAGATGTGATGGACAGACTGGCTCTGTTATCAAGAGTCTCTAAAAGTTGATCCATCTCTTCATCATCATCATGTCTCTTAATTGAATGTTAGTGAATCAATCAATCAACTTGTGGCGCCAGTGTAAACATACATGATCTGATCGACTACTACTACTCTGTTGTTGTTCAAATTCATCATCTGATCGCTTCAACTTACTACCGCTGCTGTTGATATAGTTTGTCATGCTAATGTCGCCATCAACACTATCACTATCATTGATCAAGTCATCATTGTAATGTCTTGAAGTTGAAGGTGATGCAATATCATCGATACAACCAGGTCGCTTATTAGCAGCAATAAAGTATGTTATGAATGTCAATGCAAACAAACTATGTGTCCATATTAGATAAGTATAATCTTTATCCTTATCTGTAAACACTGCCTTATTTAGATCTGTACCAGTTCTAAACAATAATATAACATAAATAACAAGATGTATCAATGTATATGCTGACTGTACTATGACTGCTTCCCAATCTCCAAGGTGTCCTCCCTTCTTTCTCCTTGAGGACATGACTATATCTCTTTATCTTTATCTCTATCTTTATGAATTGTGTTGGATTGATTGAGTTGACCTCATTTTCAAATAATTTCAAGACACGACCTGTTTTGGAAAATCAGGAACTGTTTATGGGATTGATTGGTGCAGGTTAGGAGTGCTTTTGGTTGTCTGGCATCATGATCTTTGAGAGAATGGCATCCTTTTCAAATGAGTAGTTCATGGAGGCATTGCTTAGAGTGACGAAGGCATACTGGAATGCAGCTTTGACGCGACCAAAGTTGAATGAACCAACTGCCACATTCTTGCCAGGTGCAAATGGATCGCTGACATAAAGAAATGTTGAGAAATCCTTATTGACAATGCTATTGTTGTTGTTGCTGTTACTGTTGACATTGTCCAACTCATTGTTGTTGCCTACAAAGTTGCCAATGCCATTCACAATTCCATCTGAAGACTTATCGTGTTCCAAGGGGAAGGTATAGTTTGCTTCTTCAATCGATATGCCTGTCTTGTGATAGTTGAAGTTGACGCCATAGTACTCTAGAAATCGCATGAGTGCGCATCCTGTTGATTGAATGATTGACGTCTCATGTTAGCCAAGACTATCAATCAAATGAGTGAGAGTCATTTGTCGTGATACATACCAATGTTGAGCCCAGAGAATTGGTCCTGATAGTTGCACTTGCATGGATTGGCCTTGAGCGTTGGCTGGTTACTGTTGATCTGTTGTTGCTGGTAACTACCACTCCAGTGCTTGGGTGTGGCGACGACGTTTGGCCCAGAGGTGGCACCACCCGCCGCGTCAGTATTATCAACCATCTTCTTTGGACAATGTTCGTTATTCTTGAGGAAACTGATCAGCATGAGCACCAGACAGTAGGAACTTAATCCACCACTGTACGTGTTGTTCAGTCCTCTCTCCCTTAGGAACCATTTCAAAACGATGGCCAAAGGATACAATCCAACCAACTTCTCAACGTTCTACACATTGTGATTGAGTGAGTGAGTAGGTGAGGGTGGAGGAGGGGAATGATGACTTGTCACTTACATCTGCGACTAGATCTCTGGCGGCAATGCCTGTGTGGGGAGAGGTTGGGGACTCTCGGAAGGAGATGTCGACGGGGATATTGTCCTTGGTGACGAGCTTGATGACTGGGATGCGCGCAGAGGGTATGCAAAGCATGGTGAGGATGTAGTTGTTGAGATCCTGTCTGATCTGCTTCTCCAGCACTTGCAGAAGGAACTGAGCATTCTTGGAACGCAACGACATGTTCTTGCCATAGTTGACGACGATGTCCACGTCACTCGATGGCAGCCAGAGTCCTGTCATGAAGGAGCCGTATATATCGATCTCGGCATTAGGCCACAATCTTTTGACGACGTTTGTTATGAGTCCAATCACTTTGTGGCAGCTTTGCACGTGTGGGTAGGTGCGGTCGCCCACCTCTGACACAAAGTCCAAGATCTCCTGGTGCAGCTTGATGGAGAAGAGTGGATGTGGATAGGGCAGCGGAGGGTCCTCCCATGGCTGCATATATACGGGCAGGTATGTGTTGCTCTGTTTAGTCAGCTGAATGCGATTAAAGAACTTGTTGTGTCTCCAATCTCTGTATTTGTCGAGTTGTTGTTGTTGTTGTTGTTGCTGTTGCTGTTGTTGTTGTTGTTGCTGTTGTTGCTGTTGTTGTTGCTGCTGTTGCTGCTGTTGCTGCTGCTGCTGCTGCTGCTGTTGCTGTGCGGTCGTGTCTTGCTGCTCCTTCACTTCACTTCTCGGTGCCCTGTCAAAGGTGACAACAGAGCTTAGGTGTGATTGGTCGCTTAGAGGGCTTGGCTTGTCAACTGATGCCGCCCTCGGCTTGGTCTGGTACTGAGGTTGTGGTTGATGCTGTTGTTGTTGTTGATGATGTTGTTGGAGGATGGTTGCGAGTGATGGTGATTTGAGTGGTACATTGGGATTGGACAAGAGTGGAGGAGGTGCTGATGATGAAGGTGTTGTTGTTGAAGTAGTGGTTGGTTGAGTAGTTGCTGATGGCGTCGTCGCACTTGGTTTGGATGATGTAGTTGTTGTCGATGTTGTCGAGGTTGTTGTAGTGGATGTAGTAGTTGGTGTCGTTTTGATAAAGATTGGAGTATGTGCAGGTGTAGTCGGGGTGGATGATGACAGTGATACTGACCTGTTGGGGAATATCACTCCATTGTTGAGGCTGAATGTTCTGGTTGGTCTTGGCTGTTTAAATGTACATTGGTTGCTCGGGCTTGCTGTTGTTGTAGTAGAGGTGGATGTGGATGTGGTGGATGGAGTGGATGAAGATGAGGATGCTGTTGAATATGGTGTCAGGTTGACATTGAGTTTCTTGGGCGACTGTGGCTGTGATTGAGATTGAGACTGTAGAAGTGCGGAGTGTGTCGATGGAGGGTTGGCCTTGATGTCCGAGGCCGACGACGACTTGACCAGCAATGATGGCTTGGTGATCTTGGGAGATGAGGGCACAATGATTGTCGAGAAGTAGTTGGTGGTGGACAGGCCTTCAAAGCTTCGTGACAGGCTGTCCTTGATAGTATCCACCTCTGACTCGGCAAACTCTGTGTCGGTGCCGCTGATTGATTGGGTCGACGCTGATGGTGATGGTAGGTCCTCCCACTTGTCGTCTGATGTGCCGCTTGAGGAGGCCACCGATGAGGAAACTGTTGAGGCGTATGAGCTGCTGTTCTTGCCACTGTAGCCACTCATACTGCCGCTGGCATTGTACCGCGACGTTGATGAGATGATGCCTGAGGAGTAGCGATGTGTTGAGAGTAGGGGACGATCGTCAATGTCACCCTCTGAGCCGAGCCAGAGCATGCCATCCTCGTCCTCAGTGGTGGAGTCGATGGGGAAGCTGAGTACCTTGGCCGTCTCAACCTCAGACGGCAGCGAATGCCTTCTGGGACGCGTCTGGATGGACTCCTTCTGCTCCGAGTCCGAGTTGGACGAGCAGTTGTCTTCGGTGGTCGATGAGATTATCTTGGAGTCGCGCGATACTGACGCCGAGGATGACTTCTTCTTCCTCTTCTTGCGCTTGGAGGACGCGCCACTGCTATCGCCGCCCGGCGATTGTCCATCGCGACCAGGCAGCACGGCAGCCTTCTTCTTCTTCTTCTTGACAGGCGTGAGCTGACCATTGTAGTTAAGCATCTTGTCGCTGCCACCGCCGCCGCCAGTTGACTTCTTCTTCTTCATCCTCTCCTCTGAGCCAATAAGATCCATCGACTCGCGATCAATGTAGTAGTTCTGCAGCTGTCCGGCGATCTCTCGCATGGTCATGTCAAGCTTGGTGCCCGCACGCTCAATGGGCGAGAAGCAGAGGAACTCGATGAACTTGATCGGGTCCTTGATCAGGGTCTCTTCGTAGATTTCCCTGATCTGCAGCAGCAAGTCGTTGGCGGCGCTGTTTGACTGTGACGCCGACGTTGATGACATTGCTGACGACGATGATGATGTGCTTGTCCTGCCCTTCTTTGCCGTCTGTGATGCTGTCGTCGTAGTGGCATTGGTCGATCCTGATTTACTCAGATGTGATATCTGTTTGTCGCCCTGTCTTGATGGCGCTGTTGATGAGGATGATGTTGATGTTGTTGATGTAAATGATGCCGATGCACTTGGCTTAGTCGTAGAAGTTGTGGTAATGGATGGTTTAGATGATGATGTTGCAGTTGTCGTGGATGTCGATGTTATTGATGCCGAAGTCGATGATGGTGTTGATGACCCAGCGGGGGTAGTCGAGGAGGAGGCTGACGACGCCCCTTCCTCAAGATTGGCGCGTGATATATCGTAGAGCATCTCGAGCTGCTCGAGAAAGTCAATCTCAGAGTCTGACTTTAGCGATTGAAACACCGAGTTGAGCACGTGACCCATCTTGACCAGTGAGTATCGCTCGCGATCAGTCGATGTCAACTTGATGGACCAGAATTGCTTCAGTCTGTTCTTCCTGCAGTCGAGCGCATTGGTGAACAGGCCGGCTGCCGTGTCCTTCTTCTTTGACGTCACACCTCCGCCGCTGGACGTGCTTCCGCCAGTCGTTGGATGGTCGACCGTTGGCTCGATGCCAAAGTGCTTGCAGTAGCCCGTCCATATCAGCTTCTCAAAGAGGGCGGCAATGTACTCGCCCAGACTGAAGAATCCTCTGCCCATGAACCACTGTGGTGTGGCGCATCGATAGTCCTTGATCGAAGGCTCCCACACTAGCGGGCTAAACAGCGACAAGAAGCCACCTTGCGTAAGTATCGTCAGCAGATCATACAGCTCGCCATTGTCAATGTCATTTGACTCGATTGTGAATGTGTCCAAGTAGCTAGTTGTCTGGCACAGTCGTACCAATCCAATTATCCTTAATGTGATTGATTGATTTATTGAATGAATGGACGTGTGAGTGATTGATTGATTGATGTTGATGTTGTGGATCACGTGACAATCATACTTTTGTTCAATTGCCAACAGTTGTTTGGGAAAGAAGAAGACGCCCATGGACGACTCGAGGTTCTGGCTGGTCTTGAAGTGAAGGTTCCTCAGCGGGTCGGACAAGTCCTCCTTGCTGCTCATGTTCTTTGATAGTGTATGCTCGATCAATCGTAGCGATGGTATATTCGGTCCAAAGTCATCGTCCATCGGTATAAAGAATCCATGCCCGTGATTCTTGCACTTGCTATACATCGCTCTTAACTTCTCGCACTCCTCCTTATTAAAGTCTGTCAGCACACTACACAGATCATCCTGACTCAGACCCAATAGCCATGAGACAACCTGTTTCTTATGGTCCATTGTGTGTAGTCTGTCTTATGTCTATGCTTGGTTGTTTGAGTTTGAGTTTGGTTCGTATAAACTATTACTACTATTGATGTAAATGATTTATGTAACAATGTTTAGGTATAAATGATGATGATTGTAATGAATGTATGTTATTGTTGAGGTTAATGTTGATTAATGAATGACCGATGAACATGTGTATAGAGTATGATAAGAGTATGAGTTTGAATAACTATGAGATTGATGTTGATTGATTGAATGATTGATTGATTGGGGAAATGTATTAACAGTTGTATTACTTATGCATGCTCAAAGGTATGTATAAGTATATATGTCTCTGTTTATCTATGTGTGTGCGAGATTGAATGAATGAATGTTCATCTTCACCATTTTCATCATTTACTCCCACCTGTTATTTGTTTGGAGGTTATCCTCTTGTTGTGTGTCTTCACATTCGCATTCATTTTGGTTGTGTATGTGTGTGAGGGTGCAAGTACGACACGAGGGAAATGCGAGCGAGGGTATGTTCGATCCAGATGAATGAATGAATGGTTGAGGTGGACATGTGTGATCAATCAATCAATCAATCGATGTGTAATCACTTTGTTTACATTTATTACAACAAACAAGGTGTAAGGAATCATTCCTTGGCCTTCTCAAATGGTTTGATCTTGTCATTAACAGTGTGGATAAATATTTGATCGTTTGGATGGCTACATTGTGATGGGGATGATAGATAGTAAGTAATCAGTTCAAACAGAAATGTTGTGTGGATCTTACTCTTTCTCTCCCTCTTCATAGGTGTAGGATGATGCTACTGCCAATTGTGTACCATCAGAGCTGAAGGACATGGCTGATATTGATGTTGGATAGTGTTTCAGATGGAATAGTCTCTTCCTGTTTTGTCCATCCCAGTAGTATACATTGCCATCACATCCACCTGTCGCGAATGTTCCATATCTTGTTCAATGATTGATGAGGTGCAAGTGATCGATGGCGAGGGCGAGGGTGCGAGGTAGGAGAATGATGTTAGATCACGTGATTGATTGAATGAATGAATGAGTGAATGTGCACAAGACTTACATTGGATGGAATGTCATTACATTGACTGGATATACAACATCTACACCACCTTCATTGGCTCGATGACATTTGAATGCGTATTTCTTTGCGGCCTGCTCTTGTGGATCAAAGTACTCCATGCCAACTCTGCCCTCGACAGAGGCCAGTGCGTAGCCAGTGCCATCGATAAAGGTGCGAATGCATCGTGTCTGGAACTTGATGCTAGACTCGCGCTTCTGCACTGGTTGGCTCATGTTTCTTGTGTCGAATATCGTGATCATCTTGTCGGCCGTGCCTACGACCAGCCAACTCTTGTTGGTGGACATTGTGTAGACCTGTGCGTCGAGCTGATGACAAATGGTCTCGGCGTGCTTGGCACGCGTGTCCCAGCCCTTGAGCGTCGAGTCCCAGCTGCCACTGAACAGCACCGACGTCTCATAGTCGTAGGCCAGTGATCGTACGCCCTTTGTATGTGAGCCAATGTCCGATGCTACACCAGATCCAATATCATACATCTTTATGATTCCATCAATATCCGATGAGTACACCCTTGTCTTGTCCGGTGCACATCCATCCAACACTGCCGCATCATGATTATACTGCCATCTCTGTGAGTTGCTTGCAGTATCATAACATCTAACAGTCTGTTTTGATGTGATCACAATGTATTAGTATGTTATTGATTGATTGATTCATTGATTGATCGATTGATTGATCATTAGAACTCACCAAATCCCATGATGTGACTAACAGTTGTGTTGATTGAGGTATATAGTTCAATGATGAGATGCCATCTTGTGGAGGCAGAATCAATTCAAAGTAGTCTGTACTCATTGTATTGTATTGTTTAAAAGTATATTAATATCTGTATTAAAGTAAAGTTCAACAATGACGAATATCCTCTCGATTGAAGTCATCTCATCTCGCTCACTCAGTCTTGGCGCCAAGTTTGAAAATTTCTTAATTTATGGGACAATCCAAGTTCATTGATTCGTCGGTCCATTCTTCTTGGGATTGAGATACTTGATAAGATAGATACGTTCGATGTTCTCATATGGATAGTCTTGTATACGACCCATCTCTTCGAAGCCTTGCTTTAGATAGAATTCCTTTGCCTGGAAGCTGAATGTAGTGAGCATAATATGATGACATTGATTGTCTCTTGCAAGCTGTTCGACACGCTGTACCAATGCTCGTCCAATGCCCTTTTGTCTACAACTATCCTTTACAGCCAACAATGTTATATATGTTTGTAGTCCACTTGTAACACTTCCACTGATGCCACCTATCAATGATCTTGTTCCTGATGGCGTTGTTGATGATGATGATGAGGTATCAATTGCTGCGAATGTGAATGACTCTGGTCTTGCAGGTTCATAAGTCTTATTAATCTTTGACAACATGTCATTGTTCAACATTAACTTTAACTCATCATCGATTGTATCCTTATCTTTGTTATTAACTTCTATGATGTCCATCTTCATTCAATCAAATGACACATTTAGTCATCTTGACAATGTTGGACTTTTTCGATCTTGAAGGTGATGATGGGGCTTTCAATTCAAGTGTGAATCTCCCCTCATCTTCCCTCCACTTCACTCACTCATTCATTCATTCATAATCTATACAGATACTATTGTACACTTATTATTATTATTACACTGTTGTGCAAGCAAGGATGCCACATGTATTGCAATATGGTGTTCAAGCCACTTGGTTTGAATCAATCAGTTACTTTATGTGGGATAACTTATATCTACCAGCAGTGTTTGCATTATCAGTCTATCTAATGATGATGTATATTAAACATACATATTGGAGTCTCTCATTCAAACCAATGTCCTATAAAGAATATAATATAGCCAATCAAAAGAAGAAACAGAAACAAAAACAACAACAACTACAACAACCTCAACAGCAACAATCTAAACAACTTGTACATAAAGATCATAGTCACTCATTACTTCAACAACAGAAACAACAACTTCCATTCTCTCCACTATTCCCATCATCATCACCATCATCAACATCATTCAACACCAAGCGAAAGGATAGAGCATCCGAACATTTGCTACCAGTGCATCAAACAGATCAACAACAACAACATAGTGATGATATTGATGATGAAGAGTTTATGTACTTTGGAAGGAATAGAGCAAGTGATATGTACAGAGCCAATCAAACCAAGAACAACAGCGTCATCAACAACAACAACAACAATAATAACACAAGTAGTAGCAACAATGAAAGACATAAGATTAGTGACTCATTGATGAGTAGTCAGGTCAAGACAAAGAAGTATCCAATCACTTTTGAACAACTACAGACTACTCTTAGTAGCAACAATAGCATAACTGGCATGCCATCATCATTGTCATCGTCAACAACATCATCATTGAATGACTCTTTCAACATTAGAGTCAACTCACCAAAGTTGACCATCTTTGAGAAGGACACACCACAGAGCCAGCTCGCAGCTTCATTGGCATCATCTTCTTCGACGACTACGACGACACCAACAGTGAGCACAGTAGCAGCATCCATTCGCAAGCCTATATTGCTCAGCGAGGAGATTGTCTATCTCTTCTGGAATCGATCTATTCACAACACGATCAAGGGCATTGAGACTGGCGCTCTGTTATGTGGACGCGATGAGAAGACACACTTTGTCATCACCGAGCTAATATTCCCCAATCAGGTGGGCCGCGACGACAGCTTTGAGTGCATCAATGACGAGCAGGTGTTCTGCTACCAGCTCGAGAGAAGTCTACTCACACTGGGCTGGATCCACACGCACCCGACGCAGACGGTGTTCCTGTCGTCCGTGGACATCCACAACCACTACTGCTACCAACAGCAGCTAAAAGAGTCGATTGCCGTTGTGGTCAGTCCAAAGCCCACGCCCAACTACGAGGTGTTCTCGTTGAGTGCCGGCGGCATGGATTCAATCGCCAAGTGCAGTCTCAAAGGATTCCATCCACATGACGATGCCGACAGTCTGTACCAGAGCTCACCGCACGTCAGAGTAGTCAATTCCTCACAGAGTATGATTGGGTCTGGGTCGGGGTCGGGGTCGAGTACTGGCCTCGCCAACAACAACAACAGCTCTTCAGAACCACTTGTGATCACGATCAAAGACTTTAGGACATCATCACTCATGCAAACCTACTCTGACATCACATCCATCCAGTTCTCGCGGACATCCACCTTCTAGAAGGTGTTTAAAGCTATCATAAATCAATTGTACATATTTATTCAATCACTCTAGCAGTTGAGGTAGTAGGTAAGTGTCGAAGATTCATTGGATGGCCATTCAGATAGGGTAGACACTCAGAGCATGATCGAAGGGGCGGTAGAAGGGATGATCAATGTATTCTCTGGTCAGAGGGTGCTGGGTATCAGACTTGGTAACCAACCAGGCACTGGCCAAATTTGGAACATTGTGGTAGTGAAGGCACCAGGGTATGTTGTTGGTCAATAGTTCATTCTGGTCCAACAATTGATTCCAGGAGCTGAAGTTGAAGACAGTTCTGGCACTTACCTCAACTGGGTCGTGAGCATAAGAGTTGCATAGGTGCTCGATCAGAAGATTCTGAGTGGCTCGAGTTGGATCGGCTGGCTGGACTCTAATCTTCACAGCATTTAAATCCCACACAATGATAATGACTGGGTCCTCTTCTTTGGCAAACATGATGTTGGTGATGGCGCTGAGTTGGTCATAGGATAGACAGAGATGGTGGAGCTGAATTCTGAGCTCAGACATGAATATTGATTCTATTAGAGAGGGTATAAATAACAATGACAGGTAGGATGGAAAGTGATATAGGTAGAGATTACTTACTCTTTGAATCAGATAGAGACATAGTAATATTGTTAAGAAATGATGATATTGAGTTAATGATGAGTCTCACTGACATGTTGTCCAGTTCTATTTATACTTATTTTCTTATACATATGAATATGATTATTGATCGCTTTAGTGCTGAAACTAAGTTAATAAGTCATCAACTACATATATGGTTATTTAACCAAATATAGACATCATTACTTAATATTTCTTAATTTACTCATTATCATTCGATTGGCAATCTATTCACTACCACATGTTAAGAACTTCGGTTTGAAATTGAAGGATAAATGAAAATAACCATCATCTCCTCTTTAGTCATACCTTATTAATCAATCAAATAAATACTTTTCCCTTTAGTTGACCAAATCATCATGGGTATCAAATCATCTTGAGTGTTCTAAAGAGTTTACTTGTGGAATTGAGCCTGGAATCACTCAAAAATTCCCTTTGTTCATACTTGTGTATCTTAAGTCAAGGCTGTTGTCCAATCCAACTCGACCATAATAAAATAAGGGTGTACAATATTGACATGCCATGCCATGCTATGTCATGTTTTACTACAATGTCTTCATGTTGACCAAACTCTTTACCAGTCGACGGGGAAGCTTCTTTGTCTTGCTGGGCGAGGGTGATTGCGCCGGACTGGCATTTCCCATTGGTTTGGGCTGCAGTTCGCCATCGTACCTATTATCCCAACACTTCTCGATCAGTCTTTGCATTGTCGTTGTGAGTGCCAATGCCTGTCCACCAGTCGGTGGATAGAATGTCCATCTCTCACCGCCAACTCCAAACTCTACTATTGTGAAAAAGTGTTTATCTGTTGGCTATGTGTCAGTATCCTGTTGCCTGGCGTGGCGTGGCAGCTTGTGCGCGGACAACCCATAACATACCTGAATGATTACAGCTGTGAACTATTACATTGTCAAGTGGTATGCTCTTGACCAACTTGTATGAGCTACCCTTGTGCTTGGTGAACAGGAAGAGATCGTTGAATAGGAAGTAGAACCCCTTCTTATACTTGAGCTGTAGCTTCTTGTCTGAGTTCTCGTTGAATCCCTCGACCATCTGCATCTTGCCCTCGCTCATCAATGTTCTCTTTGACAATTGTAGACTCTATATAATGTTGGACAGCGCGTTAGCATCCACATCCAGGTACACAAAACCTCCATTCAATCAATCAATCAAAGTCAACTTACCTCTGATCCTTTCAGTGATTGGATGATCTGCATTGTCCTCTGCCATGTCTCATTCTCCATCTTGACCTTGTTGATTAGGTTTACGATTTGCTCGATCTTGGCTACGGCCAGGATCAGTTGTCCATGGTCTGGATGATCGGCAGACGTAGCCTTTAGTAGCTCTCTCAGCAGCAGAGGGTATTTACATATTCTCTGTACTGGCTTGATGAGGAATGAGTGAAGGTTGAGACCTCGCAGCTCTGGTCGTTCAGATATATAGTTGTCCACCTGTGGCAGTCTGGACAGACTGTCCAATGACTTTTGATTATAATTGCAATACACAGAGTAGTTACCAAGTGAATCAGACTATGTTTGATTGATTGATTGAGTGAGTGATTGAGTGAGTTAGTGAGTGGATGGCCAGGGCATGCCCTTTGTCCAACATACCATTTGACAAAACACCTCTCCAATGGAGGCTGTTGATGAACTGATCCTGCCGTAGAGGTCTTGGTTCACTTCTAGGATCTGCTCGATGTTGGAGAAGACGCTGGCGCACTCCTCAGTAGATATGATCTTGAGCTCATCTCTGAGCGGCTTGTAGAATACATTGACAATCGTCTCCAAGTCCTTGATGTAGTCCAACTCTGTACTAACAATCTCCTTTACAAGTAATGCACGTTGATCACCTGATGATGTCCTTGACTTGTTACCGCTGCCATTGCCATTGCCATTGGGCGTGTTGTTGTTGTGATGCGTGGGAGATGAATGTTGGCTGTGGCTGCCCAATGTACCGTTGGCGGGCATTGGCGAGCTGACGTAGTGATGTATGGTCTTGCCATTGAATGTAGCGTTGGGCGAGAGTATCTTGCTGTCGGGTGGCGTGGGGAAGGCATCAATGATCTCGTTAAAGATGAATGCTGATGTGACTGATCGTCGTTTTGATGTTCGTAGGTTAAAGTCGGCGTAAGGTTGTGGTGGCGTTGTCATTATGATTGTTGTTGGTTCGTCGTTGTTGTTGTCGTTGGCGTCTGATGTTGGCGCTTGAGTAGTCGTCGTTGTAGTTGTCGTCGTCGTTATCGACATTGTCGGTAATGATGATTCGCGCTGTAGCGCGGCCAGTGACTCTTCGAGCTGCTGTTGCTCCAGCTGGTCCTTGATCGTTATGGGACTGAGTGGCGCAGACTCGAGCTGGAGAGCTGGGGTCGTGGTCGTGTCGGAGGCATCAGATTGCTCATCGTCCGTTGTCGTTGAGGACGAGGCAACTGCAGGGGAAGGTGATGATGGATGTGATGAAGTTGATGTAATATTGTTGGGCTCATTTGATGTGTGATCGATTGCTGGAGACACTGATTTCTGGATGATGTGTGGCGTTGATGATGCCGATGAAGGCGGCGTAGTCGTCAGGCTTGTTGACTTGGCAGGTATATATGATAGCCTGGTCTTGATGAATGAGTTCTGTTTCTCGCCAGTGACCATCGATGCAGGCGGAGTAGTTGGCTCCGATGTCTTATTGATATTGGCTATCATTGATTTTATGGATACAGCCTTCCTCTCGCGATCTACCAACAACTTTGCAGCTGCGTCATCATTGCTCTTCAAGGCGGATCCGCCAGAGTTTGCTTGTGTTGGACGGAATGCTGGAATGGGCAGGATGGAGTCTGCGTCCGGCAGCTCGATCATGACCAGTTTGACATTGCAACGAAAGCAGAACTTTGAGTTTGGCTTGCAGAGGTAGTCGCAACGCCAACATCTATCGCCCAGCTCACTCTGGCACAGATGACAATGCTTATTATAACGAGGTGTCTGTCCTAGACACACCTTGCACATTGCCAATCCTTCCATTTTACTAATCGTACTCTGTTGTTGTTGTTGTTTATGTGTAGTTGATCCTCTAAAGTTTGTTCGATTGATTGTTTGAATGTTAGTGATTGATTGAGTGATTGAATGATTGAATGAGTGATGGGGATTGAACAAGTGGATGCGACAGTAATGGCCATAACAATGGTACCTTTCTGTTAAAGCCATATCTAACTAATTATGTGTTGGGGAGCTATAATTATAACAAAGATGGACAACAACATCCAAGAACAACAAACATCAAACTTAGGTCATCAATCCACTCCATCATCCTTGCCGATCACGTGTGATGGTGAGTGATGACAATGACAAGTTATGAATGATGGTCAATGTGTAGGATGAACAATAACATAGCAACAGGTCAATGAACTTGTGATAAGTGTAACTTTGGTAATATGTGTGTGGATGTTGTGTTGGATGAGGGTGTTGGGGTCGGGTCGGCGATGAGATCGAAAGGTCGTGTGTTGTGTGAATGAGTGAGTGAGTGAATGTGCTGTGTTGATTGATCAATCAAAGTGTGTGTCGCATCAAGTTGAGTTGAGTTCGCAAGTCCAGTATTATTACATGTATGATGTATCTGTATTATAATTTTCGTCGAGGTCGATTGATTCGTTCATTAATGTCTGTCACTATTATATTTGATTGATAGTGATGTTGATGTTGAAGTTGAAGTTGTTGTTGATGTTTCTCCTGCCTGCTGATATTGATTGATTGATTGGTGTAAGGTAGGTATGTCTCTCTCGCTCTCTCGATATTATTGTTGTTATTGTTGTTATATAGGTGATACGAGTTATGGTATCTAGAATGGACTTGGGTCGGGGATGAATGATTGAATGATTGAATGAATGGAGTGGATGGCCTGGATAGATGATGGCTTGACTTGGAACCAGGATCTCCCAACATTGTTTGTTTCATAGATTGATCAAAAAACACACTCTCGTGTCAAGCGTGTGCGATAAACAACTTGTTGATTGATGATGATGGATGTGGTGGGCTGGTGCTTGTGCCAGGTTGGTGATGAGATTGGTCGAGAAAAATCACAAAGAGGACTCCGAGGTGAGCCGCATGTTTGTTTGTCCTTTCGTGATAAACACATTGATCTAGATCGATCACTTTTCAAAGTAGGTCGTCACTTACGATCCATCGTCATCGCTTAGAACACTGCAAGTCTCTTGACACGTGACCTCCGATTCGTCAGACTCCAAGTTACTGCAGTCTTCAATTATAATGTCCATATTTGATTGTATGATTGATTGTATGTTTGATTGATTGATTCTATAAATATAAATATATTAATAAGTTAGTTAAATTGATGATGATGATGGAGCGAGAATGAATCAGGTGATAGAGTGAGTGAAAGAGAGAGAGTGAAGAAAAGGCATAGTCGTCGTCATGTCGTTATGATAATGGAGGGATGGGATTGGTGAGGTAATTGTAAGAGTAAGAGTAAGGGTAAAGGCAAGGTTAAGGGTTAAGGTAGGTTAGGTAAATGGTATTCATTCATTCACCATTAAGTGATCGCCAGGCAGGGTCCTCCACACTAACCCACTCACACTCGTCAACAACACCAACCCCCATATCCACATCCAAAAGTGATTGGATAGTTGGACCACAACACCAACAACATTGTTTGTTAGTGTGTGTTTGTGTTTGAGTGTGTGTGTTTGATGTGATGAGATAACCTTAAGTGGAGGTGTGTGTGTATGATGACGATGATCAATAACACTTATAAGTTATAACTATGGTGTGCAGAAAGAGAGAAGATTGAGGCAATGATCATCATAAATGTGTGTATAGTACCTGTCTGTCTGTGATCTTGTAATAATTATTCTTCTAATGAATGTTGCTGTGTAATTCAGAGTATTGTTCCAGGCCTATTCCATTTATCAGTGAAGTGTATGTATGTTTAAATGTATTGATTGATTTGATTTGATTGATTGATTGTGCGAGTGATATATATATATATTATATGTATTAACTGGACATGTGTTTGATACAATCATTCAAACACAATCAACTGCATATTATTGTGTGTCACCAATCAACAACAACAATACATTAATTTCATTTTATGTTTATTAATAACGTCAAGATCGATCTTTCAAGTTAAAGTCTCAATGTGGGTGGATCGGATCGTACCCCAACCCGACTCATCACCAGTTGTGTAATAAATCTTGAAAAAGACCCAATTTGGACTTCAATCAATCAAACATTGTTTTAGATGGGGGAGGATGTCATGACGTCCAGACCAGACATTGAACTTGTATTATTATACAATGGAATTGCCCATTCGTACATAGGGGCCGCCGCCAACCATGATCGAGTTGAATATGCGTGATGGTAGTCCACTGTAGGCGCACAGTGGGAAAACTAGGACCATGAGGAAGATGACCAGCATGATCAGACCGAGATGTGTGCTGCCCTGGGGACCATCAGTGTCGACGTTTGTGATTCTGAAGCGATCGCCAATCGAGCCATTGTAGCGAAGATACGTCACCTCGAGTGTCAGTGGCGATGCTTTCACCTTGGTGTAGCCGGCCGAGTTCTCGCGGTGCGCAGTCCAGTCGGGACGCGGCAGCCATGGGTCTTGGTCGGCGCCGCCAGTGCCCGCCAGCAGATGGACTGTGCCCATGTCACTCGTATACTCGTCGGGCAGGTCGTTCAAAGGCTTGCCATCGTACGCTGGATAACTCCTCTCATAACAATGATCGTGTCCAGAGATCACCAAGTTGACCTTGTACTCCTTGAGCAAGTGTTCGATCGCTGATCTAAAGTTGACATCGCCACCTCCATGTCCAGTTGATGAGCTATGATTGATTGAATGATCGTGAGGGGTTAGTTGAACCTGCGCCTTGGCTAGAACATGTGCCCATGATGTCATCTTACCTGTACATTGGACTGTGAGCTCCGACGATTAGCCATGGGAACTTGTGTCTGTTGTTTTGAACATGCTCCAACTGCTGCACCAACCACTTGTATTGAATGCTTTGCTCGTCGTATGGATCGTAGGACGAGAGCATGATGATGAATGCATGTGAATACTCGATGGTGTAGAACAGGTGGTAGTTGGTCTTGGTCTCCATCAAGCCCGTCTCCTCATTGAGACGCAGTGACGTTGTTGGCGAGGGGTATGCAAGGGGCATATGATACCTGTTGTAGTATGCGTTGATTGCACCTGGCTTGACGTCCCAGTTGCCCGGGATCACCATGTAGGGGAACTGCGAAGCGACGGGCTCGACCAAGTTGCCAAACGTGTCCCATACTGATTCATTGAGTCCATACGAGAGATCGCCAGCGTGCAACACGAGCGACACGTCTGTCTCCTGGGCCAGAGAGGCCATCACCGGAATGACGTTGCCATACGTGCCGCAGTCGGCCAGCGCCACAAACGTCACAGAGTGGTCGCGACCAGGTGCCGTCTGAAACTGTCGCCACGAGCTCCAGTTCTGCAGGTTCGAGCTGTTGCGCAGCACTTCGCCGCCGACGCTATAGCAGTACTTGGTGTTGGGCGTCAGCGAGTTGAGGCGCACCGAGTGCAGGTAGCCGCTGTATGGATAGTATGTCGTCGTTGTGCCAATGCTGACGATGATCGTCTTGTCGCCGGCCAGCTTGTCGAGGCTGTTGCTGCCACTGTCTACACATGCGCCAGCATAATAGTACACGGTGGACTTCTTTATGACACCATTTGTGATCCAAGATATTAGCATATCGTCAGAGTTCTCTGTCAGTGCCAAGTTGATCTGTCGCGGTGTTAGATCCTCCGCCAACGTAGTCGAATCCTCCAAAGTAGTAGATGACAATGTCTGTTGTATCAGCATAAATAACACAAATAATTGAAGTACTATAGGTCGACCATTCCTACTACTACTCAGCAATGATCTATTGATTCTAGTCATTATCATCATTGATTGAGTTGTTTGTTCTGTCTGTGTATATGTCCAACTAACTTGATTGATTGAGTGAGTGAGTGAGTGATTGAATGAATGAGTAAGAGTATGTATTACAAGATTGATTGTATTAGAATAAGTATATATATTAAAACATTTTGTTGCATTAAATGAATGAATGAGGCATTTTAGAAGTGTTTCGTCAACCACGTCACGAACGAACTTCTTCAAAGATGACTCATTCAATCAAAGTAGTTTACAACCATGGCATGTTGTTAATACTAATAATAAGACAAAGAAGTACAAAGGGAGTTATTCAAATAACATAACAATTTATGTGATCGATCGAGGACTCGCTTTGCTTGAAAGATGATCCAGTGAAGGGCACGTGACAGACTGACAGAATGACCTACCACTTGGTTCTCAAAGCGGTGGTCATGACAGAGTCAGAGAATGCTGTGTAGGGTGGGTACTTAACTGGGAGATCGAGTATCTATGTAGCATGGGGACAGAATAGAAGGGGATGGTAGAGGGTGTTGGCGTCACTTATCCTAACAAATCGCAAGACGATCAATCAATCAATCATGAGAGAGTATGATGAACATAAAGAGATGGTACTTACCTGCATGGAGGATGATCGGACACAGGCCTTCTTGTGAGTGAATAGGTCGAATGTAAGCTTTCCATGGTAGGCACCAATGCCACTGTGACCAACTCCACCGAATGGGAGGTAGGGCGAGGTGAAGTGAAGCAGTGCCTCGTTGGCGAGGGCTGCACCAGACTGTGTGTTGTTGAACACGTAGTCCTGGGTGGTCTTGCTCGATGAGTACAGCATCAGTGTGAGGGCATGTGGCTTGGAGCGCACAAACTGGACGACCTCGCTCATGTTCTCATAAGTGAGTATTGGCAACAATGGACCAAACACCTCCTCTTGCATCAGTGGTGAGTTGAGGTCGGGGTCCACCATGAATGTTGGCGAGACGAAGCGATCCTCAATGTCGACCTGGCCACCAATGACAACCTTGCCGTGTGCCATCAATTTGGACACACGCTCGGCATGGAACTTGTTGATCAATCTGCTGTAGAATGGGCTCTTCTGGACGTCGTCGCCAAAGAACTCATGAATAAAGTGCTTGACAAGCTCCAAGAACTCGTCCAGCTGTGACTTGTGAATGAACAAATAGTCTGGTGCGACACATGACTGTCCAGAGTTGTAGCTCTTGCTCCTGTTGGTCGTGTAGTATGTTTGAATGATTGATTGATTAGTGGGGATGGTTCCAGCGACTCGGCGATTTGGTCACCAACTTGACACTTACCAAACGATCTTCTTGGCGGCAAGCTTGAGGTTGCATTCTTTGTCTATGATACATGGGTTCTTGCCTCCGAGCTCGAGGGTGACGGGTGTGAGGTGCTTGGCGGCAGCTTGGTAGACGATGCGACCAATCTCAACGCCACCTGTGAAGAAGATGTGATCCCATTGCATCTGCAGCAGAGCCTGTGCGACAGCAACATCGCCAAAGTCAATGGCAATGCACTCGCGGTCCAAGTACTTCTCGACGAGTCCATGCAGCAGTGTGCTGACATTGAGTGAGTGTGGCGACAGCTTGATGAAAGCGCAGTTACCAGCGGCGACGGCACCAATCAGGGGGATGACGGCGAGGTTGACGGGATAGTTCCAGGGCGACATGATCAGCACGACACCCAGCGGCTCCTTGATGATCTGCGACGAGGAGGGCTGGAGACGCACGGGTGTGTAGACCTTCTTGGTCTTGGTCCACTTCTCGAGGTTTGAAATGGCCAGATCACACTCGCTCAGCACCAAGTTGATCTCGGACAGCGACGACTCGGACTCGCACTTGCCCAAGTCCTTCTTGAGAGCCTGACAGATATCCGATTGATTCTCTGCAATCATCTTCTTGATGGCTTTAAGTTGAGTGTAACGCCACTCAAGTGGGCGTGTCTTGTTGGCAAGGAATGCAGTCCTCAGTGCCATTCCAATTCTTTCAACATTTGGGCTTGACATTATTGGTTGCATTTATATGTTGTTATTATATATATATGTATGTATTATCTGTATGTATCTGTATGTATCTGGTACGTTAACAAACAAACAATGTACATTGTACGTGTATATATCTAAACATATATATTCATTTCCGAGTCATTGACATTGACATTGAATCGAAATACGTTGCCTATTTTGGATTCATGCCCAGTCGGTATCTCAAACACAAAGATCTCCCCACACTCCACACGAACCAGCCGAACACACACACTATGGAATCTCCATCATGATGATCATAGTGGTGTTTATACATTCAATCAATCCCATGATCAATGACTCACTCACTCACTCATTCAATTATAACTATGTCTAGAGATATATCTCTATCTTTAGTTATAACATCATCATCAAATATCAATAATCTTTGATATTCAAGGCTAGCCTCACTCACTCTCACACACACGATTAATTCTAGAACATCTCTCGCAACCCTCGATATTGAGATGTAACCAACCAACTTCATTCTCATGCCTCTCACTCTCACTCATCAATCAATCATTCATCAATCATTCAATCAAACATGTACTACTTGTAAACGATTCTTTGTTTGTTTTTTTGTAAATTGAGTGATTGACTTCGCTCACTAGGTGGGTTTGCAAAAAAAAAGGACACTCCGATTTCAGCTCCACGAGTTTGCAAAATGAAAGGGCATCCACCAAAGCAAGGTCCACTTAAATCAAATCAAATCATATCAAGGTTGAACATTATCATATCTATTCCAAAGATATATATTTATATCAAGTAATAACAAATGTTAAAACAACATAAACAACATCAACAACATCATTCATTACTTTTAATTTTAATATTATTGTCTTGTATAATTGGTATTAAATCAGTAGTAATCAATGAGTTTCTGCAATCAAAGCCAATCACTGTTGGATATAATTGTATTCAAGTCTCTCTCACACCTCCTCCTCAATCAGTGATCAGTTCGAAGGACTTCCAGATAAGAATGTTCTTTGACAAAGACGGAATGTAAGTTCACTCTCTCCATCATCCCATCACTCATTCAATCAATCAATCACTCACTTTATTCCGTTCAATCGATCAAACAAACAGATTGATTGCAACCTATCCAATCATATCAACCAACACAGAGACACTGCTCAACTATTCAAGGACTGTGAATGGTGGATTTCCAAATGTCGTATGTACTATTAATCCATCCATCAATATATATATGATGATGTAATGAATGACTAACACATCTCTCTCAATCACTCAAACAAAGTACATGATTGATATTTATACCAACAAGACTGTCTCGCCAACTGGAATACTAGTCATAGATGATCACACAATCCAGTACATCTTTGCCCAACTTCCAATATCGGACAAGTTGGTCTTTGCATTCAAAGACGTCTTCCAATGGGGTGGACACTTTGTTAACGTAGGTACAGACCATCCATCCATCCATCACTAGTCTGATACACTAACTGACTCTGACCAACAAATCATCATATAACTAGCCTCAATACGCAGCTGTGTACTCTACCACGGCCAACCCTCCGGCGCCCAACACACTACCATCGAACAAGATGGTAAGTCTGTGTCCACTTACCGATCAAAGATGGATGGGAGGTAACCTATCTGTGCCGCCATCAGTATCCCAGCTGACCCAGTTGGTTGCCAAGCCATGCCACTCATCAATTCCAATCTGTAAGGCCGATGACATCATGTACAACGAGTTGCAACTTGATGTGAGCTTGGCCAAAGGCAACATATCAATCCAATTCGATGAGTATGTCTTTGCTGGCCAGAAGTATCATACCTACCTATCTGTAAGTAACCTGTGGTCATTAGTACGTACACATCACATCTGATACTGACTCGTGACCACATAGATATTGATAGAGGCATTGGGTACAATAATAGACTTTCCGTTGACCTTGGGTGACCAGCAGTATCAGTTCATTGCAGAGGGCCAGGCTGATCAGTTCTACAATATCTACTCGACTGCTGTCGATCAGATGATCGAAACTGTCAAGACCAGCTCCATGAACTCATTTATCACTCAATTCCAACAAGGAAAATTCACCAATGTCACTGTTGGTAATGGAACTGCCGTACTTCCAGTAAGTAGTGATCAATGATCGGCTGATGGAGGGTTGGGGAGGGACAGGACAGGAGAGGACTAACAATACACATGTTATTGTAGGCTAACTTTGATTGGACTGGATACATGTCTAATCCATACGATGAGAAGTTCATATTCTACTCTAAACTTGGAGGAAGTAAGTCATGGATCACTCGCTCACTCAACTCAATCATCCTCACTCACTCACTCAATCAATCAATATCTTCAATCAATGAATCATATATATATAGGTATCACTATATTGTGCACGAAAGGTACTTTCTTTAATTTGTATCCAGCAAGGGGAGTTTATTGTCCAACTGGATCGACTAGGAACTCTGGTTATCTAGCCTCAACACACCACACGTTAAGAAATGGACCTGTTATGAACAAGTACAACCTAAATTCAGTTGTGCCAGTTGTCACAAGGTGGTTCAGAATCACCATGCTTGGAAAGTCCTACACTTTCTCCACCACTCAGCTTAGCCTCACCGATGAAAATCTCAACATTAACTTCAAGTTCAACAATGATGCCTACAACTGGAGTATGTATTACAATTGAATGAATGAGGCTGGAATCATTCCATCCCATGGACAGCACTCACTAACTCATACCATCTAAGACTTGCAAGGATACTCAATGCTACATCCAAAGGATGGAGGACCAGTGACTGGAGCGATATTCGTTCCGGACAATGTGTTTGGTCCCGGATTGAATCAACTCGGAATGACCCAGGACAGCTTCTTTGCCCAACCGAACTTCTGCTCCCAGCTACCTGGGGCGGGAATGGACCACCAACTCGGCAAGTACGCCAACCAAGGTGATTCATTCATCAACAACTACATGTCATCAATGTGGTCGCAGTGTGATGGTACCCTGGATGACGGCACGTACCGCACCAAGGTGATTCCTGGGGGCAAGCTGTCCTGTGAAGTGATTCGCGACATTGGTACTGCTGTGTTCCAATTCCGACAAGGTGCCATTCCCAACTTCCAGCCCAGTGTTGGCCAGCCCACCAACAATCGCACCAGCAGCACCAGCACCACTGATGGATGCGACGGAGTGTTCATTGTGGATGTCTGCAACAATGGTAACCTATCCGGACAGATCTTCATGGATATAACATGCAACAGCCAGCCAGATGAGGTCTACATCGATAATATCAACAGGTTCCAGAATGTGATGCCAGGTCAGTGTCTGCCATTCACTGCAAGAGTGGTGTACAAGGAGTATCCCGCCAAGCCCTTGGTGTGTCGAGTCGACCTGTCAATCAACAAACAACTCCTCTGGACAGACAAGGGCATGGCATCGTCAGCCAACTTTAGTATCCCAATGTTTCCAACATGCCACAAAGTCAATCCTTGTCTGAACGTGGTCGGCCAGCCCAAACTTGACACGGTCCAACCTGTGCCCTCTCAGTTTGTACAGGTTGATCGCTTCCTCTACACTACCTACCTCGATGTCGTCATGAACAACAATGGCCAGTTGGGAGGTAACTTCTCAGTCAACATCACATGCGCGACAGAGGGTTCTTTTGGCAATGTCATTATCGTTGATGGCCACTTCCAACAGATCACATACATTGACGCAATGAGCATGGCTACACAACGATTCACACTGATGGTCGAGGCATCGCCCAACCCCAACACATACATGGTGTGCAAGATGATCTCAGCCGTGTACAACCCAAGCAAGTGTTGGTCCCTTGTCGACTCGGACACTCGTACATACAGTATCCGCATGGCCATCCCCTCGGACCCCTGTATCAAGTACCAGAACCAGCCAACAATCATCAAGTCTCTGAAGATCTGGTGGGAGAGCGTACTTGCCAATGTCAACTTTTACCTCGGCCTCATCTCATCGGGCTGGGAGAAGGTGTCTTCACCACCCGCCACACTTCCCCAGCCTTTTGCTCGTGAGCAGTTTGACCCTTCAATCAATGACAAGGCACATATTGTTTCGTCTGGCCAGCTCTACAAGACGACAGTAACAACGGACCTACCATTGAATGGAGGCACTGAGGTTGGTACATTCAAAGTCAGAATCACATGTGATACTCAGTACATCGTTGTCAACGACACACAAGTAGTCGAAGCTAGGCCTGGTTCCGGCTCTGTTCAAACAGATGTGTACTCCTACGCTACCAATTTAAAACATCCTAATGCGGTGTGCCGTGTCGATATCCAAGTGCTTAATCCCAACACTTGTTGGTTAAGCGTTGGACTTTCCTACAACCAGTCAGTCCAGGTCTATCCTCCGTACGACTCATGTGAGGGCGCATCATTCTCGCCCAGCTTCCCACTCGCCCCACCCACGACCTTAGTTGAACAAACAAAGAACAGCGTAGACATTGATGGCACGGTTAGGTTTGCAGTCTCATCTGTGCCAGCGAATGTTGGATACAACAATGGTCACCTGGAGTCTACACTCACATGTAGTAGCAACCTGACTGTTGTGAGCAACATCTTCACATCATCTTGCAACATTGCACCCAACTCAACATGTCTGGTACAGTTTGAAGTTGTCGTCAATGCATCATATGCAGCAGCGCTATCATTGGTCCAGCCCATTACATGTACATTGATGGTACACTACCTCAACCCTTTTGGGGACCAATGCCTGTACACCACCTCGCCCTTGGGTCTCGCTCAGACCATCGCAATCCTGCTACCTATGCTCACACTTTGTCCAGCGCCAAACAACATCAAGGTCACCTCAGCCAGCTCGATCACAGTGGACCAATGGATGACGTCCAGTTCATTCCAGAATGTGACCGTCTCGCATTCACTTAAAGTCGTCAATAGCGAGGCAAAGTCCGGTAATGCCCGAGTGGTATCAGCCATCATTCCTGAGGGTGTGGCACTCGTGGTTGACTGGGCCGCCTCAATTACCCAGTGTTACATCCACTCGTATTCATCATGCCAGATGTCGATTGTGTTCTCTTCCAACACGAGTGGACATCTGGCCGCACAAACCAACGTAACGTTCAATGTGGAGGTGGACTTTGATGGCGAGACATGTATCTCGACCAACACTGGCCAGCCCTTGCCCACGACCATCACCGTCAGTTTACCAGCCGATCAGTGCAAGCTCGTCAATCAACCATCCATGTTCGTCACCACCGAGACAATAGAGTCCAACCCAAACTACTACTTTGTGAACGATAAATTGTTCCAACTGGACGAAACAAAGTGGACCATCGCATCGAATCAAACTGGCAACGCGAAGTATAAGTACTCCAAGCTCGTTTCAGGAAGCGTTTGGAATCGTGGTAAAGTTGGAGGATACCTCACATTGTCCACTCGATCAGAGGACAACCCTTCAGGTGGCACGTTCTACATTGATGGCAACGGCCACACCAATGGCACCATCTGGTTGAAGGAGGACCAACCCTACTACTTCACGTTCATCCTCTACACTGACGACCCATACCAAGCTGTGAAGTTTAGTTTCTACATTGTAGCCAGGTTCAACATGGAGCCTTGCTTCTCTCCGTTTGGCACAGTGTACCAACAGAAGGTCCCAGTGAACTTTGATTACCTTCTTCGAGTGGACAACACCGCGGCGATGAACAAACGCGGCAATGACATCCTCCTCCCACTTATTATCGCGCTTGCCATTGTATTGGCAACATCATTGTTGTTGCTGGCATACCGCCTACGACAGATTGGTGCCAAGCGTATCAAGAAGATGATTAAGAACCCTGGAGCGGCAGTGGAGAGCATGTTGGCAGAGGTCATTGGCGTGGCGGCGGTACCGCCACCGGTGGAGGCAGCTGCACTGGAAGGTGGTAGTGGTCTTGGAGAATTCAAATGTCATTGCTCCGCCGTACTACAAAAGACATGTCCCGTATGCAATGAAAAGTATTGCATAAATTGCTTCCCAATGCTTAATGATGGCAAGTGGAAATATCTATATAGACCATGCCATCCAGCCAACCTCTACCGCGATACCTACCACCTTCGTGACAAGCATCCAGAGGTCATTGACCAAGCTCGAGATTCATTGTTTCCCAAGAGGGAAGAAGAATTTAAAATAGCTAATGCTATGAGAATACAACAACAACAAGAATAGTAAATAAATACGATCATGTTGACTGTTTGGCAGCAGTGTACTACATACATTAACAACATCATAAGTACTCTACTCTCTATCTATTCTTGTGTGAATGAATGATTGAGTGAATGAATGAATGAGTGAAACGAAGTTTCAGGGCTTCTAAACTACACAACACCAAGTTGTTGAGGTTCAAACTTTCAAAGAAGATAGAGATAACTAAAGAAGGATGAGTGAAGATACTAAGAAAGAGATAGTTGTTAATGATGTTGTTGATGCAATATCAAAGACGAACAACAGCAACAAAGACGACGACGACGACAATAATAATGCCAAAGAAGAGACAACATCACAAACTTTGACTAAAGATGATGGTCATGTTGACAATGGAAATGACAATGACAATGACAAGAGTAGTGGCAGTCTAGATGATCTGGAATCTCAACTTGTCTCACTCACTGTTGTCACTCAGACTACGATTGCTGCTGATGCTGCTGCTGCCCCTGCTACAACAACAACATCAACGACGTCAACCACAACGACAACAGACGAAAAGAAGAAAGATGATGACAAGGTTATAGATAAAGTTAAGATTGAGGATAAGGATAATGATAAAGATAAGGATAAGGGTTATACAATTATACCTGCATCACAGAGAGCTGATGGCACTTGGAGAAAAGAGATACGTGTTCGAGCTGGATACGTGCCGCCAGAGGAGGCCGTCAAGTATGTTGCTCCACACAAGAGAACAACACCAGTGTCATCACCAATGAAGAATCAACAACAACAACAACAAGTCAGTCCGACACAATCACAATCCCAGACATTGACTGGGGACACAACAAACACCTCAATCTATTCACCTGCGCCACGAACAGAGAGGACCAGTGGCAACAGAAATGAATATGATGATTATCAAGACGATGATGAAGTGTACAGAAAACCAATCAGAGATCAAGACAATTGGAGCAGTAATAGTAATAATAGTAGCAGTAGTCCAAGAGGTGGCAGTTATGGAGGATCTCCACGTGGTGGAGGTGGTCGCGGAGGGGGTTATAGAGGTGGATATGGATATGGTGGCGATAACACAGTGGTGGTCGAGATTATAATCAAGGTTCACAGTCACAATCATACAGAGGAGATGGCAATGGAGGCAGGCCAAGAGGAGGCTATCCCAGTGGTGACACACGAGATACACGAGACACCAGAGATACAAGAGACACTCGTGACTACTACAATCAAAGTTCACAAACTCAATCATACGGAGGTGAAAGCAAACCAAGGTATAGCAGTGGCAGTGGAAGAGATTACACTTACAACGATAGGTACTCTGATGGTCAAAACAACAACAACGAAGATGATGATTATAGAACATCACCACAGAGATACAACAACTATGGCAACAACTATAACAGTGGCGGTGGTCGTGGAGGAGGAGGAGGTCGCGGTGGCGGCGGACGAGGTGGAGGTGGAGGTGGTCGCGGCAGGGACAACTCATCATCACCAGGTGGACCCAAGAAAGAGTTGAGTTGGACCAATGACAAGTTCCACGAGATGTACAATAATTGAAATAACACTATATCTATGGTATTTTACAATACCATGCCATGACATGAACATCAACAAGCATGCATGCAGTTCATCATCTTCGTCTTGCCCTCAAGATCGACCTTTGGCGCTTCGCGTTTCAGATTGAAATTATTTGAAAACAAATACAAAGCTCTTGAAATATCTGTTGAATGTTTGAATGGGTGGATGTGAGGAGCTGCGAACCAACACTCACTCGACCTTATCCATCATTGTCTGTAACACACAGATACAAAGAGATATATATATATATAAATATACTACTCATATAAATAATACTTTATAACATATATATATAATACACCTGAATTCAAGAACAGGTGTAAATGATGGATGCTTCAGGTGCAACGATGACAGATCAACCGTCAAATACAAATAATACTGGACCATCATTGACATCTTCAACTACTTGGACAAAGACACAAAGATCACAACCTGCATTGTCAACATCAGCAACATCTATACCAACTGGTACAGTAACAACAACAAATCCAAATCTAATAAGTGAGGTATGTTTGAGTTGATTGAGATTGATTGATTGAATGAGATTGATTGAGTTACTCACTTATACAACGTTCAGAATCATTATGAAGGATGGTTACAGAAGAAGGGAGAAAAGGGATTTATACATACATGGAAGAAGAGATACTTTGTTGTCAATGTTGACAGTGTAAAGTATTATACAGATGCCTCAAAGTCAGAGTATCGAGGCAATGTGCTCTGGGAGCATGTCGTCACAATACAGCCTACAACTGTCAGCATGACCAGTTCAAATCCAGGAGACAGCCGATACTTTGAGATAACAACAGTACGTCCACTCATTCATACATTCAATCAATCAATGTCCACTCACTCACTTACTCAATCACAATCGATCAAATATAGAACCGAAATAGAGTATACTTCTTGTTTGCCGATGATGTAACATTCTGCGCAAATTGGATAAGAGTATTGAGATCGGTCAAGGATGCTTATGTCGAGAGGAAGCGCGGCCTCGCCCCCATTCAATCACCGCCGACATCACCAAAGATACAACCTACAGCAGCCACAGTTGTACTCAACTATTATAACAACAACAATGCTGGCAACAACAGCGTCAATGAGAGGAGTAGCGTTGGTAGCAACAGCAGTAGCGGCAGCCAGAACTATAGTAGTCGCGGCCCACATGGTAGCTCCTTTGACGACTCGAATCAGTCACACGCGCACACACAATTCCTGCGATCGAGCAGAGACTCGTCGTCGTCCGATCATCACCCTCTCAATCAGTCACTCAACCAGTCTGCCCAGCACGTCCAGGCCGTGCAGGCCTTTTCACATTATGATGCGCTGGGCACGCCGATTCATTGCCTGGCACCAGTCGACTACTCAATGTACATTCCACCACGTCCAGAGGGTGCGCTGAGGTCACTCGATGCCGACACTGTCAAGTCGTTCATCCCGTCAGAGGGCAGAGACCTGGAGATATATTACCGGGCTACCACCACACTGGCCAGCATACTGACTAGCAAGCAGTCTGATGGCGAGCATCACCTCCTCTCCACATACTTCATCCTGGCCACACTTCATTGGGACAATCAACAGACTCAGCCCTTGTTACCATTCGTGTCCAGTTATGACAGCGACATCATCTATCCCTACTTTATGTACACTATTCACTTACTTAGAACTGTATGTACCATCGATGATTGATTGAATGATTGATTGGATACTAACAATAACCTTAGGAGATATTGAACAAATGGTCAACTGATGGTACAAAGTACGTTGCACAGATTGATGAAGTTGTTAGACAGAAGCGAGTTGGATACTTGACGATGATGGATAATGAGGATCGCCAGACATTCTTGAATAGGAACTTGGTACTACTGGACTATGTGGTCAGACATTCAATCACTGGCAGAGGACAACCACGTATAGAGGACGCGTTACTCATGCTCATTGATCGATGCCTTGAATGCTACGAAGCATTGCCATCAATCAAACATACAGCATTCCTATTGAATGAGATTGAATCACATTCAAGCAATGCCGAGCTATCAAGTGAGACCAAGTCATTGCTGCGATCATTCATTCACTCTTACCTATTGTATCAGAAACTTCACCTTGAGAACAAGAGTAACGGCATGGAGCAGTTCATGACGTCCTTCTCTCAGTCACTGGATGTCGTTGGCCAGTCATTTGCCGCGATCATCCAACAACATCCATCTCTTACGCCCTATGCAACGAGCATCCAACGAACAATGGTCAAGATATTCCATCTATGGAGCAGAGACTTGCCTCTCTGTGAAATCAACAGCCACCYTTCGAGACAACAGTATATCGAAACTACAAAGTCTTTGTTTAGAATATTACACAGCACAGACCAGAACGCCTTTGGCCAACTTGCCAGTTCAATCAACGATGTAAAGGTATTAGTCAATCAATCAGTCAATCATTCGTTATCATACTAACAATCATCAATCCAATCTAGGAATCACTATTCAAGGTAATCGAACAGGATGTTGGAGAGTTTGATATTAGTAGAGTGAACACTAGCGTGTTGGATTCATTGTCAGAGGCTTGATCAAAGATAGATAGAGATATATATAAATACAGTTTATTTATTCACATCGATGAATATGATGCCAAGATTGTTAAGGATGAGCTTGAGGTCTGCACCATCATGCTGTATTGGCATGGGAGTGCTTGGTCTGCGCATATATCGCTGATGATTGATCAATTCTTTACACTTCCTCTTGTTTAGTAATGCCAGTGAATGCCAGATTCCGTTGTCTGGATACCTTAACTTCTTTTGCTTCTTTAGCCTGATCCATGGATCAAGACCAACGTCCAAGCCATGCTGCTGGATACCGTGCCACATGATGGCGTAGAGGTCGGACTTGACAAGTATGATGTTCTCCTTGAAGATACCAGATATGCGCTGTCGACTGGTCACTGATCGACTCTCCTCAAAGTACTGATCCATCTGCATCAACTTGTTGAAGAGTAGATCAAACACTTCCACTCTATTATGTAGTATGGCATATTTCAATGCTTCCTCGCTATGTACAAAGTGTCCAATATTAAACTTGATGATGTCCACGTTGCCATAATGGGTATACTTTGGATGGATTCCAATTGCCAGCTTTTCGCGCATCTTCTGTCTTTGGTCATGGGCTTGGCCTTGGACATAGACTTTGGCGTATCGTTGCTTGACATGTTGGAACAATTGAGTACTGCCAAACTCAAAGAATGATTTGATCAGATCTGGGTTGTCAATGAATTGATGAAGAGTATAGATCTGTGCATCCCTTGGAAGCTTGTCCAAGACATAGTCAAACAACTGGACATCGTTCAACTTGACAAGTAGTAGCTGATCTTGTTGATCCAGGTATGGCCTCACCTCCAGGAGATATCCAATCACATTACGATGTCCACCAACCAATGCATTTGATAGTGCTTGATCAAAAGATTGTCCACTGGAACCAATGATACCTTGCAAGATGTCCAAGTATCCAAACCTGGCGGCAGTCAGACATAACCTCGCCACACCACAACTATGACGATGAGCCAACACATACTTGATCGTGTCGTCATCAGTGATATAGTGTACTTGTGAGAATTGAGTGTATCTAAAGTTGACGCTGTCTGCCAAGTCTCTGAGTATGGGTGCCGTTGGATTGCGTATTGTGTAGTCCTTCTTACGAAGATCGCACAACTCTGTGCCAAGCTTTTCCAACACGACCTCGATGACGGCGTGTGGCGCATCGTTCAATGTGTGCCAGAGCTTCATCTTGACCACTGAGCTCAACTTGCGCTGTGCCTCCAGATGCCTCATACCGATGCGTACCTGCTGCACTGAGCCCCACTCGCACAGCTCATTGAAGTTAATCTCGACGGCTTCCTGGCGATCTGCCTTTGCCGACAAGTGCGACACGATGTAGGGCACCAGCTCAACTCCACTCGTCTTGATCACGCTGGATATGATTAATATCGACTCTTTGATCTCCAGCTTGCCCTGGGACATCAGCTCCAAGAGACATACGTCCCAGAACAGCTTGTCGCCAGGCTTGATCTTTTGAAGGTGCCTCGTATCAACTCCATACTCTTGCAAGTGTTGCTTCGATCGTTTGATGCGATAGAGTGCATCGTTCTCGAGCGTCTCATAGTCCAGCTTGAAGATGTTGCCGATGTCAATCTGTCGACGGAATACCGTATCGCTTTTGGGACATGTCTCCCAGTAGAGGTGTGCCAGAGGGCCTATCTTGGCATATGCCGGCAACAAATGAGGATGGGCATTGGCATACTGATCGATGAGCTCCTTGTCCTCGGTCATCACCAACACCTCTGGATGGGCAGCGAGATACTCGGTCATTGCCTGAAGGAATGATTGACTGGCCATTCTTCTCACTTTTCCAAACATCTTGATATCGCTCATCAACAATGCCTGGACCTGCGACCGGAACTTGGACTGTATCTCCTCCAGTGGTACGCCATGCTCATCCATGACATGCTCCAGAACATAGAAGTACAAGCTATAGCTTCGAGAAGACCAACATATTGAGAGGATGTGGCCAGTGTAGGATGAATCTCGTTTGAATGATGTTGGGTTGACTTGTCGCGCGAGGGTTGCCACAATCTCTGGTGAGCCTCCGGAGGCCGCATTGAGTAGACACTCTGGATTGATAAAGTATCCGCGCTTGGCTTGATACAATGCGTTGAAGATGGTAAAGTCATTGCATTTAGATAAGAATTGCATTATACTCTTATCATCGACCATTAGTTCATGACCATGTTTGAGTCGATCTAGTAATAGACCAAAGTGTCCATGTGTCACTATATGACTAAGTTTGTTCCAATGATTATATGATGTTCTATAATATCTGTCTGTATTGACATTTCCATTATACAATCTTGCTGGATATGATTGAATGATACGTCTAACAAGATAACTGTTTGTCAATACATCTCTTATGGCTTTATCCTTGTCCATGTTGTTGTTGTCCATGTTTAGTATCACATTGATCACATTGATGAAGTGATGTGATTGTGTTCCACTTGTTGTTATAAAGGTGATTGTTGTTGATTTAAGATGTAGTTGAATATGAATGGAAAATAGAATTAAATGAGATCAAAGAATAGTTTAGGTCGAAATGATCAAAAGACTATGTTTGACTTTTTGAGGACCTTTTTTGTTTTTATTTGTTTTGGAAAAATGCCCCCTCTGATCATTGATTGATTGGGTGAGGGAACATCATCATTGATCATCACACAAACATTCACTCAACTCTATATCTCTTTCATTAATATATATATATACATACATATAAATAGAATGGTATGTTCATAATCAAAACACGATCAATCAATCAAACAAACAGATATCTGACAATATGATTACATGACTTTGATAGGTTTTGGTACCTTACAACAGCCCAGTGGACCCGGTCCTCTACCCATTCCTTGCCTTCTTGTTCTGTGTCGTTGGTTTGACATTCTTTGCTTCATTCATTGTGTAAGTTGCTAAATGGATAATGGCTAATGGATATTGGATAATGGATATTGGATAGCACACATACTCACTCACGACCACACCATGCGACACTCAATCAATCAATCATACATACATATACATACAGTTCACAGCTCCAGGCAAAGTCATCAACGAGGAACATTGTTAATGAGTCAATTCACGCATTGGTCGCCTCTGGTATATTGGGATTGGGCATATTCTTTGTGATGCTGGCAGGTGGCATCTACCTCTAAACACCCCTTCAAAAAGTGATCCTCTCACTCTAATATCATTCAGCGAGCGAGCGAGCGGACACGTCGATCCCTGTATCCATAGCATCATCGTCGTCGACGTAATAAATCAAGAATCAACAACAGCATGAGACTTGATATTCACCAATCACTCAACCAATTAGTCAGCGACACGATGCGATGTGATCGATCAAAGTGGTGAACAGACACCTATTTATGTATGAAGCACGTCAGACAAGTCTAAGAGGCAGAAGGATGCGACGACTCATTCCTTGTCCTCGGAATGCTTGCCAAATAGGACGTCCAGCTGATCCTCAAACTTGTGATAGTCGAGATACTTGTAGAGCTCTTCACGGGTCTGCATCAGTGGGACAACATTCTTTTGAGTACCATCCTTCTTGATGGACTCGTACACCTTGACGGTGGCAGCAGCCTGCGCACGGAATGCAGACAGTGGGTAGAGGACCATGCTGGCGCCTGAGTTGGCCAGCTCCTCACATGTGAACAGTTCAGTCTTTCCAAACTCTGTGATGTTGGCAAGGACTGAATGGAGTGGAGGGGAGAAGGGAGGGGATGGATGGTGTCAGCATCAGGGTCAAGGGAGAGCGATGCTCGCGAGGGAACACATACTTGGTACATTGGGCAATGCCTTTCTGAATGCTTGGTATTGTGACAACTCGGTCAAAGCCTCTGGGAACAACATGTCAGCGCCTGCTGCGATGTATGCTTTGGATCTCTCGATGGCCTTCTCAATGCCCTCGTTTGCAAGGGCATCAGTCCTGGCCATGATGACAAAGTTTGGATCTCTCCTTGCGGCCACAGCAGCCTTGATACGATCGACCATCTCTTGTTGACTAACAATCATCTTGCCTGGACGATGACCACAACGCTTGGCAGCGACCTGGTCCTCAATATGGCATCCAGCAGCACCAGCACGCTCAAACTCCTCAATAGTCCTTGCAATGTTGAATGCACTTCCGAATCCAGTGTCAGCATCAACAAGCAATGGAACTTTGGTAACTCTGTTTGTTTGTGATTAAAGTTGAAGTTAGTGATTGATCGAGTGAAGTGAGTGAAGTGATCACTTGTGATCCCATACCTTGTAATCCTTCTAATATCCTCAACTACATCGTTAATTGTTGTGATACCCAAGTCTGGGAGACCGAAGCTTGCAGCGGCCACACCACCACCTGACAAGTAGATTGCTTGGTAACCAGACTTATCGGCCAAGATTGCCGAGTAAGCATTGATAGTACCAACAATCTGCAATGGATTACCATTGGCCACTGCCTTTCTAAATAGAGCACCTGCACTATGTTGCATTATTTATCTGTATCTATATATATATGTGTGATATATGTATATCTATTTCGAACTTGAATGAATGAATGAGTTCATAGCAATGATGAACATCTTGATTCATTCAATCTCAGACTTGGAGAGAGATGATGGTGGGTTGAACACACACGTGTCTAATCTTTGGGACTTGCAAGAGATAAAGTTAAAGTTGTTGGGGCTTTTATTTATTTGTTTCATTCAGCTCAACTCAATTCACGACTTCAAGAGTTATATGACTCCCATAAAGTAATACTATAACTTTATCTACTCGTCGAACAACATATCAGGTTACATCAATCATTCATTCATCAATCAATCAATCATTATCAATCGATCAAAAAAGATACACTGATATATAGAAGAAGTATAGTTACTTTGGAGTCTTCTCCTTGAGCGTCTCACTCAAGAGCACTCTATCAATATATATATAACATTACAAGACAAGACAACAAACAATGAATAGCTTTTTTCATGGTCTTGGAAGACTCTTGTCAAGTCCATCAATTGATCTAAACAAGAAAAATGACAAAGACAAGATAAAGAATAATAACAACAACCTAGATTGTGACATTGACAATGAACCAATTGATGCCGATAGTACGGATGGTCAACAGAAGACAAAGACACCAATAATGCAACTTCCACAACAACAAAGATCACAGACAAGACCACAGACACAACAAACACAAGCTTCACCATTGTTACAGCCACAGAAACAGATACGTCTTAACAAGACATTCTTTGTTCAAACACTAAAGTTTGGCACTAGCATGTTCACTGGATGTAGTCTAGAGGTGGAGAGCGATCTCTTGAGGTTCCAGTTCAAGCGAGAGTCATGTTCACATATGGAGGAGGTCAAGGTATTCCATAATGAGATCAAATCAATCACATTGCGTGAACAGAACGTCTTCTCCATTCAAGGCATCTATAGACTGAATCGCAACCGTGACAAACCAGAGGATGGAGTCGTTTTATTCAGTGTATCATCACACAATGGACCTGATCTCATCAATGAATTACGTTCACTACACATAACCATGATCTCTGAGAGACAAGGTGCACAGTCTGTCCTCGAAGAGCTTGGTGTACCAGACAAACCCGTCCCGCCCAAGCGGGTCTTGCCATTTCAATCATCATCATCGTCATCATCATCACCATGGATAACAAAGTTAACATCATCATCAACATCGACATCATCAACATCATCAACAGCATCCTCTTCTTTCAACAAGGAAAAGGACAAAGGAATAACAGCATATTTGAACATCACAACTGTTAGTCGATCACCTCCACCAACAGCAGCTCCACAACCTGTTGCTGTCAGTCGACCCAAGCCACCGGCTCCGGTTCCAAAGCCCACTCTACATGTGTCTGGCGATGAACCAATGATCCGATATCCACCATCCAAACCCACAGAGACCAAGCCCGTTGGTCAAGTGACCATCACAAGGAAGGACATGAAGCGTCTGAGCAATGAGGAGTTTCTCAACGACAGCATCATCGAATTCTACACAAAGTATGGATGATGTTTGATTGACAGGCTACTACATAACACTCACTGACTGATCAATCAATCAATCCCAATCAAATCAGGTACATCAATGATCATTTCCTACATCCTGATCATAGTTTCTTCTTTTTCAACAGCTTCTTTTACAAGAAGTTGACATCATTCCCATTGGGCGAAGCTCACAAACATGTGATCAAATGGACAAAGAACGAAGACATCTTCCAAAAGGACTTTATATTTATCCCAATCAATCAATAGTATGTACACTCGATTGTGATCAATTCAATCCATTCACTAACACCTGTTATAGTGAACACTGGAGTTTAGTCATTGTTTGCTATCCAGGTCTATTGAATGTGGATACCGAACAATCAACAAAGAGTCCATGTATGTTATACTTGGACTCATTATTCAAAAGACCTTATACAATCGATACACGGTATGTTTGAGATGGATGAACGAATGGATTGATGGATGGATGCCACTAACACTCATAGATTTGTTCATCTGGATGCAGCATTAGGGACTACCTGACAGAAGAGTGGCGCGAGAAGAAATGTGGAAGAATGAAACCTGATGGAAATGGAGTGTATGAGACAAGGAAGTTTACACCAAACAATCTCAGGATGTTCTGTCCACATGTTCCAATACAGAACAACTCGATCGATTGTGGCGTCTACCTACTACACTATATAGAGTTATTCTGTAAACGTCCAGAGACCAACTTCATGTGTCCAGTAAGTGTACAAGATGATTGATTGAGGCCATGTAATAGTTCCTAACATACAAGCACACATAGCTTGAGAAGCCAAGATGGTTCCCAACATCGGACATCAAGAAGAAGAGAGTACATATTCGATCATTGATATATCAACTTCGAAAGCAACAGTTCCCAGATGCAATGACAGAGGCTGAGGAAGCATCACATAATGTTATTCTCACTCAGAGGCCACCATCATATTACAGTGGCAACAATAGCAACAGCAGCGAACCTTTGACATTATCTGGCAGCAGTCTCGAGATTATGCCAAGTCAGGAAGCAGATGCATTGCGGAGGGCATTGGCTGAGAGTCTCAAGCCCCAAACCAACAACACCAACAACAACAACAACAGCAGTGACAAACAAAGCAGCGACAACCAGAGCAGCGACAGTAGGGACAACTTTGATGGCAGCCCTCAAGATAGAGATGCCTTGGAAGTTATTGTCGAGGAGGATGAGGATGTTGATGTGGATGAAGCGAAGGGATCAGGCCCTGTATCAGGGGCAGGACCAGCACTGGCTACCACTGGAGATGATGATGATGATGTTGAAGAAATGAACGATACCACCGACAGCTATGCCAGTTCACATGTTGGTGGTGATCAACCATCACCACTACTTCCAACTCAGTCTCCACCAAAGAAGAATGAGTTGAGTGATCAACTCAATCATATGGAGATGATGATGACGAATCATCACGATCACAATCACAATCATAATGGCAATGGCAATGGAAATGGAAATGGCAAGGACATCTCAAGTGATGGATCAGACACTGAGACAAGCATGTTTGACATCTCCATTCCAATATCGGACCATGAATCGTTTGGTACAGGATCGAACAGCAACAGGAAGCGAAAGTTTAGCAACAGTTTAACTGTTGATGGTGACGACGAAGCATCGGACGACACTGGATATACCTATTCACCAGTTGATCGTGATGCCTGATGCCCGGTGTTTGTCCACGAGATATGTAACAGTATGATCATTGGACAACGAACGAATAAACGACTCAAGTGTATACCATCATCCATCCATTCAATCAATCTAAATGTACAACAATGTGATGTATTGTATGTGTGCGTGCATTGGAGGGCACTCGCGAGGTTAGGAGTAGCTGGCGGATGCTACTACTGGCACAGCTTTCTTCTTGGCTGGCCGTGTCTTCTTCTCCTCGAAGCTGCCAATGACAACTGTTGGAAGGGACCCTGATGGTGGCAGTTGCTTGGCATCGCGTAATCTATCCTTAAGTATTTGATAGGCCTCGGCAGTGGCGAATGGCTGCTTGGACACTGGGTCAATGTACTTTGCAGGCAGTCCAGTGATCACACACTTCTCCTTTACACCAGAGTTCTTGGCCGTGCCAGTCTCTTGTGCACTTGTCGATTGTTTCAGGCAATCGGGGATGGCCTCGACATGTGAGAATGTGATCGTTGTGCCTGATGCGCCTGAATGGTATATTGTCTTGGGGCCTGCGTAGGCCTGCTTCTTTGCTTGCATGCTCTTCTTCTTGTCCTCTTCTCGCTTCAGCATGTTCTCCAACAACTCCTGATTGATCACTTCTGTCTCTTTGGCCTCCTCGAGCAGCTCCTCCTGTGTCATCTCGTGCTCCTTGACGATTGATCCTCGCTTCTTGGCAGCCAGTGCAGCGGCCTTTTCCTTTCTCTTTATATTGTCCAACTTGATCTCTTTGCTTCGCTCGAGTAATGCTGCCACAGATGCTCGAAGTGGCTTGCGTGTGATTGTTGGTGGGGCATTCGTTGTTGCTGCTGCCGAAGGTGTTGGAGGAGTAGCCGCTGTTGTTGATATCGATGTTCGTTTCCTCTTACTCAGTGGTACCTTCTTGTCGCCTCCTTGTGTTGAAGACGATCCTGTATCCCTTCCAAACTCCTCAACATTCTCAATCGTCTTTAAGAAACTAGCTTGATCATCCGCAGCTACCTTTGTCTTTGTAGTCGTCGTCGTAGTCTTTGCCGCTGCCTTCTTCTTCTTTGGGTCAACATATGTCTGTCTCGACTTCTAATGATGATTGATTGATTGAGTGAGCGAGTGAGATTGAATGAACGATTGAATGAACATCACAACATAACTTACCTTAGTTGGTCTATCTTTTGCTTTGTCAATGGCAACGCTGACCTCATCTTCACTTGATTGTTCACTAACTTCTTCATCTGAGCCGATTGCATCGTCATCGTCATCATCCTCTGATTCAGCTTCAAAGTCAGGATCATCCTCCTCATCCTCTGCCTCAGCCTCCATCAACGGTTTCCAAAACTGTTCATCTTTAGCAATCTCCTCAGCAGACAATGGTGTCTGTCTTTGTCCTCTAGTTGACCTCGATGGTCTATTAAGCATCTTTATCTTTGTCTGTATGTATGTATCTTAATTGAATGAATGAATGAATGATGGCGAGTGATGTGAAGTGTAGTGAAGAGGCGGGATCTCAAACTTTGAAATAATCTAACCCCAGGGCAAGAGTTGATCTTTAAAGACTCAACCCAATCTCATTCATGTGACTCAAGTCATAACTATACAGATACAAGTATTTATAAGTAGTAGTAGAAGTAGTCACTATGTCAGATATTGGACTCGTCCCTCTTGAGGGACTGGATGATAACATTGCACAGTTGGTCGCGATCAAAAAGATAGAGGCTCACTTCTCAACAATAGACAGTCTGGCAACAGTCAACAATCATAAACAATCATTGATACAACAAAAGAAGACTGTTGAAGCACAGATAAAGAATGAAGTCAATGTATGATCATGATTGATTGAATTAACGAATGAATGATTAACTCACTCAATCAATCAATCAATTAACTTAGGGAGAGTTAGAGAGATCAAAGAAAGGATTGGAGACATTACAGATGTCTTTTGGAAGGATTGATAAGGTCAGCGATAGCTTTCAGTCAACTGTGGCACTGTGTAAAGAGACTTCAAGTCTCATTGGATACTACCCATTGATCAAGAGAGTGAATACAGTGCGATCAAACTTGATGTCTATTTTGAAGGAGGTCGATCGTCTGCTCACCATCCCCGAGAAGGCTGCAGAGATTGAACAGCTGATGGAGAACGACTTGAACATCCTGATTGTCCACAAGAAGATTCGTGAGCTTGAACGATTGCACAAGAATGCGCTCAAGCAGTTCGAGTCCAACCTCGAGGAGCTCGAAGCCATCAAGGACATGTTCTGCACGGTGCCCATGCTGAGCGAGCGCTTCGACTCCAAGATCTGGAACATCGTGTCGACGTCGATCAGGGTGGCGCAGACCGCCCCCGCCGTGCTGGTCAAGGTGGCGCAGATCATCGAGCGAGAGAAGATGCACGAGAATCAGATGCGCGAGAAGAAGAGCCAGTCGCTGCTGGCGGCCTCGGACGGGATTGATCATGAGCCCGAGGAGATGGGCGAAGGTGGCACGGGCGAGAAGTTCATCAACATCCTGCGTAATTCAATCGAGAACAGGTTTGAGCCACTCTTCCTCACTTGCCACAAGGACCTCGTTGCCACGCTGAAGGAGGTCAATGTTATGGTCGACGAGCTAACAATCATTATGGATCAAGTTGCCGAGTGTTACCCACCCAGTTACGACCTCTTCAACTTCTACGTCAATCAGTATCACACCAGTTTCTACCGTCTGTTTGATTCATTCTCCAACCTGATTGAGAGTGGCGTACACAACAATGACTACCTTGCCAGGCAGATCCCATCAGCTCACATCCTAATGTTAAGTAAGTCCACTCGATTCCATTCAATGTGTCACGTGACTAACCATGTGTGCAATCAATCCAAAGTTGAATGGGTGATGAAGGAATATTCAATCCAGTTATCTCGTCTGGGCATTCACGAGATGTCACAGCCATTGATCGACTCACTGGATCCACTGATGACTATATACAAACTGCATATCAAGGGATTGATGAAGGAGTGGTGTGACAATATCATCATCAATGACAATCAAACAAGACCAGATGTTGTCGACGGACAATACTCCACATTGGCACCAGTACATCTATTCGAGAGTGTTGGTACACAACTAGACATTGCCAATGCAACCAAGTGTCAGAAGGTATGTTTGATCATTCATTCAATCAATCAATCAATCAAACAACTTACTCACACATCATCATACATATAGCTGGTTGCCGGTGTGATGCAAGAGGTCATTATTGCACTGTTATACTTCCAAGGCAACTTTGTTAGGATGCTTGAGGAGAGGAACCATGAGATCAAGTTTGAGAATGTCATTGCCAGTGTCAACAACAACAGCAAGTCTTACGACTTTACTCAATCACTAGTGGATAAGGTGTCGACCATTCTAGACAATGAATATATGGCCACACTAGACTTTGACCCTGTACTGGACGGCTTCTTGAATGTGGCACGTGTTGGCACTGTATCACTATCCAAGGTCATCTTTAGAGATCTTGACGACACTATCAAGAAGTTCTACTCACCAGAGTGGTACACAGAGGATCTTATGCAGCCAATCGTCAACACACTGGAGGACTACTTCACCAACGACATCCAACGTTATATATTAGAGAACTACATGAAGAAACTATCATTACTATGTCTGGAAACATTGATAGAGGCGTAAGTTAGAGTCTCTTGCCCGAGACATTCAACCGCAGCCATACTCATTCATTCAAATTCAACAGGATACTCACGCAATTGGTTGGTGGAAGGAATCAGTTCAAGGAGGATGCATTCCAGAGAATGGGAAGTGATTGCGACAAGCTGTTGGACTTTTTCAAGAAGTATCTTAGACTGTCTGTGGCCACTGCCAGGGTACAAGTGTTGGAAGACTTTAAACAATTGATCACATGGTATGGATCATACCACGAACATCTATCCAAGCATCCATTCATCCAGACTAACACATCCTACCACAATCAATCAAATATAGTGACCATGGAATGATACCGATATACTTCCAATCAATCATCAATATACATAAGGACATGAACGATCGTGTCGTGGAGCTTGTCCTACTGCAACGTGTTGATTTGAACAAAGGACAGATTAATGAATCACTAACCGAGGTGAGGAACATCATGGCAAAGTCACAGACAGATCCAAATGCACCAGCTCCAACAGGTATCTTCTCCAGAATGAACATCTACAACAAGGGATGGTTCGGTAGATAGAGATAGAGAGTGATTGATCAATCACATTATCAATCATATTTGTGCAATTAAAGAAACATTGTATTAAGGTCAATGAATCCACATAACAGGACAGTCTTGGCTTGGAACTTGATGAACATGGTGTCGGAGAGTCGCATGTATTTGTTTGTTATCTTTTGTTGTCTAAATCGTAGTTTGAGCACTGTAAGTGAATTGGGTAGATGACGAAGGAGATTGTTATAATGATCTGGCGTGACATTGGTGTAGTGTATCTTCTTGATTCCAGGTGGTAGTTTGACTGGATCTATAAAGTAGGTGGGCGAGTGCACACGCAGGTGAGTAAGGCACGAGGGAAGGTTGTCAACACAGATCGTTGGGAGTCTGTTCAGGGGTATATGTCCATAGATTGTCAGCCTCTCTAGGTTGGCAGGTAGAGCAATGTATGGCTTGAGCTTTGGAACTATTCCTCTAGAGATATCCAGGGGTTCTGAAATATCGGGCTCAAAGTATAACCTTCTCAACATTGTCGGAAGTGTTGAAAATTCACTGCCCTTGTAGCAGATCTTACAATTTAGTCTCTCCAACATGGGGAAGTTGGCTGGAGTGATCGATGTGACGTCGACCATTTCATAAGACCAAATGGACAAATCCCTAAGAAGGGGATATTGTAAGGTGAACTGTTGATGAGGCAGGAAGGAGTTGACATGCATTGTCTGGGCAGTCGTGTGATCATAGGGATGAGTTATGAACATCGTTCCCAACCTGAGATCCGTGATGGATGATGGGAGGTTGGATATTGATTGATCAAAATTTGATCCCTCAGTTGAGAGCTTGGTGAGTGAGCCGGGTAGGTTCGTGCAGTCCAATGGATGATTGAAGTTATCGGTGATCTTTAAATCCATCAGTGACATTGGGAAAGTGCCAGGCAGTATGGGGACATTGAAGTGGCCCCCTATTATTAGGGACTCGAGTTGTAAAGGTAGTGAACCTGGTGGGAGCTTGAATCCAGATTCACCAAGAAGACTCAGACTTATAAGCGTGTTGGGCAAGTAGTTGGGACGAAATTCCCTCATGCTCAAGTACATCGAGTGCAATGGTATTGATTGAAGTGAGTCGAATCGATGATTATCATTTCCATAGAATAGATCATATCCAGTTTTTGTTGGTATTGATCGTTGGCGCAACTCCACCAACAATCTGTTTATCTTGTTCCAGAATGCAACTGTGAAGTGCTTTGTCAAAGATTCTCGAAACGTCACCTTGGACATGTTAGGTATGTCCAAGATGCGTTGAATAGTCACTTCATAGTCCTCTATAGTCTCGTCTATGTTTGATTGATTGATTGATTGATTGATTGATAGAGTGATTGGGATAGTTCCATTGGTAATGATCGAGTGATTGGGATGGCACAAGTGAGTAATTGAGTGGATGATTGAGCGATAGATAAGGGTATGCATGTACTTACCAAAGTGGATGTAGTGAGCATAACCAGGTGGTTTGGAATCAGGACATGCGTGCACCATTACTGAGACAGGCTGGTTGTCAAAGGCATCTTGTATCATTTGATGATAAGATTGAGGCCATTTGTCTTTTGCAACAACATATGGAGTGTTATTGTTGTTTGTCAATGATGATGTAAGAAGATCTTGATATCTGAATACAAGGTACAAGTGTCTATTCATATACAATCGACGACAGACCAATGATACCATCATTCGATCAATATTGCGATCTATAAATCCTATCACCTGTTTGATTATGATCCATGGTAAACTATCCAATGAAGTCCTATCCATGTCCTTATTATTTGTTGATTGCTTGATTATCTGATTGATTGATTGAATGAGCGAATGAATGAAGCGTGATCAAAACTTGAAATGTTGATAATGTACAAACTGATTGATTGATATTTATTGATTAATTTACTTCTTGGCTCTTAGGGTCTGCGCCAGCCACTCTAGACCTTCGTAGATACCCTCGCCACTGGTGGCCACTGTTGACTGGCAGTACCACTTCCTGTCCTTGAACTGGTTCATGTCGAGACGCTCGATGATCTCGGCGATGGATGCAGCACCCTTCATATCCTGCTTGTTGCACATCATCACGATGGGCACGCCTCGCAGTGAGTCCTCCTCGTTGATCTTGGCCAGCTCCTCGCGCACCTCTTCATAGCGCTCGGCATCGGTAGAGTCCACCACAAAGATGATGGCATTGGTGTTCTGATAGTAATGCTTCCATAATGTTCTGATCTTGTGTTGTCCGCCTACATCCCATACGACAAATGCCAGATTCTTGTATTCGATAGTCTCAACGTTGAATCCAATAGTTGGTATAGTGCACACCTGTTCACCAATCTTTAACTTGTACAACAATGTTGTCTTTCCTGCGCCATCCAAACCAATCATCAATATCCTACTATTCTTGATTGGATCGAATAAGTTGTAAACTCTTGTAATTAATTGACCCATATTGTTTATATAATATTATGTTGTATAAATATGCTTGCTTGATTGCTTGTATTCTTGCTTGTATGCTTGTTTGATACATTATGTGATTGAGTAAGGTTGTTTATATAGTAATGACATTGGCATTGTAGACATGACTCGTCTCAAGAGTCATTGTAGTCGTCTACAATGCAATGTCATTGTCATTGTCATATACTGCGTCGTTTAGTCAATGTAGCACCTGTCATTGCAATTAAAGAGTAAGCATTGACCACGTCGTCGACTTCAACAACAAAAGTTGGACCAGTGTTTGTTGACTTCTTGAAATTTTTAGGAAGATGGATCAATGAGATTATTAGATCAACCAATCAATCAACCAAACAGTCATTAATAATTACTAGTTAATATTAGGACAAGTAAATATTGTGTATCTTATTATTCATCTTGACATAGATGAACCAACAATAATGTAAATGGGTTGACATCATAATCCATATTGCTTTGACATCAACATGTTTGTAACCCCGTGCATCATGAGGCCCAGGGATATATAATCCAAAGTAAACCGATGACGGTGATGATGACGTACTTACTCAAATGTTAACTTAAATATAAGTTCACTCAAACACTCAATCGATCACTCAACCACTCATTCAATCAATAATCAATCTAACAATTTGATCAAATAATCAAACATGTCGATCACTGTTACATCAATATATATATCAAGCGCATTCCATATTGCATTCATTATACTTCACCTTTGCTTCTGGCGACTACTTAAGTGGGATGAACAGTTAAAGAGATTAAGTGCAGATAACAAGGCTGTGATGCAGACACTCAACCTGTGTTTGACATTATTGTTTGTACTGTTGACAGTACTATTCAATCAATACATGGACGAAGTGATAACAACCAGTCTTGGTCAAGCTCTATTCAGAAGTGTTGGTCTGTTTTGGGTGTTCCGTGCCATACTCCAAGTGTTGCTGTTCAATCTCAAGTCCACCGTTGATCAAATATTCCTCGGCCTATTCATCTTTGGATCGTACATTCACTTGATGTGAGTGACACAGATCGAGTGGACCTAGGCTGTTATCAAGATGACATTGTTGTGTTGGTGATGGCATTGTCGACCGGCAAAACATCATCCAACATCGTCCACACACAAATAATAACAATGTTAGTTATTGTGGCAAAGCAAACATAACCTCATAGTAATCCGTCATCAATCAATCAAACACAACATCAATCAGTTCACACAACACAACGCAAACGAGAACAAACCATCACAACAAGTCACACCAAATTGTTTTGGAATGGAAACAAACCCCAACGCACCAAGTTGGGCCTAAGGTTGGGCCTCACCCCCACCAAGCAAGTCCCAACAAACATTAAAAACTAATTAATTAAGATTTTTTCTAACATTTCAACGGATAAATTATCGGCAGTATGCCTTGTTTTGTATTGTCAAGACGTGGACATGGCTTGACTCTTGGGTTGGGGCCATGTCATCCATCCATCCTTCCAAACAACTAAAGTCACACTCATTCAATCATTCATTGTTCTCAAAGAACAGTCACCTCATTCTGAACAACATACATATACATTGTACATTCATTCATTCAAAGTCACATTCATTCATACTTAACCAGTCAATCAATCAATCAAAAGACTCATCATCAGGACCTTTGGAGGACCCTTGTCCTCCCCATCCCCCACACACTCACACACACATATACACACACAAGATGGACAAAGTTGTCACATTCTTCAAGAAGAAGAGGGACAAGACACCTTGGGCTCACATTGATCGCGATGAAAGTAGTAATCAGAGATCAGCCAATAAGTTGTTACAAAGAATTGGAAGTGCTGGCTCGTCTCCAAAGAGACGCAGCGACAAGAATAATAATAGGACGACGAAATCAAAGACAGGTCACACTCAGTCAGGGATGACACCCGACTCGGACGAGATGATTCCGGGTGAGGTCAGGTCAATATCAAAGCTGGTGGACTTTACCAAACATGAGCGCAACTGGCTGATAGCCAACCTCAAACTGTCGACTCAACTGATCGATCACAATATACAGGTGCTGCTCAATGTGCTCAATTTCCTCTCGCGCAAGGAGGGAATATTCTACCGCTACACCTCCGGACTGCCGTCGTTGGGCCTGTCGCTGCGGTTGTCAGGCTCGCGCCCGCGCCATTCGCCCAAGCGATCATCATCAAACCCACTCAATCACATTCCCCTCATCATCCAACGTCGGCTTTGGCGGCGGTGGCGGCGCATTGTCTTTCATCAACATCATCAGTGGCCTCATCACAACATCATGGCTCCCAACTTGGTCGATCACACTCGGGCCTCTCACTTCGTGTCAGCGCCAATCAAGAGGCGTGTCCGATTGAGGAAGGGCCGCGCATGCGCGGAGACTACGATCGCATATTCATCGAACCTGGCAAACATTACACGTTCCCCGATCAAGAGAGCTTGGCGATGGCACACATCATGGTCGTCGAGGCCGAGGACCCCGCCAAGCTCTTCCGGTTGGGGGAGAGCCGTGAGATCCGTGGCGCCTACGGAACAGTTTACCAGGTGTTCTATCACAACTCGCATGCCTATCACAATCTGGAGATGGCTCTCAAGAAGATGGACCATCGTTCGGAGCGCAGTCGCCGCAACAATTTGAACGAGATCGCACTGATGCGCTACTTCAAGCATCCCAACATTGTATCATATATCAACAGCTACGAGATGAACGACGAGGAGATCTGGATGCTGATGGAGTACATGGACGGCGGCACCATCCAGGAGGCCATCCAGAACTTCTCGTTCACCGAGAAGTACGTGGCCTACATCCTCAAACAGATCCTGCACGCACTAGAGTATCTCCATTCGCTGAGAATAGCACATCGTGACCTCAAGTCTGCCAACATCATGATCAACAGCAAGGCCGAAGTCAAGTTGGGTATGTACATAATGTTGGATTATTTTGAAATATATCACGTGATCGATTCTGGTCATGTGATAGGATGTCACGTGACTGGGTGTCACGTGATCACTTTCCATACAAATTAACATACCTTACTAACATCATTATCCTTCATCCTACCTACCAATATCCAGTTGACTTTGGATTCTCGATAGACTTGACAGATCTTGGCGCGGATATACACATGTGTGGCTCACCTTACTGGATGTCACCCGAGATGATCCAGGAGAAGCCACACGACACATTGGTGGATATTTGGAGTCTGGGCATTGTGGCGGCCGAGATGATGAAGGGCGTCGTGCCACACCACCGCTCCAAGATCAGGGCGATGTTCCTGAGCGCCACCACCGGCATTAGCTTCTCACGAGAGAAGAAGTACAGTTCACACTGGTCGAACGAGTTGTTTGACTTTCTGGCTTGCTGTCTCCAGTTGGAGCCCTGCAAGCGACACACCGCCAGCGAGCTTCTCAAGCATCCCTTCATCAACAATGCTGCCACCAAGGCAGAGATGCTTGAGATCCTGCCTCTGCTATTCATGTCCAAAACCATTTCAAGGTATTCCACTTCCTAATAAATATAGGACATTTATATATTGTTATATTGTTGAGTTGTTATGTGTACAATTATCTGTTCCCGATTTGGCAATCATTCTATATGTATGAATTTCAAACTTCAACCCTCCTTTCAAGTTCACAACAACCTTGTGAACAAGACTATTCTTTGTTTGATTCAAATATAGATAGGAGATACAAACATATATAGATACAGATATGTTCAGGACAATGTACAAAGGCACATTGCCTCCAATCAAAGACCCAGGTTCAAAGAGGTAAGGGATGCAGACAGACTCACAAGATTGCACGCTTGTAAACATCAGCTAACCAACATGATGATACTCAATAGAGAACGAGAAGACGATGACAATAACAACGATAATAGTGAGCATAGGGATGCACTTATCAATGATGATGATTCAGTGATTGAGACTGCACTTTGGAGTGACTATTTCGATTCAAGAACAGATGTCAATGTGGAGGGAAGAGGCACATTCAGAGTATATGAGTGTAATACTAATGTTGTGAACGATGGCCATCTGGTTGTGTTTGTTCATGGAGGCGGACACACATCATTATCATGGGCATTGGCTGCAGACTTGATGAAGAAGCATATGAACCCGCAGTCACAGTTTCGTCTGATGGCCTATGATGCACGAGCACATGGAGAGACCAAAGCCATCAACAATGAAGACCTGTCCATTGGAGCATTGGTCGACGATCTAGTCACACTTATCAATCAATACGCTGCAGGCATCACAGCAAATGCAGGTGGCGGTTCACCTCTAAAAGTGGTGCTCGTTGGACATAGCATGGGTGGTGCGGTGGTAGTCCGCGCCTCAAAGAGTGGACGTGTACTCAATCAATGTGCTGTTGTGGTGATTGATGTAGTCGAGGGCACAGCCATGTCAGCGCTGCCCGCCATGCGATCGATACTTGCAAGACGACCTGCACACTTCAAATCAGAAAGCGACGCCATCAAGTGGAGCATCAAGAGTGACAACCTACGCAACATAGAGAGTGCACGAGTTAGCATACCATCACAGATACGACAGAGTGGTGACAAATACGTATGGATCACCGATCTGGCTCCGACTGAGCGATTCTGGAGCGAATGGTTCCAGGGACTGTCCAAGGAATTCCTTGAAAGTCGCGTAGCCAAGTTATTGATCCTTGCTGGATCTGATCGATTGGATAAAGAGATGACCATAGGTCAAATGATGGGCAAGTTCCAACTGGCACTGTTCCCGACCTGCGGGCATGTTATCCAAGAAGACGTAAGTACCACCTCTGGAGCTATCACATACATACACTCAATCATGTCCGCTGACCATCATCCCATCCCATCACAATCACAGAATCCAAAGGCGACTGCCGACACATTGTTGGAGTTCCTAAAGAGATTACCAAAGTGACGCGACGGCACTTGTAAATAGACGAATTAACTCATTGTACCATTGTTGTATGTTTACTGAATATGAATATATGTATATTAATTACAAATGGGGAGGGCACATACCCTAGACCAAGGGCCCGATAATGATGGCATTGATCACGGTTCCTTTCTCAAGGTATCCTTCGCGTTGTGGCAACACCAGCAAGGCGTTGGACTTCTTCATGCTCAACAAACGACATGAAGCTTGGGCGCCGGTGCTGGCCGACACGAAGCAGTGCTCCTTGAAGTCCCAACTGACCAGACAGCGGTGGTACTCTGGTCGCTCGGGATCCATTCTGACTCGATCGCCCAGCTTGGTCTCGATCATTGGCAAATTGAATGAGGTGTGGCCGGACAGCTTGCGCAGAGCCGGCATCACAAAGAGATAGTAGGTGACCATCGTGCTGACTGGATTGCCTGGCAGGGCAAACACCAGTGTCTTCTTGCTGGTAGTGGCATTGGTAATTGTTGCGAATGTGAGTGGCTTGCCTGGCTTCATGTTGACGCGGCCAAAGTGCACCTTTCCCAACTTCTCCAGCAGGGGCTTCACGAGGTCTAGCTCACCCATTGACACGCCTCCACTAGTGATGATGACGTCTGAGGTCTCGGCTGACTTTGTCAGCGCCTCCTCGAGGGGCTCGACCTTGTCGCGGACGATTCCATACATTGTGACACTGTTGCCTCCACACTCTCCAAAGTGCTCGCTAGATTCCTTGACAATCGAAGCCATAGTCAATGAGTTGGTATCCCTGATGAAGCCCTCCTTGAGCTGCTTGGTATCGTGTGGCTCGAGCTCATCGCCTGTTGAGATGATTGTGATGGTTGGTGCCTTGAACACTGAGATCACGGTCTGTCCAAGTGTAGCCAACAATCCAATCTCTGCTGCGCCAATCTTCTCGCCTCGCTTGAGTACCAATGTGCCTGGCTTGATGTCACTGCCAACTGGACGGATGTCAAGTCCTTCGGTTACGGCCACCTCAATGTCGATGACCTCTGGGTCCTTGTCTGTGGCCTTTTTCACGACCTTGGTGTCCTCGACCTGCACGACAGCGTCGTATCCACTTGGAACCATTGCACCAGTTGTAATACGGACACATGTCTTTGACTGTGACTTTCCCTCCTCTGACAGTTGGTTGGCATCTCCGCCACCCGCCAATGAGCTACCGAGCACAGTGTAACGACCAGGACCATCCTTAGCCCTGACTGCGTAACCGTCCTTGATCGATGCTCTAAAAGGAGGGAATGGATCCACTGATGATATATCCTCTGCGACTACCATGCCCAACGACTTTGCAAGATCCACCTTGATTGTCTCTCTCTTCTCGCCACACTGCTCCAAGATCATGCCCACTGCCTTGTCAACGTCAATCTTTGTTGTAATTGATTGATTGAGTGAGTTAATATGTTGTCCTGATCAATCACATGATCACTCCTCTCTGCTTACCATTGGGTATGGTGATCCTCTTTCACTGTGCTTACCTCCACCACATACATGACGATGACCTTGTGCATCGTTACCTCCATGACTGTGACCATGTCCGTGAGAGTGACCATGTGAATGTCCATGACCTTGTTGTGGCTGTTGTGGCTGTTGATTCTTGTCATAGTCCTTTGCTTGGTGGCTCTCAGGCAGCGATGCCTTTACATTGCTAGATAAGAGTGCGAGCGCATGTGGCAGACAGGGCATGACACAGATGAAGTTCTCGCGAGCACCCTTGACACTTCCTGGCAGTGTGATGATAAGGGTGATACCGGCAATGCCTGCAACCGGTCTGCTGAGCATGGCGTGCGGGGTGATGTCCAGACTGGTCTTGAGCATCGAGACGACGATGCCTGGTGCACGCTTCTCCAACAATGGCTCGATGGCTTCGGGTGTGACGTCGCGTGCTGTAAAGCCCGTACCTCCTGTGGTCAAGATCATTCTGAACTGTTGTCCAATCCATCCCTTGACGATCTGTTGTATGGCTTCGATCTCGTCGGGTACCACCTTGTAGACGATGTTTACCTTTTGAGGTGCATGATCTGGTCCCAACTGACTCTCCAACAAAATATTAAGTTGACTCTTTAGAATTGAGACCAACTCTGGTCCTGACTGATCTATAGCTTGTCCACGTGATACACGATCACTTATTGTCAACACCGCTATATCCCAATGTCTAAGTTGTAGTTCACTCATTCCTATCTCACTCATTCCTATCTCTATCTCTATCTATATCTATCTCTCTAACTTCAATTATGAATGTTTGAATGACACTAAAGATGCACTTCACTTCAAAGGAACACACTTCTCGAAACAATATTCATTTCAAGTTCAACCCAACTTTAGAGTTAGAGATATAGATAGAGATACTTATACACATATATGAAGTTCATTCATTCATATTATGTTGTCGTGCCCGAAGATGTATAACATATTGATTAAAGTAGGAGAAGGAGGCCTAGTAAAGTCGACACCATTTCGGGTGTGATGTGATCATCTGGCGTAATCAGAGTTGCGCATTTACAACTTTGACTGGTACATGCGACAAACGATTTAAGATATTTAAAAGGGAGCCCGATCAGGTTAATGGGCAGTGTTAACGACAGTCTTCGTTACCGGCCTATCATCAATCAATTCAAATTGAGTAGTAGGCTGTTCAAAGGCGACCAACTCAATGTCTTGACTCATTCATTCATTCCTTCAAACCAACAACTCTACATCAAACAAACAATGAGAAGTTCAATAGTATTAATCGTTGTATTGGTAGTTATTCCATGTTCTTTGGCTGCCAACTACAGTCCATTGGCAACACAGACACCGGTGCCAACCCCTCCTCCATGTCCTTGCTCAGACGCCTCACTTTGTGAACCACTCACAACTGGACCACGACCAGAGTTTGTCGGATTCTCAGTCAGTGCTGAGAACTGGGACAACTACAACATGTCCAGTTTGACAACCATTATGAAGTTTGGCCCGGATCCAAGTCCTTTGCTGATCTGCCAGGCACATGCCGAAGGTGTAAGAGTGACTCGCGCTGTCGACTACGACTTCACCCAGATTGCCAATCAGACGTACAAGGAGGAGTGGATCACAGACACAGTGGTTCGTGTGCTGGATGGCTTCTACGACGGCATCAACTTGGACTTTGAGTACGAGATCCCCACGAGCGAGCCATTCGACGCCGCCCTGCTCACGGCCTTGGTCACAGACGTTACTCTGGCGCTCAAGTCTGTCAACCCAGGCTACCAGATCTCGATGGACATCCCCGCCGCACCATGCTACTACGACCGCTGCTACGACTACGTGGGCCTGGGCGAGGCAGTTGACCTGTTGGTTGTCATGGACTACGATATGAATGGCGGCAGTTTGGCTGGCGCCAACTCCGCCCTGCCAGCTATCATCACTGGAACCACACGCTACATCAACCTCGGAGTGCCCTCAGCGAGGATCGTAATGGCCTTCCCCTGGTACGGCTACAACTACCAGTGCACTGGCAACATGACATTGGACACACGCGACTGCCAGCCAGGCAGCGACGTCTACGATGTTCACTACGATGCAATCATGGCACTGCTCAACTCGACCACCAACAGTGGCGTGCAGTGGGACACCCCAACCGAGTCGCCCTACTTCAACTATGAGGACGGTGAGCAGGTCCGCCAGGTATGGTTCGACAATCCCAAGTCCATCTACGCCAAGGCGCAAGAAGCCAAAACCCTTGAGGTTGGTGGCGTTGGCATCTGGTACCTTGACTGTCTAAACATAACCACTCAAGCACCAATGTGGCAAGCAATCGAGTCATTCTTTGATTGATTGATATAGATTGATTGATTAAAGACGCGAGTCCATTGCTGTACAACTAGAGGTTGGTATACACCTCAGGTCAATTCCTCCCCACTCTTGTGTATTGATTGTTATTGATCGATTGATTGAATCCAGTCAGTAATCATTAGTCGAGGATTATCCTATTGGGTGCATTGATACAATGATTGTTAGTTGATTGGGCTTTGGTATGATGTGTATCATCCCTCACATGGGCTGGTCGGTATAAATAGATGTTGATCAATCAGATTCGCCTTTCATTCATCAACCTGTTCTCGCTGCTAACAACGAGGAAGTGTACATGTTGCTTGGACACATGGAGAAATCAATCCAGTACACTCTGGACCAAACATTCCAATGTGCCAGCACAAGTATTATGTCGAATTGAACAAGAGTTGGAATCGCCAACTCTTTCTGGTCATCATATTATGTTCCACTATCTTCCAACTTCCTCCTTATGTGATTGATCATTGATCATTGATAAACCTACCCGTCAAACGGCCAACGAATAATGGAGATGGGCAGTGTAGCGCTATGATCATTGCAATGTCATAGGCTTCATGAGACATCCAATCAATCCTTGTCCAGTCCATTTCTTTGGTGTGAGGGTGGTAGTCTTCTTCTCGCCATCTCTTGTGTACTTGAGTGTGATTGGAGAGTTCTCACTGTTCCTAACGATAGTTGCCATTGTCTGTAGATACTGTACTGAGGGATCTAGTTGCGCCAAGGGGCCAATCGAACCGAATTGATATATCTTATCATTCTTTTGTAGTCCACTACGATCTGCTGGTGATCCAGATGACACCATATCAATATATACAAAGGGCACGCCAACTACATCATCCTCAGCCTTCTTGGCTGGTGGTGACTGTGGCTGTGTCTGTGTCTGTGTCGTCTGTGTCTGTGGCTGTGATGGCGGTGATGCCTTGGTTGTGGGAGCTGATGTAGATGGTGTTGTCGTTGGAGTTGATGTCGATGCAGATGGAGATGCTTTATATGATGCATGTAGCTTGTAAAAGTCGCTCTCAATACGAGCCATCAGTGCTTTGTAATCGTTCTGTATACAGGCTACTCTTGCTCTGGACTTCTTGACCTCTATAATGACATCAAGTTGTGGAGACTTGAATGAGGGTCAGTCTCTACTTTACGAATGTAGTACAGTAGTGTGCGTACATACAGGGAAGCCTTCTGAATCAACAAAACTACCTCGTAGACCAAAGAGACTGCCTTCTCCCTTTGTCAAGTATTCCATCAGCTGTTCAAGTTCATTCTCTAACTGAGTTTTCTGCAATAACAATGCCTGCATTGATTCTGTTGTAACTTCATTGGTGTCACTCATTCTTTATGTATCTATGTATGTGTATATTTATATGTTTGAATATATATATTAGGTCGATGTATTTAAAGAACTATGAATCGAATACTTCATTCTTTGTTTGACTTTGAACGTCATTCAATTTCAAATTTATGGGTCCTAAAACTCATTTTGAAGTTCAAAGTTTTGATTTCAAATTTGAAATAACCGTTTGAAAACGGTTTCGCGCCAATGTTATGATGAGGGAGGCACCTTGATGATGTGCTAATGATCAGGTCTTTTTGATTCAAACAATCAATCTATCAATCATCTGATTAACAACACATATACATAATATAATATATTATAGGTTATATAGATATTGAATAATGAGTGACAGTGAATCAATCGTCCCAAAAGAATCATCAGTCACGGGGATGAAGAATCACATGATGAATGACACGGACATGATGATTGGCAACCACTCTCCAATCTTAAATCATAAACAACACATTGAACATCAACAACAGCCACAGAAGCAACAACTCAATGAACAACTACATGCTGCTGCTGCTCAGCCACAACCACAGTCACAGCCACAAGCACAGCCACAGCTACAAGCACAGCCACAGCCACAGCCACAAGCACAAACACAATCAAAGACACAAACACAAGTTGAACCAACTCAAAAACAGGTTGAACCAAAGAAGAAGGTTAGGAATGATGTTTTTGGAATAGATCCAGATGCCTACTATGCCCTGATCACACTCTACAACAGGGATGGTACCATCACCACCAAGAACAAAATTAGAATGTTGGACACTCGTCTCACTTTTGGAAGGTATGATCAATCATTCAATCACTTAATCACATGATCGATCACTAACTCCCCAACCCCCGGAATCATTCCAAACATACAACATATAGTGATAAATCATGTAACTTATCATTGGACAGAGCTGGCGTCGAGCCATTGCATGTGATGATCCAGTATGACATTAATATCAGACAGTTTGTGCTGACGCCAATGTGTAGCATCACTCGCTGCGACACTATTCGTGTCAACTTTGTGCCGGGCATCTACAGGCCAATCATCCTACACAACAATGATATTGTCACGATCAGTTTCCGCTCATTCAAGATCACCTTCAACAGGGATGTGGGTGGTGTGCCCATCCCCGAGTCCTTCTTCTCCTCGTCCTTCATGCCACACAACATGATGGCCATGCCAGGCACCGCTGCGGCCACCACCGTGACACCGGCTGCTGCAGCCAAAGACCCTCTCATTGCGACGACGACGAAGCGGGCTATCGTTATCAAGAAACCGGCGCCAAAGCCTGTTACCGGAGTTATATTGAGTAGCGAGGACTTATCCTCGATCATTGGCGAGCGTGGCGTGGGAGCCAAAGGTGGAAACAGGAAGAACGAGACACAGCAGTCCCATGTGGTTCCCAAGAGTACACAGAACCATGACGACGACGAATCAGAGAGCAGCGAAGAGGATGACTTTGAGCCAAAGGCCAGGACTCACATATCTCTGTCTGCCTCCATCAAGAAACCTGCCCCAGCAGTGGCTCAACCAAAGGCTGCCACTACAGCATTGCCCTCCAAGCCTCAGGCGACCAAGCAACAGCAGAAGAAGCAGCCTCCTGTACAGGTTCAAGAGGAAGTGGAGGAGGACGATGAGGAGATGGATGAGGAGGATGAGGATGAGGAGGTTGAGGTTGAGGCCAAGACCCAACCTCGCACCAAGCAACAATCAAAGGCTGTCAAACCACAAACAATAATGATGGAGGTCACACCAAAGAAGGATAGAAACATGCCATCATCGTCCAAGCGAGTCGCCAAGGTAGCCCCTAGATTCCTCGAAGAGGTCATCCAGAACCTCACTCCAAAGAAGAATGCGCCAGCAGCAAAGCCAGTCAAGACAGCCAAGCCAGCTCCAACCCGAGTGGCGGCCACCAAGTCTGAGCCCGCGCCAGTCGCCAAGCCATTCACCAAGAGAAAGAAGTCCGTAGCCGAGCCTGCCATAGTTACCGCTCCAGTCAAGTCAAAGAAGCCGGCCACTACCACCACCACCACCAAGCCAGCCACTGCTGTGGCTACTGTCAACAAGTCCTTGACCAAGAACCAGATCAAGGCGATGATGGCCCCTGTCAAGGTGCCAACGACATCGACCAATGCCATGGTGGCCGCCGTCACCAAGCTGTCCACGGGCGTGGACGCACGTCTGCCCGCAGTGATTGACAAGTCATCACTCAACAACTTCCAGCGCAAGATCATCAGTGTGATGGAGAAGTTGGATCTCCAAACCTATATTTTGGACGACACTGAGGTCAAAACGACGATGCCCTTCCTCTATCTACCAGCGCTCGGTCAGTTCCCGAAAGGCATCTCGGATATGGTGGATTACTATCAGATGATAGAGTCGCCCATCTCATTGGGCATGATCAAGAACAGACTGTTGGCCGGTTGCTATGAAGACGACATCGAGTTGATCTGTGAGCAAATGGAGCTCATAGCCAAAAACGTCCAGGAGTTCCTTGGTTATGACACTGACTATTGTCGTGATATCTGTGATACACTTGTAAGTCCCCATCAATCACTCACTCACTCACTCACTCAATCAATCAATCAATCAATCAATCACTAACACACTGCTTACTGGAACAGGTCCTGTTCCTGAAAGGTGTAAGGGAAGCCAGATTATTGAATCCAGCTGAATGCAAGGCCAAGCTTGAGCGTGTTGGCCTTATAAGACAAGGATACAACCCAGATGATCCTGATGATAGTGAGGAGGAGAAGGAGGAGAAGGAGGAGAAGGAGGAGGAGGAGGAGGAGGAAGAGGGGGCCGAAGATGATGTCGAGGCCGAGGATGACGAGGAGGATCAGGAGGCCGAAGAGGCCGAAGATGAAGACGAAGAAGAGGAGGAGCTGGATGATGTCCAAGTTGATGAAGAAGAGGATGATGATGAGGAAGACCAGGCTGTAGTCCCCACCAAACCCAAGACCGTCACCAAACAAGCCAAACCAACATCAAAGGTTCAGGCAGCAGAGTCCAGCGACGAGGAGGAAGAGGTTGCCGATGATGTCGAGGAGGAGCAGGACGAGGAGCAGGACGATGTCGAGGAGCAGGACGATGATGCCGAAGAGGAAGATGTCGATGTCCAAGGCGAAGCGGACGAGGATGAAGAGGAGGAGGCTTGTGATTCGAATGATAGTTTATAGGAGTCCCTTCATTCATTGGAGTACGACATAACACAACACAACAACAACTCAGTGCACCTCAGACATCGAGAGAATCAATGTCTGGGCATGGAGTCATGGCATGGATTGATATACATCGTCCATCCTACCGATATCAACAAGAATAAACTAATATTATGTATGAATAATGAATGAATGAATGGATTGGATTGGTCTGTCTGGTCTAGTCACGTGTCGTGTCGTGTCGTGTTTAATGTTGTTTCCTGGCCAGCTCGATCAGTGTGCGGACGGGCTTGCCTGTCATGCCCTTGCCAATGTATGGACCCTCCTCGTTGGAGTACATCACGCCAGCAATGTCCAGATGCGCCCACTTCTCAATTTGAACGAATTCCTTGAGGAACATGGCGGCTGTGCAGGAGCCTGCCGAGCGACTGCCCGAGTTGACAATGTCTGCGATCTTTGAGTCCAGCTGCTTGCGGTACTCGGGCAGCAGGGGCATGCGCCACATCCGCTCGCCAGCTGTCTGGCCGCACTGATCAATGTCGTTCCAGAGTGCGTCGCTGGATGAGAAACAGCCAGTGTGATGGAAGCCCAATGCCACATCGATGGCACCAGTAAGTGTGGCAATGTCGACGATTGCCGCTGGGTTGAACTTGTGTGCGTAGTGGAGCGCATCGCCGAGGATAAGACGGCCCTCAGCGTCGGTGTTGTCGATCTCGACTGTCTTGCCATTGGCGGCGGTCAGGACATCGCCAGGCTTGGTGGCCTTGCCCGAGGGCATGTTCTCGGTGAGTGGTGTCAACACGGTCAGGTTGGCGTCCAGACCCAAACTGGCAACGCCATACATGGCGCCGACGGCGGTGGCCGCGCCCTGCATGTCACCACGCATCAGGCCCATGCCTGCCGAGGGTTTGATACTGATGCCGCCACTGTCAAATGTGACACCCTTACCAACGTAGACCAATGGTTTGGCGTCCTTGTTCTGTGCGCCACGGTAGTGGAGCTCGAGGAACAATGGTGGCTGGTCGCTTCCGACGGCCACACCGAGGAACATGCCCATCTTTTGCTCCTCGGCCCACTGGCGGTCTCTAACAATCATCTCTACCTTGCCCGCGGCGATCAAGTCCTTCAGCTTCTCGCGCACAGTCTCAACAAAGATAGTTGGTGTCATCAAGTTGCTTGGCATGTCGGCCAGTGTCCTGGCAAAGTTCTGTGCCTCGGCCAGCACCTTGCCGTCCTCCCATGCCTTCTCAGGTTGAGTCTCGCTTGACTCGTATGGTTTGATATCGACTGGTGTGTTGTCATTTCCATTGCCATTGCCATTGCCGTTTGACTTGTTTGATTGAGTCTTGAGACTGAACTTGAAGACACTGAGGTTGGCACCCTCGGACAGTGCGCGGATGTCGCCAATGGATGTGTCGACAGCGATCTTTGTGGCGCCACGAGCTTTGAGTGACTTGACACCAGCACCAGCAGCACGTCTTGAGTTCTCAAACTTGTTGTAAGTTGGTGCAGCGCTGTCTTGTGGTGATGGTGCACGCTTTCCAAGTCCAACGATGGCCACACGGGGATACTTTGGCGAGACGTTATAGAGCACCAGACTATCTCCCAGCTTTCCAGTCTGATTGGCCAACTTGAGTGACTTTGTCAAGTGATTATCAGTCTGTTCATTGATCTCCTTGCCCAAAGCAGAGAACTCTTGAGCGTCTTCGAAGCAACCGACCACTACACCATGTGGATCAACATCATTTGGTGTGCTGGTGCTAGTTGTTGCAGTTGAGTATCTGTACAATGATGATGATGTAGAGAGACTTCTTGGCAATGTCTGTCTTGATATTATATGTCTAAATGATAACATCATTATCTCTATCTCTATCTATATCTTTATGTGTCGTTAGTGAGTAAGCACTTCAGATCTTCATTTTCCTGCATTTTGATGAACATTCAACTTTTTCGTTGTTTTCAAACTTTCATTCATCCATTCAAGATCTTGATCACCAATCAACCAATCAATCAAACATTTATCTTGTTATAATTATAACATATCATAATATATACAAGGTGCAAAGTAGGCATCAGAGGAAGTAGTAGTATTCAACAATATATAAAGTAAAGATGAGCTTTGCAAGTCTAAGTGATGAGGTTGATAGTAAGTTTGATCATTCATTCATTCATTCACTCAACCTGATGATACTGACATTGATGATTGAATGTAGAGAAACTTATAGTAGTACTGAGGGATGGAAAGAAGTTTATAGGTGTACTGAGAACATTCGATCAGTTTGGTATGTTGTCAATCAGAGTGTCATTGATTGATTGATTGATTGAATGATTGAATGAGAGTGACTAACGACATTGACATCGACTTCAACATCGAACATCAACAGCAAACATAGTACTACAAGAAACAGTTGAGAGGATATATGTTGGCGATAAGTATGGAGAGAAGAATCTAGGTGTATTTTTTATTAGAGGTGATACTGTAGTCATACTTGGTGAAATAGTATGTTATGATGTTGCCACTGCCACGGCTACAATAACAACAACTGACTGACATATCCAATCATCATCAAAGGATCCAGAGAAGGAGGTTAAAGAAAAGAGACTGACAAAGGTGTCTTGGGAGGAGATACAACAGGCACAACGTGTGGAGAAGGAGAGGAAGGAACAAGAGGAGCTGTTAAAGAGGAAGATTATGTTGGACAGTGGACTGACCATCGATTCTATTCTGAATTTGGACGAGCTCTAAGTTTGGATTGGACTCATTCTAAACTCTCTCGAAATACAAAGCATCAATCACATGTGCTGCGGATGAAGCAGCCCAGCGACAGAGGCATCATCTTCGACATGTACGAACAGCATCGGCAGCAGCGGCACTCCCTTCATCATCACAAGTTCAATCAATCAATCAATCAAAGTTTGAGGATAGGGATGTTATTGCTGCAGGTGGATAGCCAACTCAATAAACGAGCGATTGTTTATTGATCGACTAAGTCTTGCTTTGCGTGGACGATGTATCACAAACGAATGCCTCCAGACATGTCTGATTCGAATGAGTTCAAATCCTCAAATGAAATGTCGTCAAGGTCAAGGTCGTCATCATCATCATCGCCTCTCTTGGACGACGCCGCTGCTGACGACTTCTTTGTCTTTGGTTCGGGATTGAGGTACTTGTCTTTGTTGGTCAGAGCCTCCATCGCAGAGGCGATCGATCCGCCAAACTCGTCGAGCATGTCCTTGCCACCAATGTCCTCGATCGCTTCGAGTGACACATTGGCCAGCTGATCGCGTCCGCCATGCAGCTCGCTCAACTTATTGATCAACTCCTCCAATATTAATATGTTTGTTCGCTTGCCCTTGAGCACACGGAAGCGCCACGACTCCCAGCTGTGCAGCTCAGGCATCACTGTTGTTATGAGCTTCCAGGGTGACTTGTTGTAGGCTTGCAACAACTTGAATCCATAGTTGGCGCCGAATGAGCGCTGAGTGAGATCGTACCAGTCTTGAGCCGAGACCAGCTTGAGGCGGTCGGCCAGCCACTCGAGATAGAGTCGCGCGTTACCCTTGTGAATCCAATAGTCTTCGGGCACCTTGTCAAACATCCATGGCTTCCACGAGTACTCGGGGAAGATTGATGTCAGTGCATTGGATATTGAGCCGTCGTGCATCTCAAGCAACTGAGATCCACTGTTGCGGGCAAAGTCGCGCTTGGTGAGGAAGTGCCACTGCTCCTTGTCCCAGTCCAGTCGCTTGCCCAGCCACTCCATGTACTCGCGCTGCATCTCCTGCGTCCAGAAACCCTTGCGTATCGTTGGGAAGCGCCACAGCTCCCATTTCTGATCGGCATAGATTGTTGTGATCGCTTTGATGTGGTCGTCGCCATATTGCGCCAAGAGTAGTTTGCCATGATTGGAGGCAAAGTCCACGCGACGACATTTATACCAATGTTCTTGATAGCGATAACCGAGCATTGATGCCAGCCACTTCATATACTTGATGTGATTGTCCTTGTTGGCAAAGAACTGTGACTCGTCGCCAACCATCATCTCCTTGTACGACTCCTCTGCCTTTCTCTTTCGACTCAATGGTAGAGGTTTGATCGGCGTCAAAGGCTTTGTCAATTGATCTCTTGGTGTGATTGGTGATATTGTACTTGATGTGATAGCAACTCGTTGTTGTGGTGTCGGTGATGTCGTTGATGTCGTTGATGTCTGTGGTGTCGATGTGGTATTCATTGTCGTCTCTGAGTTGTTTGATCTCCATTTCCCTGGTGAATCACGCTTGTTATATGATGACGTTGATGTTGATGATGATGATGATTGAGTTCTTTGTCTTAGACTGTATGTATCTGAATGTTTGAAGCGACCGTCGCCACCTCCACTTCTTCCTTCTCTATTATCTCTGGTTCCTCCAAAGCCTGTTCTTCCTCGTCCATCTCGTCCATCTCGTCCACCTCTTCTTCCTTCACCATCTCGTCCTCCTCTTCTAACTTCACCATCACCTCCACCTCTTGGCTTCGATGTATAGTTGTTGTTGTTGGAGTATGTTGAGAAGGTATTAAACATCAGTGACTTGATACTATTAATGCCATTGCTGTTGATATTGGTATCAATAAGGTATTGACATCTTGTCAGTTTACTCCCTACTAATGACAACATGATTATTGTTATTATTATTACAAAGTATAAAGACGAAGAGATGAACGAATGAAGTTTCAAGACGTGTCCAAAACATCAAGAATGCGCGAATCCTTCCAAGTTCATTCATTCATTCTCAAACATCAACAACAACATGAAAAGAGATAATAATAATACTTCTTATTTATTATTACTATTAATTAATTAGAGCATAGTGTAAAGTCAGCTCGTTCTGCGTTGGCTGGTGCTGTTACCTTGGGCATTGCATAGGGTATGTCTTCACCTTTGAGCACAGGGAATGCCTTGGTGTAGGTGGTCTGAATCCTATCGATGAATGTTTGATACTTACAATCAAGTATTAAAGCATCACGTACTATATCACCAATACCACCTAGTATTGCTACAATCGATGTCTTTGTATCCCATGATATTATAGACGACACACTCGTACCATCATTCATACCAGACTCGGTAGAACCGTACGGACCCTGCATGGCCGGACCCTTCAACATGTTGTTGTACCACACCAGTCCTACAGGGTGATTGGCCATTATCGTTGGGAATGCACCGTATGGCGTGTAGTAGTCGGTCTTGAGCTTATCATGCGCAGACAAGGGCGGCACTCCAACGTCGACAAAGTATTTACTCGACGAGTTGTAGGACGCGCCAAACATGCCTGGATAGCCATTGAGGTTGGAGTACCAAGTCCTGGCCTTCTCACAATTGGACAACAGACGACGCTGGATTTCGACATCCTGGTAGGGCAGCAAGAGGTACTTGTATGACTCGTGCGGGGAGTACGTCCAGCCCTTCTGCACTGTGATCACACCCGAGGGAGTCGTCCAATCGACTTTGTTGACCTTGAATATGTTCCAGGTCTTGTCTCGCAGTTCTTGACTCTCGAACGTTCCAAACATGTCACCAAAGATACCCATGGGCTCACCATCGAGTGGGCCTTGAGAGGCGTATGGACTGTTGGACCAATACGTGTTGCTGGCCACTGGAATATCATTCTGCTTCATTCTAGCGGACATGGCAAAGTGGAGGGCGGTCCTGTTCCAGAACATAGTAACAGCATTGTCCGCCATCATATCGAACCACTTGCGATACCTCAGCGACAATTGGACGTGATCCTTGTATCTCGTCTTGCCAAGCTCATGAGACACGGCGTACACACCCCACACCATCAGACCGTCGTCCAGCGAGCCAACATCGGTATCGGTCTTGACCGTAGTCTCGAGTCCATTGTCCCTAACACCGAGGAATGGAATGTAGCCGCCATAGCCTGGCAACGCTTTGTTGAACTTCTCCAAAGTGTCCATCTTGCGATAGAGTGTCACCAGCACAGTGTCCAATCTTGGGTCACCGGTGTTGATGATGGCCTTCTCCGCAGCGGTGAGCTCGATTGGAATATGGAAATAGTCCAGTGGGTCGTATCCATGAGGTGTCGAACCATTCAATGCTATTGCCAACAGTGCCAACTGGAATGCTTCCTTACTACCAAATGTATATCTCCTTGGGTTTGTTGAATTGCCAGTTATTTTATCAAGTGCAGTACCATCATGGGTCATTCCACATTTGGTATTTATTCCTACATCATGTGAATGATACTAAAATAATATTAATTAATTAATTCCATTGATCAATCAATCATTCAATCAATCAACTTACATTTCCTTCATATTGTAGTACTAGTTTGACATATTCTTTTCTTGCTGATTCATCGTTTAATAATTGATCATCTGTGAACTTGTCAGCGAAACGACAAGGTCCTTTATAAATATTATCCTGCCATGTGGATGAACAAATATTAATTGATATTAAAAATAACAATAAAATAATAATATTATTATTATGTAAACTTTGGAATAAATAATTCATTAAGTATATATTATTATTATAATCGATACACAATAATTTACTTTTGGATAATAATAATTATTTATATACTTCCATTGAGATTGGATATTATCCAATTCATTAACTATCGCACACACACAACCATACATAAACAATCACATCACTCTTTCATTCAAATTGTGTTGTATGTCCGTCACCCACCAATCAATCAATCAATCACACACTAGATAGAACGTTCTTACATCGATCCAAGTTAATAATTTATTATCCATGTCCATTGACTTCACGACAACAAAAGAGGAATTAAATTTAATTTAAATAATTGATCTTAGTGATGTCTGAAAGCGGCAGAGTGAACATCAATGGTTGGGATACTTGAATCTCAATGTCGTAGGATTTCCCGCGAACACCAATGAGCGTGCCAAGTCGGTAGTGGCTGTCAAAGCCAAGGCATAGATATTGTTTGTTTGTGATCATTTCGCTCTTCTTTGCACGTGGATGTTTGTGACCAAACACGTATGCTCGAGGAACAGATTCCTCATTGTCTGATCCTTGGAATTCGACCGTGACCTCTCCATGTCCTGTGTCCTCGACAACTGTCCCCCTTCTGAATACACAGCCCTCACCTGCTGACCTGGCCATGACTTGGGTACCAGCTTCGAGAAGGATGTGATTGGCAGTGGTGGTGGTGGTGGTGGTGGTGGTGGCGGCACCGTTATCGACCTTGTCGTGCTGTGAGGTGGGTTGATCGACTGGCTCAATGGCCACATGATGTGACACCTTAGTCTTCTTGGCAGGTCGAACCTTCTCGATTGGATCATCATGAGAGTCGTTTGAGCAGGTGATTGGAGCATTGTCTTGAGGCTCCATGTCGCATGATGATTGAGGAGGAGAAGGTGGAGGAGGAGAATGTGTGGTTGGCGCAGCGACCGTCATCGATTGAGGAGGGCTCAAATGATCGGATTCTTTGGCGCACTTCATCTGAAAACCTCGCATTTTAATGCAAATTGGACATGTCTTGTAGATGTGATCTTGAATGCTATTCAACATATCTGTTGTTGTAGTTTGTTGTTGATACCTCGCCAGTTAGTTTGAGACTGGATTGATGTAGATGTGCGTGCGCGAACGAACATACCAGGCCATCGATAATATGTAAAAGTCTTGATCATGTCGATTAAGTTGGCACCTAACAAGTGGTCACCAGTTGAATGTACATGGTTCTCATTGATGATAGTCACTCGTAGTTGCTTTGATGGGATAATTATCCTGGGAGTCATGGGTGTTAGACACACACCATGTATGATCGTACGGTCCACAAACACTCATTGGACTGGCCAAGGTGACTCACTTACTTCTTCTTGCCTTTGGGTTTGTAGCACAACTCATCATTGGACTCTATATAGAAATGTTTGAGTGCCTGTCCTATCTTGGCCATTCTCTTGTCATCATAGTTCTCCTTTATGGCCGTTACTAGGTTGGTTGATGTTGGTTGGTTAGTTGGTTGGTGTTGGATTGTTGATTGATTGATTGATTGATTGATTGATAATACATACCATTGAGTGATTCGGGATTCTTGACCCATTCAAATAACTGATCATACTCATATTCCTTGGCAATCTTGGGCACTGTGTCGCGAGGGCTCGGGTCCCAATTGTCTTGGTCAAAGTCCATCTCTTCCCTTCTCTTCAAGTATATATAAAATATAAATATATTTTAGTTGATTGAGTGATTGATTGATTGATTAAATGAAGTTGATTAAGCATAATCATTCAGACGAAGAATGATTAATAGTATATTTTGGCGCCAAATATCCATGTTTATTTGCTCTGACACAAGGTAAAATCTTCACGTCCAACATTATGTGGAGCAGTCACAGATGGCAAAGCAAATGGTATTTCCTCACCTAGCAACTTGGGGAACTGCTTGGAGTATGAGGCATCAATCCTATCATAGAACATTTGATACTTGCAATCTTCTTTCAAAGCCTCTCTAACAATCTTTCCAATTCCACCTAGTATCGCCACGACTGTAGTTTGTTTGGTGTCCCATGATACATTGTTTGAAGTGGCCTTGCCATCGTTATCACCAGACTCGTTCGATCCGTAGGGTCCTTGCATGGCCGGGCCCCTGAGCATGTTGTTGTACCACACCAATCCAACTGAATGATTGGCCAAGATAACAGGGAATGCTCCATAAGGTGTGTAGAATCCTGATTGTTGCAACTTTGATTGAGCGAGTGGAGGCACACCAATGCTGGTGACATACTTCTCGGATGAGTTGGCTGCCGCACCAAACAGACCAGGATAGTTGTTTAGATGTGAGTACCATGTCCTGGCTTTCTCACAGTTGGAGAAAAGACGACGTTGGATGGGCACGTCGGTGTAGGGCAACATCATGTACTTCCAATGCTCGTGAACTGAATATGTCCAGCCCATCTCAACGGTGATCACTCCTGGAGGGATGGCCCAGTCCTTTGGATTATTCTTGAATTCCCAGACCTTCTCACGCTGGGCCATGCTGTCAAACTAGGCAAACAGGTATGCAAAGATGGCAAAAGGCTCACCGTCGAGGGGTGCCCTCGAGGCATCGGGTCCGTCCGATTTATATGTGTTGTCCTTGACTGGGAGGTTGGACTGGCCCACAATTGATGCCATTGCAAAGTAGTTGCCAGTCTTGTTCAAGAACACTGTTGCGGCATTGTCGGCCATCAAGTCAAAGTACTTCCTGTACCTCAGTCCAAGCTCATGGTGATCCTTGTACTGGGGCTTCTGCAACACATGGGCAACAGGGTAGATACCCCAGGCCATTTGACCATCGTCCAATGAGACGGTCTTGGCATTGGTCTTATCCTTGTTGTCCAAACCAGTGTCAGTGATGCCAATCCATGGAATGAAGCCACCGTATCCAGGTTGCTTGGCATTAAAATCCTCCAAAGACTTCATCTTTCGATATAATATCACCAAAACATTGTCCAAACGTTGATCTCCTGTGTTGATCTTGACTTTCTCTTCTGGTGTCAAAGGCACTGGCCAGTGGAAGAGGTCCAGAGGGTCGTATCCTTCATCAGTTATTCCATTGAGACCCAATGCCAACAAAGATAGATGCGACGCCTCCTTACTACCCACAGTGAATGATCTTGGCTTTGTAACATTGCCAGAGACAGGGTCAAGCACTTGACCAAGCTGTGTCATTCCAGACTTAGTATTTACACCAATCTTGTAAGAATGAAACTATGTGAATTATTTGATTAACTCGAGTGAGTGAGTGGAATAGATCCAAAGATTGGTTAAATGAGTGATTGAATGAGACTTTACATTTCCCTCATAGTGTAGTACATGTTTGACGAAATCTTTACGAGCTGAGGCATCATTGAGTAATTGTTCATCAGTAAACAAGTTGGCGAAACGACATGGTCCTTGGTAGATATTATCACTCCAATTATCCGAAACAACCAATGATGTTCCAAATAATAAAAATAAAGTGGAAACAAATATTATTATTATATAATTAGTTCTCCTCCACATTTGAATAAATAATTAATAATACTTAAATAATAATTAAAATTAATAATTAAATTTGAAATTGAATGATGGTCCACAAAACATGTAGTTTATAAACCAGATCCATCAACTCAATTGAGTTGATCAATTCAATCTACAAATTCGGAAAGGTAATAGTCTTTGGCACTGCCATACACTAAGTGTATTATTTCATTCATTCATTGACTTGTGTGTATGGATGATTGTTCTGGTATTTGTGTGTATCTGTGTATGTGTGTGTGTGTGTGTGTGTGTGAGGGAAGGGACCTTGGTAAAATCATCCAACAACACAAATATCCAAACTACAACCAAGGAATAATTAATGAGTAATTCATTGATAATGATATATATATATTATAAAGTTGATATAAATAATAATACGGATAATAGTAATACATAGATGGATGGTCGCAAAACAATTCCGGATGATGGAGGTGGGGCAACATAGTCATCACACAAGGTGTAGTGAGCTGTGGCATCTGGTGCGGGAGGTGGTGGCATTCCATATGGTACATTATCTCCAACCATATAGGGCATCTGTGCTGTGTAGCTGCTGTTGATCCTATCAAAGAACATTTGGTACTTGCCATCGCCTACCAGCCCCTCCTTGACAATGTCTCCAATGCCACCGAGCATGGCGATCACCGAAGGTCCCTTGGTATCCCATGACATAATGTTGGCCACTGCCTTGCCATCGTTGGTGCCCGACTCTGTCGAGCCGTAGGGGCCCTGCATGGCGGGTCCCTTGAGCATGTTGTTGTACCACAGCAGTCCGACAGAGTGATTGGCCATCAGCACGGGGAATGCGCCGTATGGTGTGTAGAAGTCGTTGTAGTCTATGCCGACGAGTATATGCCGTCCGAGCGATAGGTGTTCTTGGCGACACTGACATTGTTAGCGCCAACGACTGCCGACATGGCAAAGTAGAAGCTGGTGCGGTTCAAGAAGACCGTGATGGCATTGTTGGCGAGCAAGTCAAAGTAGTTGCGATAGCGAGTGGCCAGCTGGGCGTGATCAGGGTACTTCTGCTTCAAAACATGGGCCACAGCGTAGATGCCCCAGACCATCTCACCATTGTCCAGTGATGGGACCGACGTGTCGGTCTGAGTATCGTTGTCCAGGCCATTGTCATTTACGCCATTCCAGGGGACATGGCCACCGTAGCCTGGCTGCTGGGCTTTGAAGCGCTCCAATGTGTCCATCTTGCGGTAGGCAGTGACCAGTGCGTTGTCTAGACGACTGTCACCGGTGTGGATGAGCTTGCGCTCGTTCGATGTCAAGTTGATTGGGTAATGGAAGTAGTCCAGAGGGTCGTAGCCTTTGGCTGTTGGACCATTGAGTTCCAGTGCCAACATTGAAAGATGCAATGACTCCTTGCTGGCCGCAGTATACCTCCTTGAAAGAGAGTGTATGATAGACTGATTTGACGTGCGATCATATAATCGTGAGTATTTGTGTGTATGTGTATGTGTATGTGTATCACGTGACACCTAACAAGTCTACAACAACATGAATAATTAATAAGTAATTCATTGATATATGTTCTACTTGTTTGAATACCTAGTAGTAATTGATACAAGGTTGATTAAAGACATGACTAATATGAGAGTATTTAAAATTTGAATGGTTGACATAATTTTGGCTGTGTCTTATTTACACCCACCTGAGGTAACAAGAATTTCGGGGGGTAATTTCTTTATGGGTCAAATTCATAGGACAATGACTGATAGATAGACATAAACGGGTAATAATTGTTGTTGTTTATTACAAACCAAAGAAGTTCTTGATGTTGCGCATGATGTTGGGTCTATCTGTCACCATTTGGCTTGATGATGACTGGGTTGTAGACTCAGTGTGAGTGATTGTGTTGGTTCCATGGCTGTTTTGGATATTCATGGTATTGTTGTTGACCTGGAGGTTGTTCTGGATCATTGTGATGGCCGGCTGTGAACCAGCGCCTGTGGCCTTGATTGTTACATCGTATTGCACATTTACAAGTCCACTGGCGATATGTTAGAGTTATTTGAATTAAGAATGAATGAATGTGTAAACATACCTTGTTTCCTTGGATGTGATCAGGTTGCCAGTGGACTTCTTGTCGCGCAGCACTACTGTCCTTTGCTTCTTGGTCAATTTCTCTGGATCAATGATGGCCAGGTCCTTGGATTGCTGGGCAACGAGGGCCTTGGAGGACCTCTTACGCTTCTTTGGCACAAATCGCTTGTCTCTTGGTTGGGTAGGGGACCATTCGATCAGACCAGACTTTACCCATGCTTGCATGACATTGGATTGACAGGCACTCTTGTCCCAAGCATAATGGGTCAGTGAGAGATAGTGCTCGGGCTTGACTTTGAACTTTGGATTGGCATGTATCTCTTTGAGTAGCAAATCTGAGAGACACTGCCTAAACGAGGAGAAAATAACCAAGTCAAGGGGCTGGATCATGTGAGTAAGGTTGGATGGGAATGATGTGTAGGTTGTTCTTCTCGGCCACAGCGATCACCTCGGAGAAATAATTGGATATGTGATTGTCCAGGAGTAGTAGCTTTGGCTTCTTGCTGTCAAAGTAGCTGGACAACCATTCTATAAACCTGGCCTTGAGCTCCTTGGTCATCTATGATGTTATGATGTTTGACAGTGTCAGTAGTTACTACTATGGTTATATTGACTTGGTTGTCCTACGTGTCCAGGAGTTGGTCACACATACATATCCACTGCTATTGAATTCAATGTGTCCAAAGTCTGCATGATACTTGAAGTCCATCTTCTTTGTCGAGGGGAACTGCAGAT